ATCCTAATATTGCGAGTATTTTACAGGAATTACTTACTCATAATTAATGGCGGTTAAACATCAGGCCCAAAGTTTGTGGATTGTGAGAGCGACTGAGGTTGCTTGACTACTCTAAGCGACAAACTGCTGTCGAAGTGTAGACGATTTAAGCTTGATTGATTCATGCAAAGGAACGAGGATGATCCTGCTCATCCCATCCAGTTTGAGACTTCCCACTGTCGCCATGGCCCGCGTAGGGCCACTATTGCGATTTGCAATTCCCAGATCTCGGTCAAAACGTGGGTCCGTGAGCCTTCGGAAACGGAATACGATGCACGTAAACGCCTTAGCCTGTCAGTCCATTGGCCGCACGGAAGCCACCTTTTGTATTGGGATCTAGTCAGGAACCATACACATAAGTAAGCGGCATGTCTGACCACCCTCCCCGCCCCCCTTCCACGCTCATTTTTCACACATGTCGCACATTACTGAGACAGTCATAGTCGCGATGAGGGCACAAACAACCAAAAAAGGCAGAGGAGCTACAAATACATAGTGAAGGTCAAGAGTGCACTCACTCACTCCCAGAAGCAATACGATAGATACTCTCTCATCTCCTCCGAAGATTCTCACGCCGGCACTAAAAACCCGCAATGAATGAATATCCTGATTTCGGAGAGCATGAGCTAGACAATAACGATAATGCAGTGCCTATGGGAAGACTTTCTACCGTCTTACTACTACTTCACCTTCGCTTCTAGGAGTCGATTCTAACACGGCCCAATTTTGTTGGAGTTACTGGTCCTGCCGAGTAGAAAGCGTCAGAATACGGCGTATGTGGAGACTTTAGAGCCAGCGGCTGAAGCCTCAGAACGGACTCGTTTGAAAAGTAACGCTAGTTCCCGTCCAAAGCAATATTCCATTCCAGTTTCTACCAACCCGAATGGCTAAGAAGGTTATGGACCCCGCGCTATACACACCTAATTATCTTCTCATCTCAACTTGCCGCACGCCTGCAGGTACGGATGTACTGTTTGAAATGCAAGCAGACACCAGGAGAAAGCGGGCGGCACAGCAAGCCTACTGCTGCCCTGATTAACCCGAGTCATCAAGTGATGGCTTTTTTCTATGCGCCTTTCTCCTCTTTCTTCTTCCCTTCTTCTCTCCATCGAAATCATCAATAACCTCCACCTCTCCTTACCACTTCCCTCAACGGCCATCGTGCTGTGCAGACTTTTGTTTGCGTCCTGTCTTTGACTCCCCACTGACTACCCAGTCACCACAATCGTTACCAGCTTCGATCATACCACAATCTTTTCAGAATATTTTTAATCATATTTTATCATAATGTTTTCTACCAAGTCCATCTTTGCCGCTACTGCTGCTTTCTGCTTGATATCTTCCTCGGCCGCGTTGTATGATGCAAGCTCCAAGTCTAACGTGGCACTGTATTGGGTAGGTCTAACAAGATATATGGTAGTGGATTAGCTGATACTTGAGTAGGGTTCAGGTGCCAATCAACAAGATTTAAGGACTTTCTGTGATGAATCGAGTGTCGACATTATTCCCATTGGCTTCATCAATGTCTTCCCGGACCAGGGCAATGGATTGATAGGTGAAAATTTTGGAAACAAGTGCTACGGTGACAGCTATTACCAAGGTCCAGGAAACGATCCTGCTGAGAACCAGCTTCCAACTCGGTGCCCAACCGTCCAAGAAGACATTCCATACTGTCAACAAACAAGAAACAAGAAGATCCTTCTCTCCCTGGGAGGCGCTAGTTCAACTTATGCGCTCACAGGAGCAGACGAGGGAATTGCTCTCGCGGATTTTCTTTGGGGTGCTTACGGACCATTGACCGATGATTGGGTCGCGGCTGGCGGTCTTCGACCTCTGGACCGCAGCTCTACTAACACTGATACCTCAACCGAATACCAGATTGATATCGATGGTTTCGACTTTGATATCGAGTACACATCTTCTGGTAAATTACCTCTAGGCAGATCAAATAACATCGCTGACCGTATTTAGACGCACAAGCCGGTTATATTGCTTGCATTGATAGACTTAGAGAGAATTTCCAACAGAATCCAGCAAAGGATTATATCATTTCTGGTGCCCCTCAATGTCCACTGCTGGCGTCAAATGGCTTCCAGGATGCTAACATGGGCAACATGATCCTTGCCTCCACTTTCGACGTTATATGGATTCAGTTTTATAACAACGATGCAGCTGGTTGCACTGCCCGCAACTGGGCCAATGCTAACCCCAACTATCCAACAACCAAGTCTTCCGCTACCACATTGAATTACCAGGCGTGGAAAAACACAATCAACAGTGGAGCTAGCAATGGAGCCAAGATCTACCTTGGACTTCAAGCGGGACCTGCGACCAGCTGCGCGACTCCTGCAGGATATGGAGACTTCCTTAACGCAACCGAAGCCAACAACCTGATTTCGGCTTTCCAGTCGGATGATCAATTCGGAGGTGTTATGCTTTGGGAAGCCACATCTGCTCTGAACGATTGTGATTGCGGAACACCATACTTTGATGTTATCAAGAATTCCTTAAATGGTATTTCTCCACCGAAACAGTGCACATCGACGGTTTCGTCTAGTACCATGAGCAGCACTAGCTCAATTTCGTCCTCAACATCTTCATCGAGCAGCTCTGTTGTGACTACATCATCCTCGATATCTTCATCTTCATCTTCCAGCGTTGCTCCAACCACGTCATCCTCGGTTCCTTCGTCTTCGTCCTCGTCGTCGTCGATTTCAAGCACAAGCAGCAGGTAAGTAATTTTGCAGTAGATTCTGATTTTAGATATTTCTAAAATGTCGTTCTGCAAATTTACGAATTATGATACTAACTTTCCACCTTTAAAGCTCCTTTTCATCGTCCAGCAGCTCTAGCACTTCCTCAGTTGGACAAACTTCCAGCAGCTCAAGCTCCGCAGTTGTACCCACGACTAGCAGCTCCGTTTCATCATCTCAAACGACATCCTCGAGCTCCAGCTCCCTGGCCGCACCGACAACAAGTAGCTCCGTTACATCCTTCAGCAGCTCCAGCAGCTCGTCGGTTGTATCAGCCAGTAGCAGTTCCAGTTCCGCAGTTGTACCACCACCCAGCAGCTCTGTTTCGTCATCCCAGACGACGTCGTCAAGTGTAAGCTCCCCCGCTGTACCAACAAGCAGCAGCTCCGTATCATCGGTCCAGACGTCATCTTCTAGCTTAAGCAGCAGCACGGTGGCGCCAAGCTCTTCATCCCTGTCATACCTGACCCTGCCTCCGTACACGAACTCGAGCATATCAGCTCAGCCAACATTGCTTTCGACCTCTTCGGAGAGTTCCAGTACACTAGTAGCTTCATCTAGCATCGTTGTAACAACAAGCATCGAATCACCATCTGGAAGCACCGCGACAAGTGGAGTATCGATATCCTCATCTGCAGCCGCTGTGACCGGAGTACCGGTATCTTCTACAGATATCCCATTGACCACATCAACAGTCTTTACGACTTCAGTCTACACAGTCACGTAAGTATTACACGACCTCGACATACAGAATAGAGTACTAATTAGGACCTAGATCATGTGCTGCCACTGTAACTGACTGCCCAGCGCGCCTGGGCTCTGTGACCACCGAAACCATCGCTCTCTACACCACCGTCTGCCCTGTGGCTGGACAAGGCAATGGAGTCTCTTCGGCGGGCCCTACTGGAACACCCGCGCCTCCGGCACCAACATCTCAAGTCACGCAATACACCACTTCAACAGTATACACCACTAAGGTCTACACCGTTACTTCGTGTGCTCCGTCGGTGACAAATTGCCCTGCCAAGATCGGAAAATTGACTACCGAGACCGTGGTTCTCTACACGACATACTGTCCAGTTGCAAATCAGACCCCGGCATCATCTACACCTGCTGCTTCTACACCTGCTACTTCTGTCCCCGTTGCATCTGCACCTGCCACAAAGCCATCTGCTCCAGTTGTCTCTCCTTCCACCCCGGTAGCATCTAGCCTCTCTTCCTCCGCCACAACATTGTACAGCGGCAAGGAATCTACAACATACGTGACTGTCCAGTTCGCAGCCTCAACCGCATCTATTTCCCAAAGCGCAGCCTCGAAATCTGGGGGTGTTTTTGTCGTCCCCTCCCTCTCCAGCTACAGCTACGCCTCAACTTCAGCGGCTGTTAGCGCGATCCCTTCCATTGTGACCGTCATTCCTCTCCGTGCCACTACACTTTCCGCTCCATACCCAACCGGCTCTTCGAGCAAGAAGACCCAGCAGGGAACTGGAACTGGATTACCAAGTATGAGCCTTGTATTCAAGAAGCCGGCGGGAAGTAGTGCTGCGCCTTCGAGTGCGACTGCGACACCTGTGTACCCTGTGTCCACCAAGCCGGCGGGAAGTAGTGCTGCGCCTTCGAGTGCGACTGCGACACCTGTGTACCCTGTGTCCACCAAGCCGGTAGCGAGTAGCGTTGCGACTTCGAGCCCAACTGCGACACCGGTGCAGTTCAGCAGCGCGGCAGGACAAGTTGGAGGTAGCTTTGGGGCTGTGTGTGCCATTGCTCTGGGTGCAGTTGCGATGTTGTTGTGATAGATAATTCATGTGGAAATTTTATCCGCTAGTTTACTCATGAAGAGAGATGTAAGCCCGAGTTGAACAAGAGAAAATATAATGAAAATAAAACCAATTGCGATGTATATCAACTTTAACGTTCATGTTGTATCTATATTTACTATCACGTCCTGTTCAAAAGATTCTAAAATACAACCTCGATATAATATGAAAATCACAGCTAAGTGGCTACAACCATCTTTTCGCCCCCAACATTCTCAATCTGACGATTCTATTGTAAGTCATAGTTCAAGGGGTTTTGGGAGTCTACACGTGAGCATCTTCAGAAAATTTAACATTGAGCAAATAACCAAGTAATCTCCTCCGTATTATTCCGAGGGGTAAGACGGGGTGGAACTATAGACACGGACGTTTGCAACATTTCATCCTACCATCAATCGTGCTTTGCAATCTCAATCACAATCTTCTTCGCCGACACCCCCTTTCTAAGAATATCAATTCCCTCCTGAACCTTCTCTAGCCCCCCCTCCAAAACCTCCGGGTCGGGCTTAGCCTGAAACCTCCCAGCCGCCAAAGCCTGCGGGAGGAACTTGCGCCAAACCGCATCCCCGATATCGAGATCGACAAGTCCAGGATCGAGGCCATTAACTGCGTCCTATGGTAAGCAAAAGTCACCAGAAGGATAAGAAGACTTTGGAGCATACCAAACGCGAATTCGACATCGTCATATTCGGTTGGCAAGGGCCAAAGAACAACGGGGAGCTTGCCGCCTCCAATGTTGTGTAGGATTGTCGCGCAGGCCTTTTGAGAGCTTTCCACGGCGATAGCATCAAAGACCACATCACCGGTTTTAAGGACTTTCGAAATGTCTTGAATGACGTTTGGGGCTTTGTGATCAAAGACATGGGTGGCGCCAAGCTCCTTTACGTAGGCCTTGTTGTGTGCTCCTGCTGTTGTGGCAACAGTCAGTCCAGCAGCGAGTGCCAATCTGTGGAAGGTACGAAGTCAGCGTTGGTCCTTTATGTAGAAGAGACACTATATTACAGATGGATGGAGGGTAGAGATTACGCTTACTGAATTGCTGTAGAGCCAACCGAGGAACTACCACCCCAAATCAAGATGGTCCTCCCAGTCGGTTTCGGGTCGACGGACGGGAAGGGGAGCTTGAGATGTTTGAAGAGCCCCGTAGACGCAGTGTCGATTGCGAGCGGAAGAACAGCGGCGTTGGCCAAAGGAACCGAGTTCGGAACTTCAGAAACGAGGATCTCGCGACAGGTTGTGTAGTGTTGGAAGCCAGCATTGGTAGCCTTTAGGGTGAGAAGACTGTCACAGTGCCCAATAACTCGCTGGCCGATTTCGAATCGAGTCACGGCTGAGCCAAGTTGTGCGATGGTTCCAGAGACGTCGACGCCGATTATGAAAGGATATTGGGGGTGGGCGTAAGGTTGGTCTTGCATCTGAATACGAGTAAGCTGATGAGCAATAGACTTCGTCGGAATATGGAGAGTCTTACGATCCAGTCGGTTGGATTTACGGCTGCGTATGCTACTTTGATCACTACCTCATTCTCAGCAGGATTAGGCGTAGGGCCAGGTCCAATTTCCATCGAAGGTGCTTTCTCGAATGGAAGCCATGCCGCCTTATTGTCGGTGATTTGTGTCATGACTCAAGGAGTTTGAAGCAACGAAGACTGAGTTCTCTGGATTTAGAGGCACAAAAAGTAGTGTTCTCCATCTCCCTATATATATCGGCGGAGGTTTTATTTGCAATATTGAATCCCCGGTGTGGAGTACCGTGTAGAGGTGCAGAAGACGTCAAATATGATTGAAAATCGATATTTATCAAATGATGTTTCCAGTCTAATATTGGTAATCGTAAATAAGGCCGAGAGTTTCGATCGGATAGAGGCATTCTCAAGCGAACCCCTTTCGCTTAGTGCCGGATTGGTGGGGGTTTATGTAAGCATGCAACGGAGTTGCGTGGTCCTTCGCATCATCCCTCTTAATGCTTACCTACTCTACACATATTTCAAAGCAGCATATGCAACGAACGAATCTCTTCCGGCCTGGCTTTAGTGATGCAAACAATTCAACATGGAAGCATCCGCCCAAGCAGAAGCAGAACAGACACTGAGGTGTACAATTTGCGCCAAGAACTTTGAAAATCGTAAGTAAGCTACTAGCCCCACAAAATCCCGCATTCTTCGCTGTTAGTAAAGTCCCGTTCCAATAATGAGAATGCAGGGAAATCATATCTCCGACATGGTTCTTACTGCCGGAAAGCAAAGACTCGGGTAAGATCAAGAAAAAAAGCATGCGTAGCTTGTACGAAAGCGAAGACACGCTGCAATTTGATATACCCAGAATGTTCTCGATGCGTGGCTAAGAACATCACATGTGGCTATGGCCAAACTGTACCAGTAGGGTCGTTGGTTACTTCAGACATACCTTCAATGCAGACGGAGATGCCGCTACACTTACAGATAAGCCCAAACTTGGACTCTGCGGAAACGTCCCTGCAACTAGTTTCCACCACGACCAAGCCTTTTACTCCATGTCAAGACTCAATGTCCGATTTCGTTACTGTGCTTCCTTTCGAAAGTGATATATGGAATTTTGAGCCTGTGGATAATACATCCACTTATATCGAAGATCCAACGATCGAAGAAGCCAATACTGGAGAGTTGTCATTATCTAAATTTCTTGGATCAATCGACTCGGTATCTACTTTTCCGAACGAGTCTCAACTCACTTTCCTCCATTCTCTTCCAGCCACACTACCAGCAGATGGTATCGGGCTGAGCCCGGACCTTCCAGACATTGAAGACTGGAATACTTCTGGATTTGACGAAATTATGCCCGAATCAGTGAAACTGTTTTCGGTCAGAAAAGCCCCGAAACGTCAACTCTCTCTCAGCAGAAGCTACCTTCTATGTACCCTGCGGTCATACCCACATATGATGATTTCTCATCAGAGCCTTCCACCCTTCATACACCCATATTACGGTTACGGCGGCAATACATCTGGAAATGAAATCGACACTCACCAGTACGGGCTAGCTCCTCTCAACAACTGTGCTGCCATCGTGAAATGGTATTCTGCGAAGAACCAGGATAATATTGGATTCATTTGGAGAACTATAAGACTGGAGCAAGAGAGACTGTTGGCAGAGGTTGGCCCACTATTTTGCATTTACAAGCTTCTTTTGTTTGTTGGCCTTCTAACCGAGTTATAGTATTCACATTACAGTGACCAGGATGCTGTCGCTGCTCTTCAAGCTATAACAGTCTACTTTCTTCTCCGCATCTCAGAAGATAACGAAAAAGTCACAGATTTTGATATTCCATTAATCTATACTATGGTGGTACGTAAAGTCTTTGCGTCGGTTTTGAGATTGAATTTTTACTAATGAAGTAATATGATGAACAGGAGATAGCTATGAAAGTCAAGGGCATTATTAGAAAATACGACAATTCATCGTTTCGAGCTACTTGGGAAGATTGGATCTTGGCCGAATCACTACGCCGGTAAGAAATGTTTCCGTCATTTGCTGTCCACAAATTTCCAAGGACAAATCCCTGACTTCAGGTTGCTCACACCTCGTAGAACGATGATAGTGCTCTTCCTCATTGATCTCTTGTTCGACATAGCCTCGCCTCTACATTCGTACAAATGCGATGGGAGTTTGCTAAGAGGGCTATCCCTTCCATGCGGGAAAGCGTTGTGGATGGCTTCTACTAGAGATGAGTGGGAGGCAGAATACGCGGTGCAGCGTGAGAAAGCATATGGGAAGAGACAGTTGACTTACGGGGATTTGGTGAACTTTCATCATAGGGAAGAAGGTACTCTGGATCCCTGGTTGTCGCAACTAGACGATTTTGGGACCCTAGTGATGACTGCTACGAGTGTTCAGCATTGGAGTGAGGGTTAACAACAAGTTGATTACTCAAGAAACTTACTCATTGGCATTGGTCAGCTATTTTCTCCAGTGTCATTGATAGGTCGAATCTTGTGCTGGGAGTTTAATTGGTCGTGAATTTCAGAGAGAATAGTTCTGCCACGGCTCAATAGAACATCAATATAAAGGTTTCATTGGCTAAGATAATTATAAAGAGAGAAGCTAAAATGGATAGAAATCGAAAGTTGGGAATAACCTCAAAAGCACGGGCCATCTACTTGGCGAGTTTTTAGCACCGCGCCTCGACCCATAATGTGACAGGTCTTTCATTTTGGCAAATTCCATCCATCGATTATTCATTGCGCAACGTATTCACGGCCACCCAGGCAACTCCGCATGACGATATTCACAAGGGGGAACAATGTTCATCACATTCTTTATTCACGACTCCGATGTTTGGGTTCCCATGATTCAAAAACCCGTCCGTCAATCACTTGAATCTCAAATGCCGTGCTATCTCATTCCTTCAGCCGTCCATAAAACATCTCCAATTGCTCCCGCCTCCACCCTTTTTCAACCGATATTTCAACAACTTACCCTTCTCTACTCAAACATAAGAACAACCAAACACCATTCGGATCTTCAACCTCCAACTACAATTCGAAATCTTGCCTCAAGACCGAACAATATGAACGATCCCAGACGTGCTCTGCCACTAAACTCAAGACGCTCGGCCTTGAATTCGGAGCAGTATGCAACTAATAGCCAACGCATTCCTGGACAAAGCCCCAACGGTCCACACACAAACAGAGATAGCCCTTTTCCCAAAGGAAATCAACACTCACTGTCAAGACCAGTTTTTGGATCCAGGATGCCAAGCAGACTGGACGGCCCCCAATTTCAGGCCTATGATCCCAAACGAGCTGTCGGATCTAGGATGCCAAGCAGACTTGACGGTCCCGAATCCCAATCCCAAAGCACCCTGAAAACAAGCTACGATGTCAAGATGGCTACACGCCAACTTCAAATCGAGTCCCTCTCATCAGCGGAAAAGCACGAGCAAGATAAATGGGCGCAGTCGCAACTTTCACTACATTCGACTTGCGTGATGGGCATGAAATGGCTGAAGAACGTTGTTGGCTATCGGTGCAGTGGGGGAGGGCACCTTGTTACCAATGAGCTGCTTGCTAAAGGTAAAGGCGGACTTTATCACCATTGTAATGGGGTTTGGTTGGGGCCGATGTATGGTCAAGAGATTATGGAATCTATGTATGGTCGACTGGGGTTCCGAAGAGAACAGGAGCTTAGAGAGAGCGCTCGTCAGAAGGGTTTCAACAACCACAGTTTCTTAGTTAATAGGAGACGCTGGGCCGTATGACATGTCTGCAACTGTTAGCTCGATCGTGCGTGGCATTCAATCTAGTCCCTCGGAGGTTTTGAGAAGCTGCTCCTTGCCTTTAAGTCCCATTTTATCTGTTTAACGTGATGAAATAAAGCCAATGTATTTGCTTGATTCAAATTAAAAGTATCCGCGAAGGACAAGTACGATAGCTTAACTGTTACCTTGCGGTATATATCTAAAACATACTTTTTTTTGTTTCATTCTTCCGGGTTGATGCAAGATATCCAAATTCAAAAGGGGGGAGGGGCGGGGGGGTTGCACACGTGATCATACCATCAACAGCAAACTACCTACGCAGGTTTAAGGTTGAAAAAAATTATGACAACGCGCCGAAGCCTTCAAGCTCACCCGCACGGTTGTTTGGAGTACAAGTCGTTTGTGAAGGCAATAGTCACCTCAAAAGCGACAATGTGTCCTTCAGGGATATTCACGTTTCTGGTGCGGTGTCAGCCCTTACAGCGAGCGTTATTCGCATTCTCTGAATCATCAACAATCACAGAAGTTTTATAATCACTTGAAAATGACTACAAGACCCCCCTATGATTTCTATTTCAAAGCGAACTTCTTTCAAGAAACATGACAAGTTAACCCTTGACATATATGGACTTCATACACTCGACACTCGAACCCAAGAAGCTACACATCAGGAAGTAACCAACAGAGATCATGTCTCACCGTAGAGACGGACCCTCAAGATCGAGTGGAATGCGCATCAACGTCGGCAGCGACAGACAAGCTATTCCTTCAAGTCCTCCTGGCCCAACGACTTCATCTTGCATGCCCATTCTCGATCATTCCAGCACAACCAGAACCACCGTACCTTCAAATGCCCGTTCTCCAACATTAACCGTTGCAAATAATCTATCAAGTTTGGAGGACATTATTGCTCACCTAAATAGAATTTGAGAAAGTTATACCGTCATTCATATTCGACAGTTCTGCCCCTTCACTTTTCCACACATACCAAGTCTCCATTCACCGCCGCAAGATCTCACGACACCGCCCAGCCTATTGGTTTACAAGACCTTATATGTTTTATCCCCACAATTACCAATTCATCAACTCCAAAAAGCGCAACTCGTCGCACAAGAGTTTTACCCAACCCCCTCCTTCTCCAACCACACCACCCACGCCCCTCCAGCTTCAAAATCCACGTTTCCTGACCTCTCACATCTCAAATGCATCATGTCTTCAGCAACATATCACGGAAAGCCTTCAATGGCGGAAAAGAACCATTTCGAACGACGGGTCTTCCGCGAAGCCTGCCAACGCGTTGATGAACGACTTCTAACCATTCACCTATGGACGCTCAAGGAAGGACTTAAAGCCGAAGCCGAAGAGAGAGCACACCACTCGGAAATCACACACAGAGTAGGACTCACTGCGGAAGAACGGTCGGTTCGGGAGGAGATGCTGGACATCGTGCGACACTTACGCAGGGAGGAAAAAGCAGCTGAGCGCAAGTTTATGACCCCGCCCAAGACGAAGATAAAGTGCATCAAGTCTATGCTCTCACCAACGCACAAGGCCAAGAGACAGAGATCGAAGAAGTTGGAGAGAGTTGCTGTGGCAAGAGTTCACCAGGCAATCGATATCGACGGAGTGGATGCGGAGGCTTTCGAGAAGACAACCTGTGAGGCGAGGAGAAGATTGTGGTATTGGGGTATTAGGGATGGACCGAAATTCGAAATCATTGACATGATGCTGGAGATTCTGATGGGCAAGCGCAGAGTTCAAGATCACTATCTGCATGATTGGGCCACGGCACGACTTTCGAGGGGGTTGGCGGGCGTGAATGGGGATGAGAAGATGTTGGAGGAGGCGTATGAGCAGAGGTTGGATAAACTTCGGTTCAAGAAACGTGAAGACGAGGAGGAATTTGAGATGTTGAGTATCATGCTGTCAATGATAAAGGAGGGAAGGGCGGATGAGGGAGAGGTTGAGCCGTGCGTTGACTTTGGTGGATTGATGCCGAATTTGTACTTCGCTTGATATAGCCACACTTGCTATGCAAATATAAGACTGACGGCGTTTCCGTATATAACGTACGACACCAAGCAAGAAAGAAAATTGACCATGTGCGAAGCGAAAACGTTCCCTCCTTCTATTGGAGGTTGCGAGCCGGTGGAGAACAAGCATAACATATCATTGAGTAAATGTCATCTTGATATAATAATACCACCTTTCAGCATCCTACAAACTTGCTTCTAACAAAAATAAACTATCCATCTATGCCTAGAAGAAGCATATTCATACAGTTTAAACGACTGTGAAGATAGCTTTGACAGCAAATATACACTTGACAGCAAAGTCGCTAGTATCCTGTTTTAAACTTCGACCAAGCACATTGTCGTAACACTTGTCTTCTGACCTTTCGCTCCTGGTGAATTAATGATAATAATGATAATGAAACGTCAATTGATGGCATGTGTACAAGTTGTTGCATCATATAACTTGCAGAATGATAGCGTTGGACCACGGTTATAAACGGTTACTGCCACGAACGTGCCGCGATAGCGAGGTCGCCGCGCGGCGCCACTCAATCCTCAGGACGAGCAGGAGCTCATTCACAGGTTCGCAGGGAATACCACGTATAGGTGTTGAGTCTTCGTCCCCCGAACAAGCTACCATGGATTATCATACGGCACATCTGAATGTCCACCAGTCCCTCGAGAAGTCACAAAGACATATAAGAAATAACAACACATCAAAGAATATGCAAATGATCCACCTGAGACAAATAATATAGCCTGCGAATTTCCTGTATTAGCCGACGACACTTCAGTGTCACATCCTATAGTACCAGCTAGGAAGGAACTTGGAGGCTGGCAAACTTTAGCGGCACGGCCAGACATAATAGCCTATGAATATCTATCTGTTGGTGTCCGCTATTACTTGTTTGTCTCGAGCTGGGACAGTTAGTATGCATATGCTGTCACAGGCCGGTCACGTATGGTGCCGATTCCCCTGGATATATGTATAGTACAATAGCACTAAATTATCCCAACTTAGTTTTGACTCTTTTTGGGATGTTTGGCGCAATGGAAAAGCTATGCAAGTATACGGCCTGTAACATATGTCAAATGAAATCTAAATACAAAAAGTTTACCTCCTTTTACTAAACACCTCCTTCATTTCAGGGCTGTTCGCCAGCTTTTCCGCCACACCAATTTTCGCACCATACCTTAACAGGGCATCGGCAGCAGCAGCATTAGAGGCTATGACTGCGTGGTTTAAAGGAGATCCAGGACTAGGTTCGAATTCAAGGGATTCATTCAGGCCTCCGCAACTAGTGTCGCCATTGACATCTAGATCGTATTTCTTGATAAGATGACTGATTATAGCAACTACCTTATTAGCGTCGTGGCAACGAGTTGCGAAGTGGAGAGCATTGCTCCGAGAGTGTTTGGCACCGCGGGCTATAAGGTGGTTAAAGAGAGCAATATCGCCAGAAGCAGCAGCTTTATTAAGAATAGCACAAGTGTTATCGCGGCACATTCTATCTGCGCCTTTTACTGTTCGATGGCCCCTGAAGTTTATATCCAGTCCTTGGTCAAGCAACCAGTCTATTACGTCTCGACGTTCCCAGGCGTATCTGGTATAAGTGTTAGGTCTTGGACTAAGCTCAAAATCAAAGGAGACCTTTCTAACTCACAGCAGAACATTCTGTTCCGGCCTTTAGTGGAATTCATCTTAAACTCAGATAGAAGTCGGAGCATTTCGATAGAACATTTATCAACAATTAAGAACAGAGGGATTATCGTCAGATCAGCCCCTTGCTCAAGCAAAAAGCTCGCTGGTTCTAGTGAGTTGTGTAGGACTGCTCGTTCCAATAAGGTTTGGACCTCGGAGCTATTAAGCTGCCCAAAAAGCTCTCTAACCTGATACGTATCTCCGTTTTGGTAAGCCGTCCAGCTTTTCTTAAGGGAACCTCTCGTCATCTCGTTCTTATGTTTGCGCTGCAGAAGATGTCAAGGTGAAAAGGTAGATTATGATAGAGAGACGAGCACGGAAACATCTACTGCCGACCACAGTTCCAGAGGCAAACTTAAATAATAAATCTTTGAGATTAAAAGGTTAAAGGGTGAGTTTATTTTCGGAATGGTTGTATAGTAGACCTCAGCTCCCAATAAGGTTAGGTTTGCGAGTAGCTTTAACATATGGCTCGCAGGTTGCGGCCAGGAGTGAGGGGAAATGATCTATAAGCATGTCCCTGGTCCCTTCAGCTAGCGCCATATCAATCATCATGACAAGTCAGTCTCTTTACGTTGGATCTCGGAGAATAGTAGTATAAAGAGAATAAACAAACGTGGGAGCGTGTAAATACACATTCAGGATTAAAGAGGAGACTCTCTTCAACTCGATGCCAAGTTCCATCTAGAGCACAGAAACTATCAAAAGCCTAGGTACGGAGACTTGGTTCACAGTGTGAAAACGTTAACGAAAGCCTGGATATCATATACAGATCCTAGATATAATCCTAAATACCTTTGATCGAAACCTGCTACCAAAGAAATGAAGGAATTATTTCTCACTGGAAGTCCAATTCGCGGTGAAATTCGCGAGGTTGAAATCCCGTACGTTTTTAGTCACCCGTCAACGAATTCCGCGCGACTTATTCCTTCTAGAGTTCCAAAAGACGACGAGGTCCTAATCAAAGTCATTGCAACGGACTCAAATCCTAAAGATTGGAAGGTAACACTCAAGCGCACCTAAATCTGCCCATACAAACCCTGACCAGTCTGTGTCTAGGCGGCCAAAGCGGGCGAGTGGATGAATCAAGGCGATGACATCTCCGGAACCATCTACAGCACCGGCTCAGCCGTCACCGAATTCCACGCCGGCGACCGAGTCGCAGCACTCCATCGAATGTGGGATCCACACGGCGCGCACGCCGAATTCGCCATTGCTCCCGCAAGCACCACATTCCGCTTGCCGCCCAACACTTCGTTCGAAGACGGTGCGACGATTCCACTGTGTGCTATGACTGCCGCACTGGCTCTGTACCAGCATTTGAGAATCCCGCCGCCGTGGAACCCCGTACCAAAGGGCACGAGGTTCCCGGTGCTGGTGTATGGTGGAGCATCTGCTGTAGGTGCGTTTGCGTTGAAGTTCGCGAAGCTGTCGAATTGTAATCCGATTATCACTGTTGCGGGAGAGGGTATTCCTTTCGTGAAATCTTTGAATGCCGCAGATATTATTGTGGATTACCGACGTGGGAGTGCTGTGGGTGAGATCAGGGATGCTTTGAAAGGACAGGAAGTGCTACATGTATTCGATCCTATTTCCAACAAGGACAGCTGGGAACATATCCTGGCGGTGGTTCCACTTGATGGGCATAGAGCGCATATCAATAGCATTAATCCGCCGAGGGGAGTCAGTCCATGGCCACCTGTGGAGATGAAGGAAGTCAAGGGCTCACAGACTTTTATTTCGACAGCTTATGGCAGGTTGTCCCCGTGGGGTTCGGATCGTACTCTGGAGGAAGTAGGGTATGATGGCGAGTTTGCGTATGTCATGTACAGGTACGTACAAAGGTAATGGATGGGCTGATGGTCGAGGCTCATGCTACATAGATACATTTCGCTACTGCTTGAAAAGGGGAAGTTGACAGCCCATCCTGTCGAGGTTTTGGGAGGGCTTGAGGCAGTCGAGCGAGGGTCGATTTTGTTGTCTGAGAGAGCTGTGTCATCGAAGAAGCTTGTTTATCGGTGGGAACCATTGTTCTACTTTCGAACTATGTCTAACTTCTCATAGAATTTCTGATACACCGGGCATCTAACGATGTAGCGTTGATTTCATAACGAGGTGGGATGGTAGCCCGGGCTGAAAATGTAAGTGAAGTTGGACCCTGCGATGGCAAAATTTGGACTCATCATGCAATGACAAGTTTGGGGGAAATTGAGTAGGAATAGGAACAAAAAATGCATAGACAACGCAACGTTTGGAAAGAATTGCTAGACCGGTGAAAGGGTCACTAGTCTAATCGTGGTTCTCCGACCAAAGAATTGAGCAGCAACTCCTTCACCAAGCCTGAGAATGAAGTGACTGCACCCAACAGCACCTACCCTTGAAAAGTTCGACTATGATACATGCACCTGTTTCACCGCACCTGTTCCACCGCACCTGTTCCACCGCACCTTGACATCTTTGCGTGGTATTCGAAAAAAGAGAGACGCGTGGCGAATAAGCACTTTACGCGTGCGATTACCCCGCGACGCGAATCAATGCCGAGATTTGTCGTGGCGAGATGGGAGAATTCTCTTGTACGTACGTTGTGGTTGTGTAACTATACCTCTGTCATATAACCATTTGGTAAATCCATCAAGTGACACGTCTTAGATGAATAGATACGGTGCAATAATCCAGTTGAAACTCAACACGTTAGAATTTCCATCAGGAGGAGGCCTTGTGTGCTGCATTCTGTGAAGCGTGAATCCATAATCATTCCGAGGTCCCACGTGAGACGACTTTGCCACTTCAAGGATGATGTCTTACAGAGTTGTATTTATCGGCAAAGGCGCAGAGACCCTGTATCCCCTACTTCCCTTTTCTGTCGCATTTCCATTCCGACGTCCCCTCTGGCTCACCTTTCTCCCCCCTCATATCACGTGCTCGCCTCCTTTTGGAGTTGTGCGGCAGTTCCCGATCCCGGTGCCGACATGGATTTCCGCCAAACTTCATCGCTCATGCACAATGACGCATTTGAATTCGCTCGTTCCATCATGGTCAAGCAATGCCATGCAATGCAATACACACCAGCGCCGGCAAAGGCGATGTTGTCAAAAGACGGTGAGCGACTTACTCCGTGCTTCCTATGACGATGTTTGTTGCCAGAAGATAAAAGCCTCACATCTCGCGGACTTGAGACATACAGTATGACATGTTCGATATCACTCTTCCAACCCCCTTCCTCAGCGCAATATCAATATTTTGAACTTTCCTAATCAAGCGCTACCACTACCACTGCAACCACATCTCCTTCTTACTCCGTACAGCCATGGCTGGCCCATTCATCGGTCTAGCCCTCAACGGTGCCAATAAAGTCATTGATCAGCATTTCGACAAGCTGCCCGAACACGTTTTTCATCCCAATACCTACAGCGTCAAAAAGTCTAAGCGGCAGAGAGGCAAAGAGAAGACCCAGCGGCATCTCAAAGAGCATTACGGCGACTCTTCGTCCTCAAGCGCAAATGATGAAGCTGAGCCGTCTCCAGACGACGAGTTGGTTGCCGATGCACCCAGACGCTCTGGTGCCCCTCTCTCCAACCAACCCCCGCAGTACGTCGATTCTCCGATACATAGCCAACAACCGCCGCAGCCAAGGCGCGAATATATCCCTCGTGGAGCTCCTGAATCAATCGCAGGGTCATATACCGAACCTCCACCTCCGCGGTATCAGTATGACATTCCGCCGCCCATGAGCAGCGCTCGAGAATACCGACCCTCCGCTAGCTATTATTCTCCTCCCCCTCCACCCCAGAACATGGAGAGGGGCGCCCCAAGAGACCAGTTCAGCCCACCGCAATCACCTCCCCGAAGCCGAGGCAAAGACGCAGAACACTTCGAATACCCACGAATCCCAAAATCACAATACATCCCTCCACCCCCAATCGGCCACGAACACCCCAGATCCCGCAGAAGCTCTGCCTACATCCCCCCACCGCCCGTCCAGCTTCCACCTCAACGCCGACCCCGCGGCCGCAGTCTGCACGGCGACTCTCCCTCCGACTCCCACACCTTGCGCCGTCCCAAGCCCGTTACCCGTCGCAGCAGTTCCTACCACCACTCACCCCGATCCCGCGACTACGGCTACGTGACGGCCAATGATCGGATCCGGGAACGCCGCGACTATAAAGCTGAGAAGAAGGATATCTTTACGGATAGTGGTGCGGGGCTTACGGGCGCGGCGGCTGGTGCGCTTGCGGGCGGTTTGGCCGCGAATCAGGTGCAGAAGGGAGGGAGGGGGAAGGAGGATCCGAATGTGCTGATGACGTTACTTGGGGCTGCTGTTGGTGGGTTGGCGGTTAATGCAGCTGTGGATAAGATGGAGGAGAGGAAAGAGGGGACGGAGAGGGTGTTGCATGGACGGAGCGGGAGTGGGAGTGTCAGAAGTCATCATAGTCGCCGACATAGGGATAGTAGGGGGTATGGGAGTGATGATGCGGGGAGTCGGTTCGATGAGGGGCTGAGTAGGACGGGGAGTGGGAAGTCAGGGACGAGGATGAGGGTGAGGCGGCATAGGGAGAGTTTTAGGGGCTATGGGAGTGATGGGTATGAGTGATGATGTGTTATGAATCATGATTTATGAGACATGAGACTTGCATACCTTAGCTAGCAGCTGTATTTATTGTGTAAATAAATCCACCACCTTCTTCATACAGCATTAAACCTCCCTGTGAGGTAGTTATTGAAATACATGGTATATATCATTCAATCTCTAAGACTCCATGGTCAGTCAGTCAATAAGTGATTTTAATGCCGTCTAACCTACCCTGAAACCATCTCATTCACACCTCAGTGCCATTAAACTCATGCCACAATCTTGTTTGCATCCGCTTCGTAAAACGTTCAATTGAAAGATCTATAAACACCGCAAACCGTCAAGAGTATTGACATCCACAGAACCCAAGTTGAGGAAACGCAAGTGGCGCTGGTGTAGACAATAGATAATGAAGGTCCAATAATCGCATTTTGCAACGAGCATGTGGTAGATTTGGCAGCAATAACTATTGTAATTTCCAAGAGACGTTGGGGAGGGCGAGAAAGAATGGACAGTAAAGGAAACATGGAGAGTTGGATTCAACCAGTTACAATATCAATGAAGAATGAGGTGGTTTCCTTGAATCCGAGCTTCAAGGGCGCCACTGGGTTGACTTTGCTGTTACTGTCCAGATTAGTTCATGGATTTGTGAACAATTTATATTCTAGGTTTTGAGAATCTGTCTAGTAAGTCATGTTAATCATAATAGTCTTCCTCTCCGTAAAAGCCTGCAGCGCATCCTTCCCACATTCGCGTCCCGAGCCACTCTCCTTAGAACCGCCAAACGGCACACTCAACAACATCAAACTCACACAATTGATGCCCACCATCCCGCTATCAAACTCACTCGCCACCCTCAAAGCCTTATTGATATCCTGCGTGAACACGCCAGCCATAAGCCCAAAGTTGGTATCGTTCGATTTCTCGATAATCTCTTCCTCGGTCTTGAAGGAGTTCAGCACAGCGACGGGACCGAAGATCTCCTCGGTGTGGATCTCGGCATCTGCTGCAACGTGCGTGAAGACCGTGGGCTGGATGAAAAATCCCTTGTCGCCGATTCGGGATCCGCCCGTCAAGAGTGTGCCTTGGCCGTTCTTGCCGCGCTCGATGAAGCCGGATACGCGATCGAATTGCGCTTTGTCGACCAGAGGACCCATGACTGACGTTGCTGCATCTGGGTCTCCAATAGCCTTGGCTCTCTCCTCAAGAGCCTTCTTGTAGCCCTCGGCAAATTTGTCATAGATGCCTTCTTGCACATAGATCCGTGTGGCGGCGAAGCAGACTTGGCCGGTGTTGGCGGTGATGGCGTTGGCGGCCCAGGTGATTGCGTTTTCGAGGTTGCAGTCGTCGAAGATTACAGCGGGGGATTTACCTCCGAGTTCGAGGGTTACGCGCTTGAGGTTTGACTTGGCGGCGGCTTCTTGGATGCGTTTTCCGGTGGGGATGGAGCCCGTGAAGGAAACCTTGCGGATCTTCATGTGGCTTGAGATGAGAGCACCAGTCGTGCCATCTCCTGACAGAACCTGGAAGACACCTGGTGGGAAACCGGCTTCGATGATGAGAGGTCCCAGTGCGAGGGAGGCGAATGGTGTCTTCTCTGACGGCTTGAGGATGAAGCAATTTCCAGTTGCCAAAGCTGGGGCTGCCTTCAGACCAACTGTGCCCAGAGGACCGTTCCATGGAACAATGCCAGCAGTGACGCCAAGTGGTTCATTCCTCACAATCTTGAGAAATCCATCGTCTTGTGGAAATGACTCTCCGGCAAATTTATCAATCCAGCCAGCATTGTATTTGAAGGCCTCGGCGCAAGCACCAACCTCAAACTTGCCGAACGGTTCGTACGGAGTACCCAGGGTGATTCGGGAGAGTTCAGCGAGAGTTTGGCCGTGCTGTTCGACCAATGAAGCGAACTTGAGCATGATGTCTCTGCGGGCAGTGGGTGCAAGCTTCTTCCATGATGGAAAGGCCTTTTCACCTGCACTGACTGCGGCATCGACATCTGTTTCACCGGCGAGGTCGACATCGTTGGCAACTAGCGAACCATCTTTTGGGTTGAAGACCTCCAATTTCTTGCTGTTCTTCGAAGCAACATACTTTAAGAAGCTATTAGTCGTACCCAGTTTCTTCGGAGCCTCACGGACTTACTTCGTTGTTGATGAATAGCTGCTTTGGGAGATTCGACTTGCTAAATGAGAACGCCATCTTGAGTTTGTGATGGAGACCTTTGATGGGAGGGGTAGCAAGAGATATACGCGCGACAAGATAAAAAAAAACGCTTTGATTCTTAACCCGCGGGTATGTTTACGCTTGCACTACTTGAAAGCATGCTGTACCTCCGTATCCCTGAGGGTATTATCCTCCGTAATATGCATGTTTCCACATTATACGCCTTCACCAGGTTCATATGGACTCCGGCTCGCGGGAACCTCCTGATTCTAGTATATAAATACTCCTTGGGGGTTTACTCTCCAGATAAGGTGTCAAAGGATTTCATTCAGCCAATCAATACCTTGTTCTACCCACGTCAGAATCCTTGTCCAAACTGAGCAAAATGCAGATTCAGTGACAGCACCCTGTATACTTAGTAAAACAGCACTTAGCGTGTCTTTCAGCCCACTCTTTAGTGCCAAAGCTCACCGCCGTAAACGTGGGCATGCACTAAGATCCTTATCTATATTAGAGCCTCGAAGATATCACTCCGAATGGCTGAGCCGCTCTTCAATCATGCGGTACGGACCGTAGCTGGATCCCTCATGAAGCGGTCTTAGCTGGTTTTGTTATATTATATTAAAAGTTTGTCACCATAGGCATTTTAGGGCGGCCATTTATTTGATTGGCTGCAGGTAGGGCGGATTGGTGACCTCAAAAACACTACTGATTTACCCCTGTCTTAGACCCGTAAAAGGCGGGGCAAGCCGCTAAGGCGTATGAGCCCACCCCGCTTCTTATCAGAGGTTTGTCACCAAGGGTACCTTAGGGGCAATAAGGGGCTTGGTCACTATTCTTTTTTATAAACACCACGTGGGTGACTTTTCTGCGGCTTATCAATATATAGTTCCTTCCTCCGTATACAGTAATTAATCGCCTACGCATAATAAGCAACCGTTGACTAACCCGTTTCGGATCGTTGAGAAACCGGGTGCGGAGCCGCAGCCCCTGCTATAGCTTCGTTTTCGCATCTTCATGTGCAGCATATACTAGTGTGTACACCGCCCTTTACTAGCAACTTGAGGATAAAATTACTTAAATCAACTGATTCTAGCCCTTTTGATGGACTTCTACTTAACAGTTGATTAGAGAGATACATTGTTCTAGGCTCTGGCTAGTACAACGGCGAGCTCTAAGATAGATAGATAGGGTTAGCTCGTCTCTATTGATAGCTGTACCTCTCGTCTATAAACAATTAAAATCGCAATTATACTGGATTAGATTCTAATTAATTATCGGTTTTAGAGATCTAACTCAACGCTAGCTTGCTAACATCGCTGTTCCTCCGCCACTATAAACTTGAAATTTCTTAAGTCCTATAATTTCTACGAAACGGTGAAGCTTATAGCCATATAGCCATCAGTCAGTTCCTAAAAAGATCCCAGCGAAATATCGTACGGACTCTACGGAGTAAAGTGGGTGGATGTCTTTATTGTTCCGGGGCGGGTCTGCTTCGGAGAGATTTCTGCTTCGTACTTCGTACCGTATCTCGTACTCGGACGCTTGCTCGCTTGCTAGTGCAACCTAGAGTTACGCGGAAGATTTGGGCGGTTGGGAGCGATGATTTTATGAAGGATTATGTACGGGGACTGGGAAGTGGATTATCTGCTTGTAGCTTATGCAACATTGCTAGGATAGCCATCCTTGTAGCTCTTGGTTTGAAGTGAGTTTTACCTATCCTGCTTGAAGTTGGTTACTAGTAGAAGATTCCCCACGTGAACTATTAATGAAATCTAAGTTGAGAATGATGTTAATGCGGTTAAAAGCATATTTAATTTGGTTGAGCGTTTAGAAAATGCAGGGTGTTGATTATTGAGGCTATTAGAATAGATACTTATCTCCATAGAGAAACGCAAATTTAATCAACAAGTAAAAGAAGCTCTCTAGGTCTCTCAAAATCCTACAGTAAAATCGCACCGCGCCAATCCCAATGATAATTCCATGTGCTCATAAATCAATTAAGTCATATAACATCTCACTTTCCTAGCAATAGAAGAGAATTCAACCCCAGGTTAAGTCTTACCCAGGGTCTAGGTCGAGAAAAAACCCGGGCTATCTTCCAAACGCTATGCCTCGAAGAACTCGTCGTATCCTCACTATTGCTGTTCGCATCCATTGTTAAGCCTAGCCTGTTCCTTCTGAAGCCTGTCTTGCGAAACGAACATCTCAGAACACGTCTTGACATAGTCATAGACATCTGCAAGGGTGCTGTTCTCAAGGTCAACAGAGTTGGCAATTCTCTCGCGGAACTCCTCGTCGTAAATGCCTCTCAGATAGGTGGTGAGGACGCATATGTGGACGTAGTGCGACGGGTTGACACTAAGAAACGAGTGCAATAGTCCATCGTACATGTTTTCAGCTGCCGGCTCGGTTTCGGGAACGTTGTAGTTCTTGTCTTCGAGGTTGAAAGCGTGGAGAGCTGCAAGGGCTTGCTGGTAATATTCTTCTGCGGACGTATTCTCGCCTTGTGAAAGTGCCCTGAGTTGTTCTCCGGGGCTTCTTCGTTCGCTGGGGTCATTCAGGCGTTTGGATGTCTTCGGTTCCCCCAGGCTAGTCTGCTTTGCCTTTGCTGGGTTCTTCTTCTGCTCTGCTGGTTCCTCTTCGGCCTCTGTAGTTATGGAAGACGGAAATCGGCTCCACAGCATATTCACCATGGTGTCGAGATCATTCTCTGTAATGTCGTCTTTGTTTATAATTGACTGTATAGGTGCTGACCTTGACAAGAAGGCTGCAGCAGTACCAGATGTCCTGAATTCAATAATCTCGACCATAACAGCTGCTGGTGGCGGGATGACTACTCCTCCGATGTCATTGTTAGCTCTCAAACGTAATATGATGCCACGGAACCACCGGCGTAAGTCTCCATCAGAGAATTCTGGTAAGGCCTCGAGAGCTGGCATCCTGAAAGACATGGTGGTGGTTGGAAGAGAACTGGTGGATGTATTGTCGGGATATTGTGTTTGCTCTGTTGGCGTCTTGGACGTAGAAGCGGATGAAGAGGTGGGAGTAGTTGTAGGAATTTTCATACTCGTACTTGGGGTAAATAGGTAACTCGGTGCGCACTGGAAGATCTGTTAAGTATTTGATAATGGTTGGTTGGGGTATCTGGCTTTTGATTTGTAGACAAATATGAAGAGACTTCTTGTAGTTTGGGAAAGGGCGTGTATAATGCGGTCTAAATACTGTAAAGGTAGTGGCGAGACCACAGGTGTGAAGGCATTCACATAGGGGAACAAAGACAAGAGGGACGTGATTGTATCGAACTGACTGCATGTTAAACTGTGAATGTAAAGTTGGTGGTTCAATCAAATGCTAGAGAAAGCTGACTTGGAGTGAATCTCCGGTAGCTCGATTTGGAACAAGATCACCTGAAAGAGGCCTTACGGGTGATTTGTACGCAAGTATTAAGTGTAAAAGTAGAAGATGACATGCATGTCAAATGTGTAGTCTGGTTGTGGTTAAAGATCTGGTAATGGTCTTAGTTTTCTCCAAGTCTGGAGTCAACAAATCCCACGGCGGAAAACGATTTGCAGGAAGTTTTAATGGAAGTGAATAGCGGGGTAACTCTAGTTACACATGCTTCGTTGTAAAGTGGAGACACAGCACTGGCGGTGGTACAAAGTATTCTTCCTTGTAATCTTATGAATATGTGCAAAGAATAACATAGCTCCCGAACCAAAAGATAAACAGCAAGACTGATCGTATTTACCTCAGTTGTTCAACTCTCAGTACCTCTGACTCCCTGACAAAAGGGAAAGATGTCGAAATCAGCTCTCGTATTCGGTGCTAGCGGAGTGTCTGGATGGGCATTCGTCAATGAGATTCTCCATGACTACCCCAAGAAAGGGACATGGAAGAAAGTCCATGCCTTGACCAACCGACCATTGAAGCACAGTGATTCGCTTTGGCCAGACGAAGAGCGACTGAATATGGTGTCTGGGATCGATCTGTTGAAGGGTAGCCAAGAGGACCTCGAGGGTGCTTTGAGCTCAGTTGATGGAATCAAGAACGTCACACATGTTTTCTACCTTGGTAGGTTATACCCAACAGAAGACATGGACGCGTACTGACAAGACATAGCATACAAAGCTTCGACCGACTTCGACCAAGAGTTCAAAGATGCAGAGAGCATGTTTCGGCGCGCTACTACGGCCATGGACCATTTAAGCCCAGCTCTCGAGTTTGTTGTCTTGCAAATAGGCGCGAAAATGTACGGCTGTCATCTTCTGGAGAACCACCCCGCAGATTATATGCCGGTACCCTTGAAAGAATCACACCCACGTCTCAAGCCCCCATACTCGGAGAAACTGTTCTACCATGCACAGCTGGACTGGATCACCGAGTACGCCAAAGACAGACAGTGGAACTGGTGCGATACTAGACCGGATATCATCATCGGATTTGTGCCAAACCAGAATTTTTACTCCTTGGCAACTTCGATTGGTTTGTTTCTTTCGCTATGGATGGAAGTTGAGGGCAAAGGCTCGACAGTCGCATACCCCGGATCAGAGGCTGCGTGGGTAGCGAAATCGAATGACAGCTCAAGTGACATGATTGCAAGGCAGACCCTTTATCTGTCTACAACGCTACCCATATCTCAGAAGGGAGAAGGTTTCAACGTGGCAGATGCAAAGGAGCCTATGTCCTGGGAGACAAAATGGCCTATAATTTGCTCCTATTTTGGGTTGAAAGGCACTGGGCCTCCTGTAGAGGGAGCAGCGAACGAAGTTAGGACATACATTAAGCAGAACATTGGCACTTGGGAGATAATGGAGAAGAAGTACGGACTGAAGAGTGGTCTTGCGGATTCGGATTGGAAGATCGTGGGGTTTGAGTACTACTTGCTCACGTACTTTGGATTTGACAGGCAATATGACATGACGAAGATGTATAGCACAGGTTTCGAAGAGGAGAGGGACACTATGCAGGCTTGGGGAGGGGTGTTTGATCGTATGAAGGCAGCGAAAATCATACCATCTTAAGAATATACATATGGCTTTTTGATCAGACTACCCGAAGTACCTCAAGGGGCGCGAAATTGAGTAGACTTGGGGACTGGAATGGCGGTGAAATAGAGATGGTGGTGCTATTGTAAGCGTTGGCGACCACGTCACGCCACCTCTCGCGACAGAAGCTCAGAGCTACACAATAAAACAAAGTTCAACGTACCTAGCATTGCAGCCACACAGTGACCAAGGAATCAGACTATGGATCGCAGATCGTCTGCCATATATTTGCTAATATTGACTCTTTCCCGTGAATACGCAGAATCTTTCGAGTCGAATATGACGCGCCTGTCTCGCACCTCCAGACCCATAGCCCGATGTTTCGACAGCCCTCCAAGACATCACAAATCGATCAAGTCACTTTCAAAAACTCCTCTACTATTCATATCAAAACATACGGGGGCATGTAATGAGGCATCGGTGGTAGAATGGGGACTGGGTGGAGTTGGGACGCGTCGAAGCTCTCGTCATCCTCTACTTCGCACCGGAGATATGTTAGGATGCTCGCAGACTTGCCGATATGTTTATCGACAAAGAGACCGATCGGCAGTCTTTGGACGTCTTGATGCTATCCAAGTAGACCAGCCGCTTCAGAATTCTCAGGAAATCTCCAAGCCCAGAGGACATCTTGACACGTGACACAAAATCACATACTTGTTCTCTACAAAGGCTTTCTGGCTTCCAAGATTAGTGTCCGGGGCAGGTTTTGTAATCATCCCGAAACAAAGGCATGATATGCATGCATATGTGTTGACAGATCTGGATTACTCTCCATATGTCTATCATGTGACTGTCTCAGCGCGTTTGCCATTTTGTCATCTATGTGTTTATCTCTTCTTCTATTTCCAATTCCATCGAACTGCAGCACTCACAGAAGTTCTATTGAATGTGGCTTCCAGAGAAACCTTCATATTTAAGTCAACCAACGAACACTCTCGATCTGAAGCTCGATATCTACACACGAGAATCATGGTCACAGACCAAAGTATAGGATGAACGTCAACCAATAGTTTTGTTCTTCCATGGAGGCGGCTATTTTGGCTATGACCGAGAACATCTATCCCCACACATCGTTCAGTCATGCCTCTTACGCGGCTGGCCTCTAATCAGCCCTGATTATCGAACATTACCCCAGTTTTGTTTTGGAGAGGACTGTCAAGACAACGATTGTTGCCAATGCGCAGTCTTGATGTAGCGTTCAGTCCCCAAATCTCTTGTGTGGCGAACTATTTTCCCTGTGGCACGTATTACTTCTTTTCCAATTCTTGACATTGTGTTTAGTTTGTTTTGATATACGGTACGGCACTTGGGTAAGTCCGATGGTTGAGAATAACTGCATTAGCAGCAATGCAAGACTCAATGATCTTGCGGTGACTGCTAAGTAGAAGTGGGATACTGGAAGATAATTGGGGCACTACCTTTACCGGAAAGAAAGCAAAAGGTACGACGAAAGAGGAGATGGCCGATCTCTGATCACAGGTTCTGTATTCGGACTAACATCAAGAGCTTGTTTGAAATGAGGAGTTTTCATCTTCTCAATATAAGGCTCAAACTTCGAGCTATAACCCAAAGGACTTCTCCTGAAGTCTGGAAATCAAATACTCCCTTGTGCTTATATGATATGTTCCTTTCATTCAAGCGGTTCAAGGCATCTAAAGTTCTATCACTAGTTCGCAGAATAGCCACCATCAACCAGCAGAGCACTCCCAGCCATAAAACTTGCCATCGGGCTCGCCATAAATACAATCGCATCAGAAATTTCCTCCACCTCAGCCAAGCGACCCATAGGCGTCTTCGCAATCTCCGGGTCCATCGAGCCACGTTCCGTGGCTAGTTGAAGAAGCGGTGTTCTTACGTAACCTGGGCAGATGGCGTTGATTCTGATGCCGTGAGGGGCATATGTTATCGCATCCTAAAGCGTCAAGATCTATTAAATGCCAATACCATGATGTAAAGGTGCGGGTCTGAGAGGATTCTGTATGGTACTTACACTTCGAGTAAGGCCAATGACTCCTGGGAACGATATCAGATTACGAGATAGATTTTCTTTTCGGGAGAGACAACTCACCGTGCTTGGAAGATGTGTATGGGGTTGCTGGGATATCAACCGGCGATGCGATCAAGCCGTACATAGAAGCTACGTTGATGATGCTTCCCCGTCCTTTCCGAATCCCCAAGTTCCTGCCATCGTACAAGTTAGCTCCTCCATAACCATATATTCACCAATTCCTTCGCTTTTCCAGCCCAACTCGTTCAATGGAATCTCAACACTCACTCTTGCTTCATCATCGCCCTCACCTGCGCCCTCTGACTCCTCCAAACCCCATTCAGATTGACATCTAACACACTCGTCCAATCCGACTCATCAGTAGCATCCGTTGCCTTCCCCGCCCCCGAAATACCAGCGACGTTAACCGCAACGTCGATTCTCCCAAACCTTTTTACCGCTTGTGTAATACTATAGTCTACAGCTTTCACATCGCGAACATCAAGTTGCAGTGACTCGATTTCCACGTCTGCATACTGGGATTTGAGAGCTTCAGAAGTCGCCAATAAATTCTCCTGGCTGATGTCTGTAAGCGCAAGACGTTTGATCCCATGTCTTGCCAAGCCGAACGCCGTTGCTCTCCCAATTCCTGATGATTTTTATGTCAGTGTCTATCTGTCTATCGCATTCCAGATACAAATAGGTAAAATGATAAAAAAAAACGCACCAGAAGCACCGCCTGTGATATATGCAGTTCCCTTTAATAATGTTGCCGTCATTTTTGTGGCTTCTTTGTCTTATACGGAGGGTTTGACAGGAAACCTTGGATATATAGGAGCTCCACTGAGTGCACTATTGTAGGACCTGGTAGGATAGATCCACTGTAACTATAGCACGTGGATCTTCAAACGTGGGATTGAATCCTTGACTTCCAGGGGCTTCATGCAATGTAACAGTGTGATAGCGCACTTCACTTCCAAATTGTGCAATATCAATTACGAGTAGCTAAAGATGGAGGTAGTGGTAGGAGGTGGAGGGGGTATAATACATCCATTGTTAACAAGCCTAAGCCAGAGCTTTTCAGCAATACACAATTGAATATGCTTCTCGACATTAACCGTTACTCCTTTCGAACTTCGATTTTCTCACAACCCGTACCGTGTCATATCTTAATTTTCCAAGCATGCAGCATAGTTCTCCCAAGTAGCTAGACGCTGGCCCCTTCCTTTCATTTTCATTGCGTTTTGAATAACGCTCGTCTTCGCGTCTTTCTTCATCGATAAGTTGATTCCTAAAGCGGCACTAATCAAGCGACGAGCAACCAAATCTGTGGTTTGTGGTCGGCGACGGGGTAGTGAACTTCCCGGCGAACTCTCTGCAGATGAGTATCCTGTCTTCGGTGAGGTGGTAGATGTAGTGGGTTGAGGTGGAATTGAGGAACTGGTGAACGGAGATGTGTGATGCTTGCTGATGGTTTTTTTGGAGTCGTCAGAACTGGGCGGAGTATTCTCTTTGGATCAATGGCCATGCTCGTGAACAAATCATGATACTCTTGACTAGCTGCTGAGTCTGCGGGTTTTGTACTAGTTACACTGTTCTTCGGGATTAGGACGGCACTTCCTGCACTTCCTGTCATATCTTCAGCCACTTTCCCAAATTTCGAGGATCTTGGGGGGACAATATCTTGCCCTCGTTGGTCTGATGGTGGATATTTTTCAATATGCAAAACATTCTGAGCTCCGAGATCGCTGCTATTGACTACAACATCAGATTCGGGAATAAAAGTAGTTATTTCGGTTCTCTGATGTGGCAGTTGGGGCTGCTTGCTCGTTGCTTTGAACAATTCTTCAGCAGTCTCCTCCAATCTCTTGGTTAGCGGTAGATCCGTGGACACGAAAGAGTTGAAAGAAGTGTTCGTGGTTCTCTGGTGTGGGAGGGGCTTGCTTATTGCTTTTGACAAATTTCGAACGGGCTTCTTTGCTCTTCTGGTTGGCGGTAGATCCACAGACGTAGAAGAATTGAGAGGGGTGTTCTTTGTCCCAACCTTCATGCTGGCGAAGAGATCATGCCATTCCGGACGTGCAGCAGCGAACTTGTATTTCAGCGGGGTTGTGACAGCGTTTGGTATTGGTATGGCTGTTTCTGTCTGAGCTTCTCCCTGCATCTCAATCATCGTTGGAGTCGCAGAGGTAGGCTCTGCTATTATCTCCTCCTGAAGGGGACATCGAGGCTTCAAGGGGACGATAGAAGGTTTCTTTGCTCCGATTGCCATGCTCACAAATAGATCCTGGTATTCCTGATTGGCAACAAGGAACTTGGACCTTTGTGCAACTGAGGTGTCGCTTTTTGTTGGTCCCAAAGGCTCTATGGTAGGTTCTGTAGCCGTAGGAGTTGCCCCTGGATGAGGTATCGAAATTGGAGCATGAGGAGGACCTCCTTTCGCTCCCACGACCCTGCCGGTGAAAAGAACGGAGTTGTGGGGTCTGGCCCGTTTTGCGGCAGTGTATTTGTAGGGTGGAGGTATTGGTGTTTCCTCAGCCTTGAGTACTGGACAACCATCCCTTTGCGTAGGAAAAGGCCGACGAAGATAGATCCGAGGAGCCATCAGGACCGACTGGGGAGATCCTTGGTGTGTGAATGGTAGTGGCGAGGTGAGTATTGACGTGCTGAAAGGCGCGAACGAAGGCGACGCTATGGACTCAAAGGCAGGCCTGATGTTCCCGAGGTGGCCCAATGAGTGATTTTCTTTCCTAGTATATACTGTGCGAAATAGTGGTGCTGGCGTTGTCTCAAGAGAAACTTTCCAAAGAGGAAGGATGTGATACGACGATCGAAGTGGCTGTATGAATATTAGCCGAGTGGTCTTGGTGATCTAATGGTGATTAAAATCTGTCGTGTTAGAATTGTTGCTAACCGGCAGAGTTTGTGCTGTGCCAGTGAATGTTTACTTTTGTTGCTGATTATGAAACCCCTTTTCTGTCACCTCTTAGCGAACAGCATGTGATGTACGGTATCTTTATCCGTCGGCTGAGACCTATTTCTGTCTCGATTGGGTAGAAATAGTATTCTTTCCGGTAAAAGAGATCTGGAGTTTGTTGTCGATTCACCTTTCTTTGTGAGAGATGCTCTTCATCGCCCTATGTGGTAGTCACGCTTCACACCCATCACATGACTTGAGCACCTTCCCTCACTCAAAGACTCCATTTCCATTTGCCTCAGAATGGTCCGCAACAGCTGGAACTCTTATTATAAGAAAAGCCTCAGGCTCTGACTGAAGATGAACATCCATACTCTGCAAGCCATGAAAACGAAAAAAACTCACCCACCATTCAAGACTCATAGAAAAACAATAGGTTACCTACCTACCCTTCCTGTAACACCCCATCTCCTCCATTGTACACGAAAAAGAATCTGACATCTCACAAACCCTCACAAGCAAACTCCCACTCCCACTCCCTACGATAAACTACTACATCTAACGTTGAATGTCCCGCCTCTCTCGCTACCAAGAAACAAAATATACCATACGTACCTACCTAGATACATCGAATATGCGAGATTACGGCGTAACGCCATCCGTTCCTGAACATCACTCTCTCGTGAATCATAGCTCGTGTGCAAGGGGTGTACTATAACGTAGTTGGATGCGAGAGGTGGAAAAGCGGACGGAGGTGGGGTGGGGTCCTGAGTTTATAGGATGGGATTGCGGGGTATGGACAAGCAAGCGGCTTAAGCGGATATGTACGGAGTATGCACGTCGTGTAACATGGGTGCAGGGTCTTGAGATTAGTTCCTTATAGGTGCAGTACCTACCTACCTAGCTTACTCATTGTGTAAGGTATGTGGATGTAGGGGGCGGGAGATAGCCATTGTGGGGCGGAGGTAGATATATGCCGGGTCTTAAGCTCTGCTCGTGACTTTTATTGGTGGCGAGAGATATTGGTTGTGGGGTTCCGGGCTCACTGTTACTCTTGACATCTAGTGATGTGAAAGGAGTAGTACTGTACGTTTCTTCAGTCGGGAAGGAGAGTGCGGTGGTAAAGACGATGGTTGTGTGTTATAGCACAGGTTTGATGGAAGCTTTTCTCGAGAAGCAATAGATGCAAAATGTCACTGCTAAAATGGAAGAATAATGCAAATACCTTGAGTCTCTGTTGTTACACGTGATGACCAACCCTTCCTTTCAAATCGAAGACGAGGGTCGTCAACAAAGGCAGATCCCTCGGGATATACCGCTTGCCCAAGAATGTCTCCTCCTTATCCTTCTCAGATCGTGTCGATGCAATATGACTTGCTATATGTCACGATCCGGAACCTCGCGCCGCTCATCCATCACTAAGTTAACAGCCAATCCAATCGTGGCTTTACCCTAGCCTTTGGTACACGTAAAATGGGACATTCTCCTATTCTGCACGCATAGACTATTTCAAGTCATTTACATCCTGCAGAATCACCAATTCGGTTACGAAGCATCTTTTCGGGCTTGTACACTTCTTTTCAGCCACCAAGATACGCTCTTCGACGCATTTCAGCTTCACGGAGGATTTCTGCTCCAAGACCAAGGCTGGGCGCCAGATGCGCGTACCGCTCGATTTCAACGACAACGTCATTGATGATGGCGTCGACGGCGTCAAGGTGCGGAACGAGCGTTGAGAGGATGCCAGAGAGGGAGGGAGACATGGTTGCGCCCATTATGAGGAGTGTTTGGGATATAATTGAGAGGGCGCCTTGCCATAGATACGGTACGTGTCCGGCGTGGCTTCTGGATGTCAGTAAAGTTTGGAATTAATGCGCTCTAAGACTTACTGCGCCGTGATGTGCTCCAGCTGCCGGATGGCTGCTTCGAGGCATTTGCGACAATTCTCCCGCACTGATGGGTCCATTGCTGCTTGCTCGTTGTCCAAAACTGCGAGGATATATGGTCTATAAATGATTGTGCGGCAGGCAAAATATCGCAATCGCAGTACGGTCTGTACAGGATCTTGCAGCAAGGAGCGATTGTAGGGGAACTGGAGCGCTTGAGGCAGGCTCTCATACCATTGCGCTAGTTGGAAGTCCAGTTCTGCAACGACCGGCTCGAGACTCTGAGTTGAGGACATGGAATCTTTCGAGTAGATGAGCTGGCTGACACGATTGAGAAGTCTTCTCAGAGCGATTTCGGCGAGGAAATACCATAGCTCGTCGCGACCAACACCCTCCTCTTCCTCTTGTACGAATCCTCCTGGGAGTCCCACGTTCTCCTCGAATTGGACAATTCCGGAATGAGGTAGGTCCAGCTCTGCAAGTAGGTCGCTCTCGAAGAGCAGTGAATTCCAGTAGACTCTCTCGCATAGTTCCTTTTGACCCGCTGGAATTCTTCCCGGTGCACTGAGAAGGAGTTGCAGCTTCGTGCTTGTGCTGCTGAGCAGGGTCCAGGCTTCCAAAGGTCGTACCAGATAGAAGAGGTATGCGGAGGCAAGAATGGTGCATTGTGCTGAGAGTACTGAACTCCTCATCATCAGTGCAGGAAGAAGACCCCATGCCGCGGCAAAGTATGTCAGTCCAGGGGGATCCTCATTGCTCGGCAGTCGGGAGATACTTCCACTGCAGCTCGCTTGACCCAAAGCCAAGACTAGCAAAACAATGCAGCTCTCTGGTCCCTCACGAAAACCATTCGAGAGCGCGATGCGGTAGTGACTTCTCCAATTGAATGGATTGACGCAGGCATACCAGACATTGACCTTGGCGAAAAATGCTTCAATGTATGGGGACGTGTTGGAAAGGTCTAGACAAGGTGTTTTGGACAGCACCAGAGGACTACGTGCCATCTCGAGCGAAAGAAGTATCTGGGGATCGTAGGGTCTTTGGACCAGATCACAAATAAGAGGCCACTGAAGCAGATGCAAAGCTGCGTTTGTATGTATCTTTGGCATTGTTGAAATGTTGGTGGGGATCGTCCAGCCAAGACCATGACCAGGCGCTGGAAGAATTGAAAAGGTCCCGTTTTCATTTTGCACCATCACCTCATCATTGCTCATGGTAGTCCCACCGTTGACAGATGGAGTCCCAGTGGAAAGGGCCATATTAGATCTTTGGCCGACAAGACTTGACTGAAGTAGTCCTTCGATTCGAGTCAGGTGCTCCAGGATTAGCTTATCACCAGCATCAAGTTTGATGCCTGGTTCTCGATAGATGCACTCAGCCCCCAGCTCCGTGCAGAGCTTGCACTTGGGTTTAGTTCCATCACATCGTGACTTCCGAGACCGACAGATCTCGCACTATCAAATGTCAGTATTTGTGTAGGTGTTTTTCGTGGTTCGGCTACTTGCAGCTATTGTTGCTCTCCTTCGTGGGTAGTCGATGCCAGCATCAGTACTTCTCCTCTTTAGTGGATTAATTCCATCATCACTAACAGCTTGCCGGTTCTGGCTCTGGTTTCCGTTGGGCATGTATTCTCTGGTTTCGGAAGACTGCGATAAATTCCTGGCTTTTGGAGCCGAGCCGAGCAAGCTTTCCCGAGAAAAGCTATTGGCAAGGCGACGAGCAGTTGGCGACTTGAGAGGAGAGTTTGGGGTTCCATTCCCGTTCCCGTGCCCGTTGGTGAGAAGTTGCAGGCGAGGTGATGGCATATCAACAGTAAACTGGTCGGTGGACATTGAGAAATGCCGTCCGCCAGCGGAAGCAGAGTTTGGGGAGGGGTCCCGAGAAGAATTTGACATCACGTATACTGAAGAGTCGGTGTGTTGGGCTCATCGAAGGTAGAGGATGAGACGAATGTCAGCTGGAGCCAAGCCTTCATTGACGGTTGACTAAATGAATTCTTATGTGCAACATGAAGTTGGGGAAGCCATGTATTGATATGGGATTGTATCTATTTTTGAGGAAATATTGCATGCCGCGTACGTGCTGAGTTGACAGGGGTGAGCAGCATCTAGCGGTACGCAGTGGCAGAGGGAATAGGATATCAGACGATAGTGCTCCAGATTGAGGACGATGGCTACCTTTCCAACCGTGGCAAACCCTGTGATGCTCATGCAGGTATAGTTGCTCAGGAATCTGGGGTTCGGTAGGTGACGGCCGAAGGGAAACGAGAGAAGCCTTCTGAAAGACGTTTTAATAAGGCGGGTGTATATCAAAAAGTAGGGTATGAGGCCGCGTTAAAGCGACTTGAGCCAGAAAACAAACGACAAGTACGAAAATCATACATTATGATGCGGGAGGAGCGGTGTTTTGCATATCAAGACCTGTGGTAGAGATGGGCAACTACAAAGGCGGCAAGAGCGTTGCCCTGTCTGGAATTGTTGGAAGCGCCCAAGGCTCAGAATTCCTCTCTTGAGCATACGGGGTCCCTAGGATGACATAAATTTCTCCTGAATTTGGCCTTTCAGCTGACAAAAAAGAGCCATTGGTTGGCGGATGGGAATGCTCCGTGTGTGGTTCGGTGGTAATGCGGTAATATTAGGAAATGATGAAGCACGATAGAAGCAACGTGGGTTAACCTAAGCTAGGTATTACCTTTGCAAGAAACTGAGATGATGCTTCACGGGGAGTTGTCGCAATAGCAGATGTCTGGGGTGAGATATTAGAGGCTCGTTAGAAGGAAACACACGACGTGCATGAGGGAGGACGCGCGAATTCGTCAATCTTCAGGGGGTGTGGTGTGTATGCCGGAGAAACGCCACAGGATTAGCGAGGTACAGTACAGGGGCAGTGCAGGGCAGTGCACCTACAGCAAGCAGTACAGCAGTATTTGAACAGTGTAGTGTCTCGATTGTGGGATGACCGTGATGGCTGAGAAGAAAGAACCTCGGAGTGAAAGACAAGGACAAGAGTCGTCTCAGGCACGGGCAAAGGCAGGCACCGTGACCCTCTACAGTACCCCTCTTGCCTGTTGGGGCTTAAGCTGCCCAGTTATGTACTGTACTGTACTGCAAGCTGAAGCGGGGTGACACCACCAGATAATTTTCCAGGCACAAATATTCTTCCACAGTTTCCATCCTACACCTACAGTACCTCGCGCTCGAACGATCACAAATTCGTTCCATCCCATCCCATCAATTGCCTTTTGTGTGGCAGCTGCGGAATTTGAAAAGCTTAGATCGCTCGCCAATCTCATTTGCACTTATAGCCTGAATATCCTCATCCTCAATTCCGGGCAGCGTCATTTCTTTCATCTTGGGCCTCAACCAAAGGTCCACAGCACGTTTCGAAGCTCACATACGGGTACTTGCACATACTGACCATGACCATGTCACAGCCAGTGGTGGACCGAGGCTACGAGAATGTCTGGATAGCAGCGCAAACGGCGCAGTAGTGCTGGTCTGTGAACCTGTCATCCAAGATATCTCTGCTTTCTTTTTGACGCCGCGATAAGAGCGCCCAACATCGCAATTAGGTGTCGACGGACCAATATATTATGCGTGTGCATGTACCATGTACCCATTCTTCGAACTATCATAGACTTCATCCTCGGATTTCCTAATCCATTTTAACATCCATCTTTTGAAATCAGCCGAAACTTTTCTCCGTCGTTCGACATCCGAGCCCCTCTTCTTCCGCTGCAGGACCCCGCGCAAGATAACAAGAGAGGTGCAAGTATTTCATTCACGATGGCCGCGAAGGTAGGTCTATTCCCGGTTATCAATTTCTCTGCTCTTCCTGTGTGGCTAGATGTAGGTATGATCTGAGTCGAGAATAACCTGTCCGTCATTGAAGGCTTTCCTGTGCTCCTTATTTCCCCTTCAACTTTCTTCTGGTTGCACCCTCATTGAGGCCGGGCTAGAGCAGGACCACATCATGATACTCAAAGTGGTGATCACCGTTCTCACTCTAGTCCACTTAACCAGCAGCATACCTTCCCCAAATGGTATTAATTCAGACCTCACTATCTTGATAGACAATGATATCCTTGGTGGGTTGCAGCTTTCAATATAATCTGAATATAATGCTAATCGCCATTTCCATCTAGGCCCGCAAAGTCCCTCTGCAGACTCTGGAATCATACTCCTCACCCCACGATCTCAAGTATCCGCATCTGCAGCATGTACAAAATTGGAAGAGACGTTATGGGCCCCAGAATCGAAGACTTCGAATATTCAACTGAACCTGGACTACCTGACATTCCGCGGAGATTCTCGGGAACAAAAATACTGGATTGCGCCCTCTGAGACTGCGGCTCGGACGATCGATGGAGAGGGCCAAATAGCTGAAGCAATAGATTCAGGTACACATTTACATCTACCTGCCCTATGTACTCAATCGGCCCCATTTTCGAATATAACGACCCAAGATAACTCTACGAGGTGGCAAGTCAAAGTCCACTCCAACAACGAATATCTTACAGGGCAAGATCTACGACTCCCCACGCTTGATATCTGCTGATATTGTTCAAGATTTCGAGACCGACTGAGTTTCCGATTTCTGGGCGTTCGATACGCTCCACAGCCGAAACGATTTACGTACTCGACACCGTATAAGGGAACTTGCAATAATGCATCTGCACTGTCATTCGGATCACAATGTATACAGTCTCCTACAGGTGGCTCGGAGGACTGCTTGTTTTTGAATATATGGACCTCATATCTCCCGGCAAACGGTGGATCTGCGGTTCGAAACCTCAGGCCAGTCATGTTCTGGATTTATGGCGGGGGGTTTGCGAGTGGAGCTGGCAACGATCCAACGTTTGACGGAGGGAATATTGCTTCGAGAGGTGACGTTGTTCTCGTAACTATCAACTACCGTTTGGGAGCTTTTGGCTTCTTGGCCTTGAATGATGGGGTCACTAGGGGTAATTACGGTATCGCAGATACCATTAATGCCCTGGACTGGGTTCGAGCAAATATTCATGATTTTGGCGGTGACCCTAAACGGATCACTATTTTCGGGCAAAGCGCTGGTGCTGCAAGTGTCAGGGCACTACTTGAATCACCAAAAGCGAATTGGAAGTTCCAAGCCGCAGTTCCAATGAGTAATCTCGGAGGTGGCGGATACGGCACAACTTATTCTGCATGGCTCTCCATCGATAATGAAACCGCAACGGGTGCAAAATTACTTCTCGCGTCAACAAACTGCTCTACCGCCAATTCACAGGTCGATTGCCTTCGAGATGTGCCAGCAACTGCACTATCAAAGCTAGGGAGCGGAGTGAGATATCCGGTTGTAGATGGCACATATCTCACTACACCAGGGCTTCGGCTTAATCAGAAGGCTTCCCTCCCCCACACACACCTCCTTTATGGACTTACACGTGATGATGGCGCTGCACTCACGACCTACGTGCGAACCACTAATCTAAATGTGGCGATTGCAATAGACGACTTTAATGTTCCTGTGGTTACGAACACAAGTCTCTTCCCAATACCCACAGGAACCAATACCACGTTAAACATCTTCAACGTCACGTCGCGTGTGGCTACCGATACTATTTTCCGCTGCTTCGATCAAGCAGCAGCATATGCTGGAACATTTAACGATGTCTTTGCACCAAATCAGTATTTCTACGAGTTCAATCGTTCCTATCAACTGCCTAACTTTGATCCTAATGCACCCGTCTGTGACGCACCTGTCACACAGACCCATCCGTACGGTGATCCAGAGCAAGAATACTTCAAATGCCATTCAGGGGAACTGTACTATGTCTTTGGTAATATTTTGAGGATGGGTTATCACCTCAGAGACGATAATGATCTGCGGTTCTCTCAGTTCATACTCGATTCATGGACCAGCTTTGCGAGAACTTACAACCCGAACCCGGATCGTGCATTTCTGAAAGCAAGAGGATTTATTAATACGACTATGGAGCTTGACCAAGCAGGTGAATGGAGCCCGATTACCAAGTCTACCACCGGTGCTCTGGCGATGAGGCAGCTGCAGTGGGGCAGTAAGCAAATTGACTTTCGGGACGTTGAACAGTGCGCGGCTTTGGGCTGGCCGCTTGATTATTACGTGTGAGCATCGAGATGGAGTGGATAAATGTGCCTCAATGTCCCGTTGTTCGTTTATAGCTCTTGCATTCTGGCCTTTTCACCACCTCAACCATAATTTACTCCTAGTGGTGTTGGTAGAAAGCTGGAATGCTCGCCTTCTATATCCATCCCGACGGCCTACCAGAAGAATAAGATATGGAATGGTACTTTGGTAAGGGGGCCATTTTTGGCTTTCGGGATATGATGATATATATGTTGCCATTTAGTTGAGCTCCTTCCTCGTTTGGGTCGGTCAAAAATTATGAGGCTGTTTTGTTGTCCTCAGACCATTGTCAAGACTAGAGATGGAGGGTGGTGCAGTAAAGTCTCGTTCACAAACCAAAGTTTCGGGGATGATTCAACTTTGCACCTTCCAATGAATCATCCAGCTTCTTCACCATCAGGCCTTAAATGCCTCGCTTTCCTTTGCTTCGTAATTCCAAAACCGTTCCCACCTTTCAGAGACTTTTGTCTTCACTTGAAAATGCCTCACGATATCAAAAGCGTCTTGAAAGCAGCTATCCACGGCTTCCTATCACCACCCCCTTCCCAACCAAACATATCCCCAACAGCCCACCGTCCCCGTCCCCGTCCCTGTCCTCACAACCACGAACAAGAAATCCATAACGCCCTTGCAGCTCACAACGCTGCGCGCCGATCTGCACGTGGTGGGAGGAGACCCGATCTCAAGTGGTCGGAGGATCTAGCAGCTCATGCGCAGAGTTGGGCGAACCATCTTCTGGCTTCGGGAGAATTTAGACATGGTAAATACTCCCTTCACTTTACTTTCACTTCTACGTCTCTTTTTGAGTGAGGGCTGGAGTTGCTGCTGATATCTTGATAGAAGGCAGGCGAGGCGAAGGCGAGAATCTCTATATGCGCACTAGTGTACCTTACTCGCATAAGTCTTTCCGCTATGCTGTGGACGCCTGGGTTGAGGAGCGGAAGGGGTATCATGGGCAGAAGATAGGAGGGGTGAACTTGGGTCTTATGGACATTATACACAGGTGGGTGGATTTTCCCTTCTTCTTTCTCCTTGGGGAGGAAAACATAGTAGGGTATTATATCATGTATGGGGTTTGGTTTAATGCGATACAGGTTATCTGGCCTGGAACGACACATGTAGGAATGGCGAGTGCGGTTAGATATGATGGCAGACAGGTCATCGTTGCGAGGTATGCGCCGTGCGGGAATGTGATTGGGATGAATGCTTATCACGGTTGATTCGCCTTGGGGTGAAGGAGCTCTGATGTTTATTACGAACTTAATTGGATATCAGCATACTGTGCGCTGGAAGCTGGACTTCCGTAGCTAATTCGTAGATAGGCGATAGCGGGGTTTACCATACGTTATGTTCACCGAAAGCTGCATCGAGTTTACCGAGAAAGGCTTCTTATATATTACCTGCTCTTGCATTGCCAGATTTCTTTTATGGAAAAGTCACTACAAAGCGTACAGAATTCATACAAGGTGGACCCTCGACGGCTCTCGAAGTCAAATCGCTCCGCCTCTCTAGTCTGTATTCCTAGAAGACTTGTAAAAGAAAAATACGAGCATGCATTAAGAACTTCGTAAAAGACTAAAGTCTCCAGGCTTCAGCACATGCTGCAGCTATAGTATATATCATAGCGAAATCTGATTGCTACTTCCAAAGGCTCGCTATAGTTATAGCTTTATGCCCCTGAAATTCAGGGTTCACTCGCTAAGGTCAGGTGCGGGGTAAATGCGGGGTAGATTCTTGATCCGAAAGCATGAATAGAGGCAATCTCAGCAACTGGCTATATGGACGAAATTATAATTATCAGAATTGGTTCAAGCACCGTTAGAACGGGAATGGAATTTTGATAGATATGACATTTCGTTGTGCTATCGAATGTCACTAACATGTTAATATACTGTATGATCAGGTCACAGGTTGCCTGCGAAACTGATACGCTTCTGGAACCCAGAAGCTTTTTATTTCTTTACGTGTAGCCTAATAATAGAATATAAGATCTTGTTCTACAATTGTCCCCTAATAACAAGTAAAAATACCAATAGTAACAGCGCAGATTTCAAGATTTTTCGGGTCCTAAAATGTAGCACAAGGATACTCGTAAGATATCCCTTACAATCAGGAAGGATACGATATAGGATAGGTCCGTCCTGCATCAGCAAGCAAGCGAAACAAGTTTTTTCTTGGCAAAGCTTAGACTGAGATAATGCTCCGATTGGCTTATTCATCTCGTTCCTGACGACAACTTTATTCTTTGCCGTTGGACTTAATACTGTAATTGGTCCATAATAGATACACATACTCCAGAATGACGTGGCGGTACTTTATATAGAAACAAGCTTTTTAGCGCTGGGGCGGCGGGGTACTCGTATATACCTCGAATATATTGTCTGAAGTATCAACCTCGAGTCGTCACCTTAAAACTTCTCATAGATATTACACATATCACCATCATGTCTCCAGTCACGCCAATCTCCCAGCAACCTCAGCTACAGACAGTTGAATTGACTACTCCTCAAACGAACGGAATTGTCTCTCAGCAACCGGTAGGAATCTCGCTTTTTCTGCTTCCACACCGTCCTTCGAATCAAGTTTCCAGTCATATCAAGATTACTATAGCAACCTAGGATGCTAATTCTGATCATTCGCACTTAGACACAAACTGAGACCATGAAGACCGAGCCACAGATGCATCTCCGAGGTGGTGGAATGGTTGGCGACTGGTATAGTTCACTTCCCCTAAACTTTCTTTCCTGTTTTCAGCATCCTTAGATTAGGTTTCGCTAATAACTTCACTTGTGTAGCTTTGAAGCTATCTGTGTTTTTGAATGTTGCAAGGGGATGTGCAACTGCTGCTGCTAGTGATAGGCTGCTATGCTGCCAGTTTGCGCGACATAAGGTGATTGGACCTAAGGGGGGGGGGGGGGTGTTTGAAAGAACGCGGAAACTACGAGAGCATTCGATGTTGGAGTTTGGATGGATGGACAGTTGAATTCTAATGTGAATTTGCGGTACTCGGTATACTTGAATTCTCTTGAGAAAGGGAATATATGTGCAATAATATGACTTTTCTGCAGCTTCTCTATTTGCAATTTCTTAGTAATCTCCTTTATTATTATATGTCGTTGCTTTTTATGTGAGCCTAGTGACAAGTGGTTGGTCAAATATAGTCTTGAGTATACTTATTGTTTTGGCAAGTTATTACTATAACAGTTTAGTAATTGCTTAAACTTCTTCTTGTAACTGTTTGAAACTTGCTGCACATTGTTTTCAAGCACCTCTATCTTGGTATTATTTAACGAAAACTCCATCCATTTCTTCGACACATATTACCTTATTCACTGCTTTATCTTCTTCGTCACTGCCGACTTCATCTTTCAATCCTTCCACTACTCGTCTGCCTATTATCACTTATACATTTAATACAACTCCCCTAACTCCAGCATTTTCCTATTGCAAACACCCTCCTGGAGCACATTCAGTATCATAAGCAGCATTTCAGAGGCCTACAGCCGCATTTGTAGTATCCAGCGCAGCCTCCACCCCATTCTCCAAACTGCGAGTCTTGTTCTCCTTAATCGTGTTGTTGTTAATGATCTGTGAAGGCGGTGGTTTCGGGATGCATGCTTCAAACGGATCAGATGATAAGACCTCCTCGACTTCCTCGTTCCTCTCGTCTTTAGATCGGTCCAAAGCCAATGCAGACTTTCCTTGTTTCTCCCACATACGCGCGCGAAGGTTGTCGCGTGTCATGGTCCGGGCGAAGAGATGATTTAAGCGAGATGGAGTCGTCGCGGTGGGTAAGTCTGACATTGAATACTGAGACTTCAAGCGGAGGATAATCATGTCATAATTTGCGGTGTCGTCCGGGTTGTCGTGCTTCCCTTGCTGGAGAGCGAAAAGTGTTCGACTATCTATACCTGCTCCAGCTTCGAGGAGGAGGCGAATACATGCATAGCTTCCCCAGTACATGGCTCTGTCGAGGGATCGGTACCCGTTTGGGTCGACGTGATGAGGGTTTGCGCCGTGTTTCAGCAGGACTTTTACAATGGGGCTGTTGTTGTGTTTGCATGCAATGGTCATCGGGGTTTCACCATATACGTTCATTTGCGAATGGTTAATATGATTGCGGGGAAGGCCAGCCAGTATGTGTCTGGCCACGAAAGTTGCCCCGAGGACTGCTGCTTGATGTAAAGTTGTGTTGTCATGATTATCAGCCTTCCTCACGTTGGAACCATATGTGAGGAGAAGATGAATTGGGTGTTCATCATTGTGGATCATCGCGGCGAAAAGGGGTGTCCACCCGTCGCTATCTTCCGCATCGATATCAACCCCAAGCTGAAGCAGATGCGTGATCAGCGGTATATTTTTTGCCATTGTTGCTCGGGCTAGTGCTGTACAGCCATTGTTGTCTCGAGAATCCGTGTCCCCACCGCAATCCGTCAAAATATCCATGATGTCGGTCTTTAGTGAGCTTGCGGCTTTGAAAAAAGCGGATATGCCATCACTGTTACGCAAATCTATTTGGGCGCCACGTGCAGCCAGTGCGGCTACGACAGCAGAATGGTTTCGTAGCGAAGCTTTATATAAGGCCGTCTCGCCCCGACTGTCTGTGGCATCAATGGCGGCCCCATGATCAAGTAGCATCTCGACCAGTTCCAATTTGTTGAGGAGGGCAGCGAGTGCCAGGGGCGTCAAACCTGATTTATCCTTTGCGTCAACAGCAGCTCCTCTGTCTAGCAATAACTTTGCGACATCAAGCGTTCCTGTCCCGATAATAGTCCTATGCAGACCTGTTCGGCTTTGGCAGTCCTCTAAGTTTGGATCAGCGCGGCCTTCGTCTAGAAGGATACGAAGCAGGTCCATATAGCCATATCTACAGGCGAGATGTAATGGCGTTGTCCATGGGTCATTCTCGACCAATTTTCGGTCGTCGCCACTCAGGAGTAGAACAATTTGCGCTCGAATTCTCAACCAAGACGTGGCAATGACGGTTCCAGATAGGTCAACTGCATGCCCTATGAGCAATCTCATCGCTTTAACATCGTTTCTGCAAGTTACAATGTCTGCAATACTTCTAACACCAGTGCCAAGAACTTTGTCGTCTTTGACCCATCGAGAGTAATTGACATTTAAACCGGCTTTCAGGCACTTTTCGAGAATGTCGTTATCTCCAGTCATGGCTGCTGACCACATATTCGCACCCTCGAATTTTGAGCCATCGTACCAACCACTTGTCTCCCCAACGATAATGAATTTATCATCAATTGCGTGAAATTCCATACTGTGCCCCATTGCTCGCCTTTTGCGTGAACAAATTGAAATAATATGCTAGTAGTCGCTGTCTTGGATTGAAGCAGTTAGTAGCAGGGCTGCCTCATCAGTTGTTAAAGGTGAAAGGGGTATCTGGGCCTAAGCAGGCAGATTCTATGGCTTATTAAATGGTACGTTCTGTTATCATGTGTACATCATGTGTTATCTAGCATAGGGGCGTTTTTGTTTCAGCTCCCTTAGTGTATGATGACCAAGCTTGCTAGGGGGGGTGCATGCCACCAGGAGCTAGGTATCAGGAATTGAACCAGATTTACGAGCCACTCCTCCTTAATTTTAGTAGCGATCTCCCGACAGAGGTCTCAATCTTATTTCTAAGGGGAAAGATTGCCTATCGGTTTGACCACATTTATTTGTCTCGCAAAGACCTCTATTCCTTCGTCCTGTTAGTACATCTTGTGTTATCATCAAGTCAAAACCAACATGTCGATGTAGCATGCATGCAAGGCGGCATAATTTTTGCCCGTGGATAAGTTGCAGGGGTGGGGATGTCCTTGAGCATGGCAGAATACCGAGTCATTGACATGTGATCCATCCTTCAAAAGAATCGGAAGTTTATTGCAACTGTGAGGAAGGTGTGAGTAAACTGAAATGATAATTATGCCCAGCTAAGTACAAATCCCCAGACGAGCGAAGAAACTAACCCCTTGCTTTTACACATACCTGTATTTCCACTGCACTGGCGTCATTATACAATTCAAAAAGTACCCTTTACACTCGCAGCCCTGCCGCAAGGTTGATCATATCTTCTACCTTGTACTGTAGGGAATGTTCTCTGGCGAGAAGAAATCTGATTATTGTGTTGATTACAAATTATTATCCCCTGTCGATTCAGAGGCTCCAGCGGAGCCCTTTCGACGGCCGCAAATCAAAGGTCAACTCAACGCCTGAAAATCATGGACCAAATTCATGCATCCGCTTCCCATGCAAGTCTCGCTTTCTCGGGATGTCTCATCTTCAGAGTCAAAACACATTCAGAACCTTCTATAGCTTCAGAGAGTTCCTTCGAAGCTATCTCGATCGTCTCTCCTGGCTGCGGCACCGGTTGCACTCCATGACGCTGAAATAGACTCGCAATCACGGCCACGAATTCTACTTGTGAGAACTTCTTGCCAGGACAAACTCGAGCCCCGGTTGCCCAGGGGACGTAGCTACCATAAGGCGGTTGCAGCAGTTCTTCGGTGCCTGCTACGCCGTTCTTAATGATCCAGCGTTCTGGGCGGAATGACCATGGGTCGGGACCCCAGAACTCGGGGGCGTGGTGGACGCTTACCATGTTCAGCATAACATCTGAGTGTGCGGGTAAAGTGTATTCTTTTCCTCGTATTGTTATAGTTGAGGGCGTGCTACCGGTTGACTTTGGTAAGACGACTACGGGTCCATACATGCGTGTTGTCTCATACTATAGAATTGTATTAGTAGCGAGCAACTACTGAAAGTAGGGCATTACCGTACCATGACCGCAAGACATCTCTTCAGTCGCGGAAACAGCTTTTCGTATTCCCAACTTTCGCTGTCCAGGTTTTTGCCGATGACGGTGTGTATTTCTTCCTTGATCCAAGATTGCACGTGCTTGTTGGCTGCGAGGAGAGCAGTTGCGTACATTAGTGCGTTGGCTGTAGTATCATGACCCGCAAACGTAAAGATGAACAGATTCCCATAGAGTTCCTCTTCAGTCAAGCTCCTCTTTCCGTCTCCTTTCGTGACTTCCAGATCACATGCACGCACCAATGCGCTCATCAGGTTATTTTTCTCCTTGCTCGTTGTTTTTAGGAACGCTCGCTCCTCGTCAACCATTTCTCTCAAGTTGCGTTTGAATTCTGCAACAGTGAACTTCATCGTGTCTATTTTCTTAGAAACGTACTTGGCAAGTAACCCAGATGATTTGGGAAAAGCAGAGGAGATGACGACGCCCAAGAAACTGTCAAGGACGGCTTCTAGAGCAACCTTAAAAGACAACTTTTCGCCCTTTATGATGGTAGAGTCGCTACTTTCAGAGGGCTGGAAAGAATAGTCCCTTCCAAAACAAGCAGATGTGAGCACATGTAATGCTACGGTCATCATATCAGATGCGGTACAGATGATGCCGGATTTTCCTGCAGAAACCCAGGTCTTTAGCATCCCACGAGCCTGTGTGAGAGATGCTCTCCAGACTATATTGCTCTATGAAAATGTCAGCATGTAAAGCGACTCAGTGGGGGACAATAAGGTTCTTTGAGAATCCACATAAAAGTGGGTTTTAGATGCCATTAAATGAACTTACTTACATTTCTCTCATTGAACGGGGGTACTGTAAGCTTCCTGTGTCGCCGCCAATCATCGCCCTCGGCAGTCTCCAAGTTATTTCCAAATACTTTCAGTCCTTGATATAGCTCCGACTTTGGGAACTCCTTGTGCAGTTTGGTGAGAATCTCTTCGACCGCTGCCCCATCGCCTACAACGATCCGAATACAACCTGGAGAGACGACGATGAAGGCTGGCCCATGCTTCTGATGAAGAGCATTACGAGTTAGGTAGTATCCATCGGATTTTATATGATTCACGAACTCTCCAAGACCGAATGGTAGCCGCAGGAGGAGGGGGCCAAGAAACGCTCCGCCCAGCATCCAGAAGAGTCCCCATGGATGAAAAGGCGAGAAAACCAGAGGAAAGCCTATATGACGTGCTTTGTTGTAACTTTGATAGAATTTTAAAAAATACGACGCAAACAGGGATATTGCGACGATTTCTACAACCAAAATGAAGGCCATGATTGTCGGGGAGATGCTCAATGATCAGAATAAGTGTTTTCTTGGCTTTCATGACTTTCCTGTCGATGATCCTTACGACTATTATTATTTTGTTTTTTGTGACGTACACCCATCCTCATTTAAAGATGATACGCTCTTCACGACGGTTTGCGGTCTACTCGTCGGCCTTGAGTAATTATAGTTAGCGTTTGAGCATGTTTATTTTTCTAGAACATATTTGCTAGCTGACCTAGAAGGATTAGTGTTAGTATCACAAGTATTCTATCAAGCAACGGTAATCACTTCTCACTAGCTAGTAGCTCGTGAGAGAGACACTCATTCTGTGTGTTGCATTTAGGGTTCACCATGGGTCCCCATGGGTCATAAGAACCCAGGACCCGACCTATGGGGGACCAGACCCACCCATGGGTCCTTACAAATAATAGGACCCGATCCATAGGTATCCGCGGGGACCCATGGGTCTAGAAATAATATCATGTATAAATATGAATTTCAATTAAGAGGAATTCTTAATATAAGCTTATTCTCTTATTTATATAAGAAGCTAGTTGATATAATAAGCTAGGTCGTATGACTAGCTAGTCTCTGTAGTTTCTATAACCAGCTTTCATAGCCAGCTTCAGCTTCCAGTTCCAGCTTCTATAGCCAGCTTATTTCCTTGGTTACGTTTTATATTTAGTTTCCGATAAAAGTACTAGCTGCTGGCAATTAACTCCTTAGCTCGCTTCTCTAATTATAATCTTAATAAGATTAAGATTTATATTTAGTTTCTATTGGAACTAGGTGCCTCCTAGGAGCATGAACTCTAGAAGAACACGTACACCAGATGGGGACGTCAAAGAGTGAGTGGGTTGAAGGTGTTACATTAGTATCCAGTGAGAAAAGAGTGAAGTGACGTCCATTTTGTACTTGTCATAAGAGAGACCCCTCCTGCGATGTGCAATAGGAATCTTGAAGAAGTACTCGTTCGGTTTTAGTGTGCTGGGGGGAGGGCCTATGCAGGGAATTTTCTGGTCTGTCGTGTGGGGCTTGAAACTAGGTAGGCTTGAAATAATGAAGGAAACAGTTGTATCAATTCATCGAATTCGTGCATGCTTCTAGCTATGGCATCGGGGTAATATTGGGTTGAGTTGCTGATTTATGTCACACGCAGGGTGACGAGATGTATCTATCCATGTATTCCATGACTCTGTCTCACGACCCTCGAATGCATTGTATGTATCCATGTCCAACAATCCATGTGTCTGTAGCCCAACATTACCCCAAACTCCCAATTTCATGTATCATATCCGTCCGATCAGGTTCACCATGCTGGAGCAACTTCACCAAGTCTCCTGTACATAATGCTTCCGTTTCTCCATCCTCTTCATTTCAGCCTCCACATCCTCTCTACCCTTGGGAAACTTCTCAACACCACCCTCCTCAAGCATAACCCACAGGATAGCCTCCCTAACCGCCTTGGGCATCTTTCCCGAGCTACCACAGACAACTATAATCCCACCCTTCGCAATCATCCTCCAGACCTCCTTCTTCTCCCGCCTAATAACATCCTGTACGTAAATCTTCTCCTTTTGATCACGCGAAAAAGCTGTGAAGACGTGAGAGAGGGCTAAGTGGTGGAATTTCCATTCATGCGCATAGAAGTAATCGGCTCGTTTGTTGCGTCCACCGTAGAAGAGTATCGTTTCTTCAGTTGCAATCTTCGTGTTGAATAGAGCTTCAGAGGCGCGTTCCCAGATCAGAGCACGGCAGGGAGCTACACCCGTTCCCGGACCGATGAGAATGAGTGGCTTGTATGCTTTAGTGGCTTCGAAGCCTAAGCTGCCGTCTGTGAGCGTGACTTTGAGAGGGGTATTACTAGGCATGGCGGCAAGATAGCGGGAGCATAGGCCCTGGCGCACTTTTTTGAGGACGGTTTTGTATTTGACGATTGCGACGAGGAGTTGGAACTTTATCATGCCCGGAGTTGAAGAGGTTTTTAGGGTTCCGCCGCTGGAGATGCTGAATTTTCGAGGGCGCATGACGGGGAAGAATTGGGTGGCTTGTTGCCAGGGGAGCTTGACGCTAGGGAAGTCTTGGAGGACTTCAAGGATGCCGCGACGAGGGCGGGAGGTGTAGTCGTAGAATTCATCTGATAAGGCTGGGTTGGTAAATTCGAGGAGTCGTTCCTTGTGCATGGGGTCATCGGTGTTGTGGGCAATTAGCTCGAAGAAATATCGTTTGGGGATGGCAGTAATGTCGAGGTTATGTATAAGGAGATCTCGCAGGGTGCTTTTAGAGGTTGGAAAGAGACCAGGAGCCTTGGAGAGGAGGTTATCTGCAAGGTAGAAGTCGGGAGGCGATGCGACGAATGTTACTGGGATGTCTGCCACCTTATTCCAATCCATAAGATCAATCAGAGTCTGCACATCCTCAGGGAAATTCTTGGGCATAATGTTGATGACATCGCCTGGATCATACGCCTCCTCATCCGAAACCCCGAATGTAAGCTGCCGCACGTCTTGCCAGTGATTTTCTGGTGTCATACGTTTGTTCTCAAGCATTATAACACTGAAAGAATTGGACAAAACAATGCTTTTGGGGGGCGGGAACCTCGAATCGGGGTCATCGTGAGGTTCGCCATCGAACTTCTCCCTTAGCTGATTACATATGACTGGCTCTTCTTCGACTGGGAGAGGGAAATCGTAAATCGATCGGGATGGTGTACGTTCCATTTTATTTTGGTTTGCTGCCTGTTTGGAGGGTTCTGGCGTTTCTGGTTTAGATTGAACTCCAGGTGGTTCACCTGAGCTGTTATTGATAGCAGGTTGTGACGATACTGCAGGATGGTGAATCTGGTTTGCTTGATGGATCTGGCTGGCAGTAGAAACTTGTGGTGGATCTGGGACCTTCTCTTGCAGCTCAAGAATCAATTTGGGTGGGAGGAGCACTTCTTGCGGGATAGGTGTTACTCCATCTGGTAAAGGATATAAAGAGAGCAAGTGCTTTCGAATATCAGCAGACCAGGAGAGGAAGGTTCCATCAATTCTGTAGCATATTAGTACTAGTATTGTCCGAACGGTAATTTGTACAACTAGTCATTCAATTGAAAGAATCACCAACCCTTGATCATGTTGTTCATCAGCCTCACCACGTGGATAAACCTCCTTTGCTCCTAGTTGTTCTAGACGCTTATGAAGTTTACGAGCAGCGAAATTGAACCTTGTTTTTCATCAGCGACTATAACATATACTCTCATAAAAGAACATACTGAGGATAAGAGCTGTCTCCAAGACCAAAGGTGGTAAAAGCCACGTGACCCAGACAATCCGGAGGCAAACGCTTTCTCAAGAGACTTTTCCAGAACTTCCTCGCATTCTGCGGGAACTCGCCTTGTCCAGTAGTAGAAATGGCGAATATAACAACAGTGTAATCTAGAAGGGTATTCTGGGTTGTCAGGAATGAGTACGTTGCTACATCCCTGAGCATAAAACAAGGAGATGAATAATGGACCGACGTACAATTTCGACGAGATCCATCTCGCTGACCCTGGTTATGAAATGCAGTCTCTCTGCCATGCGCCCCAACTCCTCGGCCACATCCTGACTGTTGCCAGTCTCGGACCCATACAGTATGAGCGCCTTTCTATTATGTCGTTGACCTTGGACATCGACCGTCATGTTTGACAGAAAGCTGTGTTTTGAAGGATTTTATCGCCATCATCACTGCTCGACATCACAACAATTTTCCACAGCCACATCACGTGACTACCACGTAAGTTGAACTGTTGAAAGTTCTAGGAAGGACCTTGCAGTACGAACAATGAATGAGTATATATTGGATTATCTATCCCGGGTTCTATTTCAATATTGCGTTTGCTATTATAAGTACGGTGAGGCGGTTGAAAACTGCATACCAACCTATTGTTCGTTCGCCCTGAATGAGCAATGCCCCACAAGGCCATAATCTGTGAATCACAGCCTTGCCGGCGAATGACTCTGTTTGTTCCAGCAAAAGGGGTTCTGGAACAAGAGTGGCGGATGGCTGCAGCCGGAGTACCTTTATAGGTAGGTAAGCAAGCAAGCAAGCATCACATTAGTGTGATATAGCCCCAGGTATAGCAGTTAGTCAGTTACCAAATTTCATGCTGGAGTAGAAGCTTGTTAAGGGGCTACCTAGGCAACATTGTTTGTTCATGAATCTTCTTTAGATGCTGTATATACATGTAAATAATTATAATATATGGTTATTTACCTCTAACTATTATATCGATGTGTTATATCCGAGTGCTTCTCTATTATTTGCCCCTTTTCTCTACATTTTTCATCGGGGATTCCAGTTGGCATTTCCCATTTCCCCATTTCCCGTGTTTTGCCCGCCACGACCACAACCACAACCACGACCTCGTCAAGCTAGACCTATTTAATCTCGCTTAGACACCTTGTCGTGCCTGCCCTGTCAGGAAGGGAATTATAATATTTCGCGCGCAGCCCTTTCCCTCCTTTCCCTTCCCTTCGACTTCACATCAACAACAAGATCCGATCGAGTTCATCCAACTTCCCAACCTACTCAACAATCCCCCCAGACCTCTAGGGCACCAAGCTACCCTTACACACTCCCCCAACTTGTGCAAGAGTCAATCAACCAACTACACTCTCAGCCAAACGTCGACAATCTCCACACATTCTCAAGTCCTTCAGTCAAACAACCACCCACTCAATCCATCAACCATGTCTTCCGTCGTGGAAAAAGTTACTGACACTGTCAACGACGTTACTGCCGCTCTTGGCAACACATCGCTCACTTCTGACAAGCCGGCCGAAACCACCACTGGTGGCGACAGCAAGTCTACCAATGCTGCTCACAATGAAGCAGTCCTGGCCAGCGCTGCAGAGGGTCGCAGACTGTATATCGGTAACCTCGCGTATGCGACGACCGAGGGGGAGTTGACCGAATTCTTCAAGGGATACCTCATGTAAGTTACTCCAATTTCCTTTCGACCACCTCGAGTTCCACCCCTTATCACATGTGAACATTTTAACATTGCAATCCTCTATTATTGTCTCCTGCCAGTAATATATCATTGCATTCGAGTGTTCAAATCTCAGTTTACATGGACTGGGTCTACAGCTGCTGACATTTTACGTCCCTGCAGTGAATCCACCTCAATCCCTAAGAACCCACGCACCGACCGCCCCGTTGGATACGCTTTCGTTGACCTCTCCTCCCCAGGTGAGGCTGAGCGTGCCATCGCTGAGCTTTCAGGCCGCGAGATTCTTGAACGCAAGGTCTCAGTCCAACTTGCTCGCAAGCCTGAGCCAGCCGGTGAGAAGGGTGAGGCAACCAGCGGAGGAGATGCTTCTGGCGGTGAGGGCCGTCGCCGACAATCTGGCCGTGGACGTGGCCGAGGCCGTGGAAAGGGTGGTCGTGGAGGACGCGCTGCTCGTGGTGTAAGTGCTTATATCACGATCTTAGTCGCACCTGCTAACTTTATTCAGTCCAAGGGTGAGGAAGGCGCTGAGCTTCCAGGTACCACAGCCACCGGTGAAGTTCTTCCTTTGACCGATACCACCACCAAGGAGGGCACAGAGAAGGCCGATAAGGACAACAAGGGTGCTCGTCCTCCACGTGAGCGTCGCGAGCGTGGCCCACCTGCTGATGGTATCCCATCCAAGAACAAGGTCATGGTGGCAAACCTCCCATATGATCTTTCTGAGGAGAAGGTAAACCCCCCTGTTCTAGACCTCAATATGCACTACTGATACCCGATCACAGCTCAAGGAACTCTTCGAAGCTTACGAACCATCCTCTGCCAAGATTGCCCTTCGCCCAATTCCCCGCTTCATGGTTAAGAAGCTCCAGGCCCGCAACGAGCCACGTAAAGGCCGTGGCTTTGGTTTTGTTACTCTTTCTTCCGAGGAGCAGCAGCAGAAGGCTGTCAACGAGATGAACGGAAAGGAGATTGAGGGCCGCGAAATTGCTGTTAAGGTCGCAATTGACAGCCCTGACAAGACCGACGATGATGCCAATGCGCCAGCTGCTGAAGGCGCTGTCGAGGGTACCAATGGCGCCGCTGAGACTACTACTGCTTAAGTGTAGTGTGTATTACCTTTGTACGATGAGAGTGCTACATTTCGCAAGACAATCACAGATGCATTACTTTAACACGTTGCTTTTGGACCCTTGTCTGGCGCTATATGGATACACTCTGGGATGGAGGCTGGATCTGCTTTGATCTTTCAATGCAAGTGGCCCAACTTTCAACGACTTTCTTTTAGGTGGAATATATGGGCTCGGTGGTGGAACTCTTCTTAACAGACAGACTTTTCAACCTGGGTTCATAGTTCTCGATGACTCTTTTCACAAAAACCAATGTCTCATTACCATATCTTGCGCATTCTCCGGGCTGTACACTAGATTTTCTTGATGTGCTCTCTTGGGATGGGAATGGAATGGAAAAGTTATTTGATTCGTGATACCATTCTGTCTTTGATAGAAAAATGCAATAATATTGACTGCACTCTACAAAAGTCTGGCATTGAACCCCAAACAGACTGCGGTTGAATTTCGCATGTGATAATATAGGTGCTCCAAGAGTATTAGATAGTCAAAAAGAAATATCTATCTGATACTCGCCTACCCACCTACCGTTACTGTATGGTGTGCAGCCTTGTACAGTACTGTGTTCGTAGCTGTGCACGTCATTGGTCAAAGGTCAGCAACTTCAAACCTCCTTTTAACTTTAATTGCCTCGCCCGCCCGCCAGAGCCCCACAAAGGACAACGACTCCCCCTCCTTTCGTAGCCTCAGCCTCTTGACACACACTCACCTAATTAACTTGACATTGCCCCAATTCTAAACCTGCAATCCATTATTCCAACGTGGAACAGAGAAAGAAGGATAACATAAGTATGGCCAGCAGCAAAGCCATGTGGGAGGTGGATCCGGAGACGCGATCAAAAGTACCATTCCTCTGCCTCCCTATATCCCTCCCAATACCCTCTTCTCTTTACTAACAAAACCTCCAGCTCCTTGAGATCCAAAAGACATCCTCAAACGACCGCTGCTGTGACTGCGGCGCGCCCTCCCCACAATGGGCATCCCCCAAATTCGGCGTCTTCATCTGCCTTTCCTGCGCGGGCGTTCATCGAGGATTAGGTGTGCATATTAGTTTTGTGCGGAGTATTACGATGGATGCTTTTAAGGCGCAGGAGATAGATCGAATGAGGGAGGGTGGGAATAAGACATGGAGGGACTTCTTTGATGATGCGGAAACCAATAAGATGGCTGGGATAAGGTTCGTGCTCCCTGAATGCGCTTACTACATACCATGATTGCTATATTACAATTGGGAATCAAGAGAGAAGTATAGAGACATTGTGCTGACATGAAATTAGTTGGGACGACACAACAATCGCAGAGCGCTACTCCGGCGATGTGGGCGACGAATACAAAGACCGGCTCACAGCAAAAGCAGAAAATAAACCCTACGTTCCCTCGGTCAAACCCGCTCCATCTTCTACAACCTTCTCCTCTGCCTCCTCTGGCAGCCAAACCCCCCAAGGCGCAGAACCCAATCACCCGCACGATCAGGCAAAGCAAAAGTAGACGACAAATACTTCGCTGGGCTCGGCGCAGCCAATGCTTCGAGACCGGCAGATTTACATCCCAGCCAAGGAGGGAAATACTCTGGTTTCGGAAGCGCGCCCCCTGAGCCTGTGCAGCAAAACAAGATGCCTGGTTTCGATGATCTGCAGAATGATCCTGTGGCCGCGCTGACAAAGGGCTTTGGGTGGTTTACGACGACGGTTGGGAAGACGGCTAAGAGTGTTAATGAGGGGTATATACAACCTACTGCTGCGAAGGTAATTCTCTCTTCCCCTCCCAAAACCCCAATCCATTTCCCGTTCACTACCCCACCTTTTTTAAAAGTCGCAACTAATTTATGTATATCTAGATCGCAGAAACGGATCTAGCAGCCCAAGCACGCATCACAGCCGCGAACGTCGCTAGAGGCGCACAGACAGGCGCCAAATCGGCAGCAGATGGTTTCAATCGCTTTGTCGAGGGCAATGATATTGGGGGTGCGGGTGCTGGTGCGGGTGGGAGAGGGAAATATAGACAAGCACCGTTAGATGAGAGCAAGAAGGATTTTTGGGATAGTTTTGCCGACGCTGGGGCCACAAGAGAGAGTAAACCTAGTGCGATTGGGACGAGTGCTGTTAAGAAGGGGAATGGTGGGCCTGGAGGACCTCCTGGAAAGAAGGATGATGATTGGGATAAGTGGTGAGGAGTAGACGGAGACTGCATTTTGACTTTACGCCCATGCTGATGGGTACTGACTGGGATGGGGCGTTGTATTATAAGCAATGGAAACGTGAGTTGGATGGAATAAACATTATACGAAGTATGTATATGAAAGCGAAGCGGGCCGGGCCTTGGTAAATGCAATTATACAGAAGTGTTTCAATCAGCTGCTATTCAGTATTCAAGTATATGGCCTCCCTTGGCCTACAGTATCCGTAAGCAACAAACGCTGGTCTCTATCCATAGGCTCCTTTCATATACGCATCTTGAGTACGGAGGTAGAGGTAGACTTAATTATACTTTTATCTGTGTCTCGGCAGGGAAGGCCGAATCGTCAAGAATCTGTATAGCATGTATCGGCGCTTCTTGTATTCGGACCGCTCGTATATTTCAGTCCGTAGTGCAAGGCGTTCGGCGGCTTTTAGGTACCGAATACTCCGTAGAAACCTTATTTCATCTTCATCCCATCCTTGGTATCTTGGCATTTTTAAGTTTTAAGGAATTCCCGGCTGTGTGTCTGACTCTGAGCAACTTACTGCATGGAAGCCGGAGATTGTTTGTTTGCTTGTTTGCCTTGTCGGGTGATCTACGGAGTAAGCCAGACACCCATGCAGTGCAGCGCAGTGTCCATATCAGAAGCAGGGGTTTAAACCGCGTGGTACAGTGAGTGGTTAGGAGATCCCTTGAGCTGACGTTGGAAATAGTATCTTGTACAGTAGGCTGTAGCTCACAGATTGATTGTCTTTGCATGTAGGCGTGAGAGCGCACTTGGTTTACAGTAGCAATGATCGTTGGTTTGAGGCTCGACTTCCCCGCAGCCTTTTGCATCCTACTTCATGGAAGCTACTCGGGGCAAAGATGAAGCGATTATGCTCCTTTCTGGGAAAAGTTTTCATCTGTTGTTTCACTGTCAGGATGATTAAACTTTCACGCTTGGGGGGAAGTGGGCCCTGGCCTGGTCCTGCAAACTTTCTGGGCGCTGTGTAATTGTTTTGGGATATAAACTTTATTTTTATTTGCTCTAGCTGGTGACGCTTTCCTTATAAGTACTTTTATTTCTCTGCTCACCATCGTTCGTTCCCTACTCATAGTCGTTCTTTCTCTACTCATCGTCGTTCTTTCCCTACTCGCCGTCGTTCGTTTAGCTTTTACTCACTTTAACCATTTGTTTATACATATTACATTACTTCCATCATGAAGATCTCCTTTATTTCTAGCCTCACCTTGGGGCTTTCGACATTGCAGCTGGCCAGTGCCAGATATGTGATGTATGTGGACCAGTAAGTTGCCCTCCTATAATACTTTAATGCAGAGACTGAAGGAATTAGATATCATCTTGCCGAACTTCCAAACAAAACAGTCACCGCGGGCATTGATACTGTCATCATGGCTTTCGCCAACTCTTCCCTCTTCACTACTTCCCCGGCAGGAAACTACACCCCCTTTGAGCCTCTGGATACAATGAGAGCTCGATTCGACGAGGGCGTTAAAATTATGGTTGCTCTCGGCGGGTGGGGAGACACAGCGGGTTTCTCAGCAGGTGCTGCTTCTAACTCTTCTCGCTGGTTATACGCAAAGAACGTTGCCGCGATGATCAATACTTGGGGCTTTGATGGATGTGATATCGACTGGGAATACCCAGCTGGAAATGGAGCAGATTACAAGCTAAACGGCACCACGAATGACCGGAAAGTTTCCGAAATCGAAACCTATCCTCTTCTCCTTGCGGCAATCAGAAACGCTATTGGCGAAGACAAACTACTTTCTATTGCCGTGCCAGGTCTTGAGCGCGATATGATTGCCTTGACACCCTCTCATGCGCCCTCGGTATGGGAATCTGTTGACTTCGTCAACGTGATGACTTATGATCTCTTCAACCGCCGTGATACCGTCGCCAAGCATCACACAGACGTCAAGACCTCACTAGCCACCATCACCCACTATCTTGATGTCCTCTCCCTACCAGCCGAGAAAGCGAACCTGGGATTCCCATTCTACGCCAAATATGCGAAGATCGACCCCGCATTCAACTGCACCAACGGTCTCGGCTGCAAAACCGTCCTTTTAGAAAACGCCACCGATGGTAGTGATTTGGGTATGAGCGGCACCATGACATTCGAGTCCTTGAACTTTGCAAGCGCGCCCACGAACTTGACTGAGGGGACGGATGGCTTATGTGGCGCGAGTGTGTCACAGAAGTGCCCAGCTGGGGCCTGTTGCAGCACTTACGGATATTGGTAAGTAGCCCATTGTCTCCCAGCCATCAATCATTACATGAGAACTAATCCAAAGGGAAAAAACAGCGGAACAACTGCAGAGTACTGTGGACCCAACTGCCTCCTTGACTACGGAAACTGTACCGGCATCCCCGCCACCTCCACATTCAAAACCGCCATGGCGAACGGCATCACGGACGAAGAAGCGGGAGGTGAATATTATTATGACGGGGAGAACAACGTGTTCTGGACGTGGGATACGCCTGCGCTGATTGCGAGGAAGTTTACGGAAATTGTGAAGGCGAAGTGCTTGGGTGGTGTGATGGCGTGGTCTGCGGGGGAGGATGGTCATGATTGGAGCCATGTACTTGCGTTGCAGAAAGGGGTTGCGGATACCTATTAGAAGGTGCAGGCGTAGAAGGAAGAAATTGCAGTTAGTTTGGGCAAAGTAGCTCTATAGTAAGTGAAATGCAAGGACTCTGTAAAGGTACCTAGCAAGGATTCTGCCATTGTATATTATTTAAATAAGGAACATCAATCACATTTCCTAGAGATGAATCTTAGCTTGTCCCTGCAACCCCGCCTCAGCAGGCTAAACACCTCACTTCAATCTATGCTATCCAATTCTTTCCCCCGTTGCTCGTTCCTCGTTGCTCGTTGCTCGTTGTGACTTCATATGATAAGTAACTACTGGCCTTCTTTACCTATATATGCTGCTTTGTCAAACCCAGTCCCGCTCGTCACTATCTTGTATACCAAACCTTCCTCCACTTCCATTTCCAGCGTTCCAGTTTTCTCTGCAGTAATGTGCACAACGAAGTGTGTTCCGCTGTAAGATTCAAGGGCTATTGTCACGTGTACGATTATTGGGAACGGATATCTAGTGTTTGTGCAGTATAACGGGGTTTGGGGTAGTGGTGGTAGTGGTGGTGGTTGATGAAGAAATTAGTTGCAGGGCATCTCACAAATCAGACCCTAGACTGGTGTTTATTTAACCATGTGCCTTGTTTTATTTGCTCAAATATCAGGTGTTGATGAGTATGTCGGAATTAAACGAGTAGATTCTACATATCATACAGCATGAGAATCGAGGGTTCAAATTGTGGACAATGCTTCATGAGATTCGTTCTTGCTTATCCCTTGCCCTTTGCACGATTCATTGGCCCCCAATTCTCCCGTGGATTCAGCTGATATCTGACTACCTTTTTTGCATCTTTCTCCTTCCCTAGCGTTTCGTCAAACACAACTTCGAGCTTCTTTTTCGAGCTCGAAGAGTCCTGTTCATCTTGCTCTTTGTTCGCTCCGCCAAGATTAGCTCCTCCATTTTCGGTCCCCTGTGTATCCTTTGATTCGCCAAGCTTCAGAATCTTGTAGCCGGCAGTTTCTTTCCTGACAGCGCCTTCCTTGATCGGTGCCTTCTGCTTTTCCCACTCTCTCATGACTTCCCAGATCACATCCCACGGTGCATCAGTTTTGATAGTTCCACCCTTGGTATGACTTCTCGTGACTCGATATCCAAGGTGTCTTAGTGCTCCCCGAAGTGCATTCTCATGAGGTGTAACACAATGGATGACCTTTGCAAGGGCGGACGGAATGAAGAAAAACGGGAAGTGATCAATAGCCGCAGGGTCGTATCTGTTGGTCTTTGCGGTTGCCGTTGGGGAGTTCGGGTCTTCATCCAATGTTGGGAGATCCTCTTCAAGCGCAACAGTAAGCATACCTTCGATTCGGTCGTAAGTTTGATATGTGTCTTTGGAAACGCTAGGTAGTCCGTCCAAGATCTTCTTAATAAATGCTGGAGAGTGGAGTGGACCAGCGTACATAGGTCCTGCCATATGAGTCTTCATACCACAATGACTGCAATTCTCATTCGCAACAGGCGCCATTCCAAATACGTGCTTCCAGAAATGACCTTTGCCGCTCTTGTTTGGCGCGAGTTTGTTCTTGCCCAGCATTTGCGTCGTCCATGCTCCGCAGCCACTATCACAATTATATACCACCATGGTCTTGCCAGCTAGAAATTTGACATCTGCTGGTGATTTGTGGATTCTGACAAACACTCGAGCATAAAAGTCGATAGAGAGGGAGAGGAGCGGTTCCATGGCTAGACCATACCGGGCGGCAGAAGAAGCAATGGCGTGTAAAATGAGGCGAAGTCCACCTTCGTGAGACTGCATGCCCTTGATAGGGATACCTCCATATAAAGAAAAGGCTTTCTCAGGATAACCATTCGAAGCCCAGACTCCAGCATCCGTGCATGTAACACATAAAAGTCCTCCATCTTCCCGGACAGACTGAACCGCAGCGTCTAAGAATGGTGCAGCTGTGCCGTATGGATCGAGGTCGATCACATCGTACTTTGTCCGTGGGTTTGCTAGGCTGTTTCCCTCCTTCGATTCTCCATGTGCCACATTGTACATGTGGGACAACGCATTGCCAGTCACAGCTTCGATTTTGTCTTCCAACTTGTTGTGCTTCGCATTAATCTTGATCATTTTCGTAGCATCCGGTAATAAGTCATTCGCTGTAACCAAAGTGGTAAAAGGGATCTCTTGAGAATATCTCAGGGCTCGCAGACCAGTCGCTGAAAGCGCATCGAGGATTGTGAATGCCGCCTTGGAAGTATTGGCGGGACGTTCTTCGGTCATACCCGTAGTATCTGGAACAGGAGTATGGGTTTTCAGCTCAGGTTCAGCTGTATTTGAAGCATCTGGTACCTGGGGCGTCGTCTGGGCTGGATCTTCAACAAACAACTGATGTTCAATAGCCTTTTGTTCCTCTTCGACCTGGACACTCGACTCGCCATCGACTTCATGTGGGGCTACTACTTTCGTGTTTGCGGATTCGATATTCGGGGTTTGATTCGTTTCGTCGAGTTTTCCAGCTTTTCGCGGAGCTTCGCCAACACCATCTTCCCCACGCTTTCGCTTTTTCTCTTGCTTCTCTTTCTTTTTCGCAAGCAGCTTCTGTCGAGATTTCTGTGCAGTCTTCTGCTTCCTCTCAATAACCTCCTCGCCGTATGCCTTGATTGCCAGAACGCTTAGATCTCGATTGAATTGTTGGATGGGATTGTAAAAGACCGATTGAGCTTGGTTTTCTCCCTTAGGAGAGGTCTGAGGGGTTTTCGCCGCAGACGCAGGTATGAGGATGTGTGCCAGTCCTTCCTTGATCGTTGAATATTCATTGCCATCATGAAGGATGTGCTGATCAGCAGCTGGGGTGGCAGTGATATCTGGAAGCGGGTTCGAGGCCATTGTGTGTGAGGAAATGCAATGAGCCCTGTGGAGTTGAAAGGAATTCGTGGCCACAACTACATGTCTTCGAAAAGCCCTACAGACGGTTGCTGAGAATAGTTTCATACGTCGTTGGACTCCTTTGAAGATTTGGAGATTAACATTTTTGGTGCGAGGCTGAATATTTTTTGGATAAACCCTCCGGAGCGGGAAAACATCTTCTCCGGCCTCGCTTCAGCCCCTTTTGAATCTCTTGATTTGTTTCCATGGGCTCTTCTAACTTCTCTGCAAACGCAACATTTCCATTCCCTAGGAGAGTTTTAACTCATCCTTGTCATTGAAATATAAGGCGTATGATACTGGCAATTATCAATCTAGCATTTTCGTGACCTCAAGATGTTTTACCATCTGGAACATGCTCCTCGGCCGAGGAACGTGACCTTAATGTGCAAGAGAAATACGCCCAAACCGACATCTGTCATCTGCCTCTCCTAAACGTTATAACACCTGAAAGCTTGAAATGCATCATATTTGCCTGCTAGACTAGCCTGATTCTCATCTTGTAGGTCTGAGTAGAAAGTCTCACATAGATTTAGCAATTAAAGTGCTAGTTGAATGGCTCCCAGAGCCGTTTGTGACTTGAAAAGTTCTCAATTATATGGCACAGCAAGCTTTCACTCCAACTCCAACCAAAGCAGCTTTTCCCTCCTCCGTCCTTTAATCACCCAATTAGTTACGGTAGGTGATTGTACCCTCTCTCAGTTTCTGTAACGCCTCACTGAATGATGTCAAGTCCTCCGAAGCACTCGTGATCCAGTCCACGCAGATCATAGGCCCGAGGGTTTCATTGCCATCAGCTACCGTTGAGACACCGCCTGCGATGCTGTATCTAAAGGTAGCAGGGTCTCGGGTCGCGAGGCTCTTATAGGATGTGATATTAAGCTCGATAGAGGATATTGGGGGGTTACCCGCTACGATACCAAACTCCGCAGCGCGCCCTGAAGAAGGGCCGAGAACTAGCGTGTCGAGAAGCTTCGGTCCTGCTGCGTTTAGAGGACCGAAAATATTGGTGTTGCTTGGTTGAATGCCTCGCAGGTCTTCCTGTAGCCAGTTGCGCAGTAGACGTGCTAGTCGCAGCTGGTTATTGCTAGATGGCATGATTTGTATCGGGTAGGGAGATGGAGGCTTGTTACTCCTTCTGCGGCTGTCGATTCGTAGGGTTGATGGCTAGAAAGTAGAGTGGGAAGCAACAATATCGACAGTTATATAAGCTGATTATGATTGCTAGGACAAAACAGAGGTCTGATGCTTACACTAAGGAGAGTCAGAAACTCAGTCATATTGCTATGGAAGAAACGTTGACAAGAACCAAACTTTTGAAACAGGAACCACGTACCAAGAGTTTGGTGCCTTGTGAATCAAAGTGATTGTTGGGAGCTCATGCTTGTAGGGCCTTGGTCACTCTTACAATCCCAGATTTTTATTTGCGGTCGATGTCTCTTCCTTAAATAGCATTCCTATCATCTCCCTGGACGTTCTACTCGTATTCCTCTTGTTTTGCGAAATTGATTGGTGATCTTGGCGATATGCTGCCCTGGCGCAAGTTCGTTGTCATGGCATGTTTAGGGCTGAAATTACAAAAAGACGCAATTAAAATTTATATAAATGTATATTTTTCCGCGCACCCTGATACCTTGAATGTAGCCTGCACAAATGAAAATCTTTATGAGATCCTGAAATGGCCTCTTCTACCGAGCGTGCCAAGGAAAGGTGTTTAGACATGAAGAAATCTTAGACAATGACACGGATGTACATTTCAATAAGCCACGAATACCTATTTCCTACAAACAAAACCCTCAGGTCTGCTCTGACAAAGGCGTCAACGAAACAGATTTACCCTCAGGCCATAAAGCTGTGCTATCTGCCTGTCCCAAAGCTGCACTATAAATTTCGAAACTAGTCCCTGCATCTGCAGTACCCCAAAACCAGCTCTGAGCCCCCGTTCCAATATCAGGCTCAATACATTGCTCAATGATGGCATTTAGATCTGGCTGGCATTGGCCCTGTTGTTGGTTGCCGTTGTCGTTCACTTGCGCAATCAGTCCATCTGGGAGCATGACAGTCAGGAAACAATCCTCGTCTGATAACTGTGCTGATCCGGAGCCGGAGGGGATGGAAGAGGGTAATTGGCAAGATCCGGTTTGTTGTGAGGCACAGAGCGCGGTGGATAGGATGCTCAAAAGGCCGGTGATATCTGTGGGTTGGTTGTTGGCAAGGAGGAGCTGCATCTTTCGTACTGTGAAGGAGTTCTTGACCCCGATATCCGTTTTGCACTTTACGGAGTCTGCTGTACCGGTAGGCGTGGGGGCAGAAGTGGAGCTACTAGAGGATATTATGGGTGGCAGCCCGATACCGGTGCCTGATGGCGCTGGAAAGAGGGTCGATGTTGGGTTTAGTGAGGAGTGTTTGGCACCATTGCCGTTAATGGGATGCAGTCCTGCTTGGTAGAATTGGAAGACGTGGTCGCCATTCCAGAACCCGGCGTTAGGACCGTTCTGAACGCAGTCTTGCACAATGTTCAGTGTTGAGTCCCAGCACTCTTGTTGTTCGACGTCGGTCGCTGGGGTTGCGCGGTACAGGTAGGCTTCTGCTTGGAAGGGGAGGGCGACTGCCATTTCACATCCCGAACCAGAGTCGGTGACTGTCGCGACTGCTACGCCTTCAGGAAGTCCAGGGGGCAGGGAGCATTGGTTCATACAGCTCATTTGTCGCAACTGCAAAAGGAGCGTGTTGATATCCGTCGTTGTCGTTTCGTTGAGGACGTATTTCTTATCTGTTGCATAATTGGACACGGTATTTTTCTGGCAAGAAGGCGAGGCGATGGGATATGCGCTCTGAGTCTTGAGACCTGTATTACTTGAAGATGTCCTCGAGCCCGTTTGTGAAATTGCTGATACCTGCGACGAGGTAGGAAGGTTTGAGCTCGTTTTTGAGCCTGAAACGGATTGTGAGGACGCAGAGTTCGTACTCGGACCCGTTTGTGAGCCAGTCGTGACCCCCGACGAGGTAGAAGCATCTGTCGGTGGGGGCGCAGCAATACTGAGCACTGTTCTTATAGCACAAAGAGCACTCGAGCTCGAACTCGAAGTCGAACTAGAAGTCGAACTTGCGCTAGAAGCCGGACTCTCAGAGGCACCAGAAGAAGCACCAGCCTTAGTACTCCCGCCTCCCCCGATAGGAAGCGGTACAATTGGTACTATCAGCGGCGGCGAAATAGGAGCAGGAACTGGAAAATGGGGAGTGAGCCCGAATGGGAACCACGCCGCTCCGCCGGCAAATATAATCAGAGGAATGAGGCCGTGGCTACCGTCACTGGTAGTAATCGTCGTCTGCGCTGTAACAGACGTATATGCGGGAAGGATTGTAGGGATGAATGATGCCGTTTCCGTTACTCCGCTGATTGTGGCAATGACCACGGAGGGTGTTGGCGTTTGAGTGGGGGTACTGAGTGAGCCGCCGCCGGGAAGAAGGGTGGAACTCGAGCTCTTTGCTCCAGATGGTGCAGATTGAGTATAGCCTGTTCCATAAGAGCTTGCCTGGGATTCTGTATTTGATGTGGAAGTTTCCGTGTCTGAAGCCTTGCCGCTAGATGTTGAATGAGACTCTGTGTTTGTTCCTGTTACAGTGGCGGATTTCGTATTGGCACCATCCGTGCTAGAAGAGAAGCACTTGCCCACAGACGTAGAGAAAGTAGAGGAGACCGAGACTGTGGCAGAGATTTGAGAGGTTCTCGAGCTAGCAGAGCTCTTGCTGTCAGAGCTTGAGGGGGCGGTGTTGCTGGTCCCACTCCTTAAAGCCGATGAGCTGCTTCTTAAACCTCCAGTCGGCGGTAATACAGTAGTCGTTCCATCCACATCCAAGGCTCCACTAGATCCAAATGATACAGTATGTGATCCGATTGTATGCTGTGCCGTTCCTGGAGTGATCGACGTGCTTCCAAAGAATAAGATCGCATCATCGCCTATGGCTACAATTCCGGAGGCTAGAGTGATTGTCTCGTAGCTGGCCGTTGTTGTCGCTTTTCCGGTGTGGGATTTGCTTGAAGAAACATGTCCAGAAGAAGAGGCTTTAGTACTCTCCGAAAATGTACTTGACGTTTGTGTCTTTTTGGTGTGGGGACCGCTGGAAGAGGTAGCCTCAGAAGAAACTTTACCACTTTCAGAGGAGGTACTTTGACTTGGCGAAGAACTTGAAGTTTGTATGACGGCAGAAGTGGTCAATTTCGTGAAGTAAACCAGGCCAAGAAGGACGCGACCGCTATGTAATAGCTTCATGATTGTTGGAAGATGACAAAGTATCGATCAACGACTGAAAGACTGCTCAAAAACGACTGCAAGAAAATGAAAAGAAATTGTAGGGAAGATGTATGTTCTATAAAAACATCAGCGGGGTGGTAGATACATGTAGTAAGTTGCTCAACACGACAGTTATAATTAGAGTCCAAATTTATAAATATGAGCCGAAAGCAATTGAAGCTTGATAGTATCACTTGAATCCTCGGCTATTAGCAGTCCTTTTGCCTGAGTCAGCTCGTATCTTGTTTTGCACTTTTTGTGCTTTCAATGTCCATTCTCTAAATCCTTTCGTGGACACCGATCAAGTACGAGGAGCTTTCCATCAATCAGCTTCTTCAAATTATAACCCACGTATAACTCTTGTGAATTTGGAGATATAAAAAGGCAATGGTCTCGAGCAATAATAAATCAAGGATTTTCAACGCACTCCTATCCCGTGTTGGCACGACAGTAGTGTCGAGCCTTGCTCCCGAGTAGGAATAGTCCAGCAAATACGTTATTACAAGGTCGTGCAACCGTAAGGCTGAAACCGTAGCATCTGTCCGGGTAGTCAGGGGAAATGCAAAAGATCGCTCCTAAAAGGGTGTTCGTTGGCCTGAATAAGATTTGCGGTTATTTTAAGATTTAAGAATTCTTAGCTAGGACACCGCCGGGAGAAGTTCTCAATGTCGTACCTTATTTTGGCGCTATAAACTGCAAGTGACACGGGCTGCTTCGCCCTCCTCTGCCACAAGCGCAATGTTTTTGCTGTAGGTAAGGTCAGCCCACATATTCGAGCCATGAAGGATCGTCATCATACGGCAGCGGTTCTAAGAATGATCTTCTGCAGTTACTTAGCTTGCACGTCTGTGATTGTTGAATTTGGGAAAGCGATTCGGGAAGGATTCGGAAATATGACATCCTAGGAGAGACAGTCAGCTTCGAATTAGAATCGAGACGGTTTCCTTTCCAGGACCTTATACACGGGAAGAATTCGGCCCCAATCTTGAGGTATTATTAGATTGATGGTGTCCTTGTACCGTTGCATGACGATGACTAGACTGTATATCTTAAAGATATAAGTTCCATTGTGCCTCCACCCCTAGTAGCTCTTCCATCTTCTGCTCAATCTTTCCCTGATCATTCTTTGAACTGATCGCGCCTGTAGCCTTATCATCATGCATTTATTTTCGTATTCTTTGCTGTTATGTTCGATATTTGTACTTGATCATGTACTTGGGGCCGACATCACAGAAAAAAGGTCCGTCATGGCCAACGATCCTCCTCGCCCGAAGGGATCCCTAACAGGTCTCGACATCGACGCTCTTCCATCTTACGACACCATCAAGGTCGCTACTATCCACTACGAATACAATGAATCTGATAGAGATGTACCTCAAGTGAAGGCTGAATTGTCGGCCATGCAACACATCTTCCTGCAGTACGGCGCTTCAGTTCGTGACATCTCGATCCCCAAAGGTTCAAACGCCCAGTCGTTTGTCGAAAGCCAGATAACATCACTGTTCCAAGGTTTGAGTGGGCCTGGATCACTCGCCATTATTATATACGGAGGGCATGGTAATAGAGGCGGCACATGGACAGCGTAAGTCATATGATCCAATATCTGACGGCTTTATTCGGAAGCCAAGTTTTTCGCTTCACAGATCAATGCTTTTGAGATCCAGATCTGACCTTTTCTAGATCTAATGATGATGGGAGTTTCTCGGTGGACTGGAAAAGCATCGACACCAACATCATAGCTGGGACAGGTGTCGACACTTTCCAGCTCATCGACGCCTGTCATGCTGCCAGCTTCCTGCCTTCGACAACAGAGGCAATTCCGGACTCGTACAGCGGCCGTGGAGCATTCAACGTGATAGCGTCTTCGAGTGCCGAAACCATAGCCGGGATCAACGAGCTCGCTTTTACCAAGGCTGTCATTTATACGTTGGCGCCTGCAGACGGCGCTGTTCCGGCGAATTTTACTCCGGCGAGTCTTTGGCAAGCGCTTCCAGTTGTGCATGAGGCTTTTGCGGAATTAAGCGGGGATGGGGCCATGAAAGCTGCAATCCTTGATGGGTCTTACAGACCTGAGTTTTACACGCAGGCGAGTACTGTCTCCACGACCTCACGCAAGATTAGCGTTTTGAGCTGTTAAGTGTGGAGGATCGATGGTGTGGGGGGCTTGCCGTGCTTATTTATCAAGGAGGGTACAGGTTACTATAATAGACCTTGATCTCAAGGGCTTATGTCTGAAACTTCGTATTGCGTTTCTTAAGAAGCCTTCGACGGGATTGGTTATTAAAAAATACCAGACTCTACATTTCTTCGGGACTCGACCACATCATGATTCCTGCTGGCGTAGAGTTAAAGCTTTCAAAAATCAATCCAATGTACCGATGTAACGTTACTTGTTACTGGCGGTCCTCCTGGCAAGCAACGCTGAACATCTTGTGACGAGCTACCAAGCGCTCTGTGTATACCGCATCTTTTTAAAGCGGGAAGCAGCTGTTACCCTCTCAACATTTAGTCCAGCTTAGAAGAGAAAGATATCTGATAAAGTATGTTCAAGTTTCCATGCCTCATCCTTCATCAACCCATGCAAGTAGCAACCACCAACGAAACGGTAAAATCCTGGGATTGGGCCAATTGGCCGTAGCACAAATGGGAGGTCCGATCCCTGAAACATAAACACCTCATCCATATCAGAAGACGCGTGCGGAACGAGGCCAACATAACCTTGTGTGGTTTTGCAGAACGCATATTCGGGCATCAGACCGATCCAGACATCCATCCACGAGTTCAAACTCGAGAGTTTCTGATCATTGGTAGCGTTGTTTAACATGCTCTTTGCTTCTTTGTATTGTTGTATTGCATCAGGGATAGAAGTCTTTGTCCTGTTGAGATGATCGGCAATGAGCGTTCTGCATTGGACTTCAGGCCATGATTGGCCTGTAAAGTATACATCGCCGTTCGTGATTGCCTCGGTTCGTTGGAAGTACGTGTTGGATGCGGCAGGGAAACTAGAGAGATTAAACTCGAGGATATCATCATAAAGCTTCACAACAGCTTCCAACTTATCTACACGGAATCCTGTGACCTTGAGCACGTTATTCGCTCCGTCGACCAGTGAAACGTAGGATTTCGAGTCGACTCGGCTCTCAAAGCCGCCAGAATATTGGTTATACGCCCACCCGAGCTTCAGCCAATGGCTTCCTAGTGACCGCTGTAGAGTCCAGTCCGGTACCCAAGAAGGAAGAGCTAGGTTTTGAACTTCCAAAGATATTTTGGTAGCATGGAAGAGGAGATCCATGCCTTGTCCTTTCTCCACCAGTTTTCTGCCGAATCTTAGATTTGTCTGGTACGAAGTCTCCTCGTAATCGGGGGGAAACTCCTCGAGGTTGATATCTTCTGCAAGGCCAATCAATGCATAAAGCCGATCTTGTGGCTTGGTTGCTTCGTTATGAACGAACAGTCCCAATAGCTTCATGATCGGTGTTGTCGATGACTTGACCCCATCAAGAGCAAAAATCGTTCGTTCCAATGCTGGGTACAAATTTCGGTGCTTCCGGCAGGACTTCACTATGAAGTCTCGTTTAGCAACTAGGTCAAGGGCAAGACATTCGATGTGGCTTTCTTTCGGGGCGTCCAGGGGTGCGAATTCAATATCTCTCCTGAGGAATTCCAACCTCTCTGCAACCACCGACCGGGTTAGACGTAAGCCCAGCTTGAGAATTAGACTCATGGCCGCATGTCGAGCCTTATCGAAATCAAAGGTCCAGGACTGATAACGATTGGTATTTAAAAGAGAATCAAATTTTTCTGCCATGTCGGCAAGTACCCCCCATCTTGACTCCCACTCGCCACAGAAAAATCTTATATCACGGGCGTAAACAACCTCTTGAATGACCCAAATTCTCAAGAACCATGGCCGGCAAAGGAAAGCTACCAAAGCACTCCATTCTGCGGCGTAGGGTTGAGGTAGCCCGTTAGAGAGGAAGTTTTCCGGCGACTTTTTCATCTCCCGAATGCAAGCAAGATCTACTTTCCCGAGACTTTTTAGTAATTCTGGTAGCATCTCACTACCGTCTGCTTCTACTCCAAGGTCCACCAGGACTTTCCGCGCATAGGTGTAAATCGTGGGCATAAGCGCTACTTGTATACCCTTCTCCTTGTTGTCTGTTTGGTTAATGCAGACGCCATCTGCCCAGAGCTTTCGAATCCGGTCTGGGTATCTTAGACGAATCAAAGCATTGGATAAAGACTGAGTTATTGGCATTTGACATCCATCTAAAAGGATGAAGCAAGGCTTAGAATCCCCTCCCCAGGTGTATGAGATTGCTTCAAACCCCTTTTCTTGGATGATGGTATGCTGAAGCGTGCCTCTTAGCGGTTCACACGGGCTTCCAGGGTGGAGAGTGAGAAGGCGAATGGCACCTTGTCCATTTAGGGGTCGGTATATGAAAGGCGAGCTGAAAAACTCTCGTATCATGAGATTTTCGAGTTCAAGAAGTATTGGATCTTGTATTGTGTCTTCCTCGGTGAGATTTTGTTGATCTGGCGCGCCAATAATGTGCCTCAACAAGGCATCAGCTGTGGCTGGTGATGAGGTTCTAGAGACTGCCTCACACACTCCAGTTATTTCTGCAGCCAGCTCATAGAAGACAGCGTCTTCGTAGAGAGGTATCGTACTCATATTGATGATTTCTAGATAGAGACGATTGCAAGAGAATCAATGTCGCGGTTAAGAAGCAAAAGTAAAGGAAATCGCCCGACGAGGCAGAAAGATTAGGCTACAGTAAATACCCCGCCCCCTTTCCGCTCCCGTCACGTGTAGTGTAAATCCTGAGCAGTCACCCATTTTCGGAATTCATTCTCAGTTGCTTGGTCTGATATTGGCACAGGATGATCAAAGATTAGAGTGGATTACTGTAGTTCTCGCGAAAAGAAAACATCATTTGTAATTCCCCAACTCCAGCACTCCCCCAACTCCCTCCACCCACTACATGACAACATACTCCTTCCCCTGAGCCCAGCCATCATAATGTTTCCTCTTCAGCGCCGCCAACTCAACTCCGTGAAATGTCCTCACATTCACTGGACACACCGGATCCCCCTCTTCCAACACGCGCACCAACACACTAACCCCACAGATACTACAAAAGGTGTGCAAGCTCTCTTTACTCAAAAAGTCATACTCTATTAGTTTGTCGGCGCCAGTGTGGATTGTGACTTTGCTTGTGTTGGGGTAGATGTACAGTTCACCATTCTGTGCCGCGTTAGTTTCGAGTAGGTGAAGAAGATGAAAGGGGAGGGACATACACGTGAGCATAACGAGCAATTGCAAGACATAACTTCGAGGTCAGCGAGTAGTTTGAACTCCACTGATATCGTCACCGCCCCACAATGGCAATTCCCGTCGTACATTCGCGCTCCTGGCTCAGGATCGGGGTGTGCTGGAAATTTGGGTAGGGTGTATGGCGGGTCGAGATCACCTCCTGGGAAGGGGTTGTCTTCTAGAGAAGAGACCGTCACGTTTCTTAACATTCGCGCCTGGGATAGATTTAGCTTTAGATCTTGGAATTGAGATTGGTTTCTGGGAATGTACGTTGATGCCGAGTGCGCGGCCAGCGGGTGCGGCTTTCCGCTTTCCTAGGACAGAGGAGCCGCATCTTTTGCAGAACTATATATGCGAGTTCATTAGCATGCATGTTGTGGAGGATATATAAAGCATATAGAGCGGAAAACATACGAAGTGACTCATATCCTTGCCTCCAAATTCATACACGCTTAGATCTTCAATGCTTCCCTTTTCGATGACGAGGTTCTCATTGGCGATAGGGAAGATCCATGCGTAAGCATTCTTTTTTTTTATGTCAGTCAATTCCATTCTTTCATCTCGCAAGAGAGAGACATACCCGGGAGCAAATACTACAGTTGCATGTTCTAACACTCTTCAGTTCTGGGACCTTGATGCTGAACTTGAAGGCTGCGCAATGGCAATTCCCGTAGTAGGTCTTCAATTCCGTGTCAGTCATCTTTAGAAAGTTGTTTGAAAGGTTCTTTCAAGATCAAAGAATTTAAGAAAGCAAAATGTTTGTAAAAGATGAATTTAGAGCTGCGAGCACTAGGGTGAATGGCACTGAATGCGGGGTGCCATCGGTGGCTGCTGTTGCCTGGTCGGTCTATGCGACGAGTAGTCATGATCATATTCTCATGGTGTACCCTACAAGATTGTAATTATTTGCCTATTTAGGTGTGATACATTTGGAGATAGATTTTGCGTTCGGTCTGGCGGCGGGGTGCAAGTCAAGTGTAGGAGGTCCTCGTGACTTGCCGACTCCCTAAAGCAGTCCCGTTCAATTAGGTTTTGCCAGTACGACTTTTGCTATTGTTAGTGGTTCGCTTTTGTTCTCATCTCCGAAGTCCGCAACGTTCCCTTCCTTCTACAGTACTTCTGTAGGATATCAAATCAAATACGTGAATATGGTCACGTGTACGCGGAGCTCCACAGATTCCGCGGGCAATCTCATAAGAAACACTGGTTTCATCGCTCTCCGGTATTCCGCAATGTACTCGGTGACAAATGTGACGTATACAAAACATAACAGACAGGCATAATCTAGGAGGAACCCAGATCCCTTTTCAAACCGGCATTATGCATTTCCAACACCTGGCAGACGACGAGTGAAAGTAAGCCACATACGTGCCATTACTGTCACTGATGAAGAGCCACTCATAGAAGATGATGTAGTTGGACGGCGTTCAGAACTATCTGATTACTTCGTACCGGCAACATACTTGTAATGCCCGCTTCACTACTCGGTATTCTGAGAGCTGACGTTACGGATATGCCTTGGGCCAGCTTAAGGGTACATGTTATTGGCGGGAGAGCTGGAACATCTATGCAAAGTCCTGTTTCTGGAACCTCTATAAACTCGGCATGTTGAGCTCGCCCAAACAACCTAGCCTGAGTTAGCAATGATGGGAGGAGCTGAAGCAATCATACAGTACAAGACCCGGCGCGGCCAGCAAGGGCTTATCCGATAAGAAACAAAGCGGGGTCTTAGAATAGAATATAATATCATCACGTGATGACGACTGTTTTCATCCGGAATGTGTCTTAACTTCTGAGAGAATAGTTATCCATAAGGTAATGTTTCTGTATACCCTACCTAGGTATGTGCGCCATCAAGATTTGGATCCTGAGTTGATCTCTGTTGGTAATCCAGACCCAGGCCAGGCACGCGTCGCAATCCTTGGCACCCCACCCCACGCCACCCACTCCTCTTATCCTCCTGCATGTGTTATGCACGCCATCATCACATAGCTTTATCGGCGCAAGCTCTCTCCCGTGCTTGCTCTTCCTTCCCTTCCCTTCCCTTCCCTTCCTACAAATCCCCGCGGTTAACTCGCAATCTCCCTCCCTCTTCCTCCTTCTCTTCCTCCTATCCCTTCCCCTCCCGTCCCCTCCCACACCAAACTCGTGCCCCGCCTCATAGGTTAGTTACTTATATCTGACCTGATGACCGAGGTCATGGGCAATCCCGCCATGGGAATGGCTGTGTGATTACCGCTTGGCTGGTGGCCTTGCTCACGGGCGCAAGCGGTTGGTGGTTGTATCAACCTGCCTTGCCTTGTTCCTGGTTATCCGACCTATGTAAATAAGAACCAACGCGTCCCCTCCCTCCCCTTTCCCTTTCTCTTCCCCATCTATCATATCATATCAAGTAATACAACACCAGAGAAAGCATCATCCATAAACAGCCCTCAATATACTCTCTCTCTCTTTGTTTTAATAGACGGATAATTGCATTCACTTGCTAATTACCCAAACGACTCTCTTTATCTTCAGCCTCGCCTGACTCATTCGACTCATTCGCCGGGTCCATCCAACGCAGTCATCTCCCTCTCGTACCTTCATATCTCTTTGTCTTGCATCTGCACGCTCGTCTCTTACCATACCATACCTTCCCATTCACCACCACTTGATTGTGTTGGTCTGCGCCTTCCTCATTTCCCGCGAATCGAGTCATTCGGCGAAACTTGCTACTTCCCTCGTTTCGATATTCGGTCTCTTATTAACAACTTCCCTCCTACTTCTACTCTTCATAGAATCATACCCAAAGCACGAAATTGCAATCACAATTTATCACACGCCTTACTAGTTGGCTGGATTCCTTTTTGAATCGCCGGAAACAGAGAAGATTCACGGATTGGAGCATTCGTTGACTCACATCAAATCAAAGAGAAGAGTATATCAATAGAGCTCCCACTGCAAACAGCTTCTTACCAACTCAACATCCATCCTCTATTCCGCACAAATTTACGATTCAACTCCAACCAATATGTCTACCACTTCCGCCACCGACTCTACATCTCCTATCCAACACCGCGACATCCGATCTGCTGCTCAAGGATTCAAGCGCGACAAGGACGCCAATACGAAGTGGGCCAACGGCATCCGACCTGGAGCCGGCGTGTCCTTCAAGAACCTTTACAACGACGAGCTGGTCAGTGGAAGTGAGGCCCAGTCTGAGAAAGTCCGACCACATAAACAATGGTCTCAAAAGTATGTTTCCATTCTCTCCATGCAGTGAAAGAAAGCTAATTGAACTCCTCTCCAGCTCGAACGGCAACTACAAGAGCCACGCGAACAAGAACCCTAGGACGACCTCACATGCTACATATGTCTTTGGCGCTGCCTCTGGCCGTCTCGACCGCAAAGTCGACGCCTCCCTCGAAGTCAACGATTACACGACTTCTACACTCTCCAAGTCCCTCATCGATCTCTTGCCCCAGCATGCCAACAACACCAACACATCCATTCAAACTGCTCTTCGTGACGTGAGCGGCGATGCTGGCGTCATCTACAGCTTTGACAACAAGGCCAGTCCTAGCGGCTCTGTAGCACTTGGCAATCTAGTTGAGATAGCAGAGAAGAAGTGGATGAGCGAGCAAACCGAGCGAATCGTGAATGGCGAGTATGAGGTTTTGGATGGGGAGGGAGAGACTACCGTTCTCAAGGGAAGAAAGAGGAGCCCAAAGCAGAAGGCTTCCAAGATCCAAGCCCAGGACGCCATTGAGGACGATGGCTTTGAGCTCATTTAAGCTATGGGCTGATTGGATGTGGTTGGTGGTTGGATGACACCATTTGTATTGAGCATGAGCTACCTTGAAGGTGCCTTCTTTTCAAGGTTTTGCTTAAGGTGTTCGGAGGCGTTGCCCGGTAATAGCTTACCCTGGTATGGGAAGGATAGCTTACCTTTTTCTTTCTCTTCTCTTGCAGGTGTAGACATACAGGGACGGACGGTTTTGGTGTTAGGTTGCATGGCATAGCCTACCCAGTGCGGGAAGGATGGCTCACCAAGGAGTACAGCACTTAGATATCCAGACGCGCATACGCAAGGATGATTATTATTAATAGTTATCCAGAATACCGAGCTCCTGGTGACATTCCTCATGCTAAGTGCACAAAGCGACACTCTTGAGAACAACTTTGATGTCTGTTTCCGCTTGACACCCAATAATCCGGTGATCTTCCAGTCCACCGCGAGTATGGTACGAGTGACTTGATAACGCGAGCATTGCTCAAGTGACTTGCTTCGCCTCTGCTGAGTGAGACGTAGTCTACACGTGACATTATCAGATCAACTTCAAGCAAGTCATACTAATATTTCCTATACCCCCAGACCTTTCATTCTCCACAAGGTTCCATTCATCCATCCTCCGTATCCCTTCACTATCTTGACCTTGACTCTGCAGCCCGGCATCTCCCTGCACGCAGGAGCACTATCACGTGACTTGGTCTTTGGGGTTAGTGTCGTGGCATATCCCTCCACTCACCTCTGTTTTCTAACCCCGGCTCCCGGGTATCTTCATGAACAAATTACGAGAGAAAAAAAAACGCAGGCGATATCCTAGATATGGTAGGTACTAGACGTATATGCAGAGAATGCGCCGGATGTAAGATTACGGTAGTGTAGCTGTTTTCATGCGGTTTCTGGGTGCTAAGTGCTGGATTCGGTGCAGTGTGGTGTAGGGTAGTGTGTTTTCCTTGTCGCTGGTTTTAAGGCTATGGAATAACCGAAGTTCTTGATCTGTCGAATTTCTTTTCTTATAATATGTTCGTGATTACGGTCTGGTTTGGTGGGAGCTTTGGATTATTCAAGTTGTTTATTTTGATAAAAAGAAATCTACATTTGTCCGTTTGCAGACGTTTTCCGGGTTTTGAATCTTTCAGTTGAATCAAGTCTTAAAACAGCATGTCTTTACTTTTCTGGCCTTTATGCATCTCAATCGAACGAGTTCTCTTTGTCTTTAGTTTTCTTTAGAGGCACGAATACCAAAATTGTGGACTTGATCTATCAACTCCATATTTTCACCTAGATTTTCCAGGCATCCTTTCTCGGTACATTCCAGCTCGGAAACCAAACCTCCAAGATTCCACCAAAGTACTCGGATGGGATCTGGGATCTTGAAATCCCTACCCCACTCTCCCAAAAATCGTCGTCCCATCTGCAGCCCTATCCACAGGTACCTCTTCCATTCAACGATAGTTTGCAGTTTAGCAACGTCGACTACATGCGGTCTACGAGACCAGCAGAATCCAGACATATAATCAACAAGCACTTCTTGCCAGAGCTCCCCAAGGCGCCGACGTGGTCGAAAGGGGAAAAGTGGAAGCTGGACAGCAATCGGAATAGAGGTCAGGTGCATGAGTTTATAACAGGTCTCCCGTGTGCCCCAGGTATTGCATGGAAGATTGGGCATTCGAAATACAGCTTTGACACCGAGGTGTCTGATGCCATTCGGGACCTGTGGCACCAAGCAGACACATATTGGATTGCTCGTAAGTTCGACATTGCTCTTGGATGCAATGGTGTTGCCAAATCAAGATTGACTGCTAAGAATAGAGACAGTTGCGTGTCACATCTATGGAGACGGCTCTTAGTGGCCTTGGGTAAAGGCACAGCACTTGGTGTTCATCCGAGATGTCATTTCAGGGAATGGCACGAAACGGTATGAAAATGGAAAGAAGATACCGAAGCATCCTCGCCACGATCTTTACATGCGACTTAATAGCCAAATACGCCATATCCCAAAGGATATATCTGAAGTAAGTATTGAATGTCCTAAGCCAAATTTTTATGTAGTCTAGTTTGTTCTTTCAAATGAGTAATGCTGACTGGGAGGCCTAATAAAAGTGGCTTCATACTGGATATATCTCGACGATTAATGGAATTAAGCGTCCGACCAAGCCAATGATTCGCTCAAACATCTCTCAGCAGCTACTAGTTCAACACCAATTCGTCAACCACTTCATGCTTCAAGTCACTGCTGATCTTTACTCCATCTTCCTGATCCTCTACATTTTGAAAGACGACGGAAATTTCCACGAGGGTGTCCTAGGCCGCGGAGATCCTAGCAGAAGCAACATCGCTCTCCTCTTAGGAAGTAACCGCATATACTCCCCCCTACTCCCCTTTTCGAAAGGGAAACCCGCAGTTCCCAACGTCAACATCACAATCAAAATCGACTGGGACACGGCCGCAGATGCAGAGGGACGCTCTAAGGACCCGCCAAAAAAGAACAACCCTTTCTTCCATCCCTATCGAATGGATTTCGAGGATGTAGGAGTTCCCAAACCCCTCGTACCGCACCCACACATCCCCATCCCCACAGATAGCCAGCTTCAGGAGGTCGCGTGGCTCGAGATCACGTATGACCCTGTGCCTGAGGGCGCTTCAAAGCCAGTCAGCCGACTACCACCTTCCCTCCCCTCCTCCCCAACGGTTCCCAATTTCCAGATCCCCGAAGATCTAAAGCCATACCTAAATGGCAACTTGAAGAGGAAGCGAGAGAGATATATAGACCCAGATTATACTTTCATGGGTGGCTGGTGTCCCAAGTTCAACTCGTGGTCGGAAATCGAACTCGTATGTCCCTTCTTCCCCTCCCTTCCCTTCCCCTCCATTCCCTTCCTCAACCCACTCACCCCATACTAACAAACCCCACCACAGCAACACGCCGCCGCAAAACTCGACGTCCCCTACCCCCACGCCACAGACAACACAACCCTAGCCCAAACCCTGGTTCCACAGCTGAAGCAAGCATTCCGAGCAAAGCGCCAGGCGTTCTGGGATAGCTCGCGGCTGCAGTGGGATAGTCAGCAGGCGGCGCTGGATCGGAAATGGTGGCAGAGCCAGATAGCAGAGGCGAGGAAGAGAAAATGTGTATTGGAGGAAAGGACACCCAGGAAGAAGAAACAGAAGAGGGCTTGAGTGGGGTGGGGGTTAGTTAATTTTGCACTGTTTTTCGGTAGCTAGATTGTTTTACAATAGTGATACCAATTTACCGTTTCTCGTAGCTTGAATATCGACTCTTTAATTTCGTCGCTCGTAGGTCCCGAGTCAAGGCAATGCAGTGTAATAAGCGTGCAGAAAGGATAATCCCCGGGAAGAGGCAATGCTTGGCTGCGAGTGTGCGGAGTGGAGTATACTAGATATCAAGATTAGGTTCCACTGCTTCCTAGACCCCGGTATGACTACCTATCCATATAGCCATCGCCATGTTATTACTGGAGCTTATCATTGGTCCGGATCGAGATGGCCTATTAACTAAATGGCTGCAAGTTTGGGGACACAACACAGCTAGCGCGATTATGCGGCAGTAATGAATGAGTGGCATAAGGATGTTGAAATCTCAACGACGACTGGCTCGCCCCTTATGCTTTCTAGTTGCCCGTGAGTACCTGTGTCGCTAAGTAGATCCTTGCAATCGGAGCCGTCGTTCTCAGCTACTGGGCACTTTCAGGAGAATTATAGGTATGACACTATGCAGTTGTCACACTATGCAGCTGTTCTCGATGCATGCATGATATGAGCTTCCGAGAACTTTGCTGGGGTTGACGCAGTGCACTCGGTCTGCCCTAGGTGAGCGACCTTAGGATTCCTCGAGGCTGTGGGATATTTTGTAGATAACAATAATGAAGGTGTTTTATTCTCGATTGCAGTAAAACATTGAACTTTTAGTTTTTATGTAAAGCCTCCTAACTCCGTTCCGTAACCCAGATGTGTTGTGCCTGCCATATTTTATCTAGTAACCAGAGGTATTGTCTGAGAAGTAGAATGGGATGTGATGCAGGAACAGAACAACTTGTAAATGCTTCCTTTACTTTACTAGGCGAGCATTGTACGGGTGGTGCTGCCCAATCAATCATCCAGTAGCCGCCTTGATTGAAAGGCTGACGGGTATAGCTGCCGTGCTACCAACGTAGACTGGAATCCCAATGACATGGCCGAACTGGTCGGTGCCAACCCCAGAATCGTCCGGGGCTGAAACAGACCATGTTCCATCTGTACCTTCGAGGGCCAAGTTCCCATTGTCAGACTAGTTGATTGGAGAATTAGCAGCTATATCGATACCGAGAACAAGGGATTCATATTCAAATTCACATTCGCAGCATGAGGAGGTACTTACGGAGAAAAAGCTCTCAGATGCTCCTCCAGATGAATCACCACAGGCTAATATCCCGCCTGCTGCGGCATCGCAGCTGTAATATCCGTGAAGAGATGCATAGTCTGCAGTGGTATTGCTTGGGGCGCTGCGGAAGGGATAGCTGGGTCCGGGGTGGGAGAAGTTTCCGTAGCCCGTGAGACTGCCAATGGTTACACCGGTTGAGTTGACGACGGAGATGACGAGATATGAGGGGAGGGTGGCAGCGATGGTCAGACTGAGAAAGGTAGCGGCTAGGGCGAGGGCGAGTGGGATTTGGAGAAACATGTTTGAGGTGCTCAAGATAGGGAGGGCGTGGTTGTCGACTTAGTTTGTGATTGTATGTAGAGATGATTTTTCGTCTTGCTCTTTTGCAATTGAGGTGATGAAAGAGAAGTTTGGATCAGGGTTACTCTTCTCGTAGAGAGGGTACTGGTGTAGTTTTGTTGCTGTGTGGTTTTTCATTGTGTGTAAGTAGAACCTGTTGTACTACGTGAGAAGTGTTTGATGCCCTACGCGAGTCAACTGCAAGTTGGGAGCAGCAGGGATGTACCTAGGTAGGGATGAGTTGTCGCTAGTCTAGCTATAGCTTGATGGGTTGTACGACAAGCTAGACTAACGTGCCTAGGTATGTAACCATAACTGAATTATACAGCGAAGGCATATGTGAATAGAATCTTCACTCACAACAAGTCAAAAATAATGAGATGGACGGGTTGGAAAGTTGTTCGAGGTCTACACAGAAGGATCTTCAGCTGCTAATAGACTCCCTCCTGGATACTTTTTCGCAAGTGGGTACGTACCATACTATATAAGCCTTCCGATATCCTAGATCTTTCACTTCATGTGGTACGCTTTGAAAAGAGGCACAGCCGGGCAGGACCAGAAACGTCTCTAACTCCAAGCCCATCCAGGCGTAGGGTAAGGGCATAATCCCTCTCTTCATTCATCAGGATCTTTCTGCTTTTTTCTCCCACACTAGTTCGATCTCCTCCCCCTCCACTTTTGAATTGAACCATTCGTAGATTTCAATTTCCTCTTGCACAACTCTCGCTCCTTTCAACACGTCACTCAGTACCAGCCGCTCAGTTGCCATATATAATTCAGTCATTGCAAGATTCTTGGCAATGCAAGATCTTGAACCGGCTCCAAAGGCAAAGAATGACTTTTGAGCTTCTTGCGTGGCATTGAACCATCTCTCGGGCTGGAATGAGCGCGGATTTGGGAATATGATTGAGTTAAAGTGAAGCTCGGTTGCTGAGCAGCCAACAATCGTGCCAGCGGGAAAATAGGCTCCTTTGAAGGTCCAATCACCCGCGGGAACGACGTGCGGGAGGCGAGTGGGGTTTGCCATGCTGATTCGGAGACCTTCTCTGACTACAGCAGAAAGTAATGGAAGTGATTGAATTTCTTGTCTCTGAGGGCCAGTATTGTCAAGAACTTCTTTCCGCAAACTTTCGTACCTGACCAATTGTCAGATAAAACCACTGAAAGAGAAAAGAGAAACTTACACCTCAGGATGCAAAACTAACTGCCTGAAGATTGTCGCCAAATTCATTCCAGAGGAATCCGTTCCAGCAAAAAGAAGATCCTTGCACTGCGCCTTCAGCTCTGTTTGCTCCAAAAGTCTCAGTTCCATCAGCCTTCCTGGATAATTCAGCGAACCTTTAGCTGGGGTGTTATTAACCAAGCCTTCTACAAATCGATCAACCACCGCCATACTCTCATTTGTATGTTCGTCTGGGAAAAACTTCTCGCTCGCCCACTCCACCCACGTAAAAAGTAAGTTTGGAAGGTAGAAAAACCTGCCTACCGCAACAAAAGCATCTACAAATGCACTTGCGCTCAACTTGCTACTCTTCTCGGAAGTCCCGTTGTAGTTCTCGCGGAACAGATGAGTCGACACAGCATCCACCGCCAGACTCCTTGCCAGATTCAACACATTCACAATCCCTCGAGCTTCTTTCTCTTCCTTCATCCTTGCGACCATACGATCGACACACCCATACAGCGCCGCCTCGTTTTCCCTGATGCTCTTGGTTGAGAACAGTGGGACAACAGCCTTCGCTCTCGGCGTACGGTAATCCATATCTGTAGTTGAGAAAATGGTCTTGTGTCCATCAATATCGAAATTAGAATAGCATGCGGCTTTAGGGAAGCCGCCTTTGGTGACGTAGATTGCGGGAATAGCTTCGTGGTCGCTGATATCGACCTCGTTGGGTGAGACGCGCAGCAAAGGGCCATATTTTGTGTGCAGCGCGTGAATGATGGACGCTTCATCGCCGATGTAAGAGTGGTACCAAAGCCATAATGAGGTGACTTTGGGCAATAATGGCCCTGGTATAGGGGAAATGGGGTGTAAATAGATACGGTAGATGCCTAGGGACAAGAGGAGCGTGGCTGCTATGATGGGAAAGGTCAATAATGGGTGAGCGAGCGTGCTGCTTATTATGAGATCCAAGAGACCCATGGTGATGAGTCGACGGAACGATGGGCTCAGTTGATGTGGTAGGTTTATTCAACAGTATATGAAATGAGCTTTATATTGAATAGTCGGTAGGACATGGTCGATAGTCGGGAGGACCGACTGTTGTGTCGGCAATGGGGTGAAAGCCATTTTTAGTGGTAATGACTCAATGCGAAGTTTTGCGGAGGGCTTATCTTATCAGCCCCTATCGCTACCCGAGCCCCCTGAATCAATCTATGATTTGTTAAGTATTTATATTTCGAGGTTGGAATCTATATGGGTACCTAGGTAGGTAGTGTACGTAGGAATGTCATGTCAATTAATGGCAGTCTATATACAAATTGTTGTTCTGGGTGATTGGTGGCTTTTGACCTCCGCCAACTATAGTTCTATACCACTCAGAGAATGTGCCAAGGTCTACAGTAAGTACCTAGGTAAGCAATGCTTTTGCACAATAAAACCATAAGCAATTGTGCTACTATCATTTTTCTAATAGATGTTTACTAAGTATTCAATATGATACTTTCGAGGCTCTTGGTCACTTTGTGTTCGTCAATAAAGGTAACGCCGCATGCAGGGATCACAGTACGGTAGTGAGGCGGCGCCGCCGCATCATTAACAGGCAAAATCTCATTTTGGAAGGCCGCAAACCTACATACAGTATCTCTTCACCGTATCGTCACCTGAAGCTCTGCACTGCACTGAAACCGTGTAAACCTCCAATGTCCTTCACCCCCATAACTCTTTCCCGTCGACATCCACTATGGACTCTCAGGATACCTTGACAGTGGATGCCTGCGTAGCTGGCCTGATTGCTTTTGGGAATAGCGCTATCCCGTTCTTGGTGTTCGTGACGAGTTACGGCTACCCGATCTATGAAGCGATACCTTCGGGCCATCAACGAAATGGCCAAGCACCTGCAGTTAGAGAACGGATATTTGGCGAACAGGATGTACCAAAGACAGCCGTTGCCATTCGTGATGAAATCGTCTGCATCACAGCTTCATTGTTGCTCTTGCAGAAACAATTATTGGCAGCCTCAACAGGCGGCCCCTCTCGCGAAGTGTTAATCCATCAAGATATACTTGTTGCCGCTTTAACGCGGTGTGTCGATACCTATTCGCATTTTGAAAGGCGACACTTTGTTGCGAGAGAGGAAGAAAAGTCCCAAATGATACATGATCGAAGAGCTTTCGAAGGTCGTCCAATGGAAAACATATTAGCGGGCCTACAGCAATACTCCTTGTTGCTGAATTTTGTCTTGGTAGAAATGGGAAGGTAAGCAGGCACCTACCTGTACTGAAAATCACACCTGCTTTGAAAGCTAACACAGTGGAAAGCCCAGCAATACAAGAAGTGGATTGTGCAGTAACAGAGCTACCAACTTTTCAGTCAACACGGATTCGGAAACCCGTACTCACTGATCTTGTATCCTTTTCTCGACGACCACTTCCAACTAAACGGTCCAAAATCTTCAACAAAAGTTGGTATACTCTTGATTATCATGGATATCCCTTGAGGGAAAACCCATCTACTAGTTTGTCCCCGTTCCAGACGTTCACTGCTACAACCTGTTTGCCTCATTCGAGATTTCTTGGGGTACCTTCAGACCAAAATAGTCCTCCACGGAGCTGGCCAACGGATCCTCAGATCCAGGCTCGTGTCAATCGAAAAGTGGAAAACAATCTGGAAATGTGGCATGAGAGAGATGCGAGAGAGCGAAAGGTTGTGCTTTTCGGTAAGTAGTGACTTCCCTGAGAAATTTATCATGTTCTAATGTCCCAAGGAGGTGGCCGGGAAAGTATTCAGAACACGTTCAAGCAGATGAAGAAGGCCTATGAACTGGATCCCAACACTTCGCCTAGAAAGGAATTTCGTTACACAGTACTGAACCATCTACTGCGTGAGCTGGAGCTTGTGATTCGAAAACTAGATAAAAAGCAGTGGGAGGAATACCACAACGTCAAAACGAACGTAAGAATCTACTATTATGTCGCGTGTCTCAGAATTCCTAAATAACCATCAGCAGGTATGGGCTGTACTGCTATGCACGCAGGACGAACTGCAGCCCGGAGACCACATCCCGACGCACCTTTTACCAACCTTCACCAACCTCTGGAACGACGAGGAGGTAAAAGAGGCTTTACAAGAGCATTCACAAAGCGTCTTTAAGACTTTCGAGTAGTATGTCACGTCACTCACGTAGTCCATATTCATATCCGATCTGCCTTTCTTTACCGTGTGTGCTCTGCTCACTCAAATCAAGTTTCTTCCAAGATTTGCACCGAATCATCAGGGAAGACTATATGCCTAAGAACGACGACATTCTCCAGTTCGACAGCATACCTCACCACCACACGGTCAGCGAACTCGTGCTCAAAACCAACTCTATACCTTACCGCCTCATCGACATCCAACCTAGAGGCGAACGGAAAAAAGTAATTCACCTCTTAGATAACGTGGCGGCGGTTCTCTTCCTTGCAGACATCAGCCTCTACGACGAAATGTTAGAAGAGGATGCATCCATCGCAAGTATAATTCCAATTCACGTGCCAAACCATCTTCCCATCCAACCCCATGCCACCCCATCTCTGCCCTTCCCATCTAAGCCATCCCGTGTCATTCCTTCACTCCCCCCTGCTAAACCAGCTAACCCCCTCCCAGGTCCGTCTCCGCGAATCTCTCCACCTCTTCGAATCCGTCGCCCACTCGCGCTTCTTCCAAGCCTGCGAACTCGTCCTCTTCTTCACAAACGTCGATGAATTCCGGCGCAAGATCCGCTCCGGCACGTCTCCCATCCGGCACACCTTCCCGCAATTCGACGACGACGAGGTCAATGTGAATGAGAACGAGGATGCGGAAGCAGGCTTGCAGTTCTTCACGCGCTTGTTTTTGGAGCGCCATGAGACCGAAGGTAGGACGTGTTGTGTCGAGTATACGTATCCGAAGGATCGGCAGATCTTAGAGAAGCTAGATCAGTGCATTGCTATTTCGCTCGATGAGAGGAGGCAATGGCAGGAGCTGCATACTGTACCCCGGTTGCCTCCACTGCCTCATGGCTTACCGCGTTGCTGAGTTGCGCGAAATACCCCCAGGATGAGGAATGTTACGTGATGATTGAGATGTGCAGTGTGCGGTATCCAATGAGGTAGGGGCGTCAGATGTCATGGAAATATATGTAAATCTAACATCTTTTACACCTGATCATCCAAAGACCTGCCCAAAGATACCCCACAAACAGTTTACCTCAAGAACAAAACATCTAAAACTCCTTGCCGAACCCAACCTCAACCACCCGATCAGTTGGAACCCTCAAATTCGCAATCTTCATCTTAGTCTTGTCCTTAATCCAAAGAAACGCACTCAATAGCCCCATTCTCCACAAATACGTCCCAGCCCCAATTTTCATCTGTTCTTTCCTAATAACATACAGCACCTGCCTCGAAAATGCCCGCTCCAATTTCGAGAGCCCATCTGCCATGATTTCCTGCTTCCTCTCGGTTTCCGAAGTGGCAACTGTTTCTTTGCTAGGTGGATCTTGGCCATCGCGAGAAGGAGGGATAAAGTCAATCGTTGACCAAGAAAATGATATTGTAAATCTAAGCAAGGTCATACGGGATTTTGTTTTCACGACAATTTATTCCTTGAAAACCATCGGGTCTGTATATATAAGAGGTGGAAGTGACTGGTACTTACTGTACGTATAGAAGGGTTGTTTGCAGAAGTGGTTGGTATGAGTAGCATCTATATGGTATGGTGCAAATGATATATTGAAGCCCATTGATACATTAGATGCAAGTTAGCAAGCGCATTGCATGAGAAATTGACAAAGAAGTCGCGACTGCCGTCGTCTTTTTTGGTGGAACGTGCCTCCCCCTCCATGCAGATCTTCAAGTGGATCGATAGTACAGAGCTCAACCAAGGCCCTCTGTCCTGTCCCTGTGTGATGGCGGGGTAAGCGCTGGTAATATAGGCAATGGCAATATCGGTACAGTACTCATTCATGACGAAGCTCCATTTACAGAAAGATGAACGCCCTGAAGCCTCTGCTTCCAGCGACCTTTAGAGTAGTCTACATCCGGTGCCAGATTCAAAACTGTTCTAGATGGCATGTGACAAACTATTTCCATATCTTAGATGGAGAAGGTCTAGGTCTGAGAAAACTTGGTGTGGTGGAAAGAATTTAGATAGCATAAGGTACAGTATTGTATAGTACAAAGACAATAATCAAAATCTGATTCTGCTAAGCTTCCTCTCTGCTCCGAACCCTCAAATACGAATACATACTGTAAATATAGCAACAGAAGAATGTCAAATAAACAAGTCTGAAAATGAATCGATTAATCAGGCCAAAGAAAGGTAAACATCCTATCGTAAACCCATAAACCCATAATGAAAACAAAGCTCCAGACTTGCGTCGACCATTTCAATCTATAACCCCAAAATCTATGATTCGCAGAAAACAAAACGGTTCCTCCTCGCCGTCCGTAAGACTTTCAAAATATGCTCACCCCTGGTGCACGTCGGGCGTTTCCTTTCCAGAGGATAACAACCGAAGGTGAGTATGTGCTGGGGGGCAGTACAGCAACAAGGTGATGTTGGTGATGTACTGGGATGACAGCACCCGCAACGAAAACCACCACAGCAGAGGTCGAGTTCATGATCCCGAGCAAAGACAAGTGATGGCCCCCGAAGTATGTTTGTTCGTAGGGTCTAGGCAGACGTACGCAAGACTGACAGCAGACATCTCGAAGGTGGATCGAGGTCGTTCGTCATCGGTGTGTATACTCGATGAGCTATATTTGTTGCATGTTCCAAGAATCTATTTTGAGAGAGTTAGCCAAGAGGTTCTAAAAACAAAGTCAGGCGATGCCAGAACAAGGCAACAGCAGATAGGGGCTCCAATTTCACGTGGAGATAGGCTGCTGGGGATTACTAATCAACCAGATAAAGGACTGCCGCCTTGCCGACCTCCAGAAACCACAAGTGTCGACTCCGCCCCTGTTCAGGCAGGAACAAACAACACAAAATTCGACAACGTACCTTACAAGGTTGACATTCCTGACAGACCGGTACCATGATATTAGATTTCAGATACCGGAGGCTATTCCTATCAGCGTACATCCGAGGGTGGTGTTTGCTTGATGGAACATACCATTGCCTCGTTCATCGGAGAGTTGCAGTCCGGCCATTGCCTGCGAGGATCTATTAGCAGGTATTCGAAAGGCTGAGAAGTATTGAGGGAATGATGGGAAAGGATGTGAAAGTTCAAACTTACCAGTGTCGCGACCAGAATCACCGGCGACAGCCGAAGCGCGCTTGATGGTGTTGGTGGTGTATGTGGACATGATGTGGATGGAGTTGGAAATGCGGGTTGTTTGTATGGGTGTGTTTTGTGAAGTGAGGTAAGATGGTAAGATGGTAAGATGGTAAGTTGGAACGATATGCTGTGTATGTGTATGCGTATGTGTGTGTGTGTGTGTATGGTATGTATGATAGAGAGAGAAAGGTCTTCAGAGATGGATGAAGCATCCTTTTTGTAACTTATAGAGACATATCTATGTGCCGGTGAGCCAAGCGTCATGAAAGAGCCCGGGCAACCAGCAACAGTGGCTATACAAGCAAGGTCTTCTGTAGATGGGCAAGGTCATGAACTTAATGGTGGAGCGCTTGATTCAAGCAGCCTCAAAAAGTGCCTCGCCACATTACATCTTTAGAGGGGCCAGCAGTAGGCGAACGCAGGAACCTGGGGGAGCTTTCCTAGTATTGTTTGGTGAGCCCTCCAGCCTAGAACCAACATCCACTCCAGTCATACTGTACAGTAGCTATGTCGGTCCCATCACCTACCTTGAAGCCACGCCCCCTGCGTTTCAACCTGGGCGTTGGCGCTGGGAAGTGGGTGTGAGAGGAAACATGGGTCCTGGTTGTCTTTGTTCTAGCGGGCTTCTGGAAAGTTTCCCCATCCGGTCATCGACCTAGCTGAGGCGGACGGACGCCACACTTGGACAACAACACCATCGCCAATCATTTCAAAGGAATTGCGGGAAAAGGTAAGGCTTCAAACGATTGGAGCATTGGCAACAGCAAGGTCTTCCCTGGTGCGGAGGCACGGGAGTATTAACGAATGTCACGGGCGTGGGCGTGGCATACTACGAAGTACCTGATCAGCAAACGTCGAGATGAATCTTTGGCCAACACACAGCGTGTCTCCGCGTCAACACGGCTAAAGAGCCAACTGGAAGCTGTTCCTTTGCAGGCCGGAGGGATGTCATAAGTTTCACTGACGCCGGACCATCATAATAGTCGGGCTTCGGAGACTCAGAGTGGACCATTCTCTGAATCCCGTTTGGTTGCAACGCCTTTGGGTGTGTGTGCAGCGGGCGTGGGCTTTATTCAGCGTCCGCCCTGTCGACGGGCCTTGCCTCCCTCCTACTTCCGATCGACGCCCAGCACACTACACTACTTACTATTACGATATTAGGAAAGATCAAAAGACCAAAAGACCTCATACAGACACATACAAAGCTGGTTTTGACTCATACATCTCTCTCTCCACTAAGTCCTGAAACCAATTACCAACCACAACCGCAGCTGTTGAGTCCTGTTCGCTATCCCCAGCCAATGTGGCTGTGCGAACCCTGCCCAGCCTCCAATGCAAGATCCGGTTGGTTGGAAAACTACTGTATCGTACATGTTGTACCTGCAGATAACGTCTGCACTGGACACGATGAGACCCGCTCAATCGTGGTGCGGTGCACGGCAATCAATCCGCCAACCTGGGTTACTGTCTTTACTGGCTTGTACCTACCTAGAGGTACGCCGGTACATGTTCGTCTCTTCCCCTTCCCCGGTCCGCGGTCATGAGATCGATCAGTTCCGTCGTCATCCGAACCCCTTACCATAGATCTCTCTTCCACGCCTTCCAGACCCAAATAAATAATAGCTAGTCCTGTTGTATTGATACTGCCAACGAAAAGGGTGGTGACTTGGAGCCATGTCCTCCAGCCAAAGGCCTGAGTTGATTACTAAAGGTACTCGTACTTGCTTACACTTTGGATGCACTAACTGTATTACCTACAACCCTTTCACATACCAACACGCATGCAAGAAAAATCACAAGATCATTTTTAGGCCCCGACTCTGCTCGGCGCTTAACACAGTATCTAGGTAGTTGGTGTGGTCCACCGTTGAAGACCTTTCCGTCACACTGCCACTAGGTCGCGGCCATTTCGTCTTATCACAAATTGAACTCCAACTTTCATCGGGCTGACTTCTTTCATCATTCATGTATAGTATGTATTTTCTCTCTTTCTAAGTACAGATCTTTGCTAATGAAAATATCCAGACAAATCCGCCTAGGACAAAACGTCGACTCATCAAGTCATGCATTCGTAAGGTCGTCTTTCACAATACATCACATCACATCATTTCAATCATTAGGCCGTAACACTGTCCCAAAGGGAACAGGACATGAGTTGCCCAACATTATTAGAGTCGCCTTGCCGTCCAACAACCATCGCAATAAATTTCCAGTTCTGTTGAATGATCGAGCCCCGACTCATGGGCCGTGGTTCGCTTTTCCGGTTTGAGCAGGAACGTCTCTCCTCTGGGAAATCAACTAAACCCCCATGAAATTGCGCAAGTACTTGGGGGCTTCTCGTGCCCAGCACATCCGCTACATACAGCCAGTTTATCCTTGTTTCTTGTGTTCTGTCAGCTTCCCATCAGGATTGGGGTCCTAAAGACGGAGATGCCGAATACTGCGAGTCTATCAAAGCCACCCGAAGTTCTGAGACTTCACTGTAGCCATACGGTTCTGTATAGCTGCCAGCATTGCCGCGTTGTCTGACACGACTTAGAAGGCTTATTAGTGCCCGCCACAAAGCCACTCGATAGCCTCCCCAAACGCGAGTAAATCGAGCTGCTAAGAAGCGTTATCGTATTGTTTCCAGAGCCGAATTTCGAAACCCCGTCCATTTTAGGAGCTGACGTCGCGAATTCCGTTTTCTTACCACACCTCGGCTGCGCATTCCCTCGAAGATATTGGAATGCAAGTTCTTCTCAAACCACATCGCGAAGCTCTCCTATCATTAGGTACAACTTGCGAGTCGCGTCTCATAAGCCTCACTGTCCACGCATATTCTCCCTCAAGTCAAAAGAAGATCAAAGACTTGGCGATCATGAGGCTCTGCGGAGACGACGAAATTGACGTATTCTTGGAGGTGCATACGAGTAGAATTGATAGGTGTTGGGTTCTGTTGGGTTTATTCCAGCGGGGGGAGTAACCACTGGGGTATGTTTTGATTTCCCCCAAACGAGGCTGCCATCGATACACAAGCATTGCCCGCTGTTACCAATTCAAAATACCGCGCCACGAATGAGGCCGCGAGGCTGTGAATGCATCAGTACCCAACCACAACCTCTACTTTCTTCACCGATTTGTACTACTTGGCGGTGAAGACGAAGATGTTCGGTCCCTCAAGAAGATGACATTGTCAATTCCTGGATGGTCATTAAGACGGGACAAATTTTCGTCCTGGGATCTCAACAAGAAGTCCGCGCAGTCTTTCCGATTGGTCTTTATCTCGCACTGCTCGCACCAGGCTGTTCCCAGTATGCCTTTGTGCGCTTCTCGATCACGATCAGGCTTGCTTTAGGCGCAATTTTCCTGTTGAGCAGGCCGCGTCCCCCATCCAACCTGCTCTTCGCTCTCGTTCCCCCCCTCTATCGTCGCCATCCTAAGAACAATCTCGGAAGTAGGTCGTCTGTCTTCAAAACATACTGGATATACTGGATTTTGGTACGGAAACCTCTGTCCCTTCCGGCGGATTCCTCCGATGTTGTCATTGATCTTGTCGCCTGGCCCAGATACACCACGATGCACTATCCCTCTTCAGTGATCCAAGAAGTCGTCCAAGAAGATGCAAGCTAAGCGTCCAAGGTCCATATAAGGTGATAGTAGACCCGCCTGGTATTCGGGCTTTACTGAGCAATGCGATCTTATCTGAGGTGCTATAACGGATGAGCTCAGGATCAGTATACAACAGAAGTTAACTTACCATATTCCCGAACCACGCTTTGCAACCCATAAGTCAAGTTTCTGATCGCGCTATCGACGGGCTTAGTTCGAAATGAATCTACACCATCTCGAATTGGATTGCACGCTTCTTTGCCTCCCTTTCTAGTCTTGAATTTCCAATGGAAAATCTCCTTACACCGGTCGAACAGCTCCTTCTCCGTCAAATGCATAAGCTGGTTGCATTTTGCCCTTTCCGACTTTGGATTGGCCCCAAAGTGTTCGATTCTACCTTCGCAGAAATAGTACATCTGGCCGTTGATCTTACCTATCGTCAAAGTGAGGATTAGGAATACACAAAAACTGGTAGCCCATTTCTTGTCATTGTTAACCGTGTTGTGGATCGTCCACATCATATTTCCCCAGTCCTTCAGCACTTTGTTGATGCGTATCTGTTGGCCTAGATAAAATGCGTATTTGATTTGCTTCTGTACACACTTTGCGGTAGTCTTTTCGGGATATTGCTGTTGCAGCTGATTTTGAACTCTGCCAATGGAATCAGGATCCAGGTTGAGAGTTCGTTCCATTATCGAAGTGGTTATATGCATTTCAAGGGCGCTACGGAGAAGTTCACACTAAAACTGTTAGTAAGTACACTTTCCTGTCAGTTGTTTAACATACTTCGTCATCAGCTTCCAAACCCACGGAATAGAAATCGCATACGACACCTAAGAGGCGCGTTAAGAGCTTGGAGTCATCAGGAAAGTAGGCCTCCGGAACGTAATATTTAAGATCACTTTGAACGATATCCTGAACGTATCGAGAGTACTCGTGTTGCATGTCATCCATGGCAGTAAGTGGGATCCCAAGAGGTGGACTTTGCCTCCGGACTAATTTCGCCTTCCCGTCGGGACTCGTGGATTCCTCCGTGGTATGATGGAACCCCATGTCTGGCGCGTTTTGACGCAACTCAAGAGCAACGACCTCGGCAGTCAGCAGTTTGCGATATCCCCAGTCCATCCTCACGAACATGCTTCTAGTTCCCCAGCTCTCTGCATTTCTATCTACGAAAGCCTCGATGTCAGTTCGATTCAAGTGGCCGTTAAGGTACACTGTTTTTGTCAGTATCTTTATTATACAGCTTGAAGTCAGTGAGCTCATACCAGGGACAAGGAAGATATATAACGACTCAAGTGGTTCATTAAAACAAGTGAATTTGCAGAATCTCCTCTTTCCGACAAGTCTAGCACACTGTACACAAGGACTACCAGGAGAGCATGGGGAGCACTAGAACGTTAGTTACGACGGTTAAGCATCCAAACCACGAATCTAATTACCTTGGTCTTCGATATATGGCAAGCCCAACATGCCTTGGCATCCCGAACCTCTCTTGCTTGTTTCTTCTCAAGTGTAGTGAGGCCGCGCGTGCGACCACCTTTCGTAACCTTGGACTTGCTAATACCAGGCATGGAGCTAAAAACATGTGAGTGGTGTCGCGGCGACGAGGTGTGTGATTGAGGCGACCCATGCGAGCGCGGGGAACTATGCGATGGAGTATAATTGCTTCGAGTGGAAGTAATCACCCAGCTTTCACTGTCACTATCCCCAAGCGGGCTGACTGGCTCCAGACCAACGGATCCTTGCGATGACGGACCAGTCTCTAGATATTCTTCTCGGGACCTATATGTATCGTATGGAGTTGCGCGCGGTGGCCCAAAAGTACCATTGCCTGTATTTACATCCGCTTGATATTTGCTCCGTTCCACCTGTTGGGGGTTCCATGGCATGTTGGACAATACGGAGGATTCGATTGGTGAAGCACTGTGTTGCTTGGGCTGTGTCACCGTGGAGGCAGACCACTGCGCATCTGCCGGCGTATACATAGTCATATCCATGGAAACCTGGAGCCCATTGTTGTCGAAGAAAAAGTTCTCGTCGTACAGCGGGGAATTCGATTCCGGTACAACAAGATTGGGATTCAACGGCTGTCCAATCTGGAAATACTCATCTGAACATACATGGTGAATCAGCAACGCGCGGGTGCACAATTCTCTTTATCCTGACACGATATATGGTTCATTCAAACCCAAAAAGAAAGTTACAGAGTCTGAAAAATTCGGGCTTATCTACCTGAGAGATCCAAATCGAACAATTGATTCGCACTAGGCGACGTTCCAAGGGTAGAGTCTATCACCGGGAAGACAAACCCCTCCGAGCTCGAAGTTCCTGCCGTAGTTGGCGAAGACAGACCCAGGCTGTCATCATAGCTTTCATACGGGATATCCAGCGTAGGAATATCCTCCAAGTCGCCATTCGCATGAGTAACTCCAGTCCACGAGGAGCCAAGATCGCTGTCGGACAGCTGCAGGAAGAAGCCGCTCTGAGGAGATTGCGCATTCGCCCCATCGAACATTTGAGTTGGGGAATTCGCCCCATTATGAGAGGCTAACGTATAAGAGATCAAGGAAGATGATTGCTGCCACGAATTTGAGTTTCCGGACCCATTCTGGCTTCTACTTCCACCCCCTTGGTGAACAATAGGAGGATTGTACCCAAAATTTCCAGCATTATTCGACGACGGGTTGAAGAAATCCATCTGCTGCGCCGACGAAGAACCCGGCCTCACATTGCGTGGGGGAGAGCACCGCGAGTTCTGGGCGTGAAACACAATTTTGGAGTCCCTTTTCCTATTCCTCCGCGTCGAGGAAGACGACGAGGATGGCCACACCCCCGCACTCCGGCTTGTCGTCTCGAGCATCATCTTTCCTCGCAATCGCACGCCCGTTCCTTATGAATCATCCAATTCCCGCACTCACTCACGCACACACGGCGGGCAACAAACAAGCAAGGCGTGACCTGGTAGATTCGATCAGATGGTAAACGTGAAGCAAGAACCAGGAAAAAAGTGAGGCATCTAGCGAGCGCACTTCTTTATCATATCGATTATTGCCCGGTGTTCTCGTTCGCGGGGCGCAGTACTCGGCTTCGTTGGCATTACAGATGCAGAGCCGCACCTAGACTCGTCTCATTGGCGGGGGCCGTCACCGAGTACAGTTGGTGGCTGGACGCTTGGCTGTTTTGAGCGACCGACTATCGGATCTGGTGGGAGTGGGCGAATGGGATGAGGGCATGCGAGTATTGTGGGATGATTAGGTGCAGGGGGGTTCTGCACGGGTGATTAGATGCGTGATGGTGGACAAGCCCCGCAATCGTCCTGCTGAGACTGAGAGTGAGTCTGGGAGTCTGGTTACGCCATCGAACAAGGACAAGGAAGGACGAGGACACGATCTGGTTGCCTTGAAGAAAGATTGTGAGGCAATTGATGATTGAGGGTGTTCGTGGTTTCTTTTCACTGGGTTCATGGTTGGGCATAATTGCGGGGTTTGGACATCTCAAAGGTACCCAAATCAAATTCATAGTCACTGAATATATCCCCTGAGGTATGGTCCGTTATGAAAATACAAATACAGTTTTCCATTCACTCCTCCCTCGCTTCCAAATAAACGCCAGGCCAGCCATGCAATACCTCCGTGTCACTCACTCACTCACTACTTCTTATCCCCAAACTTCTGATGGATAGCCCGAATCTGCTCCTCCACATTAACATTCTGCATCATATTCAGCCTCTGATCCCCCTTCTCCACGGGCGTCCCGTCATAGCTCTTCTCAGCCCTCTTCCGCCGCGCCTGTTCCTCCTCCGAAACGGGCTGACCGGTTACGCCGTCGAACAAGTCGCTGCGCTGCGATGCTAGCCGCTTGAGGTTGTTGGCTACGTCTTGCGTAGAGAGGTTGGTCGTGCTGTAGCGCGAGTCGGCTTTGGCTTTTTGCTCCTTCCAGCGGGGGTCTAGGAGCTCGACTACAAGGTGGGAGGGGTATGTTAGTTATTGTTCTGCCAGGGGAAATATATTACCAGCATGTAGATATGGGGAATACGTACTTCGCATGTGCTCATCCAACTCATTAACCGGCATCTGCTGCCTACAGTTCGGGCAGATGACCATATTCTGCTTGTTCCTAGCCCTCAATGCCGCTCTAGGCTCGTAGTTCTCCTTGATCTTCATTTGCGTCGACCCGGTCTTTGCATCTGCCCTGGCTTGCTGAGCGCGCTGTGTTGCTTCCGTACGTTCGCGGATCCGTTGTTTTTCCTCGTCATCGTCGTCGTCGGTGTTCTGCATACGGACGTCTTGTTGGTATTGCGGCTGCGGCGAGGGGATGGGCGGAGGACCCATTTGTGTGGGCTGCGAGGGGGGGGGCGGCATTGTTGTAGTAGTCGGTGTCTTCGCCGGGGAAGGCTTCTTCGATGCGCATGTTGTGACTGTTGATCGACATCATGGCTTTCTGGTCCAGCGATGCGAATTGCAACTCTGAGAGCGAGGTTGGTGGTGGTAGGTTCTGTTGCTCGTCTGCTTCGGTGAACTCGACGGTTTCGACGACGACGAAATCGTGCCAGTCAATCTGCGCATACGACATCTTCTCATTCTCAATCTCCTCCTCCTTCTTAGCCTTCTCCTCATCTTGGAACTTGAACCATTCTGCGCGCTGTTTCGCCCGGCCTAGGACGTTAAACTTGTCGTTTACGTTCGCTTGTAGCTCCTTGATCCTCTCCTGCTGTAGCTTCCCACCCTCGCCATCGATGCCTCCAGCTCGTAGTAATGCAGTATATTGATCGATCAGTTTTTGGAAGAAGTTGTGTAGACTGTGCTGTGGGCGCAAGAAATCGAATTGATAGTTTCCGGCTTCTCTCTGCGAGATAGTCGTCATAAACTGCCGTCCATTCTTCGCCACGAACAATGCCATCAATCTCACAACCTCTAAATCTTGCGCGTTGATATTTGGCATCCGTGCTGAGAAGTGGAAATCTGGTGGTTGAGGGGGTCCTTTGGGCTTCTCTGCCTCAGCAGGTGCCTCTCCAGCTCGTCCAGCTGCAACAGCAGTCGTTCGTCCGGCCTTTATCTCGCTGAGTCGCCATTGGTAAAATGCGTTGTAGGCATCGTTGTTGCTGAGGAAGGAGAATTTCGGGTTGTGCTTTTCCTTTTCGCGAATGCGGTCTATGGTTGTTAGCTGAATTGTTCTCACTAAAACAGAAGCAAAAGACATGCCTTCGAAGACTCCTCCATTCCGCGCTACGTAGCCTGCTGTCTTTTCGAGAATAGCTGACGAGGATGTTAGCAGATACCAGATTGATGGATGAATTAGTGGCGCACCTTTGATTTCCTTGGGAGGCAGGACAACACCCGGCGGAGCTTTGATTTCATCGAGTGCCGCAACATGATCGCCATTCGTAGCTGATGGGGCCATGTTGAGTGGAGAGGCGGTTGAAGACTCGAGCTCGAGTATGTTGCTGGCCGTGGTGTTGCGATTTCAAGATATCCAGCGATAAAAGCTAACATCCCAGCCTTACGGATACAACCAATCACGGCCCGCGCCTCGCCTCGGTCAGTCATTTCGCCCCCCTGAATGGTGAATGGCTCTCAACTGTCCCATCCGAAAAGGAGGTAATTGAAACCGTTTCAGAGTTACATTCACTTGATCAACGGCTCTCTTAAACCTCGTAGATAATCTTCACTTTGACATGGTCATCTTCAAATTCTTTGCAAACTATCTTATATTTCAACCGGGTATTATGTTTATACACTACGTTGATGCCGACCGACTTGCATCACTGCCATCTTCATGCAAGAAGCATGATAGTTGTGGACTGAATTATCCATTATCGCGTTACCCCTTCGTAACACACTGTATAATCTATGCCTTCCGTGCCCCAGCTTTGCGTGAGCGACCGTCCCCAGCCATGCCGTAATTATATCCACTAAGGTATCCCACCAAACGCCATCCCCATCACTAATCAGACACACCGGTCTTGTATAAACAAATCATCAAACTCCTTTTTCGACCACGTTGCTTCCCACTCTTACAAATGGACTGAAATCGACTAAGCTTCATCTGTGAAGGATCCAGGGATAGTGATGGAGAGCCTCTGAACACCTTCTTTCAGGTGTTCGTCTGTTATTTCCAACGTAGCTGTTGACTTGATCGAATCTCTGATAGCGTCATGCTTTTCAGCGGGCGCCTCATCATCCACATCATTGATTGTCTCTTTGACAGATTCCGGTTCCGGTTCCACAGAGGCTTCCACAACTAGCGTAGGGGCGGCTGCATCTTCCTGCGCAGCTTGCCATAGGCCTTCGGCATTATCCTCCAGGACAACAGGCTTGCTGGTTCTCTGAAAAGTAGACTTTTCCAAACTGGCAGGATGTTGGTCCGTCACAGGTGTGATGTCTCGGGGTTGAATCTCGCCTGTCCGTACAACCTCATCTTTCAGTTCCTTCTCCTGTTCGATTCTGGAGTCTCCACTGCGTCGAGGGCTTCGTGGTTCTTGGTGCATATGTTGAGTAGGAATAACTCCGCCACCCATCCGACACCAAAACATTTGCTCTCTTAATCGTACACACTCTTCCCAAGCTGCTTTCTCCGCGTCCTCGTCATCTGCTCTCCAATGGCCGTCTTTTATGATCCGTAAAAAGCCCAGAAGATCGCATGTCGAGCGTAAACGGCCATGGCAATACTTGCACAAAGGATATTTCTGGGCGTTTTCGTTTTCACTGGTTCTGAATCGATGGCTCCTAATATGCGTGGGATCTTTGCGGGTCTCGCCGCAAAGCGCGCATGCAAAAGCGTACGGTCTCGTAGAAGTTGGCATAGGCTCCACAACAAGCGAGCCTTCACAAATAGCATTCAGTACGGTTCGTCGAGCTAGCCATGAGAGACCTGGCGCTGTATCTAGTCTCAGAGTTGGCTCAATATCTTCGGGCAGCGTCCTTTTATAGAATTTGGTGTCTTTTAGTGGAGTCAAAGAATTCGGTCCATTAGTGGAGCCGTTACTAATGATAGATGAAGGTGTCGTTGGAGTTGCGGGCGAGGACCCCAGAGTAGCAGCAGTCGAAATTGACGGCGTGGAGCCACTTGCTGGCAACCCCCCAGAATAAGCTCCCAAACCTAAGCCCAAGCCCATGCTGCCGTAGGATCCACTAGAAGCTCGGCTGCCAACAACGTTCTTAGACATTCGTAATAAGGAGGTGAAGTCTTCGTAGGCTGAGAGGTCGGTTCGGAGAACTGGGTGTAAGAGATGGGTGAAGCTCGTCGGATAAGATGGGGCTACAGCATCGGGGACAGACGATTGTGCTGTGTCTGCCTCGCGAGAGATATCTTCCTTGCTGTCAAATTTACTTAAGCCGGGTGTGGAAGGTGCTGTCGGATTTGTATGTTGGTCCTCTTCCTCGGTCATTTGCTCCATAACCTGCTTTAGTGAAGAGAGTTGCTCCTGGTGCGATGTTAAGAGTCCTTCTGTGTCTGTCAATTGAGCCTTGAGTTGGTCATTTCTGTGTTGCAAAAAATCGTGTTCTTTTTGTGCCTCCTCTCGAGCAGTTATCACCATCTGAAAATGTCAACAATGGATTGGGGGCTGCGGGAAAGGATCAATTACCTTATTTGCTTCCTCAAACAATGCCGTAGTTAGATTTTCGAGTTCCTGTTCAATGCCTTTCTTATCTTTTTCAATTTCCGCCCGCTGCCGTCTCTCCTCAGCTAGGAGTATAAGCAGCTTATTCTTTTCCGCGTCTGCAATAGACCTCCTGACCAGGACTCCGCGGGCTAGGAAATCAGCGTGCTCCTGATTTTCTAGCTCAAGCTGCCTGACACGCTTTTGGGATGCTTCAAGCTGAATTCGGGTCTCGGAGAGGCTATCGTCTAGGTTTGTTTGGTGATTGATAGCATTTATAAGTTTGTTGCTGAGTGTGGCAACCTCGTTACTTAGATCAGGATGTTGTGTGGGGGTGGATGAGCCATGGTCGTTTGCAGGAGACATTGTGCGGCTTCGAGGGTCTGGTAGAGTACTCATGGTTCCATCGTCGTCATGAAAAGGGCTTAAAACTCGCGATGGAGGAAGGCCGGGCGCGTTGGCCACAGCAGCCATTGATTTCAGATTTCCGGTAGATATAGACCTCGGCACGAGCTTCGCTGACTTTGGTATACTCTTGGCCACGTTGTTCGAGGACGAATGAGATCGTAATTGTGGAAAGGAGCGTTGGACGGTGGAGTGGTTGTGTTGTGTCCAACCAGCGACTTGGATGAAGCTAAAATTGAGCAGGTCAGCGCATATTGAATATACCATGGCTCAACCAAGGCCAGGCGGATACGAATGCTGGACATACTCGGACATGCTAGACATCGACTCTAGGTCTGTTGTGTATTGTGTTCTATGCTCCCTGCGATTCACTTGGGACGAGTGAGACCTGGAGGTGTTGGATGAAGTCGGGTCTGGGCACGAGAATGGGGTATAAGGGCTTCAAAAAGACGACGGCCTGATCGGAAGGAGTGGACGACTCTAGAAAAGTCAAGACAAGCGCGTAGCAGACATTATCATGTCACGGTCGCGATATGGTGAGTGCGTTGAAGAAGGATAGTATTGCGAATTGACCGCGTCCAGCAGTGGCGGGTTGGTGAAGGGAAGTTGAAGTTGGATTAAGGCTGGTGGTGCTGGTGGTCGTGCTCATGGGCTTGAGATGAGAAGTTGGCGTGAAAAGGGTTAGTCTAGTGCCCAGGTGTACAAGGATACGGACCAAGTGCTGCGGCTGCAGGCCACACCACGCCACGGACTTTGAACTTGATGAATGACCGGAAGAGCAGGTGAGCAGTAGATTGAACCAATTGAACGCCTATGCGGTTTGGTTAATGACTGATCTTAGAGGAGAGATCATGTGCACTGATAAAGAGAGAAACAATATTAAAGACAGAGAGAAAGACAATCTCGCAGATCCGCGGTTCCCAATGAGGCAAGGGATATCTATCGGTAATACTATAAGCTGCATGCCCAGGCCAGGATACGGAAGGCTTATCGCTCTCACTCACTTCTTCCTCCTTCACTGTTAATTTCGAGTTATCACTTTTCAACTTCCAAGTTTCCCCTGCCTATTATTACTGAGATTGATTGATTGAGAAAGGAGGCTGGATACAAATTGGTGCATCCATGATTCCTTCCTAGCTCCATCTTCTAATCGGCCTGTGTGAAGAGCATCATCTCCCGCTTTGACAGCAGCTTCGCGGCGCGTAAACTTAGACCGGCGCCGCGATCCGCTGCGGGGGCCAAAACCGTTGTGGCGAATGCCAACCTGGTTGAGCTTCTCTCATTCATGGGGAAAGTATTTTCAGAAGAGTACCGGCATCGATGAAACCGACGATAGTTTTCTTCACTTTCTTCCCTATCGAATAATAATAAGGCAAGAGGCGCAAACAAGATAATCAGGCTACGTATCTGCAGCACTAGTGAGTTTCCAATAAAGGCATCGTATTCGATATCCCCTCGTAAAGATACGGTATTCTCGTATTCTGCCTCGATACTACTATGGAAGAAGAGGGAGATTCGTATCTGAGGAGCGCGCTGTCAAGGACTCTCCAAATTTTCGTACACATTCCGGTGTTCGAGCCTTTCGACCTTATTCTGGGACACGCTGCTTGTCAATGCGTTCATGCTGGTAAGTGTCTTTGGAAGTTTGGAGAGATCTTGAAGGGATCATCCTCATCTTTTTACATCCCCATGTTTGTAACAAGAATGCGATATGTTCGGGCCATCTTCTGCGTTTCACATGGTCATAAAATCCAATGCGGGCCTTCTCCTTGAACCTTCTACTCGAATATTGAGCGAGCGCGAAGATTTCCCCGGATTCTTGTACAGTTTCGAGAAAGTTCAAAGACAGATGTACTTCTTCGGATAGTGTATACAGCTTATGTATTTAATTTCTTTTCGTTAAGTTGGGTTTATATCCCAAAATTCTCCGTATTCCCAGATTGTTCTTCCCATTTCGCTATTCCCTGTCACTAACAACCCACAGAATCCAGATAAGAAACTGATTGTTTCCCCGTTAGTACTTATCGTACTGTATCCTTCCTATAATCATCCTAAGTACTCCAATTGTTAGATTTTTCAAACTTCGCAAAAAAGAGGACGCGGAACTCACATCACGTATCCCCTTATTCCTGGCTTAGTTTGTCAAAGGGCCACCGTTATCACCATCTCTGCCGCCAATGCGTTTTGGTTCTCTGTATTAATAAAGTCCTGGTCAGTGGAGAGAAGAAAGTTCAGACTCACTTCTCTGTAGCTTTTTTTGTGAGGAAAAGCTTTGATGGCATACAAAGCGTGGAAGGGAAAATAGTCACGATTAACTTAAGTTTCCGCCACTGCGTGTGTTCTGCATGATGGGAATGGATGGGATGCAGGCCAGCTTTGCTTGCGAGCACAGGAAGCTGTTTTAGATGATTTCAGTCTCTTATGTCCTGTTCTTGGAGACGAATTCCGAGACAAGATGCGGGAGAGATGTGCGGGGTAACGTCTCTTTCATTCCAGGCTGGTCCTTGTGCACCAGTGGGATGGATAGCTCGCTGAGTAACCTATCGGATGAGCCATATCATTCTGTATGACTTGAAAAACTGCATTTTGAGACTGATATATCAGCTTCAAAAGGGTGCGATCTCTGCAAGGATGCCAGCCCCTAAATAAAGGCGGGGACCTCATGCGAAGATCATACGCCAACGGCGATTACCCAGATTTTCGACAGCATGTAAGAAGCAAGCGTGAGATTTGAGCCCTGCTACAGATGGTTGTAATACGTAAGGAGGCAAAATATGTCCTACGCTAGCTTTTCAAGTGGGGGAAAGGTGTGGTTCAGGAGCTCTCTGAAGCCTTTAAGTTAGTAGAGCGTTCTGGCAGCAAGAACTTCTTCTAGCTGGCCTTGTAAACACTTTCAATTATATAAGCTAGCATAAAGCTTTATTTACAATTTGATTATTTTTATCCTAATCAAATTGCAAAATATTTCTTAAAATGTTAACATCTTAGAAATTATACTATTTATCCCAGAAATATGACTTTCCAGTTATTACCGTCCTCTAAATACCATCATCAAGATAACAATTCACATTTTTATTACAATGTATCGATATGGCAATGGTTGTTACGAGCAATTAAAAGGACGAAGCGCGTAGGGCCCCTCAATACCGTGGTGAGCGTGTCGATTCTCCATATGGGCTAAAGTGCACGACGCTCTACTTTTGCTCAGTCCTCGAATTTCTTCCCCTCCACTCATTTTCATATTCGGCATCATCGCATCGGCATAACGGACCCTCATCTTACTATTTGTATTTCCACAGTACGCTTTATAGAAATCTGAAGTGCGGTATTTACATACATGAGATCGCCGGCTTTAAGCAAACAGAGGGAAAGAGAGAGGCATAGTCATCCTATTCCACTAACAACCTCTTATGACAGAATTCTTATTTTGCAGTATCATAATAAAGCCCCCCGTATCTTTGCAGTCGTTTCCTACATAAGCGATGAATGATGTGATGTCGGGATGTGGATGGTATGGTTGGGGGTTCCCGTGGTGATTGAAACGAGCTGAACATGCTGCGATAATCAACTCCGTGTCGGCGGGGTTAGTGAGATATAGATTTAGGTGGAATGCTGAGATTGAAATTCATAGCTGGTTGTTCTTAGAGACGAAGAGAAGCAGATTTTCATGGGGGTTGATAGATCTGACACGAAGGAACAGAGGAGATATTTCTGTTACACTCCGTAAAGCGATCGAGAACACCGTAGGTGGGGGATGTTTCCTATGTGAACAAAAGTATTGATAGTAGTAAGAGAAGGATTTTTTTGTTAAGGGTTGTGATGTCTACCTAAGGGAGGTACTGGGACTGGTACTAGTTGTTGGAAGTTGCGTGTAACCGAGAAAGCTCAGGGGCTCAGCTCAGTTGACGCCTAGCGCATTGACAAAAACAGTCTTGGATGAATAATCGGCCGATACACATAGCAAAGTCTTCTGAGTAGTTTCACCTGGAGACTCCTCCACGTGATAAGGCGGATCCAACCTTTGAAGTCGGAAGGACATTCGGGACGAACCCAAAACGCTGAAGAGGCTCCTTGATTTCGAATGATTCCATATATCAATTATTGGCAAAATCCCCCACTATGAAACCCACGCTAACTGTTTTCTATTCCTCTGATTCCAAACTGCGGGTTCACTCAATTCTCCGATTGGTCAGATCTGATTCTTCTCGCTTCGTCTGATCCTTTCCCCTGGACGCTTCATCCACTGTCAGATCTGGAACCCGACATCGTGAATGCTCTGTGCGGCACAGTAAGCTAAAATTGCAAGATGGAATCACTTGCTTCTCTATCAAGAAGTGGAACATGACATTTTGCCGCGGCGTTCCACGTCAATAGCCTCAACAAAGATGGTGGTTTTATATAAAGGTAGGAGGAATTCCGCTCTGTTGATCTTCTGCATACTCAACGATCTATTACACACTCAAAGCATCATCAAGCCAATCTTTCACTTAATTCATATCTACTTAATACATCAGCCCCAACCAAATTCAATATGCAACTATCATCTTTGCTAGCAGGACTTGCAGCGTTGCAATTCGCCGCAGCGGCACCTACAAATGTTGCGCTCGGAGCAACAGGGAGATCGCTCTCGATCAGCGAAGACGGCACGACAGCTTCCCTTGACGGTCGAAGCATTGATTTGAGACAAGCATTCAAGAGGAACACTGGATGCAAACCTGGAAAGGGTCCCTGGGGCGGCCAACCAGGACCAATGCCAAGCGCAAAAGCAATCTACTTTATCTCCAACGCTGCAAACAACTCGGTCGTTGCCTTGAAAGTCGCAGCTGATGGGACTCTGTCCGATGGGTCGATAACTGCCACGGGAGGAGCAGGAATGTCCGGTGTTGATTCGACAGGAAACCCAGCTGGAGCAGATGGACTGTTCTCCCAAGGTTCTTTGAAGATCGCAGGAAACGTAAGTCTCTCTGTTGCTCTCCCTCTCATACCCCACTAACAACTGCAGACCCTGCTCGCAGTCAACCCGGGTTCCAACACCGTATCCATGTTCTCCATTAACCCATGGGACCCAACAAAACTTACCATGATCGGTACTCCAGCCTCAACCCTGGGCGAGTTTCCCGTCTCAGTCACTATCTCCCAGAAGCTAGCCATCGCATGCGTCGCAAACTCAGGTGCCAAGTCCGGGGTAGCCTGCCTGTCGATCACTGCCAATGGCCTAAAGCCCCTCGACAAAGCCCTCCGTTCAATCCCACTCGGACAAACTACTCCTCCCTCCGGACCCCTCAACACCATCTCACAAACCTTCTTCAACGCCGACAACACCGCACTCCTGACAACCGTCAAGGGAAACCCCATGGTGAACAACACCGGTTTCATTTCCGCTTTCCCCGTGCAAAACGGTTGCGTGAGCCCACAAGAGACGCGCTCCTCGCCCAACGGAACAGCCGTGCTCTTCGGCGTCACACTACTCCCAGGCAGCAACGACAAGATATTCATGACAGACGCATCGTTCGGTGCCGTGACCGTCTCCCTTTCCGCAGGCCTGACCGGCTCCACGGACGCTTCCACAAAGATCGATGGGCAGATGGCTACATGCTGGGCGACATTTAGTGAAGCAACCGGAACTGCGTTTGTGACTGACGTGCTTGTGAACCATTTGGTGGAGATTGATCCTGCTACTGGGGCCATTGTCACGGCGACTGCAGGCGCTACTGGGAGTCTGGGAATGATTGATCTCGAGGGCAAAGGCAACTTCATTTACGCGCTGGCTCCTGGAAATACCACCGGGGGTACGGCTGCAACAGTGACTGTGTTCGATGTGAGTGGGGGGAAGGGTGCTGCCAAGGTGATTCAGAATTTCGCTCCCCAGGGAGTCACGGATACTGTGCAGGGGATGGCTACCATGTAGGGGGTAGATTAGATGAAAGAGTTGTATATAGTGTTTTTCTTCTGAGTGGTAGACTTGGGGCCTGTTTGCTGTTGCATATATGAAAGTCAAGGGGGACTGGGCTCCTAGGCCTTGAAAGGATGACAATGGGCATTTGAAACTTTATAATCAAATAGATATCGAAAAATAGAAAGTTAGTAGTTATTTCAGCTCAATTTTCCACATGCAAATCAAAGAAAGTGACGCTTTTTGGAACGAGGGAAGCATACTAGAACATCATGTTTAGAAAGTGCAATGCAGTGGGGGGTAAAGTTGGAGCAAGGATGTAGAAAATGCAATGCAACCTGCTTGCAGGTTATTCCCAAATGCTCAAGTTTCTACCCCTTGGCCAGCTTTTCTTCGAAGCTTCATGAAGGAAATGGTGTAGTGGACGCTTGGAGGGCGCTCTTGATGCAAAATGGAGAGATAACTGTATGCGAGGGCCTGAAGAGACCACGACACCCCTTCTTATCTGAAAATGTCACAGTCACCGATACAGACGATTTGGCGAAGAATTTAGCTCCCATTTCCCTGAGATACTGCATAATGACCATATATCATGCAACGCTGAAATCTCCGACCATCATTCCCACCCGCAAAGAAACCCAAGCAAAAGCCAGCAGTCCGCACACTTAGATAGTTGTCTCGTAAGCGATTGGGAAGACAGTCTCCGGTACGTTATCCTTCATCGAAATGGTTCTCGCCTCGCGTGGCATCAACGGTTGTCTCTTCAAATGCACGTGGGTACCCTCAGCCTTCGACTTCTTCTTCAACTCTGCGTTCTGCTTGACTCGGCGGACGAACTCTTCTCGGGAGCGGGAAAGGGAGACATGCTCGACTCGGAGGTTGACGCGCTTCTCGATGTAACGGTGCTTCACCTTCTTGTAGATGATGACACCGACTGCGCTCTTCGTAACGTTGTAGACGACACCAGTCTTTCCGTGGTAAACCTTGTGGGGCATTCTACAATTCCAAACGTCAATTCAACTCCTACGATTCTCCGGTTGTATTACTGACCCCTTCTGGACAGCTCCGTTGGCCTTGATATCAACGATGTCTCCGACTCTATCAATTCGTTAGGATTCGTTCCACCACCCGTCCCAGCTGGATTTTGCTCACTTGTATTGGCGTAAGTAGGTAGACAACTTGATCATACCCTTTTGGCGGAACTGCCGTGAGAAGGCATACTATAAGAGGGTTGGCAATTAGCAATGTCCCTGATCGTTTCGAGTAGCGGAGGCGCAAGAAGGGCTACGAGCATGCGCTCAACGCGAGGGGATTCGCAATTGTAACGTACCCGAGTACCGGCTCTGAGACCTGCTGGATGACCCATTTTGACGGTGTGGTTTGGTGTCGACGGGGAGATTTGCGATTGTCGAGATGTTCTAAAATTTTGAGGCTTGACTGTGCGATTTAGTTCTTAGTTCTCGCTAAGGAATTTTATTGATGCCTGAGGGAACAAAATATCACGTGTCTGGGGACAGTTAGTACATGCTTGAGTTTTTGATTTTGAGATAACTAGTCGATGAAACGATTCGTTCTATTTTTGAAAGCGTTGAAAATGGGTTATATGCTGCGACAAAATTGATGTGCATCCAAAACTCCAAAATTGTCCAGCCTTTCCAGGCATAGATAGGTCTTTGAAGATTGAGCATGCTACTCACCCTCACGAACTTCATTTGCTCTAAGTACTACAGAATTAAAAAGGTTGTGATGGAAAAAGTTTGATAATTTCACAGGCGAAGAATCATCTTCTACACAAATTCGAAATTATCTTAGGGTATACAGGGTGAAAAGCACCATAGTAAAGTCATTGTGTGGTGATGGGATTGTGAGGGATAGGTGCAGGATCAATTGCATGACTCCAACTTGCGATGGGGAAATACAAGCTTCTGTTCCCAAATCCGTAAACTTTTCCTGGGCTTTATTAATTTCAATTAGATTACAGGTTGTAATAATGCTGAGATGTGATGTGATTTCCATAAGAGGTGGAGGAAGTTGGAGGTATAAGAAACATAGAAAGGAATGAAGTCGAGATATAATTGGTCTAGGACTTGCCGCTAGGAAGTGGGATTGCACGTGATTCAAAAACTTCCGCACTAAAAAGAATCGCTTAGCCCGCACAATTGGAACTTGAAGAAATCCACGCCCAGTCCAACCTCATCGACAACAACTTCGAAAGCGAAACGCAAAAATGGCGCCTCGCTCCTACTCCAAGACCTACAAGGTCCCTAGAAGACGTAAGTATCACCATAATCATCATGCTCTCGATTTCAGCTTTTGCGCCGTGTTCTCCGCTTGTCAAGAGATCTGCTAGATCTCGAGATAATTCAACGCGCCTGCGACCTCGACCATATTGTATGCGCATTTTGCTAACTCCTTATAGCATTCGAGTCTGCTCGTCTGTAAGTTGGCCAATGTTCAGAGTGCGCTCTGAATAAGTCACTGATCATGTCCATAGGGACTCCGAATTGAAGCTCGTCGGAGAGTATGGTCTTCGCAACAAGCGTGAGGTCTGGCGTGTCCAGCTCACCCTGTCCAAGATCCGTCGTGCTGCTCGGTACGAATACATACTGTTAATTGGGATATGGAGGTACTGATAAGGCATAGTCAACTGCTCACCCTCGATGAGAAGGACCCCAAGCGCCTCTTCGAAGGTAACGCCCTCATTCGCCGTCTCGTCCGTGTCGGTGTCCTCGATGAGTCCCGCATGAAGCTCGATTACGTGTTGGCCCTGAAGATTGAGGATTTCTTGGAGCGTCGTCTGCAGACTTGTGTCTACAAGCTCGGTCTCGCCAAGTCCATCCATCACGCTCGTGTCCTCATCCGCCAGAGACACATCCGTGTTGGCAAGCAGATCGTGAACGTCCCATCTTTCGTTGTCCGTCTCGACTCGCAAAAGCACATCGATTTCGCCCTCAGCTCGCCGTTCGGTGGTGGACGTCCTGGTCGTGTTCGCAGGAAGAAGGCCAAGGCTTCCGAGAAGAAGGATGATGGTGGAGATGATGAGGAAGATGAAGAGTAGAGGATTTATGAAACTCTTATTCTTTATGCAAAATGGTTGTGGCTATGGGGTGTTGATATGGAATCATCACTGCGCATCGAATGTATTTTGAGCCTCCAGGCGTTAAAGTCAAGCATAGCAATCAACATTTGAGCAACAAAATCTTTCTTTTACCGACCGTGATAAAAGTTATTTGATTCAATATCTAACTCCTGCCAATGCTTTCCCCAGCGCCCGCTAAATTAAACACTTTGATTCTTGAATACGACCTTCATAAAAGTTCGTCCTTGCCTAAGAACGCAGCCATAGGGTCGTTCGCAGCAGTCCTTTTTCGTCTATATTCATCCATATCCTCCTCTGTCACTCCACCCTTCATCTCTTCCATAGTCCGCTTCTTGGCCGGCTGAGACACAGTGGCCTCTTTTTCTGGCTCTTCAACAACCTCATTGGAGGGCCACTCAATCTCTTTCGCAGGTTCCTCTCCTATCATGACCCCAGTTCGAAGAAGATCGGCTTGATCAAAGGCTTTCTTCCCATCTTCTCCAGTACAGTAGCTGTTCTTGACCATGGAATGACAGCAATCGTATCCCCATTGGAAATTTGACCACCAACTTCCCCAAACTGATGTATGGTTGTTGATGAGCACATCTTCCGGATACTTCGACTTGGCAATGACTTTGAGGGCGCCTTTGATTGCGCCAGACTCATCGTATTCGACGTATCTCTCGGACTCAATAACCGCGGCTTCACGAAGCTTAGCAGCAGCTGGGTTGAGCTCACCACCATACTTCTCGAGTAACATCTTTTTGTGCGCTTGCTTCTTTGCGTCTGCTTCCTCCTTTTCCTTCCGTCGATAGTATTCTCCCGCGGTAGGATTTGCCTGAAGATGTGTTTTCGTGTCGCCCTTCTCCTTCTCCTGAGATTCCCATGCATATTTTTGCGCCTTCTCGAATTCGGCAGCATCTCCTGATGCCCTCATAAACCCTTCTTCTGCGACCAAAGCAGCAGCCGTATCTGCAGTAGCTCCACTATCCACCATAGATCTTGTCTTAGGGTCGTACTTAGCTGAGTCCAGGTCCAAGTTGAGTAAGTATTTCGCAGTATCTTCTCGAATCCGCAGTTGCCTCGTAGCCGTACTCTGCTTTCTTCCCATATCCGATTCCTCGGCGTACTTAGCGCCATCTTCGCCCTCGTCATCCTCATCTTCCTTTACGACCGGATCCTGGGCCTTCTTCAACTCCTCCAACTGAGCATACTCATCGATCACAGTCTTGTACTCCTTAGAGTCATACCCATTCCATCGATCCCTCTTCGCATCCCACCCCAAATCAACGGCTTGTACCACCTCATCAGCCTGTATATCCTTCCCCGTCCACTTTGCGCCTTTCGCTCTCGGTCTGCTCAGGCACTCCTTCGTCTTATGTGTCATGGCACCGCAATTTTCGCACGCGCCTTTCCGGAACTTGGTCGCTGCAGGACCGAGTTTCTTTCCCCGATCATACCATTTGGACTGGTCTGATTGCGCCTTCTGTAGACGTTGATGCTCGAGGTAGTCGTTCTGGTCGTCATCTTCGCCGATATAGAAGGGCTTCTTGGAGATGAAGGAGGGGATGTATTCGTTGGCTTCCTTGTTAGCCACTGAGGGCGCGGGAGGCTTTCGAGGTTGGACTCCGGCTGGAGGCATTTTTAAGGAGAGTGTAGATATTGTAGAGGGGCAAGTCGCTTTGTTGCGGATTAGTGGTACTGGGAAATACTAGCTAAAGATTACGGTAGCCCATTAAAGTCAAAGCGTCAGCTCGAGATCTTCGTGTAGTTTCTCCAAAGTTGTGAGAATGAATTTTGAAAGTGTATATAGGCAAGCTGCTATAAAAAGTTGAAATTAAATTCCGGGTTTCTGATATAATCTAGTACTTATATATGTCGTTCAAAACTTACCTTGTGTGGGTATTTCTAGAAGGGCGGCTAGGCAGCAAAGGGTTGCCGTAAACTTATCCTTACTCGTGATACCGCGACTCGTCGCGTCACCAAATAAACATCATATACACCTTTTGCATTCATGCTTTGCTATTCTCTTGCTAGCTATGTCAAGTACGGCCAATGACACTTTACGGCCTCCCGATTAAGGCCACCGGTAGCCATGGACCTCTTTCGAGTTCGCCTGAATTGCATAGACAACTACCAGGCTATCCCAACGAAGTTCGACCCCGTCCTTCGAAACAATGTTAAGCCTTCTCAGGTTCAAAAGGAACCGAAAGTGCCTGTAATTAGAGTATTTGGGGCTACTGAAACGGGCCAAAAAGTTTGCGCTCATATTCATGGAGCCTTCCCATATTTGTATATCGAATACACAGGTAGTCTCGTTCCGGATGATGGTAAGTCCCTCTTCAGTATAAAGGTATTTTGTTGACAATCCCAGTTGGTGCTTACATACACCGTCTTCATCTATCGGTGGACTTTGCGCTAGCTGTCAGTTACAGGCGTAATATGTATGATGGAAATGCTAAATACGTCGCACGCATCACTCTGGTCAAGGGGATCCCGTTCTATGGGTATCATGTGGGCTACAGCTACTATCTGAAAATTTATATGCTCAATCCCATGACAATGATACGGCTTGGTGATCTTCTACGCCAAGGAGTCATCATGAAGAAAATGATTCAGCCGTACGAAGCTCATCTTCAGTATCTACTGCAATGGATGGCAGATTACAACTTGTATGGATGTGGATATATCGACTGTAGCAAAGCGACCTTTCGAAGCCCATTGCCTAAATATGAAGAGATGACCAATCCCTCTCATCTTTGGCACGACCGTTCTATTCCAAAGGAGCTTGTAACCGAAGAGTCTGAACTCCCGAGAGTCAGTCATTGCTCAATTGAAGTGGACATCTGCGTGCAAGATATCTTAAATCGGAATGAGATCAAAGTACGGCCTCTTCACCATGATTTCATTGAACGGCTCAATTCATTGGCTCCAGATCAGAAATTAGTCCACAGTATGGCAGGACTCTGGAGAGACGAGACGCGTAGACGCAAGGCACATATGTCGAATCCTGACCCCGGCAGCAGCCCTTTTCCACCCGAAGTTATGATCTCAATGTCTGCTGACCCTCGACATTCTCAACCCGGAGGTTGGATCCATGAGGAAGAATACCGAGAGAAGATGATGTTTCAGATCGCCGAAGAGAAGAGCAAAAGCGATGGTGCGGCGATCTCTTTTGATACTTTTGTCCGACCAGCGCCATTCGATTCGTCTGTGAGAACATGTTTGGAGGGTGTCGAAGATCTTTATCCCGAGAATTTACGCCCTGCTCTTGGATTGACGCCCGGAGCGAGAAAGGGAGTCGGTGATTACGATATGGATGACGAGGATGAAGAACGAGAAGTAGATGAGAAACGAATTCTGGCATTTAATATGGAGAACGATGATAACGACTTTCTTTACGACTCTGACGAAGACATTATGCGAGAAATCGAGCTTTCTCAGAAGAAAGGTGACCAAGTCGATGAAAAACATCTGGAATCGGAGGACACCAGGAAAATAGAACACGAAATAGACGATGAATTACGCCCAGGTGGTGATGATTATGCAGAGCAATTTGTAGATCCGGCTGATCCAAATAGCTGGCAAAGTTCATCTGGACCTTCCGAGGGAGTCGTAGGTGGTCCGTCTGAGACTGCTTCGATTACGCCCCCTATTACAACATCAAGTCAATACGACGACTCTCCAGAAAGCGAAGGGGTGTCTCAACCAGTTCCAGCAATACGAGTCGTTCAACAACCTACAGCTAATACTAAACGATCTGATTATCCTGTTCAACTTGCCGAGAGCCCCGCTAAGCGTCAGAAAATGCAATCGGGTCAGTATGACGAACCTAAGCTTCACCACAACAGTTCTGAAGCAGCTTTTGGACATTATTATAGCTTCGGCGGTGAAAATCAGTTGCTTGCTGTGCCAAATATCAATGAAGGCAAAGGAAGTCGAGGAAACAAGACTCCAAAGTTGAAAACGGCCACTGTAAATGGCTCGTCAAAATTGACAAGGAGTTCTGACAATGCAAAATCTTCTCAGGAATCCCTCAAGGCAAACGATAGACCCTCTACACAACCTCTTAACTTCCCAATCGTCAAGGACCCTCACGACCCATACACTATCCTGAGATTAAGCCAGAAGAGTGCTTCGCAACCAAGCCCGGTTGAGAAAAAGAAACACGTTTCGTTTGATCCTCTTCTATCATCTGCCCAGAGCCCGCTCAAACGCTCAGCATCATTGAGGTCCAGCGCCCAACACGCATCATCTGAACAATATACCCAAATTGCAAAAGTGCTTAAAGGCATCCGATTTGACTTTGGAGAGGTTCCTAAGGGGAATCTTTTAGCACTTGCTGAACTCCCGCCCTCCTATCAGACTGTGGATTCGACAATCCAGGACCTCAATCTTCCGTCTGTCATTTATCAAGATGCCTACTATAGCAACGAGCAAGATGTGCCTGACCGCGCACGGGAATGGGCTGGAAGAGAATTTAAACTGGAAAGCTTAACCGTACCCTTCCTTCCTGAGTTCGACCCGACCGGAACATCTGAGGCAAGTTTTGGGCAGAAGCCCAGCATCATACCAGATAGAGTCCAGGACGATAAGGATTATCGACGTCAGCGGCGAGAATGTAGTCTCCGAAGTTGGGCGATCGCGGAACTGCCACCAACCTACGCCGAAATAAATCAGTGGTGTAGAGACCAAGAGAAGAGCCGCCGGTTAAAAAAAGCAAAGCTCTTTACAACGTCCAAAGCAGCGCCTAGTCCTCGGAAGGGGAAGCTGTCACAAATCGACGGCCCAACACAGAAAAACAAACATGACTTCAAATATACCCAAAACCAGAAAACAACAAGTGTCAAGCACGAAGTACAGTACATGAGCACAATGAGTCTTGAGGTTCACGTCAACACGCGTGGAAACCTTGTGCCTAACCCTGAAGAGGATGAGGTTCAGTGTATTTTCTGGTGTTTGCAGTCTGACGACGAGACTCTTAAAAATAACGGTTATGCAGAAGGAACTCATCTCGGAATGGTGATTCTTTCTGAGGATGGCGAGATGACCGAAAGGATTTCTAAGCAAGTAGCTATTGAAGTTCTGCAAGAGCAATCGGAACTTGATCTCATGATTCGTATGGTCGAGCTTGTACGTGCTCATGACCCAGATATACTCACGGGGTACGAAGTCCATGGGAGTTCGTGGGGGTTCCTGATCGAAAGGGCACGATTGAAGTACGATTACAATCTCTGTGACGAATTCTCTCGTATGAAGTCTCAATCGCATGGAAGGTTTGGAAAGGATAATGACAAGTGGGGCTTTAACAATACTTCGACAATCCGTGTCACTGGCAGACACATGATCAATATCTGGCGAGCCATGCGGAGCGAGTTGAATTTACTTCAGTATACCATGGAGAATGTTGCTTTCCATTTACTTCACCGCCGAATCCCGCACTTCACCTGGGCTGACTTGACGAACTGGTACACCAATGGCAAACCTCGAGATCTGGCTAAAATAATCAACCATTATGTCTATCGTGTTCAGCTGGACTTGGAGATTCTTGAGCGAAACGAATTGATTGCCAGAACGAGTGAACAAGCCCGATTGCTTGGAGTGGACTTCTTCTCGGTTTTCTCTCGAGGGTCCCAATTCAAGGTCGAGTCTCTAATGTTCCGAATCGCAAAGCCTGAAAATTTCATGCTAGTGTCTCCAAGCAGGAAGCAAGTTGGAGGCCAAAATGCTCTGGAGTGTTTGCCATTGGTAATGGAACCTCAGAGCGCATTTTATAATAGCCCGGTGCTAGTTCTGGATTTTCAAAGCTTGTATCCCAGTGTTATGATTGCTTATAATTACTGCTACTCAACCTTCCTTGGAAGAGTAGTAAATTGGCGAGGCGCTAATAAAATGGGATTCACGGAGTTTAAGAGGCAGCAGCGGCTACTCGAACTTCTCAAAGATCATATCAACATTTCACCAAACGGCATGATGTACACCAAGCCACAGATACGGAAGTCTTTGTTAGCCAAAATGTTGGGTGAGATTTTGGAGACTCGAGTTATGGTCAAGAGCGGAATGAAAGTCGATAAAGATGACAAAGCACTTCAACGACTACTCAATAACAGACAGCTGGCGCTAAAGCTCATAGCCAATGTCACTTACGGCTATACTTCTGCCTCATTTTCAGGCCGAATGCCATGTTCCGAGATTGCAGACAGCATTGTTCAGACTGGCCGCGAGACACTCGAGAAAGCCATCGCTCTCATCCATTCCGTCAAGCGGTGGGGAGCTGAAGTAGTCTATGGTGATACCGACAGTTTATTCGTCTACTTAAAAGGCCGGACTAAGGATCAAGCATTCGACATTGGAGAGGAAATTGCGAAGACTGTTACAGATATGAACCCTCGTCCAATCAAGCTGAAATTTGAAAAGGTCTACTTGCCCTGTGTCCTGCTAGCTAAGAAACGCTACGTAGGTTTCAAGTATGAGCACAGGAACCAGACCGAACCGGAGTTCGACGCAAAAGGTATCGAGACCGTTCGCAGGGATGGCACGCCTGCGGAGCAAAAGATCGAGGAAAAGGCCTTGAAAGTTTTGTTTCGAACAGCTGATCTCAGCCAAGTCAAATCATATTTTCAGAAACAGTGCGAAAAGATCATGAAAGGATCTGTCTCTATTCAGGACTTTTGCTTTGCTAGGGAGGTTAAGCTTGGGACTTACAGTGACAAGGGACCGCCTCCTCCAGGTGCGCTTATCAGTACAAAGCGAATGCTGGAAGATGCTCGAGCAGAACCTCAGTACGGGGAACGAATACCTTACGTCGTCATTACCGGGGCCCCAGGTGCACGATTGATCGATCGATGTGTCGCTCCTGAAGAGCTGCTTGAAAACGACCACAGTGAGCTGGATGCTGAGTATTACATATCGAAGAATCTCATCCCTCCTTTGGAACGGATATTCAATCTTGTGGGTGCGAATGTGAGGAATTGGTATGATGAAATGCCTAAGTATCAACGGGTACGGAGGGTAGATGCAAATCTTCAGCTCCAAGGTCAATCCAAGGAACTCGCTATAAGCAAGAAGACACTTGAATCGTACATGAAGTCTTCCTCTTGCCTGGTGTGCAAGGAGAAGCTAGAGCTGGAAGGATCTATCTGTCCTAACTGTTTGAGTGACATGTCGCGGTCTCTCCTATCGTTGCGAACCAGACTCAACGGAGAGGAAAGAAGGTTCATGGACATCCAAAAGATATGTCAAGGCTGCTCGGGGATATCGCCACTGGACGAGGTGAGGTGCGACAGCAAGGATTGTCCGGTATTTTATACTAGGACTAGACAGAAGGCGAGACTGAAGACTGAGAGAGGCATTGTAGAACCGGTCATGAAGGAGCTATCGAGCTTAATTGTAAACATGGCGGATTTGGAATGGTAAATATGGGGATTGTCCGGAAAGGGTGGCGTGGCGTTTATGATGGGAGGCATTGGGAAGCATCTTTGACTTTTGCATAGCGATGGAAGGGAGGTTTGGAACATGGAGCATGCAACATGTACGGAGTAGGATACCCAATGGGACGGCTGTTTCGGAATGTACTGTAGTAAAGTGCATCATTGCAAAACGCTGAACAGTAGCTGATGATCAACGATGTCATCTCCAAATTGCGGGGATTGTGGGGTTAAATTGAAATCTTGTAATACTACCATCTACTGTAAAACGTGGAGGACATACATCGGCTTTGCTAATCCTTCACTCTATTGATCACTCGACTGAATAAAAGGTTATTCCAATAATAATAAGTCGCAATATTCTCAGTTGTCATACATAACCTTCACCTTCCTTGCTTTTGCAACCGCCGACCGGATTAGGCGACTACCAAGAAAACAAAAGTGCAATTTTGAGCCTTTCCCAAAGAATCAAGCCATTCGAAACATTTCATTTCATTGGCTGAAAATTCATGTTTGGCTACTTAATTCAACACTTATTTCGGAGGCGATCTACGGTGGGCGCCGAAACTTGATTACCGGTATTGACCATCAGCCTGGATAGCTTCGAAGCTGTCCTTATCGAAGCGCGATTGTCAACAGCAACAACAACATTTTGCTGCGAGAACCCCAATAGCCACACAATACAGATGCCACAATGGATGGTCTGCTGGGGTTTCTGTTAGTCTATACACTGGGTGGTATCACGTTCATTCCTCTCCTGATCTGCGCTGTGCTGCTCCACGCCTACTTTACCTTCCCTATCCATGAAGACACTGCATATCGGGAACCCGACAACGAGTCTATTGTCAGACCCGAGGATGATATCGATGCTATCAAGAAGGCGCAGAAGACTCTTGGGGAGAAGTTCCAGTCGCGCAGAGATCATGAGGCGGATGTAGCGGCTGGGTATTTTGCTGTGTGTAGAGAATATACTCCCGGGGGCGTGAATGGGAAACCACCGGAAAGGACGACGCCCGTGGGCTCTACGACTGTTTCTGCGCCGAGTCCAAGTGTCTATCAGAGCATGTACAGGAGCATATTTGATAGGAAACAGAATAATAGTCCTTTGGATAACAAGGGAGCTGGGAGACCACAGAGGAGGGGTGGCAATGTATTCTATGTGGTTTTGAGGTATGGCAGCACTTCCACAACATGCCCCCTAGATATATGGCTAATTATGGCTCTGCAGGCACGGCCATCTCATGCTCTTTGACGACGATGAGCAACTCGAAGTCAGACATGTTGTGTCCTTAGCCCATCACAATGTCAGCATATACTCGGGCGGAGAAGAAACACCAGAAGGAGAGCTCTTTATAAAGAGAAATGCCCTCTGTCTCTCGAGAAGGACTGATGCCGGGGAAATTACGCCCGACGGCAAAGCTTCGAAACCGTTCTTTCTGTTTTCTGAGAATTGCTCCGAGAAGGAGGACTTCTACTTCGCCATGCTGAGGAATCAAGAAAGAAAGCCTGATGCAAAGAACAACCCGCCAATACCTCTACAATACGACGTCAAGGATATCATAACGCTCGTACAAAAGTAGGTTTACTTGAAGGGTTAATGCTTCCAGATGTGTAGTAACTAACGTCATCTGAACAGGCTGCATTCCTCCGAAGAACATTTGCAAACAAGGTGGATCAATGCTATTATAGGGAGGATATTCCTGGCCTTGTACAAAACAACGGAGATTGAGAACTTCGTTCGAGCTAAAATCACCAAGAAGATATCACGAGTCAAGACACCTTCATTCCTCTCAAAAATCGCTTTACGGCAAATAGACCTGGGCGAAGCAGCACCAGTAATTACGAATCCTAGGCTGAAGGACCTTACGGTAGATGGGGAGCTTGTGGTGGAGGCAGATGTGAAGTATTCGGGCAATTTCAGACTCGAGGTAGCAGCAACAGCGCGTATTGAACTTGGATCACGCTTTAAGGCCAGAGAAGTCAACCTACTCTTGGCAGTTGTGCTCAAGAGACTTGAAGGGCATGCTATGATAAGAGTCAAACCGCCGCCTTCGAATCGATTTTGGGTATCATTCTCATCCATGCCAAAGATTGATATGACCATAGAGCCAATCGTCAGCTCCCGGCAAATCACTTATACATTGATACTGCGACAAATTGAAAATAGAATCAAAGAGGTTATTGCGGAGAGCTTGGTGTTTCCGAATTGGGACGACTCTCCCTTTTACCACAGCGAAGAGAAGTTATGGAGGGGTGGGGTATGGGCTGACGATAGGGTGGCTGATCATTTTCAAGATGCTGGAACTGTAGCCGCTGAAGAGGGGAACGTGGATGAGGCTGACCATTTAGAACACGAGGAACCGATCGAAGCTTTGCCACACATTGAAAAGAGCATGAGCATGCCGGTTATAGACGCTTCTGCGCCAGCCTCAATACAACCACGGAAAGGTGCCAGATCTGTTTTCAACCTTGGCACCTCAAAGTCTGGTGGATCTTCTACAAGCATCGAGACGCGATCACCGGTTGTCGATAATCAGCCGAGAGCACTCAGGTCCGGTTCCTTTACAAGTGCCTCGTCACCCATCGTCAGCACTGATTCTACCAATGTCGACGCTTTCAAACCTTCCACACCACCCGAGCATAGCCATGCAAGTTCCGCTATGGCTGCTATTTCAGCCATATCTCAGTCAAACTCACCCTCACATACTCCATTAGATTCGCCCTCGATAGCTTCAAGAGCTGAGAAATTGGGCAGCCAGTCATCGGCATCTTCAAACGACTTATTACACCCTGATGCAGAGACAGAAACCGATTTGACTCCCCGGCCAAGCGTCAATGTCTCAGAAATCATTGATGAGTCTCAGGCCAGCTCTTACCCACCAAGCCCAGCCAGCACCAGCCAAGCGTCGTCCAAGTCGGAAGCACCATCAACTAGATCTTTTGGAACTTCCAGTAAAGATAGACGAGAAGATTCTACTTCCACATCCTCATCAGGGAAATCTTCAACTACCGAACCGAATAACAAACGTATTTCTCTGGCTGCTGTGGCTGGTACAGCGGCTGCTACAGCTAAAAAATGGGGTTGGAACTTGCAAAGACAAGGGGGTCAGAAGCTAGACAGCACGGCAGAAGGCCCCGAGAAATCTTCTCGTCCATTGGTTATGGGACGGGGACAGCCACTTCCACCGCCAGGGACACCATTACCTCCCCCAGACAGGAAAACTAAAACTGCACCAATCCCCGTGCCGAAGCGGAAGCCCTTAGCCGCACCCAACTTACCCGAGAGACATAAGGACGATGAGCATGAATCAAATGGACATAACAGCCACCGACACGCAGTCCCTCCACCTCCTTTGCCAAAACGGCGCAGCCGAGACGACACAAAAAATGTGCATGAACCGGGAGATGATGGACTACTTGTCGTTGAAGCTCCAGCTAATGATTCGGAACCGACCACGCCTATGACCGAAGATGCCCCGGTATACATGCCTCCTTGGGTAGAGGATGCTGATGATGAAGAAGAGAAGGCTAGGCCGCTATCTTCGGCAAGCAGCGCCAAGACGCCTCCTCGGTTGCCTAAGAGGAGACCACAACATCGGGTTCTGTCCGGAAGTCCCGAGGAAGATGGACATAAGCTGCCGTCTTGGATGGCTGCTCAGGAAGAGGAAGCGAGAGCCAAGAGCACTCTCGTTGACGAAGATGCAGGCTTTCAGTGAAAGAAGCTGGCGAAGTCTATGACAACAGAGATGATTTGAAATTGAATAAGAGGGATGGACGAAGAGGCAAGAACAGGAACACACATGTATCATATTGGGTATTGGATCAGGGGGGAATTTAGTGATTGGGAATAACTGGCATTGGATAGGAGCTGATAGATAGCATTGTTGGAGTTTGATGGTTAGCGGGTTAGCGGGTTATGAGCATAGATGAAGCACCATTGAAAACGAGCAGTCGACTCTTTTGACTACATTCATGATTGAGTGTGAATAGATGTGGCTATAATGAGTATTGGATATCCCGTGTGTGAATAACTTCTTGGACTCCCTTAATTGCATTCGCTACAAGAAGGCGAATTGGCATGGGAAACAACCCTTCTCAATACAATTCTGCTATCTTCTAAATCTCTGTTCTACCACGTATGCTCTTCGCGACCCGTTTGATAGTCCTAGATGACCTATCAAGGCGTTCCCAAAGGGAAAGGGAAAGCACTAGCCATGTTGGTTCCTCGAAGTTCAAGAATTGAAAAGAAAGCCGAGTAAGTACATTTTGATTCTCTTCATCCATCCATCTCCATTTTTTGCAGCGTATTTCTGCGACACGTAAGTGTTATATTGTGGTTGGCGGTCGTGCTCGTTCAGTACGAGTATTCGTGGATAAGTATGAGGGAGATCAACGCCACATTACGCAGCTTCCCTGCACCACCACACCTGCCAAGCAACCAGGCTACCGTAAAGGCTATCGAGAAACGTCTGCCGCGAACAATCACCCAAAACGCAACGACGACCTCCCTCCTCCCTTCTCCCTATATACCCCTCCATATATCTTTACACATTCCTTTCGTCAATTCTTTGTCCATTTTCTGCGTTTGTTCTGCGCGCTGAGCGCCTGTCGATATGGCTTCAAACTACGGTCCCACGACCCGGAACGTGGACCATACCAAGTCTGTTTGCCCTGGACCTTCTAATTTTTGCGCAGTGCTTTATTTGCTAACTATTGGTGCTACAGGTCTGAGGCAGAGCTTGCGATTAATATCCGGAAAGCTACGAGTATCGAGGAGACGGCGCCGAAACGCAAACATGTGAGGAGTTGCATTGTGTACACATGGGATCACAAATCCTCCGGGGCCTTTTGGTCTGGCATGAAAGTGTAAGCAGGTCTTCTGTTCTTGGACTTGGAGTCTTCCTTGGATCTGCTGGGTCTGGGAGATACTCTTTCCGGAGTGCCGCTGCTCTGTGGAGCCAGGATCTGGATTATGGGGGCAAAGCTGACTTTTGGCTCCATTAACACAGGCAACCTATTCTTGCGGATGAAGTGCAGACTTTCAAAGCGTTAATTACGGTCCACAAGGTCTTGCAGGAAGGTCACCCATCGACGTTACGAGAGGCAATGGCAAGTCGACAATGGATCGATAGTCTGAACCGCGGCATGTCTGGAGAAGGACTGCGAGGATATGGCCCATTGATCAAGGAATACGTGAACTTTCTGCTAGCAAAGCTGTCCTTTCACAGCCAACACCCCGACTTCAATGGCACATTTGAGTATGAGGAATATATCAGTTTAAAGGGAATCAATGATCCGAACGAGGGTTATGAGACAATCTCCGACTTGATGGCCCTTCAGGACAGAATAGAACAATTCCAAAAGTTGATATTCTCGCATTTCCGGGGTGGTGGGAATAATGAATGTAGGATATCGGCCTTGGTACCTCTGGTGCAGGAAAGTTATGGTATTTACAAGTTCATCACTAGCATGTTGCGCGCTATGCATACAAGTAAGTTTTGATGGATATCTGCCAGGCTTGTTCCCTAACAATTACAGCAACCGGCGATGACGAAGCCCTTGAACCTTTAAGAGGCAGATACGATGCCCAGCACTACCGTCTTGTCAAATTCTACTACGAGTGTTCCAATCTTCGATATCTTACTAGTCTTATCACGGTTCCCAAACTCCCACAAGAGCCACCTAACCTCCTCTCCGAAGACGAATCTGCTCCGCGACTACCTCAGAGACCAAAGCAGGAAATAGAGAGGCAGATTACCCCCCTCCAGCACCGAAGAACAATGAGCCTGATGATATTGGAGAGTTTTGGAAGAACGAGCAAGAACGTCAGAACAGGGAATACGAGGAGCAACAGAGAGTACTCGAGGCACAGCAAGCTCAACAACTTTACCAGCAGCAGCAGGCACAATTACAAGCACAGCGTGATTTTGAAGAGCAGCAACGGCAATTAGCGGAGCAACAAAGGAGAGAGCAGGAAGCCATGCTAGCAAATCAGTATGCCCAACAGACAAGTGGTCGCTTGCAGCAGTTAGAGCAAGAGAACTTTGATGCGCGTGCCCAATATGCTCGTGACCAGCTCATGCTTCAGCAATATGACCAGAAGATCAAGGCTTTGGAAAATGAGCTCCAACAAGTACAGAACAACTTTGGACAACAGATTGGAAGCAAGGATGATCAGATTCGGGCTCTTCAGGAGCAAGTTAATACATGGCGGACAAAATACGAGGCTCTTGCCAAATTGTATTCGCAGTTGCGTCACGAACATCTGGATCTCCTCCAGAAGTTCAAAGGTGTGCAGCTCAAAGCTGCTTCGGCGCAAGAGGCAATTGACAAGCGTGAGAAACTTGAAAGGGAGATCAAGACCAAGAACCTCGAACTGGCTGATATGATACGCGAGAGAGACAGAGCTTTGCATGACAAGGATCGACTAAGCGGTGGAAATCGTGAGGAAATGGAGAAGCTCAAGCGGGAACTACGGATGGCTCTTGATCGTGCTGACAACCTCGAGCGAAGCAAGGGCAATGAGCTTTCTTCTATGCTTTCGAAATACAATCGTGAGATGGCGGATCTAGAGGAGGCGCTTCGGAAAAAATCTCGTGCTCTTGAGGATGTGCATTCGAAGTACAGTGAGGGAGGGTCAGATGCTGAGAGGTTGCTGAGAGAGAGAGAAGAAGAATTGGAGGTCTACAAGCAAAGTTTGGATGACACCCTGCTAAGGCTCAATGAATTGGAGATGTCCAAGGGAGACACCGATCAAGCCTTGGATGGAGAAATCGATGCCATGCTCCTTTCGAACATTGGCAAGATCAACGATATCATCGATTCCGTTCTCCAAAGCGGAGTTCAGCGTGTTGATGATGCTTTATACGAGCTGGATTCTTCGATGCAGGCTGGTAATCAAAATGCAACGCCATCCTATGTCCTATCACAAATCGAAAAGGCATCTTCGAGTTCAACAGAGTTTGCTACAGCATTCAACAACTTCATTGCCGACGGCCCCAACAGTAGCCATGCTGAAATTATTCGTGGCATCAATGTGTTTTCAAGCTCCATCGCAGATGTCCTGAGCAATACCAAGGGTCTTACAAGACTTGCGGCGGATGATAAGAAGTCAGACCAGCTTACCAACGGCGCGCGGCAATCTGCACAGGCCACTCTTAGATTCTTCCGCGGCCTGCAAAGCTTCCGACTCGATGGTATGGATCCCATGCAGAGAACCGAGGTTGTTATCAACAGCAACAACGAAGTTCTGATGAGCCTCCAAAAGCTCAATAAGCAGGTCGATGCATTTGCGCCTAACAGTGGCAAGCTGAAGGGAGATCTGGGAGATCTTGTTGACAGCGAGTTGATCAAAGCCGCAGACGCAATTAGCGCTGCTGCTGCACGACTTGCAAAACTCAAGTCGAAGCCCAAGGATGGATACTCAACCTATGAGTTGCGCATTCATGATTCTATTCTGGACGCTGCTATGGCCGTGACGAACGCCATTGCCAAATTGATCAAAGCAGCAACCGTGACCCAGCAAGAGATTGTCCAAGCCGGTCGTGGTTCCGGCGACAAAACTTCCTTCTACAAGAAGAACAACCGCTGGACTGAAGGTCTCATCTCCGCCGCCAAAGCCGTCGCTTCCTCAACCAACACATTGATCGAAACAGCTGACGGCGTTATTTCCAACCGCGCCAGCCCCGAACAGCTCATCGTTGCTTCCAACGACGTTGCAGCATCCACAGCACAGCTCGTCGCAGCCAGTAGAGTGAAGGCTGGCTTCATGAGCAAGAGTCAGGAAAACCTTGAGCAAGCTAGCAAAGCTGTTGGAGCGGCATGCCGCTCGCTGGTCAGACAAGTTCAAGCTATGATCGCGGATAGGGATAAGGGTGAGGATTCCGTTGATTATGGGAAGTTGGGCTCGCATGAGTTTAAGATTAAGGAAATGGAACAGCAGGTATGTTACTCATATGCATTTAGTAGGAGAGTTTTGATGCTAATGCTTTGGAATAGGTCGAGATCCTGCAGCTGGAGAATAATTTGGCGGCTGCGAGACAGAGATTGGGTGAGATGAGGAAGGTGTCTTACCAGGAATAGTGTTGCCGAGGCGCGTTGTACTTAGGCGGGTGCTTTGTCGTGGAGCCTGATACTCCGTAATGCAAAACTTATTAAGAGTATAATCCAATCCGAAAAAGATATTTGTGAGAACTCGTATATCTGGTAAGTATTGAAAGCTGTGATTTTAATTGGAGATAAAAGGGGCCGCTACTCACTCCATCCTTGACTTACATAGGCCTAGACTTACAATATGAAATGGAATTTCTATTAGCGCGGTGTCGCCCCTTCCTCGGGTAAATCCGAGGTCAAGTTGTGGCGGCGGGAAGCATAGGGCATGGTTGGACTCCAGTCTTCATTAGCGGAGCGGGTCTTCCTTATTTCCACGACAGCTTGAGCTTGCAACAAAGAAACCGAAACATTAATTCCTTTTATGCTTGTCACAACACGGCAATGATGCTCCGCTTGAAAAAAGCCGATGTCTGTGTAGGGCCCCAAATACGACTGCTCATCCAGCGAGGGATACCTAACAGAAAATCTAGAAGTGATGGATATACTGGCAAATGGCAGGCACAAATGCTACCTCGAATTACGAACGCAAAGCCGCTTCAGCATAATTTTCAGCACGATGAGTAAACATCGGACCTGCGAATATAGAGGTTGTACTAATAGCAAACCAACTTGTATAAGGTACTTTTTCTACGAAACTACACCTAACATTAGAAGCATTGTCGGCTTTGTGTGACTAAGTTAGTTGGGAACGATCGAGCATCATGCTCTTGGAGGCTGTTTATGATTCAAGGCCAATATTTTTAATGTGAGCCCTTGCCGATATGCTATATGAAGCCCGGTTTAGAGAGGGCGCATCTATTTGTCACATTGAGATTGTGCCTCGGACGCACAAGCATCATCATACAAACATGGATACACCTCTCAATACCTTTGCATGGACATTTTCATAGTAAAGATGCTTGAAGCTTTTGAGGAGTCCGAAGTTCTAAGTGGATTTTACATTCCGTGCGAAAGGATTTGAATGAAACTTGGCGAGTGGTTGCTCATTGTGAGGAATGACCTTCCCGCGCCACTATGCGACGACATGTCTGTTAGACTACAGACCTACCTCCGACTTCATTACTGTTACGATTAGCTTCAACTGTTCCTGTGTTGCTTTTGGAACAAATAGACATTTGCCTTGACCTTTTATACGTACCATTGTGATAAGAGGTAATCTCATTAGGCCAGTAGCAAAGTCTTTTCTGGGTGAGTCAAATCCTGTCCTCTTTGTTCCTGATTTTTTGGTTTCATCCCAGTCGTATGAACTCGTATTTTCTCATATTGCACGAAGAGAAGTAATCTACGTAACCCATAATTCAGAACGATAGCTTTGGTCTAAGAGAAACTACGCAAAAGGGGTTTCCACATAGAACACCAAGCCGAGTCCCACGTTTGAAAGCCAGAAGCTCACAAAACATTAGATTTCGCTGCAAGTACAAGGGTTGTCCTCTCCCATCGGGTGTTAACAAGGCTTTCAGCATTTCTGATAAGTGGTCCAATGTAAGCGCGGTTCTCATACGATATAATGCACTTATTTGCTCTCTGGGGGTGGCCTACGAATATCTGCAGATGACAAAGACCTAACTAGGTCATGTGTGCCAAGGATGGAACAAAGAAGCATTACTTCTAGTTCGATGCGTTGATCCTCGATACGCATGTATATCTAACCATCTCAACGTAATATTGCCTCCCAGAGCCCTATTCTAGGCCCAGTTAGGGAGTGTTCGCCGTCTTCCTTTTTGTCATTACTAGATTGTCTGGGCTCTCAATTATACATATCCAGACCGTGCACCCAGTTCCGGGTAGTTGTCTTCTTGGCTGGAGCGCAGTTGGTCTTTCGGGAGGTGATGATTTACAATGCCTATCTATTGCGTTTTTAACATCCTTGTAATACTTGACTGACAGTTAAACCTAGATGAAGTGGCCGTCAAGGTGATGTGGCCCTGCTGAGATGCGATAACAAGAGAGTGAGAATGCGGGAAGGCAAGGTAATACTCATTGAGCAAAGCTTTTACCGCTTACGGCATTTACTTATACTAACAACAATTTGCCACTTTAAGGTGGGAGCCAATTCACTTTCTACAATTCACCTAAAGGACGTAGCCTTTCACCTCAATAGCAAGCTTCCTCAATAGCTCGCTTGCCCACCTTTTGATATAAAATACTACGCACAGCTTTCCAATTCAGGATTCCTTCCTCAACACCAACCAGCACACTCAAGCCTCAACTCTCTACCTCAACCAAAGCTTGATTTCAAGTAATCCTTGACTTGCTATTACTATCGCACCCTTCTTGCACACGAGCCTGGTTTCTCTGCGACTCATCCTCTACTAAAATAACCATCGAACGACCACGACAATGTCGACACAATCCTCTCCTGCCAATGATAGCAGTCCGAATTTGGTGATGACTTGGTGCAACTTGGCTCTCCAGGTCACAGACATCAATTCCATAATTGTGATTGCCGACCATGAATACCAGTCCTGGAATGAGCACGAGAAGAATACAATCTTAAACGAGTACTTGTAGGTTTTCCTTCCCTTCTCAGCGTTGCCTCCAAGCTCATATTCTTTACATAGCCATCTGACTGCTACGAATGGCATGTACGTTCGCGACTCTGCCATTGCGCGAGTGTTCCTTGGCCCGACGGTTTACTTCCAGCAGAAAAACATCTTTCCTGTTGCTGGTCAGCTTCCTGTCCTCTTCTACGACTTCAATGACCCAAACTACTTGTTTGCGGTGAATGGACTCAGTGGAATCGCCAATACTACATCAACTGGACCAAACTCCCTCGCGGCGGCTAACACTCCGACAACTCCGAAGGAGAAAGTTCCAAGACCTCCCAACGCCTTCATTCTCTACCGGAAATATCACCACCCTTCAATTGTCGCCAAGAACCCGGGCATACACAATAATGCCGTCTGTTAGTAGACACCTCTTCATTCTACGATGCTATTCACTGACAAGTTGCAGCAACTATCATTGGGAAGATGTGGAGTGCGGAAAAGCCCGAGATCCTGGCCGAGTGGAAGGTCAAGGCTGAGGATATCAAGGAAGAACATCATCGCAAATACCCCGACTATCACTATCAACCTCGTAGACCTGCGGAGAAAAAGCGACGCAAAAGCAAGAAGAATCTCGAGACTTCTACAGCCCCAAACCTCAAAGCTCCAAAGCCGTCAGCCTCTACCAACAGTTGTGAAGTTGCGAGCAGTCCACTGCCCATCAACAACAACACATTCGGGGCTGAGGAAATTGATGCCGAACTCCAGAATACCCGCCCACTTTCTGATTCAGAGTTCTCCCAACTCCTGGATGAGTACAACTTTGCGTCCGTGATTCCGGAGAGCACCCAGTCGCAGTATCCAGTCTTTCAAGAGGCCGAACGCCAAATTTCAACCCTTCCAGGTCTCACTGCTCGCATGGATAACGCCATTAATGCTTTAGACGATGCTAAAATTCCTGGTGCTGCTGCCTATCGTCAAGACGTCCACAATCTTTTGCACTCTGTTCGAACGGAAGTCTTGTCTTTCGGCCCAAAGCTTGCAACCCAGGCGTTGTCTCATGGCTGGATGTAAGCACCTCAACAATGTCACTCTTTCGTTACTTCAATCTCCAACACCACCACTTGAAGTCACCTACTCTTCGATCTCATAACAAACCACTCGACCGCAATGGCGTCCCCCCAGAGGACCAGCGCCGCATGTGTCACTCGCTCGCTGAAACCAGCATAATTTTTCCTTCAAAACTTCACATTTCTTTGCATGGGATGGGATAAAGGCAGTCACTACGACTCCTCGGACCTGGTACTGTCACACCAAACATCTCCGCCTTTTCGAAAACCTTGCCGCGGCTTTTCAAACGGCTCCAGCTCGGCAGATCGAGGATAAACATCCCCTTTTGGCACGGCCACTTCAGTTCAGTTCTGCTTGTCTACAATACCCGATACGTTGCTTTGCGTTGCGCGTCACTTCTCCGGCGCGAGAGATCGGTTCTCTTAATGGAAAGGAAGGAGGGAAGGAGGCAAGGAGGATAGGAACAGGGGGAGGCTCTAGGATACTCTAATCAGTCATGTACCGTGGTCGTTCATCCGCTCTTCTCTTTTGATCATCACTCATCACGATGCACCTGATCTGAAGAGCCCGTCGGACGGCCTTTACGTTATGACTTTCATACATGTTTCTTTTCTTTTGCTTCTTTTCCTTCTATTGTATATACCACGGAAAAGGAGACATGTCTGGGCATGGAGGAAGCACTTAGACTGAACTCATACACTGGATTCTAGAGCCCCTGAATAAACTCTGCATACATCAAAACCTCCTTTCCTTCCACTTCACATGTGATCCACCCGTGCTACTTGCAAACATAATTCCCGACCTCCCCCCAGCCCCCCAACAATCAATCTCCAACCATTACCCCGCTCTAGTGAATAAATGCACTCTCGAGGGGTTGGTGCTGTTCTGCCTCTCGGCCATAATCCACTAAGCGATAATGCCATGCGGCCATAATCAATTCGCTTGTGCGACGGCAGCGGCGCTAATCACTCGGCCCGTAATAGTCAGCGCGACCTTGCGGCCAGAAATCATAGATCGGTACCCACTTAACAGTAGATCGAGGAATTGATACACGCACCCCGGAGGGCATATGGTAGGATGAGGAAAACTAGGAGTGATAGGCTTTATGTATTTCATTTCCTGTGCTTACATAATTGATAGTACTGTAACATATACAAAGCACGGCCAATCTCTCAAGGAAACACTTCTGATATCCTTCTTGGTCGAAAGGGGGAAGAACGAGAAAAGGGGCAGGATCAAGATCTCCATACGGCATTTGACTCGACTATATTTCTTGAGTTGTATAATCTACGGCTGCTAGGTTATTATATGCTTTGCTCCGATCCTCCTCCTCATCTAATATATATGCCACCCTGCCGCAGCTTTACCCCTCACCTGACGGAGTGTTGAGGGGGTGGAACAGGAACGGGGAATGAATGCCGCAAATTTGTACTCTAGTGTATTAGATGTCCTGAGCTCTAGAGAATATCTCTAGCTTTCAAGCCTTCATGACTTCGCGTCGCCTGAATTTGATGCCCGAGTCCGGAATATCTATCAAGTCCCAAATGTAGGGGTAAAAGGAGGTTCGTCTGTGAGCAAGCTTTTGTTATTGAGAGATTATATTAAACCATTAAAGTCTTACCTTTATGAGGGAGATGCCATCACGGAGACACCAAATTCCCGCGTCCTGCTGCGTCAGCCCCAAATACATCCCTCATGAGCCATCCTTAGTCCAATCACTACTCCATATAAACGTCCCACAGCGCCACTGGGTATCTTTTTCCTTCTTCCCAGAAGGCCCCAACGGCCTTGGACACATGTAAAAAGACCTTCCGCAGTTCACCCCTGGCTTTTTCGTTAAAAAGCTGACGCAAGGCTCGCCATGATCGCACTTTGGGACAACCCGCTTTGTCAAAAGTTTCGACCATGACTCTTTAGCAACAATTGGATCAATGATATCTTTCTGTTCAGCTGGTTCAACCTCCTTGCTGGCTATCACGCTTTCTGAATTCTGAACTGAAGGATCCGTCGACTTCACGAAACTTGGCCTAAGCGCGGGTGTATCAAATGATGCTGTCTCATTCGTCGTCTTGGAATCTTCATTCAACATAGTTTGACTTTGTATTTGTTCGGCTGGTTGTGGATTCTTGGGTCTGAAAAATCCGATGAGACTACTTTGTCCCCTCCCTGGTGGCGCTTTAGATGTTGTGGCTGTCTTTGAAAATGCCCCGGACTTCACACGCTTCGGAGGTTTGGCTGTGCTACTGCTTGCTTCACTTGGTCGTTTATTGCTTGACGTGGAAGAGCTTGCAGCTAATGATCTGGTAGGGCTGGCTATAAATGCCTTAGCCGGGCTTTTCATGGGCGTTTTCTTCCGTTGTGATAGTATAGTAGAGTCTACTGGTGGAGGGGTTTTCGTATCTCGGGGTCCGTTGGGTGAGAGGTTTTGTTTTCGAGGGATTTCCTCTGTCATCGTCGTCTTGCCAGTGCTCTCCTCCTTGTATAAACCAGCATTCGAGAAAGAACTCTCTTTTGTTGATAAGGAAGGCTTCTTCGTGAACATGTCGCGGATACTACGACGCCGATCAAACTCCGGGATCAGCTTCGCAGACATAGGCAAGAGATCCTTGGTAGACCATTCTCGCTCTCTGTTGCCGCGAACGAACATGCCATAGCCCATGAGATCTCTAATGTCAACCTCGGTTCCTTCAATTTCCACCTTGTCCTTGAAAACCGCGTAGACCGGGCAATGATCAGAGCCCATCAATCCCTCCTGGATGTTAGATTCGCAGAACCAGTCTTTGAAATCCTTGCTACAGAGAACATAATCAATTCGTGACCCAAAATTTCCGGGTCGAGCATTAATCTTCTGCTCCCAGCACGTGTACATGGCTTTGCGAGTTGGATGAAATGACCGGCAAATATCCCACATCACTGACTCTTCTCTTCCTTCGTCCCTCTCACCAATGACTTTCCCTCCTACCAACAGCTGGTTGAACATTCGTCTCGCAGGGCTCGAGAAATAATCTTCCACCGTGATCCCCTGCTTTTTCAGCTGCTCATCCAGTTTAGCAGTGTCCTGTTCGTTGCGAGAGATGTTAACATCCCCAGTCAAAAACACCCGTTTGCCAGCTGCCACGAGATTCCGCACCCGTGCATCCAGAGCATTCAGGAAGCCAATTCGGAAGTCATCACGGGCATCGCTACTATTTGCTGGGCAGTAGGTACCGATGAGAACAAAAGCCGGGAACTCGAGAATCACGCAACGTCCTTCGGAGTCGAGTGTCACAGGATCAACAGGGGCTTCCGAGAGCTGGCTGCCGGTAGGGTATCCACCAATCTGTTGGTCTTCGGGGAGGTCACGGAAGCTGGTCGTGGAGTTGGGAGGGGTGAGTATGCCGGTGATGCCTTCCTCGGCTCGAATGGGAGCGCAGACTGCATTTCGCGTGTAGATTGCAACCCCAGAGTATCCTAGATCATTGTCAGAAGGTGATTCATTCATTCTCGGTGGCGCGTACCCTTCTTGTGTTTAGGAAGACTAAAGAACACATCCCAACCGGGAACAAGAACCATATCATCCGTGAGATCTTTTCTCTGGATCTTCGTTTCTTGCATGACCACAATGTCTGCTTCGAGGATTTCGAACATAGCCTGGACACGGTTTAGATGAAGCTTCCAAAATGTAAGCTAGTTTTACATACAGCAAACGTCCTTTCTTGACGCCATGGCTGATACCCGAATGGATTCCTGGTTCACGTTGGCATAGAGCGCTTGGAAGACTACAAGTGGCGGTATACATACCTAATTCCGTTCACTACCACCAATTAGCTTATATTTTTGATTTCATCGACTTGGAAACCTACCATTCCACGTCGTGATTCGAAAACCCCGCCTTTGTTCCATGCTGGCTGGCAGCGCAGCGTTGCCTTACGGAGTTGCTGCTGTGAGAAGTCCAATCAGACGGCTCATCTCCACTCAAACACCCTCAAAACAGGCCGAATAACGATTATAAAGCCTCAAACCTCGACGCTACACCTTTCACCAATAAGCGGCGTCAAAAGTTGTCGCGTAACTGTCTCGAGATCACAAGTCAGCGGTCATGTCATGATCTTACCACGTGACCCCGATGTCTTGGCACCGAGCTTCCCCGAAATCAAGAACGTACGACAACCTCCTCTTCCTCCCAAATCACTCAATTGAACCACAACAACTAGCAACAATGTTTCCGCAACGAACCATGCTGCGCTCCATGCGCTCTCCAGCTCTCCGCCGCACAATCCAGCGCCGTCTCGCAAGCACAGAGTCCAAGTTCGCCGGTGCCGAGGACAATGCCTTCAACCGTGAGAGGCAGGCCGTCAAGGACCACGCTGCTGCTACCAGCGGTACGCTCCGCTCCCCTTCCGCTCCCCTTTCTCTCCAGGACTGACATGTGGTAGACCTCTGGCGCAAGCTTTCCATCTAGTAAGTTACGACGAGGAATGGCGAGGGAGTCTGGGACGTGGGTAGAAGAGAGGGATTAACGTTGAGACTTTGTAGTGGTGTGATCCCGGCCCTGTTGATCTCGGGCGCTAATGCGTACAACCTTTGGACTGAGCATTGGGCGCATTGGGAGCACCTGCCGCCCCTTGAGGAGAGGACTGAGTACGAGTACCAGAACCTCCGGACAAGGAACTTCTGTTGGGGGGATGGGGATAAAGTGAGTTTCTCGTGCCCTGTCGTGGATATTGTTGTGGATGTATGCTAATGATGTGCTACAGACCATCTTGTGAGTACACTTCAACGCACTGGAGCGAATAGTGACGTCTTGGTGTAGTGGGATGTTGCGTGAGCAATACTAACGATTAATAGCTGGAACGACAATGTCAACTACCACAAGAAGGAATAAGGATGATGGAGATGTGTGGCGGGAGATTACGAGCGTAGGTAGGAGGGCTTGCAGAATGGTGGGGAAAGTGCATAAACAGACTGTACATTTTTCATTGAGTCGAGCAATATCAGATGTCAAAACCAACATGAAGAACTTTGTGATACCGATTAGCTCTCTTGAGTGTAAAATGCAGCACCAGGATCTGGGACATCTTTATTCCACGTAGCAACGATACCGAAAGGGAAGGCCGTTAGGCCTGAACAAGGAGGTTTTCACTGCCACCAACGAGTGCCGCATTTGGAGACAAAACAAAGTCGAGCAAAGTTTCATAATCATTATGTAGCATGGGTATCATATCTAAGCCTGGGCCAACATCGCCTCCTTTTTCAAGTCCAAATACTTGCTGGCGTAATCATTAGCCAGCACCGGTTCTCCCACAACTTTCATAATCGTAGCCTTCTTCGCCATCATCTCACACTGCCCCTTGATATCTTCCAACGCTGAATACTCGTCGAAAGCCCTATCAATGAACTCCAAACACCTTGTTAGATTCTCTTTCCGCTTCAAACTCCCAGCATCAGCTTTCCCAGCCAAGCCCATGTGTGCATCCACCAGATAAGAATAGAGTTGAGCATCCATAGAAAAGGTTTCGCATTCAAGCGCTCGAGGTATGATGGCGACTAAGATTTGGGCCGCGGCTTGGAATTCAGAGAGCGAGTTGAGGATATTGGCTATGGCACCCATCGCAGCCCAAAGAAGTGGGATGAGTCTCGCTCGCCATGCTATACTTGCTGCTCGCACCGCCACCGAAAACCCCTTCTGTGGACGACCAGATTTGTCCTGTAAGCCCGCTTTTAAAACCAGAAGCTTCACTCGCAAGGCAATGTCATCCCCGTCTTCCTTCATCGCCGAGGCTAAGTTTTCAATCTTAGCTAACGCGCGGCTGAAATCGGTGCGTCTGATGAGATAGTCGATATGAAGTAGGTTGATCTCAAACCCGAGATCCGGATCAGAATCAACTCCACTGCTTTGCAGAAGTTGTGAAAGCAACTGATCTGCCCCATCAAGATTGTTTCGATGGAGATCCCGTTTCAGACGAAGAATCCCACGGTATTTTAGCCAGTATTGATTGGCTTTCCATGATCGTAAAGAGTTCTCATCCATGCTCTCCAGTCTCTTCATAGCTTCATCGTACTGGCCTTTCTCGGCTAGGAATTGTGCGATCCGACAAGAGAACCTCAACGTGTCATCAAAAAGGGCATATCGAGCATGGCAGCTGAGGAAAATCTCGCAGTACTCCTTTGAAAGGTGGGACACGCCCAAGCGGCCCCATAACGAAGAGGACATTGCCATCTGTGGTCCCATCATGCTTTTCATGTTCTTCTCCACAATGAGCTGCGAACTCTTCACCATATTTTCGAAAGCAGTTGCAATACTTTCGCCATTTGACATGCCCAGTTTTGCCTCGCTTAATAATGATGAGCTCCAGAGTGTCCACATCCCAGTCTCTTTGGCTTTGGTTCGGAGGAAAACGAGGCCTTCTCTTTCAACTCCGAGCATATTTGTAGACTCGGATCCCCGAATGAATTTGGGATGGGCTTTGCCAAAGTGGTATAGCCAGTTGAGCGCGAAGTTTAGGCAAGCCATGTCCTTATTCTCCCTCGCAGTCGAGACTGTCTCAAGCATTGCAGCAACAGCTTCTTCAAAACAACCGAAGTCTGCTTGCAGAACCGCAAGATTCATAAGGGCATACTGATAGAAAAGGCGGTCTCTGTTCTGCATGGTATAATCAAAATATCGGTGAAGATTATCAAATGATGTAGGGTAGTCGCCAGCTCTCCAAGCATCAAGGAAGCTATACCCATGTCAGCTGGCGCTCTTTGTTTATAGATAGTCATATTAAGAACTTACTTTTGGTAATGGGACAAGCTTGGGACCGTCACGCCACCCTCGAGTATACTTTTGAACTTATCCCTGACTTCGTATGGTATCCTGTTGCCAAATTCTGAAGTCGTGAGTATTTGGCCGACAGCAGATGTACGATGGACTTACTCTGCATCTGCTCAACCTGGAATTCCAACAGCTTCTCAACATCATCCGTACTGACACCCCCATCATCCACTCCGTCCAAATCATTCCCATATGCCACAAGTTCCAGCATTTCCGTAGCCTCCGGTCCCCAGTCTAACTCCCCATCCTCCAACGCCCTGTCCCCAGCCCACCTGCCCAGCGCGCCATTCCGCCTTATACAGTAAACCTTCGACTCCTGTCGCCACTTCGCAAACGCAATCCACAGTGCCAGCGCATCGCTGAAACGCAAACGATCGAATTCGACCTTCGATCTGCGGATGAAACCCCCAAATGGCGACGTCCGTGAGAGTAGTATCATGTCTTGGGAGGGCGGAGGGATCCCCATCTCGCCATCTTTCTTAATCTCCTCGGGGCTTTTCGCGAGCAGAAATGCCCTGTTCGCAAAGAACTCATGTAAGGCGTTCAGACTATCAATCCCCCACAGCTTCTCGAGGAACTTGTCCCATAATGTTCGGCCTGGAAGGCCAGCTGCCGACGGATGCGCTGCAAGTAGTGTTTCGAAGGCGTGGAGGTTGAGGAGGAATGGAAGGGATTCTAGCGAGCTAGAACTAGAACTTCTAAATTGCGATTTGATTGTGGAGGGCAGGAGTTGATTGAGGACGAAGGATAAGATGGGGATTGTGGATGCGGTTGGGACGGCGGCTTCTGTGTAGAGCTCGATGAGAGCCAGCAAGCCGATTTTGGAGGGCGTTAAAAAGCGTGTCATGATGGCTGATTGCTGATTTGCTTTACAATGTGAAATGAGTTCTCCATGCTCGGAGTGGAACGTTCAATGAGGCCGTGATCTGATGTTGTAGAAATTCGAGGATGGCGCGTTGAAGCTGAGGTGGGGGAGACGCGACTTCTCGGCAAAAGCTGCCACTCTACTGTAGTTGAGAAGCATAATTGGCGGTTGTGGGGAAATCCAGGCTGTTGAAGATGATAGTCATGTAATACAATAAGCAAATTCCTGTCAGTCGATTTATCTGCCAAATGTTACTATTATTGTCAGCATGGCTGAGTGTGAATCCCTTTCATGTGCTGCTAATAACAGATATGAGTTCTGGTCTATTAGAGCACTTAGCTTAGCTATCAAAGGCCTCGAGAAGCTTTTGCTTTTGGAATGTTTGATTATGTGATAATCTAGTTTACCGTCTTTGCAAGCTTTCGTCCTCTTGCATAACAGATCAAACTATTGCGTATAGAAATGATGTCCTTTTTCTTTTCCTTTTCTTTCCTTTTATATCAATTTCGGTTGCAAGGTTTAGATTCCTGTTATAAGTATTTCACACTTTTCACATACAGACATGCTTATAACGAAATAGTATAACACTGCTAAAATACTTATAATTTCTTTCACTCTCCAAATGCCTTTAGCCCTTGAATCCCTGGTGAGTTTTTCCGGCATATTCGGGCTATCCAACGATCCGCCAGATCCATGAATAACACAAGCTGCGGATAACAATCACCAGCCCCTACACGTCGTTGAGAAACGCGCAAATTTTCATAGGCAAAGACCAACAATCTATATCCTTCTTAGCACGAACGACTGACCATCTCATCATCCAATACCGAAATCAAAATGTGTCAGCAAACCATCGAAACATACGACACCTGCCAGTGCCGCTTCCGGAAGATCGAAGTGTGCAAACAGCACTTAGACCACACAAGAAAGCAGTTTGTTCGTATACGGTGTCCAAGACTTGAGTCAAAGAGGATAACAGTTCTGTATGGGGGTTGTGAGCTTCTTGTCTGCGATGGGAGAAGAGAGACTTGCTGGATATTTGAGGAGGAGGGAGTCATAGCCGCAGAAGGATGAAAACACACCTGAATTGGGGACTGAGATTCTGGAAAGTTCCTTCCTACTTTCAGTCCTCCAAAGAACTCCAAAGAGCATAATTTAACATAATATCAGAGCAATCTCGACGAATGACCTTCATTCAAGTGGGTACAAAAATTTGAACATCCCCCGCTTAGATCTGTAGCCGTCAATTTGTAAATTGACCTCAAAATCTCATCTACCCCGATCTGCCTTGGGCTGTTCTGCGTGCCTCCCGAGAAAGCTGTCGAATCCGGCGGGCTAGGCAAATGTGGTATTCTACGCCACTCTTCCTTGACTATTCTTGAACTGGGAGATAGAGTATTTTCTTGTCCAGTTGTCCATTTCGAATTTCGCCGTGAAGGGGCGAACGGACATTTACGCCAATGCCCAACTCGTCGCCCCCTACCCTTTTTGTGGTATTCAGAGCGACAGTGGGTTTGATGGAAAGGACTTCGAGAGCTATTAGGAGAGTTGGAGTAGCCTCCTCGTAGGAAGTCTCTGGGAGACGACCAGCTAGAATGTCTCCGGCTGAGTTCGCTTCTGTAATTCTGACCAGGCGAGCAATCCCGATAACGGCTGGATGATTTGCGGGCATATTGTACATATTTGTATCCTTGGGATGAGTGATGATGACCAGAGCTAAATCTATATTCTGGAGACTGTCTCACAAATGATGATTCAACAGTTGGACTCGGGCAGTACGAGTCGGTCCATTTCATGAAGAGTGATTTATCTACGGCCAATCCCTTCGCCGTCTCTTAGGCGGCACGCTCCATTGTAATCCAATTGTCCTTGGATGTAATTACCGCGTGAACGAATCCGTCTTCATCTGGTAGCTCTTGCTGAGAAGCATCAGTATTGAGAGCCGTTTTCCAAAATCACTTACTTAGCTTGAGAGCATATTGAGCGCGTTTCTGGACCTGTGTGTAAAACGTCGCCGGTCAGGGGGGAGAATGCGCCTCGATATACTCCGTGGAATGGAAGGCGACATCTCTGAAATAAGTAATGATACAATATCATCCTATCCTTCGACTACCAAATATTGCAAAATTTGAGTTGGTTATGCACGAGAGCCAAATGGAAAAGAGAGAAGGGTGAAGTCCGACACCTCTACCTCGAAACGGAAAGAGGTAAGAGCGTGCTTTCCTTGCCACGATGCTTCATTATTAGCCCCAAGGGAAATCTCAATACAATAGACTGCCATGAGATTAGTTCTCTTGCGATTCCAAAAACAGGATCTGCTCCATACCTTGACGCCTCCTCTCTATTATCATATCCGCTAACGTCCATCCTCCTATTTGCCCATGATACTCAAGACAATGCGGAATGCAAGAGACCCGGTGCAGCTCGGATTTTTGTACATTTGTATTGACGTATTTTACAATTACGACTTTTCATTCCACTTTATCTTCGCCCCATGCTTACTCTTTAATTGCCCCTCCTCCAACCGGTCATCTTCCTTGAAAAGCTCTTCTTCCTCCTTATTCGTCCCCCATATTCTCTCAATACTCAAATCGAAATTCCCTGGTATCCTATCAATGAGACCAATGCCTACAGTCCGGATCTTCTGCTTCAACATCTCCCTCTGCGGCTCAACCACAACGCCATGATTCGTCCGCACAAAGTCGCTCCATTTGATTAATACCGTCTCCCATTCGCCTGGTCGCCGTGCGTATAATCTGTGTTGGTGGATGTCTGTAGGTACTATACTCTCGGTTTGGAGGTTAACGAAGTATTTCCGACCGTCGCTCTTGATTCTTAATGCCAGGAAGGCGTAGGCATCCATGTCCCATAATGCTTTTCCAAATACAGTGAAAGGGCGATCGTATGTGCGCCAGGCTGCAAAGCCGGATCGCTGTATCTCTGGTCTGTTGACAGGAAGCTCGATTGATATCTTGCCGTGGAACCTGGCGTGGCCGTTCTTGTTTTCGGAGGGTGGTGGCTTAGGATCTGTGGAGGGCGGAATGAAGTCTAAATTGGATATAGAGAAGCCGCCAATGTCTTTGTCGGACATCACTTTACAGCTTTTGATTTCTTCGGCATTGTGGAAGTCTTTGAGGGGGAAGGGTCTCGTTGCGCGGGATACGCCTTCTGCTCTTAATGCTTTGGAGCTTGGTCAGTATTTCTTGGGGAAATTTGAAGAGACATTTAATTGTACCGAACAAAGATAATCTTTTGAACTCGTCGAGACTTCGGCCCATGAAGCCTCGATTTAATATAGGTGTAGCCCTCATTGTTGCTGTTTTTTCCTTTGGAAAATTCGATGATGTTATGAGGTGGGTAATCCATATTGGTACAGTATCTGAGGAGCTTGACCTGACTCTTTGGTCAACAGAAGGTCCGAGCGCACTCCTTAAACTGCACTGCTTCCAACGACATCGGACGAGACTTTAACCAAAACTTGAACAGAAATGTCACAATGCCAGCATATGGTTGACTGGAGGGATTGCTTGTTTATATGTTATTGAATTAATTGGCCCTTTATCTTGTAACTTCTTGTCCAGTGCTTCAGCGTTCTGTTTCTGTACATCATCGTTACCTAGCCGGCTAGATGTCAAGCTCTCAATGCAGTCCTTCTTACTGAGTACTGAAATGCTCTCTTGACAGGACGACTGGATGGTCAGATTGAAGTGATTTGTTTGGTAAAAACTCAACGAAGGAGTGGCTTGGATCTATGGACTATCTGAGACGACTTGTGCATTGCTATTTCAATTTGTGAAGCAGCCCCCCGCTCCCCCCGTGGGAAGAAAGTGAACGTACGGCGAGACGTTCACTTCCCAGTCACTCATATCAAATGAGGGTATTGATGAACTTCCAAGGGCCTTCTATTCTGCAACTTTTCAACCACCATTTGCATCTTGTACCATTGAACCAGCTGTGTTCGTGCCTATACAGTCTTCCGGTATTTCCCTTCGCAATTCCTTCTTTGATTGTGCATATTCCTCATTTCCCTGCTTGGACCTGCTTGCGAATGTGTACTTGGTGCACTCTGACGCTACTTTCCCTTCGAGTCTGTGGATCATAAATTCGAGAAATTGTTATGCCAGGGCTCGCTCGCTGAATCGCCGATGAAAGTCGATAGTTGTATGAGAGAGGACTGCCTGATCTTCGTAGACGGGTCTGTTGATTCGCAAATCCTGTTATGTCTGGAGTTATCCTGCTGTCGTCGCATTCCGATCTTTGCCAGGAAGGGAATTTTCAGAAGCTGATGGTCGTGACCGCCACGCACCACTTTTCTGAACCCCCACGTACACTTTCTCATATCCCGGACCGGAACGAAGTTTTCGCACTCTTGTGCGTCAACAAAGAGAGTCTCAGATAAGTACGTCCCGCGCTAGCCCTGGCCCACTACTTTCTAGCTTTGCTGCAAGAGGAAAAAACACAACACGTTCTTGCCCACTTTCTTGGCCACTTCACCACCTCTCGTCGTCTACATCAAGATAGGTCGCAGGATCTATAACACAGAACATACGCCTGACTGAGCGTGAGTTCACATGAACGATTGATGTTTTCGGTGCGTTTTTCCTTTTTGATATATCAATCCTGATAGCTAATGCCATCTGTACAGCTCCTTCGCTCTAGCTGCATGTGACTTCGTCGGTGGAAGTCTTATTTCCGGACCTTTACAGAATGTTCAGCTGGGTGCTGAATTGATATCTCAATCCATTATCGTAATGATATAATGGCAGAAGTCAAATTCCGGCGGATAAACTTTTTGCCATGTATACACTAGAGTGGGTCGCTTGACAATACCGCCAGTGGACAATAGGAATGTCAACAAATCGCCCACAACACTGGTATCAAATTAAAACTCTAGGCAGCAAGATACGCTTGGATCTTGGCGAGTCTTTACCCAGGAAAGACTGTATTCTTGGTCTTTGAAAAGATCCAGCACAGAGTGTTTATTTCGCATGACTTTCCTCGTTTGGTGGGACATTGAGCGCTACCTACCTAGGTAGGTAGTTTTGGTTTTCGTTATAGAAATTTGGGGGATTTCAGCACTACTATTCCTTTCCAACTCTACTCAACACAAATGGAGAAGTTCTCCTAGATTTCCCTCTAGAGATTATGTACTGGCAGTTTTTGTTGCTCTGTTCTGCAATTACAGTAAATCATCGCCTTCTGTGCGTCTCGTAGCAAGAGCCAAGTCATGAATGAGACACAACCTGCAAACCGCTCTCTCCCCAACTTCTACTAGTACAGGGGTAATGGTAGCACTAGACAGACATGGACCCGGCCTATGACACCAACTTTTCATTCAAGAGGCCTTAACAAAAAGGGGGCTACTAGGCGAGCCCCCTTCCGCCACCTAGCAAGATCTCTTCGTAAGGGAGAATATCCAATACGTCGGATTCGGGGATGCTTCGTTGTGTTGTAGTGATACGCATCCAAGCAAGTGCAAGCCAACTAGAAAGAATCTCAATTGTTCCCACTTGGTATTACTCTTTGTGCTGTCAACCAGCGGATCCTGCATAAAACATCATGCTCCAAAGAAGATAAGAACCGGTCCAGGCATTGAATGCAAAACTGTGGCTGAAGATTGAGCAATTTTTTCTGCATTTGCAGTCATGACGCGTGCTAAGAAGCAAAGCAGTCAATGACCCCTCCCGTCTTGAAGCAATTCGGATCGGACCAAGTCCGAAGAATGTCTCATTGGCTGTCTTGGCGATGCAAACAGGATATCCTCTGAAGGCTCTGCTCTGTCCATTTGCCATACCTTACTATGGCAATCCCATGTCAGTGCGCATAGCCGCTGACTGCATTCACGACAGCTTCAAGATGGTATTGCTTTTATCTAGTTCTGCTACTGTACTTGTCCTCATAATAAAGCGGCTACTTGGCACGCGGACGTAGTTTGGTATACAAGTACAAGCTCTTAGCCACCCCCACCAGCTCGTGCTGTTTTCCTATTGTGAGACAATATACTAGTCAGGTTGTTATCGTGCTGGATACAAACGGCTATGCGCTGCCTTCTCTGGTGCAAATATAAGTATGGGCAACAGCTAAAAAGTCCTCGAAGAGGGTATCAATGTCAGGCAGGCTACACTGAATCTGGAGCTGAATTTGATATAACCAGAAGATGCAATAACATGAACAAGCGCTGCCATCTCCTCAAGTGCTTCAAGTGTCTCTCGGTACATATAAATACAACGGCATAAGGTAACGTAGCCATGATGCTCCAAAACCCATGCCGTCCGCCCACTTTATCTGTCTGGTGCCCAAGTAAGCACTGGGCTAATGCCCCCCCTCTCTCTTGATCGTCATCCCATGCTATGATGGCTAGCAACGCGACAAGAGCTGCTTCATCCCAACTATTCGTAGGAATAGGTAAGGCCAGAAGGCGATAAGGCGAGGCACTCGACTCAACTCAACAGACACATTCGGCGCGACTCTCGTTAGCGGCAGCGCGTTGCCCACCCCCCCCGCATCCACATCTGCACATAAAAGCTACCCTGCCTGTTTCCCCTTCTTCCTTTCAATCTCTTTTCTACAACGCCAACCTTCTCCCAGCTCTTCGCGCCCGCCAACCCCAACCACACCACTACATCCTTCCTTCCCTCATTACAGCTCCTTCCCACTTCTATGCTCGTTCAGGAATTCAAGCATTCAAGCATCAAGCAACATGTCTTGCACCAAAGGAAGCTTTAGCGCTGCTAGCGATGCTGGTGATGAATCGCAGAGTCTGGTGTCTGGTGTTAGCAGCGGTACGTTCCTGACATTTCTCTTCCTCCTCTTCCTCTTCCTCTATATCTCCATTTCCTCCTCCTTCTCCTGCCATACCAGCATACCCACAATAAGCGGTTTTCCTTCCCTCGACGGCGAAATCGCTTCGATCCAGTCACTTCGGGCCCAGCACATCTTCATTGTTCCCCCTGGCAATCAATGCGCCTCTATGCGTTCCCTCCTCCGAGCATGCAACTCCTATACCCTCACTCTTCTATCTTTCAAAATATCACACACACTTCGTCCAAGCATCAAGCATACAAACACGTTTCCCAGCCTCCCCAGTGGAGGTTCAACCCCAGTTCCAAGATCACATTACAGAATTTACCATTTCCATTGGTCTTTCTGGTATGTCAAGCCCATTTTCATTCTTTCTATTCGCCAACTCCGATTTCAAGAATCCATTCCAAGACTCCCATGTTTCGAGTCCTCTGAGAACTTTTGTTATCTCATGTCCCAAAATGTGGCCGGGAGCTTATCCCTTAATTATTCTCCTTTATTCCCAGCAGCGTTCCATCATACCGCTCTGCCTCTTCTCCTCTCCTTCGCTCCTTCCCGAAAATCAAGGTTTTGTGGTGGGGACCGAATGACCCGTTTTCGCCTACTCAACGCGACTTCAGACGAGTCTACCTCACTTTTACTTCACATCAATTCACTTCACTTCACACTTCAGCCTCACATTTCAAGACATCATTTCATCAAACTAACAACATATGTAGGAGGTGTTCCTATTGCCAATCTTGCCAACCTCACCATCAGCGATGAGCAAGCTGTCGATGTCAAGAGCGAGGCATCCGGCACCTACTCCATTGATACCACCAAGGACAATGAAAGCAAGGGCTTTTCCCCAAGCAAGGAAGCGTAAGTCAAAATGTCTCACCTTGAATTATCTTTTTCATACGTCAACAGGTACCGTCCACCATTCATCATCAAGGGCTCCCAGACAGAATCAGATGATGTTTTCCGCTCCTCCCCCCATCACTCAGGCTCCAACCAGTCCAACCAGCGCACTCCAACTGGCCCCAAGGCCGGTCGCGGTCGCATGAATGGCAACTGGCGCTCTCCATCCATCTCTGATGGTTCCGATGATGCCTCTTCCCCATCGCATGAAAAAGTTCAGCGTGATGCCACCAAGCGCAACGGTATCCGAACCCCCGGACAGAGCCCTCGCGACCTTATTGGCTACGAAGTCATTACCGACAATGATTCCCAGGCTAGGTTTCCTCCTTCTTGCTGCGTCTTCGTAGCCAAGTAAGTCGAGTCTTTCCCGGTGTCTTACTCCGAGCTAACAACCTTCAAGTCTTCTTCAATCCGAGACTGAGGAGGCTCTTCAAGCCGCAGTCACCAAGATCTTCAGCGAGTATGGTGTCGTCTTTGTCAAGATCCGTCGTGATACTAAGCAGATGCCATTCGCTTTCTGCCAATACACCGTAAGTTAATTGTGCTCCTTTTCAAAAATCCATTCTAACCACATTCAGAGCCTTCTCCATGCCGAGCGCGCCATCCGTGAGGGCAGAGGACGCTTGATCAACGGTCGCCCATGCCGCACTGAGAAGGCCAAGGCCCATCGTGAGTTATCTTCAATTTCCTGTCCGCAGGTTACTGTTACTAATATCTTACAAGGTCTTTTCTTCGTCGAGCGCAAGTACGGCCCCATCGTTACCCCAGAAGAAGTCAGAAAGATGATGTCCCGTTATGGAACGATTACTTCATGTTACACTGTCTCCAACGTTGAGCGTGCCGCACTTAATATCAATGAAGGCGTCATTATCGAGTTCGAAATGTATGATGAGGGCCAGGATGCTTTTAATGTAAGTAGTTTACAGTACCTTACACCTCATGAGACTTTTTGACGCTGACCTCCACAGGCATTCCGCGCCAACGACATCTTCAGGATGCAACCAGTTGCTGGCATGGCCACTCCACCTCGTTCAGATCCGGCTGACAGAGCCTACCTTGACCGTTATCATGCTGATAGGTCTTCAATTTTCGTGGGTACTCTTCCTTCTAATGTCACCGAAGATCAGCTCCGAGAGCTCTTTGAGCCATTTGGCCCCATTGTCGAGGTTCTCATCAAGATCACCCCATCAAGATATGACCCTGATGAAACCGTCTGCTTTGGGTTCATCGAGTTCCGTTCTTGGGATTCAGTCACCAGAATCTTGGGCACCAAGGTTGGTTTACCTGAAGTGTTCCTTGTCAATTAATGAATCTAACATGTCCACAGCACAACTTCACAATCAACGGTAAGACAATCCGTGTGTCGCAGAAGGGTGCCATCCCTCCTCGCCGCAACCGTGTCCAGGACGATTCTCCAGCCCGCCTTCGTGCTGAGCCTCCTGTCTCTCCCATGACAGTCTCTCCTATGACAGTCTCTCCAATGGCTCCTCAGTCGCCTTCTCAATATGGCTTCTATGGTGGATCTAGCCCAATGAATTATTCGTCCGGAACAGCTCTCTACACTGATGGCAACGGCCAATACTACTATGCTGCTAGCCCGTACACCTCCCCATCTTACTACAGCCCATCCTACGCTGCTGCCAGCCCTGCTCAGCAGGCTTACTGGCCCCAGGCTCAACCATACTACTGGGGAGGGTATCAAGCTCCATCGTACGGCTCATACACTCCAGCCAGCCATCAGCAGCAGGTTTCTTCGCCGCCCTCCATCTACCAAACAACGTACTCGCCACCAGCAAGCGCGACTGGCCAACCTGATCGATCCGTCACTCCAACTCCTGCTGGGCGCCCTGAGTCCGCTCTTGAGTCTCAGTGAGCTTCCGACTTCGACGCATCTCACACCTTTGCTCTTCATGACGCGTTCACGGCATTAACTTTTCTTTTCATGTAATGTTTGTCACAGGAGATACCCTCATCGTCACAGCCCACTGTTGACGCGTTGCACACTTCATGTAATCGACACGAGAGGTTCGGAGTAAGGATATAGTTGTTCCACAAAAGTTTGCACATATATGTAGCTTCATGTTTTTCTTCAATCATGTCACGGCCTGTTAATGATTGCCTTCCTCGCCTGGCACCTACAGAATAGACACCCAAGCTTCCTCGACCTTCTTGCTCCGGTTGGACAAGAATGTCATAGGATAGATAGGGTTTCAGACACAAATTTGCTACCAGTATGGAAAAAGGGATGTACAGTGAAATAGCTAAAAAGAATCTGAAGATGAGTTCAAGATGCCTTGCCTCCTATTGTGACTTGAAAAAAACTCTCATGTATGATTTCGCCGGCACTGGTATATGTAGTTAAAGGACTTCCAATGGAATGAGAATTATAGCCTACCTGCCTAGCTGAGCTCTTCAAGGGCTGGTTCAATAAGTTGGGACTAATTATCTCGCAGATCTAATGCATATGCCACAAGTGAAGGCTTGAAAATGGTGGTGATCCCTGTATAGTACTCGTACAGTACAGTACCCCTCCAATGCCTCGCTAGTGAAGGGGCACGTGCACCACAACCCCCCATTTCTTCGACCATTCGGTGCTACGACTACAGTGGGAATAGTGTTACCGATGTACATAATCAGGCCTGCCATTTCTGCTGGTGCCCAATCATATTGCTTCCTGTGACCCCACTTAGCTCTCCTAGCCCCTCTTGTTATTCTTGTTGATGTGGGAGCTTCTTTTCTTGAAATTTGATCCAACCTTCAAAAACGCCTGATCTTCTGCTCCTCCTTCAAAGTAATTCTGAACAGGCGATCCTCGCAAGAACCGCTGTCAAGCTATCAATAGCACCCTCTACAATTCTAAGACAAGATGGGTCAACCATCCCACCCGGCTAGCAATGCCATCATCTACCTCTCATACGGAGCATTCTTGTATGCCTGAGAGAGCACTCTCACCCGTCTTGCTCTACCGTGTCGTGGCTGATCTTCTTCCAGAGTCTTCGGATGCTACATCGCATGGCGACTTCGACATCAAACAAAGGTAGAGTTCATACACGATCCTTTTATTAAACGCGTACTACCTGAACATTGAAACTGATTGTGCCAACAGGGCGAATACCTTTCGAGTAACAGAACGCAGACTGGTCAGAGTTTCTTCCCGCGTTGTTTTTTACGGTCGAGCTTGTTGTCATCTCCCTGCTATGAGCTCCAGAATCACACCGCAACCTCTTTTTTTAATCAATATTTGCTAACGAAAGACAGCGTTCCCTCTGGCTTTGAATTTCATTGCTTCTGGTTAGTACATAATAACAACGTGCTCAAATCAAGCAAATGCGGCAGCATATCAATGCGCCAACCCAGTAGCGCAAAGCACCTGGATGAGAGTCCTGGAGAGAAGATGACTTGTGAAGAGGTTCGTATTCAAACAACACGCTAGCTCTTCTTCGGTATTCTTCGACGTTGCTGCTTTTGTTTGGTTACATTAGCAGTGATGGAGAAGAGGACCGAGAAAGACTGGCGCGGCTTCACTACGGGTGCGAAGTCTATGCAGCTGTCAAGAAGCCACCTTCACCTTCCATAGAAGAGCTCCTTGACCCTGTGGAGACGGAGCTGAGATCATACCGTTTTATTTATACCCGATCAAGATCATGCTTGCGTGGGAAAGTGTTTGCCGCTTTGAAGATTCCCCTTTCCTTCCCCTCAAACATGATAGCTAACCTTAGCTACCCATTACAGCTCTCGGATCAGGGATTCTCTTCTCCTATCCTCAACTTGCAACGATCACTGGTGTCCAGGGTGTAGTTGTCTATGCTATAACTGTAAGCAACTCTCTCATTTTCATCGACTTTTGATACCCCACCCCCTTTGGCGTGTTATAAATCAACACGCTTTTCTATCCATCGCAAGTCGCCATGCATCTCATGTCTAGATGTTTTTCCCCACTAGACACCAAGGCCTTTACGTTGCGAATGAAGTAATTTGTTTCCTCATCTGAGCCGGGAGTCTATATTGTTTTCTAATGTCTCGGAATGTCTAATATTCAACGTCTCGAATTTTTATCTCGTCTCCTTCCAGCAATGCTAACTATGACGACTTGCAGTCTGCAGCACCTCTCATGATATTTGCCTATCTTGGACCGATCATCCGATCAAAATGTCCAGAAGGCTTCGTTCTCACAGAATGGACCAGACAGCGTTATGGCTTGATTGCTTCCCTGTATATCAGCTTCTTGACGCTGGCCACCATGTTCCTGTATATGGTCGCCGAGCTCTCGGCCCTGCAACAGATTATGAATGCTTTGACTGGGATGGATGGTCTTCCAATGGTTATCGTTGAGTGTGCTGTCACTACTATATACACCTGTGAGAATGTCCCAGATGCATTCCGACTCGGGAGCTAACATTTGCAAGCTCTGGGGGGGTTCAAGATCTCCTTTATTACCGATAACATTCAAGGTGCCATGGTTATTGCCTTGAGTAAGCTCCCAAGAAATCATCGTTTGTTTCTTAAACTTACAATCTTTTTAGTAATCATCGCCACGATCACCATTGGAGTCGAGACCAAGATTGACAAAAGCCTGATCGATTCCTCTGGCCTCACTAAGCCTAGTCTACTCGGATGGCAGCTTCTCTACATCCTTCCCGTAGCAGTCCTAACCAACGACTTCTTTCTCTCCAATTTCTGGATCAGGACTTTCGCCTCGAAGACTGATAAAGATCTGTGGATCGGTGTCTCCATTGCGGCTGTCGCAACCCTCATCATTCTCACGCTCGTTGGTGCCACTGGTCTGATCGCAACCTGGACCGGAGCTTTCGACCCCACCAACCCCGACCAAGACGGTAGCATCGCCTTCTTCTACCTCCTCGAGCAGCTCCCAGCATGGACCGTAGGCATCGTCCTCGTCATGGTGGTCTCCCTCAGCACCGCTGCCTTTGACAGCTTCCAATCCGCCATGGTCTCTACAGCATCAAATGACCTGTTCCGCAACAGGCTCAACATCTGGTGGATCCGCGGCGCTGTCGTAGCAATCATCTTCCCCGTGGTAGTGCTCGCTCTCAAAGCTCCAAACATTCTGCAAATCTACCTAATCTCCGACCTCTTTTCTTCATCTTCCATCCCGGTCCTTGTTCTCGGACTGAGCGACAAGTTCTACTGGTGGCGCGGATTCGAGGTTGTAGTCGGTGGGCTGGGCGGTATTATTACAGTCTTCATCTTCGGCACCATCTACTTTGGTAACGCTCAAGACGGTGCAAATCTCATTCTTCTCGAAGGCGGGCTGTACGCCAATGACTGGAGCGTGTTCGGTGCGTTTGTCGCTGCCCCGGTTGGTGGGCTGCTTTGGGGATTCGGGGCACTGTGTGTTCGGCTTTCGTTCCAGTTTGTGGCGGCCAAGGTTAAAGGACATAGGTTTGATGCGTTGGATCGTCCAGCGTATCTTGATACGAGGGTTGAGGGAGCACCTGAATATGCTGATAGTAGCGAGATTCACAGTGATGCTAGAGACGGGCTTGTCACGGTCGATCATAAGGGCAAGTTCTTTTGAAGAATTTCTCCGCAGCAAGAAGGACGGCTTGGTTGAGGAGCCAGACTTTTGAATGGGGCGGTTTAAGTGAAGGGGTCGTTATTCATGAAGGTTTCGTAGGTTCTAAAGACCTGTCGTAATTTGGGACGTTGATTGCATTGATTTAGATACTTTTCATTTCTAGATAACATGTTGCCTTTTATTGATACACTCATCTCCTACGCAAAAGCATCTTCTCCTGGACGTGAATTGAATCTCGATTACTTGAAACTCGACCCTCTTTGATGAGCTCAATATTGTTTAAACACAATGCATACTGTCACAAAGTTCCTCTTGTCAAAATTTCGATTAATAGTCGGTCTTCCTTCATCCACTGCATATATAGTACCATATGCTTCCTGAATACCAAGCCAAAATCTGCAAGCTACTCGCAGATTCTCAGTGCATCCGGTCTTTTCAGGTTGTCGAACTCACTATGGACAGGCTTGGCACACTCTGCATCTGCAAGTAATCATTCCCCGTCCAAATCCCGGGGTGGAAGTAGAGTAGTTTATACATTGTCATCTCCCTCTCATCTATGATTATCTTGTACATGTACTCTACAATGCTTTCCCATCCTGACCCATGCATCTATATGTACACTTCCTCCTTCCCTCTAACATACTTCCCTCACTTATATCAAGTTGTCCTTCTGCCAATTTTCCACATCCTCTATCCCCGTCTCATACGTCGTTCCCCAAACCATCCACTCCTCTTCCTTCCACCCTATATACCTCTTCTGAATAACCACAAACTCCTCCACGCTCTTCACCTTCCCACTTCCCTCCACCATCTGATCCCCTCTCCACCGCGTCAACCTCTGGTCACTGCGAATCCGCACCACAGACTGTCTAGCGCCCGCACCCTCAATAGGAAACCTCGACACGCGATCACTAACCAGCTTCGCCCTCCTATTATACTTGACCAGTTCCCAGTGAACCGTCTCCCCCTTCCCCCTAGTTGCAATCCGAGCGCGGAGCGTTTCGTACAGTCCGTCTGTGCAGGTTTTGCGGACGGCGGCGATGTCTCCCTCGGCAAAGGAAGTGTACATCTGTTTATGCAGCGCCAAAGCTGTAGGCACGATCTTGCTCCGCGCGATCTTGAACGAGCGGCCGAACCACCCAGGCTCGGGGCCTGCGAATTTGAATACGACACACCCGACCCAGTCGCGGAGGTAGAAGCGGAAGCCGCGCCAGAGGAGTTTCAGATGCTGTCTTGGTTCTCTGAAGATCGAGGGACGGTGCGAGAATCGGGGGAGGATGAATGTTGCTGTTGCGGGCGCGGGTTGTTAGAGGTGATTGGGAAGCAGGAGATCGGATAGGGAGGGGAATGGTCAAGTACCAGGGAAGAGACCGACGTCTAGAGGGACCTCTGTTTGTTCTTTAGTTATCACTCTCATACTGCGCTCTGCCTTTACTTTTGGCTTCATCATTTGTGGTTGGATGGCCCCGGCGCATAGTCGAGCGGATTGAGAGAAACATCTTCGTGGTAAGGGCGAGGATGAGAAGGCGCCCACTGCTGAGCAGAGGGGTCGGCGTAGAAGGTGCGCCATGGAGAGATGCTGTGGTGATCCAGGAGGCGTTACATTACGGTACGGAACTTTTTTTTGAAGCTGTTCGGGTAAACTTTGGACTAGGATCTTTGGGACATTGAGAGTTCAACAGGAGATGATGAGATAACCATGACGATAATTGAAATGAATGGACTTTGGATAATACAAATAAGATCTCAAACTCCACTTCTATTTAAACAGAAAAACTTTCGAATGGAATGTCGAGGACAATTGCTTATCAGAAGAGAATAGCTGTAATACAAAGCCAAGCAGAATCCGGGGTAAATTAGCGCTTGAAGCAGTACATATCAAACCAACCACACCTACCAGAACCAAGCCCTCGATTTCCATACCAACCTTCCTCTCCCCTCCTCCCTCCTCCCCTCCTCCCTCTCTACTCACCTGCAACAATCTCAAAAGGGATCCCCCCTACTGCAATGCGGCAGCACATGCCCTAACGACCCCGAACTCTGGCTTCCCATCGCCGACCACGAGCACCTCCACCCGACTACACGCCCTCCTTCCCGCCGAACCTGCACCCCGCGGACCCCGAGCGCAAAGACTCGGTGCTGCACCCGCGCGTCGCCGTCTTGCTAGGAGTCGAGAAGCACTGGCACTTCCCGCTGCTGTTCTGCAGGGCGCTGAGCACGGCGCCGGCGGCATGGTGGGGCTTACGATGTGCGCTTACGTTTATGGGGGAGCTGTTGCTGGAGGAGGAGGTTGGCAGTGCGGGACATTGGAGTGTGGAGAGACGGTTTAGGGTCACGGAGGTGTTTTTGGCGGTTCTTTGGGTATGGTACTCTTGCTTCTAGTTTTGGGGTTAAGTGATATCGCCGCTGGACAATTGGGGTTCGAAGAGGGAAGAGGGAAAGGGGAGGGGAGGGGAGGGGAGGGGAGGCGATAGAATGAATGATTGCTGATACTTTTGAAGTGCTGTGCATCGGCGTATCTATCCTTCTATTTTACGGACTGTCTTATGTCCCGCTGGTATGGTTCCCCCCTGAGGCCTAAGAAGAGGATTCATTATCATTTACTAATATGGCTCATTAGGCTCTTGAACTATACACCCCAAGGTACACTATATTTCTCATAATCCATAGACACAAAAGAATTAACAACTCCAGCAACGCTCGTCCGTCTCCTCACAATCAACTCCGTCAATGCCTACATAACATCTTGGGTCCTCTATCTCTCAGGCGGCTCCGAGGACCCAAGACTCCTCTTACCAGCATGGATAAGCATAGCAACCGTAAGGCCTCTTCTCTCCCTCTTGTGTCACAACTGACCAAATTAGACATTGACGTTCCTCTATCACGTCACGCATCCACGTCTCGCAATCTTAAAAGAGACTTCCCATTCCATTTCTGTATTTTCAATAGCGAGTTTCATTAGCATGGTCAGCCTTTTGTTGCAGCTTCATCTTTCAAGAGCGAATGATCCTCCTGTTCGGTTATTTTTGATTGCGAAGCAGTGTTGGGAATACATTAAGATAGGAGTTGGAATGATTGGAATGGTTGGAAGGGACTTGTAGCGCTAACGTCACATATTTGAAATTCGAGCACGTTTCAGGAGGAATATGATTATGATGTGTATTTCCGGATTGCCAGTGCACATACTGATGATGCCCGGTCCTTGTTGTGGAAAGCCAGAGCCACCAGTATTCTCAACTAATACACTATTCTAGTGAATGCAAATCCTGGTGTCATAGTAGGACAATAGAAAAACCGTTCCCTCCATGCCAAATCCATGCATCTGTGCGTTCTATAAAGAATGCGGGTATCATCGAACGCCCCATATCGAACCGTAACGTAAACGATCAATTCGACCCAGCCATTCGATTGAAGAGGCAGGGCAAGAAGTTGAAAAGAAAATCTGATGCTGTCATACTTCTATCGAAGCTCCTCATGGCGAAGGCTGGTGGGGACTTGGGTTCGATGGGTTTAGAAACCATGGACCTGAAGAGTAAGTGTTAGTAGTACACCGGAATCGGGAAGTAGTCGTGCTTACCTTGATGGTCTTGGCATCAAGCTCAAGTCCAGTCTTGTCGGTGAGGAATTCTTGTACATCCTTGCGCTGATCGCCCTGAAGCTGGATCACCTCTCCCATCTCGCTGTCGACAACGATGGTGCCATTGCAAGCTACTCTTGATGTTAGCCCTTGTTTTCCCCGCGAGGCTGCTAGGGTTGGGGAACTACATACCGAACTTCTTCTTGATAACCTTAAGGATCTTCTTCTGGTCAAATTTCTTGGGCAGACCTTGGACAGTCGTCAGAGTCTTGCGACCATTGCGCTCTGTTGATGAAGACAGGTCAGCAGGCTTATCTCGAGCCAAGGCGGTCAGACGCGGGGTTGTGTGCGCCGCACAACGCCCAAGGGAGGGTGGAAAATGAACTCACGCTGAATACGGATATGTATGTAATTCTGCGACTGCTTGGTCTCTCCTGTGTCTTCATCGGCTTCGGCGAAGGGGTCTATATGCAAGAAATATTAGCTGTGCCACTCGGACGGATTTTGCGATAAGGTTCGAGTTGGGTATCCTCAAAAAGAAGAGACCGACAGGGCCTCGCCTTTGGAGTAGTGCCAAACCCACGATAGTGTTCGAGTATAATTGTCTTCGCAGGCAGGCTATCTGGGAGGAGGGGCAAGTAAAGAAAAGGGCATACCGAAGGTTTTCAAATTTTCGATTGACATAAACTCGAGTGTTGACGGGTACTTTGGGCTGTTTTTGGTATTGGGATAGAGAAGGTGGGCGAAGGTTGCCGTTGATATCAAGAGTATAAAGAGTATGGAGAGTGGAGATTGTTGCAGAGAGTGTCTGTGGATTGTGTTGTAAGAGTCGGTGGAAGATGTCGGTCGTGAATCAGAATAATGACTGCGGCGGCACGTCTTTCAAACCCCGCCCTAAGTAGCTAGTGGCAGATCACGTGGAAAGGGAGGATGGGATGGGCGAGTATGAGCCGCCAACTCCTTGAGGTCAAAATCTGGGGTCCAGATATCTAGATTCACATGCTTGTAAAGCCGTTGACTCGAACCTAGGGGCGAGAGGCGGGGAGGCTCAGTATTACAACATCACGAGTACATTAATTTCCATAATGTCTTGCGTCGACTAATTCAATATCTGGGGTACGAGGTGACATAACAAAGAACCATGCCAGGGAAGGCTCCTTCCAAATGCGGTTGGTGTCTCTCTTCACCAACAGAACATCAGAGGATAATCTGCTCTCGAGAAACAGCACCTATACCAAAGCTATTGTGACAGGGACTGTAATTTTATGCTCCTATTAACTCTTAACTCCTAGAACTCGGCCCAAGCTCGAAGCTAGATTATACATGTAACAGCGGGTATATTCTCTCCCATATAATACAAGCCCTACGCATGCTCCATCTAAATCCCAACCAGGGGGGCTGCTGCGGGTGCCTCTGTTCCTGTGCCTTGTCCTGGAGTTCCTGGCGGTGGTAGAAACATAGGGAGGTAAGTCTGGTTTGGATTAGCCCAGCGTAGGAGGAATCGAAGGTATAGCTTACAACAACGAGCGCCATCACTGTAGCGTAGACGTTAGCATTCCAGGGTTATTGGTGCGAAAGATTTCAGTACTCACAAGACATTCCAACGGAGAAATAGGCTGGTTGCGAAGAAGTCTTCTTGGTGTCTGCGCTCTCGCCCAGCCAATTCTGAATCGCAAACACAACAGATGCCCTAGGAGCAGTCAGAACCCGTCTCCTTCCCCTCCTCGAGCTCCACATACCATCCAATGAACTTGTTTCTTGTGAACATCGCTGCCATTGGCAATGTGCTGCCCAATGTTCCGCTAATATCGCCGCCTTCTTTTGCAGTGGGGATTTGATAGGGGATTACTGTTGGGAGGGATTAGCAATTGCTGAGGTTCTTGCGCGATGTTGTCATGCTTACTGAGGTCGGCCCTCTTCATATCTTTCTTGGTGGACATATTTGATGGGGTTGGTTTAGATGTTGGCAAATGTTAAGCTTTGGTGGCAGCTACCAATTCATAATGTCAATGTTAGATGATTGGGATATAAATATGACTAGTACTGATAAGTTCCCGGCGTACGCGAATATCTCAACCCGCCTTCTGAGTCTAAGCCCATCCATCCATGGCATGGGATCGGACCCTTGACTTGATGCCCCACAAGCTTATCGGGTGCCCCCGCCCCGCAACTGTTGAAACCGAATGCCTCTCTTGAGTCTTGACCGAGGGATGAGAGGATTGAAAGATTCCCGCCGGCTCTGAACCAGCTATCGTCGTTGACATCTTCATAGACCTTGGATATTTCTTTAGTTGACTTTTGACTTTTCACTTTTCACTTTTCACTACCTAGGTACGACAAGAACCGCCATACGATAGCATCCTTCTGGATTGGATGATATCTGGAGTTACGCAAGTGTGCTACAGTCATTACTCCGTATTTCATATGTTCAAGAATATAAACCTTGCAGCCCATCCCTTTACGTTCCGGGCCGGTTCTGACGATCGATGTGCGCGAGGGGTCCAATCGAATGTACGAAGTACCTACCTTACCTCCGTACAGTACCCCCTCGAGAGTCAAGTGTTCACTAATAGAAGCCACATTAATTACTGCTCGCCCTGAAATCCTTCTTTCAGCCCTAGACTGGCGGTTGGCAAGACGAAAGCAGGAGTTGTTACGGAGTAGTTGAGACATTTCAAGTCAGGAGATAAGGTAGGCTTCATTCTTGTTCGGCTGATCAAGCTGGACTGGAAAACGTCTCCTTTGATTTGAATGGACACTTATCTTACACGATTAAGTCGCTAAGTCAGTGGATGTGAAAGCTCCAAGATTTCAAAGAAACGCTTGCACCTCTTGCTTGAGTCATTTCTTCGTTCGGTAGCTCCGTCGGTACAGAATACGACAGCAATAGCATTATTGGGGCTGTAAAGACAGACAGGTACACGCACCTGATGCTGCAAATCGTCTTTGCATGTCAAGTTTACGATGATCTGTCTTCCCTCTATCTACTCGTATAGAAGTTGTCGGGCAAGTATGATATGTATGTAGCCCACGAATAGATTATAAATTACATTGCCTTGGTGAGTATATATTTATTTGCTTGCCTTATCAGGGACTTGGAACATTCGCCACGATAGAGCAATAGCGGCTTGTACTCCCTGTATTATTCCTAGCTTCCGAGCAAGGTAGGTGGTGGGTAGGTAGGTGCACTGGACTGGGGGGACTGAATTGGTAGGGTAGGGTACGGTACGGTAATCGTCCGCCGACATTCTTCGCATCGCAGACCGGCCCCCAGCCAAGCCAGGCTGTCACGTCAACTCCACTTCACTCGCAGACCCATCCCATCTCAACATCGTCCGACTTCGATATCTCCCAAATCTAATCACCGAAAGCGCATTTGTCTCTCTCCCCCTCTCAACAATGGCTCGCGCATCATGACAGGAAGACCTCTGCTTGGGCAACGTCCGACTCGCCCTCCAAGCACGACCACAATACCCCAGAGGCCCCCGTCGCATCGGACGCTTTCTCAGCAGTTTCCCTCGGGCTCCCCAGCAAGACGAGGCGGCGGCGGCAATGAAGGGTTCGTGGACTTGACACTTGAGTCGGATGTTGCTGGAAGATATGGCACAGTCCCGCGCATGGGATCATCACGGCTCAGGTTGGAGATCTCCGACTCAAGTAATGACAGCGACGCTTCACCGAAACAGCATTCGGATGCTACTACTCCCTGGCGTACTTCTGTCCCTCCCCGTGGCCGGCCGCAACTTCATTTCGATGTACCAAATTCCAGCAACCCCGGCTTCAGCGCTTCCCAACAGGAAGCGGCTCATAATGAAGTCAACAACAAGGCGATGCCTCTTCCTGTGAGGCCCGGCCAACATGCTCCACCTACTGCCGAGAAGGCGCGGCCAGCGCTGGGAAACTCTGCGAAGAAAGAGGGCCGGCCCAAACCATACGTTTTGGAGGTTCCCACACTCGCTCCGCGGTATCCTCCGAATGGTATGTCGAGGTCCCACTTGTGTGAAGAAGACATGCTGACTCAAAAAAGGCCACGCCGACTTCTATCCATGGACAGGAAATCATCCCGAAGACCAATTCTCCGAGCCAGTCATTCGTCAAGGCTATTTTGACAAGGCGCAGATGACCCAAAACGAAACCGGGACTGCCCGGGCAGCTATATCTCCTGCTTTGAAGCAAAAGACTGGTCTACAGACACTATCTTCATTATTTACGAGTGTCCTGGCTCAGCGCAGATCTCATGGTCAGGTAACGGCTAGTTGGGCTTTCAAACCTCCCCCACGTGTTACAGTCACAGATACAAAACGAGAAATTTGGCTGAAAGATTTGGCAAACCCAACCATCTCGTTGAGGCGACTTAGTCGATCTATTCCCCATGGGATTCGAGGGAAGGTACTCCTTGATCAATCGCTTAGTAAAAACATCCCAATAGAAAGGGCAGTTTGGCTTGCCAAGTGTGTTGGAGCAAACGAGCTGCGATCCTTCCGGAGGAAAGGGGTCAGTGGCACATTTCAAATGGGAGGTGAAGCAAAGTGGATTCGAGATTTCACAGTTTGCGTGGAGCAATTTGTAGAGAACGTCATGGGAAGTTGTGGGGAAGGCGATTTCAAAGGCCGCATAAATTATGCGTAAGTACTCGAATTCCTTCTTGTATGAATACTACTAACTACGGAAAAGTATTCGGCTTGCCGCTCACTTTCATGCCGAGTATCTCCTGGATCGCGAGCATTATATGGACTGGCTAGTTTCGTCCTTGGAAAATAGCCCTCAGGCAAAGCTACCACTTTGGATTTTAATTACTCAGGTCTATTGGAAAGATCTGGTAAAGTACCGGAAATATGGGCGCCGACTTGCTGGGGCATTGCTAGGGCACGTCTCTGAGGTATTTCTCTTTTCAGATCCTTGATTCAACGAATATAACTAACATATTTATAGTTAACCAATCACCCTGACCATGATATCGTGGAACCCCTTTTGGATCGATTACAACAATTGCTCAAAGGTCTTATGGTATCAAACCCCGATAGCTTTGTCTCTCCAAGACTGTGGGCAAAACATGAACATACTATGCGCTCCAGTTTATTGTCAGACGATAGCCAATTTTTAGCAGTTTTCGAAAAGATCAGTCTTCGCAATAAGCGCCTCACAATTCCAGGAATAGAAAAAAAATCAACTGCTCGGCAACGTCTCATTCGGCTTCTCGACATGAATCTTACAGATTCGTCTATGCACGATTTTCCGAAGCGTTGTTGGCAGGTGGATGAAGACAAGACTATGCTTCTGCAAGCTGTCTTAGAATGGTCTACTTCATCATATCGCCCAGGGAGTTCTAAAATATTCGTTGCAGCTCGAATACTCCGATTCTGGAGCAAGTCTGGGGTCGATGTGACCGAGTCTATTCTCGACTTTCTGGATTCAGACGTAGTCAGATTCGGTCGCAATAAGACGTCATTCTATCATTTGGTTTCCGAACTGGCTAGATCAGAGCATTTCTCCACGCCACGGTACCTTCAATGGCTGATATCTCGAGGAGGTCTTTACGGTGCGACGGATGCCGCATCAGATGGTCCGTGTGCAACCCGATTATTGGCAGAATTACCTTTGCATAACCTTAGTGACGGTATAATATCACTACATCGGACACTGCTAGACCGTGCAGATTTCTCCGTGGATGAAGAAGAGCTGCGTATGAGAATTTGCATGGCTTCTATGAATCGGACACTACCATCTATACAAGCAAATGCCGACTTAGAGCTAGAATTGGACGACCTTCCTACCTCTGATGATTTCTCTGTCCTCCTGGCGCAATTAAGTCGGTCAAGCAAGTCAGAAATAGGTCTGTGGCTCAGGTACAAAGTCAGAGTGCAAATGCAACAACCAACGATACCGCTTTTGGAAGACTGGGATACTTCTCCAATGAAGGGTGGCACATCTGCTATTACTGTGTCGGATTTTTACACGTTTCGGAATTATCTCGAGCTCATCGATGACTATTCGATGTTGGCAGATGTGTTAAAGATCGTCGCGAGCTCAAACGATGCAGAGGTTCTGGCTTCCTGCGCTGACACCGTCAATCTACATACCGACACCTTTGCGGCTATTGGCGCACTTCATAGCCTATTTGACATTCTCACAGCGCGTCTGCCAGTATTGGTTGAAGACCAAGACTTCATACCTAGAATTGTCTTAGTGTCGCTGTCGGATCTTGCTGCAAGAATTCCGGAGCGCAAGAGTATCGCGGACCAGCTTTCTCAGGAACTCGCGATGAGTGACAGAAAAAATGCTGCGGATGCTTGCTCTCCAGTATCGGATCATATGGCCATGATGCAGATTACCGAGACCGACTTCACAGATGAAATCGAGAAAGTCCTAGCAAGTGGAAACAGCATGGATCAGGCAACCTTGGACCGGCTTTTCCAGAGAGTCGTCCTACAACTCGAAATGGTTTGGGAGAAGTCACCCGAGCAACAGCGGAGTTGTGGGCTTTTGCTTACAAGGCTGCGGACATTTGACGCTCAGCATTTCGATAGCATCATGCACAATTGGACTGTTCGTTTCCTAAACATGACTGACCGCCCAAATATGATACGAATTCTGGGCCCTTTGATCAGCTTTGGGTGTCTTTCTTTCCAGTCCGTCTTAGCAAGTTGTGAAGCTTTGAATGAGAAGGACGCCCTCTCAACCCAACGTTCCACCTCGGGAGCCTCCAAAGAGCTTCTTGTTCTCCTTCTTGGACCATCAAACCTGCTGGGAAGCATGGGTGTCGAAGAACTATACCGCTTCCGAATCAAGCAGGCTCATGTGCAGATGGATTTTGCGGTCGAAGTCCTCGCCACCATTCGTCAAGCCCTTGAAATTCACCACACATCCGAAGGTGGTGATACCTACGATGCAAACGCGAGAATGTTGCTTGAAAGTCGCAGCTCATGGGAGCTCTTCCAAAAATACGCCCTGCTACACACCGAGTCGATGATCCAAGTGCTCGTGATACCCATGCTGCGGGAATCTGGCTCGCCTAACGCAGTCTCAGTTTCATCGATCGTCGATAAACTCCTGCTTGGCGACAGTCAGCGAGAAGATATAACAACAGAAGCAATCCTTGATATTGCAAATGATCTGACTTTACCATTTTGTCAAATCAAGCTCGAGTCGATGTTTACTTCCGAAGACAGTCTTATGTCGGGTACCGAGGAAGGCCGTTCGGAGCGCCTTGAAGCTTTTGACAGTGCGATTGAGGCAGCCGTCGATTCCGGGAAAACAGCATGGGCTAGCATTGTGCCCTTGCTCGACAAATCAATTGCCTACCACTTGAGGAGACGAGCTCAGATACAATTTCTTGCTCTATTCCCATCGCCGAAATCGGCCCTTGCCTATGACTCTTCGGCTTTGCAAGGTCGTCTTATCCATGCGGAAAACCTTCTTCGTATAATAGATACAACAGCAAGTAGTGCCACTGCCCCAACACCCATGAGCTCAAATCATACTAGCCTTGCCGTCGACATAATCACAACACTTAGCGGCGTTCGGATTTTGCTATCTACAAGCCATGCAAAGCAAATCAAGGATGCCCTCGTCACAAAATGGATTCCCCTCCTTCTGTCATTCATCACAATGCATACTTCCGAATTCGAGGCTACAAGGTTAGGGCATGAGAGCCGGGCTAAAGCAATACTCGCTCTCTCGGCGATTATGCTCGAATTACAAGCCCTTGACACCAGCACAGAAGCTGTCAATGGGCTCATCGAGCATAATTTCGATCTTGCACTCTATCTTGTCGATCCACTCCCGGATGATATGCGGCAGCAGTGCATCCGCAGTCTTCGCGACACGGTTTCCAGCCCACAGCTACACTACATCTTTAGTTTCGCTGCGAATCCGTCAGAGTGGCTTGTTCTCAGTCAGAAGGAGAGCATCCCTGTTTCAAACGGAGGGCCGGGTGACGGAACCGATAAAAGAAGCCACGAGAAGGAGAAATTAACTCCGTTTCCTTTGAGGAAGTGGGAACTACTAGGCGATTCAACACCGCATTTTGGAGAAAATGATACCAGTTTAAGCTTGACTTTGTTTGGTGCCCGGCGAGGCTAACAACGACCTGTTCGTATTGGGAAGGAGATATTGGTAGGAGTGTAGGAGTGTAGGAGCATTGAAGTCTGTCGATACCATGGTTTGGCTTAACAGACGTATAAGTCTATATGACGAGTTTATGATACCAAGATGAACGTATAAACGAACCATTCTGTAGTCAACATATTTCCTTAAACTGGTGCCTCACTGTATCCCAATACTGTCTCAGAAGCGCCTACCTCGGCCTCGCCACGTGCACCCATCTGCATCTGTGCTGTTGCTGTGCATCTTCGACAACGAGACTGTACTGTGTCATCCCCCTTTTCTTTCCTTATTTTTGAGGCTAACCAAAACACCACTAGCGCAGAAAGGCTTAGGCTCTCTCGGCTCTACATGACATGTACGAATAGACAAGCGAGTTTTAGTCCCTTATTCCGATAGTTAGTTCGTACACGTACCTAGGTAGAGTTACGAGCAGCATTGTATTGCATTCCAAGACGGCGAAAGAAGGAGCAGCCTCCGCTCAACTCAAGCATTTCCTTGCTTTGCACCAAGCAGCGCCGGATGACTAGCAGGCACATTAATTTACAACCACATTCATAGCTACAGTACGCCCGCCGTGTTAAGGATCCTACGGCGCATGATTATGAGCGGCATTCCTTCTTCGCATCAACTTGTCGATCAAACCGCGACAGTACCATACTGCACAAATACAAATCGCACAGTTTACAACTAGCACACCACCCGCCACTATGCCAATCGACGACGATAACAATCCTGATCGGCTCCCTTCAGAGCCTCCCGAACTCCCTGACCAAAACTACGAAAGAAACGGCAGCATGTCGCTCGGGGCTGGCCCGAATGCGAACGGCGATGAGGTCTCGCCCATCAATGGAGATTCAGTGCCAACAAGTGCTGCCCCTCCAGTCCAAATCGATCCTTACGCGAAGGCCGTTCAAGAGGTTATTACTTCAGAAGTATGCGTAGAGTTGGGCCGTCCAAATTTAAGTTGTGTGCTAACCGGCGACATCCAGATCGGCGTCTCGACTTTGCTCAATCGTTTGAAGCAAAGCATAGCATCCGCGAAGGTAGGGCACAGCTTAGCATACGTTGGTTTGGAGCTAATACTACTACGATAGGAGTTTGCCCTCTTCCTGAAGAAGCGTTCCGTGTTGGAGGAAGAACATTCGAATGGGCTCAAAAAGCTCTCCAGATCAACGGTCGAGAATATCCGCCGACCAGAACAACGCCACGGTTCCTTCCTCCAGTCTTATGAAGAAGTCGCTATGATTCACGATCGTATGGCAGAAAATGGGGCGCAATTCGCCGCTTCACTGCACCTGATGCATGACGATTTGATGGACTTGGCTGCGAACGTCGAGCGGGGTAGAAAGCAATGGAAGGCTACGGGACTGAGTGCAGAAACACGAGTAGCAAATACAGAGGAGGCTATGAGGAAATCCAAGGTCAAGTACGATGCACTAGCGGAAGACTATGATCGTGCAAGAACAGGGGATCGACAGGCTGGGAAGAAATTCGGCTTGAAGGGACCCAAGTCTGCCCAGCAGCACGAGGAAGATCTTCTTCGAAAAGTGCAGGCTGCGGATCAGGATTATGCTACGAAGGTGCAAACCACCCAAAGTCAGCGAAGCGAGCTTCATTCGAAGTTGCGACCTGATGCTGTGAGGGCACTGCAAGAGCTTATAAAAGAGTGTGACGCGGCGTTGACCTTGCAGATGCAGAAGTTTGGTAAGATACTAGGTTATTTGCCTCCAGAGACGTAATGCTAATTCTGCCAATAGCCTCTTTCAATGAGAAGCTCCTTTTGAGTAATGGCCTAAACGTTAGCCCACTCAAAGGAAATGATCATGGGGGCCCGCGAAGCCTTCGTGAGGTTGTGTATGCCATTGACAATGAGAAAGATCTCAATAGCTACCTCGCCAGCCATGCTAAGAATATTGCGCCTCGAACAGCTGAGATTGTTTATCAAAAAAATCCCGTAGGCTCTCACACTTCTAAAAAAAAGTCTATGCCGACTAATATTTTTCACAGGTCTTGAACCCTACACAATCAAACGTGCCTCCGCCTCAACGTCAGTCAGATCCTGCAGCCTCCTATGCATCTCGACAGGGCCCCGCACAGGCGTTCAGTCCTACGCAATCGCCTCATCAAACGCACGTGAGTCAATCATTCAACCAAGGACCGCCACCTGCCGCCACCCAACAGCATGAGAGGAGCTTTAGTCAAGGTCCGTCGATGCCACCAGTCCAGCAGTATGGATCTATGGGAGGGCCGCCTCGAGGACCCCCGCAAAATCAAAGCTTCACCTCCAGCCCAATCAGTGCCGGTGCCGGCGCTGGCGGTCCTCCACAACTCTCAACACTTCCATTCCAATCTTCACACACTCCACCTCCTCAATCCTTCCCACCGCAACAAGCAGCACCATCTAGTTATAACCAATCCCCAACGACAGGAAATAACGGCAATCTCCCTCCTCTCAAACCTGTTTTCGGTCTTAGTCTGGAGCAACTGTTCGAGCGAGACGGGTCTGCTGTGCCTATGGTTGTGTATCAGTGCATTCAAGCCGTGGATCTGTTTGGACTCGAGGTAGAAGGCATCTACCGTCTGTCAGGAACTTCGTCCCACATTACCAAACTCAAGGCCATGTTTGATAATGGTAGGTTCTCCAAGTACTATTGGTTTCTAATCTAAGCTAACTAGCTATAGACGCTTCTAAGGTTGACTTCCGTAACCCCGAAAATTTCATGCATGATGTAAACAGTGTAGCTGGTCTGTTGAAGCAATTCTTCCGCGAGCTCCCTAATCCGCTCCTCACATTTGAGCATTACACCGGTTTTATTGAAGCTGCCAGTGAGTCTCAGAATCTTCAGCTCACGCTATCTGTACTAATCTCACCTAGAAAATGATGATGATATCGTACGCCGCGACTCACTTCACGCTATTATCAACAGTCTCCCCGATCCTAACTACGCAACTCTGCGTGCTATTACTCTACATCTCAACAGAGTACAAGAGAACTCAAGCTCAAATCGCATGACTTCAGGAAATCTGGCAATTGTGTTTGGGCCGACTCTCATGGGCGCCAATTCGGGGCCGAACATTCAGGATGCCGGGTTGCAAGTGAGAGTTGTCGACACAATATTACACAATACGTACCAGATATTTGACGATGACTGAGGGAGGAGAATCACGATGGAAGATAGTAGGGGAATGAGAAATGTGTGAAATTGTAACCTTTGTCTTGTATAATAGGCAGGTGAGAAGCCCACCACCTCGATACACTTGAAGAACGCCCTATTACATATCTCAATAACGATTTTCTTTGGTAAAGTCAAAAGTAACTTTCCATGGGTGTCTTTAAACTGAATTTACGGTATATCTTCCATCTTGCTCAAAGATGTAGTAGGATTGGGACGGGGTGAGCATTTCCTAGCCTATGATTGGTCGGTGTTCTTTTCAAACCGAGGAGTATAATGAAAGAAGCTCTTTGGCCATCGGGACCAGTATGCCAGATGCCTCTCATCGAACTTGCAATTTCCAAGTGTAGATACGAAGTCATTACTTCCCGATTGGGGCTAAAGTTCGGTTCGCGAGCGTCGACGGAACGGGACGGGATCCACTTGGGGCATTCATTTTGACGCCAATCCCAAATTTTCAATGTGCCGTGCCAACAAGAACATCCACAATCTCAGTCAAGCCTGGCCTGGCGCAATGGCCGCATCATCCGCAGATAGCAGGTTGTTTGCATTCCTCGAACAACAGAAGTCCAAACTGGAAGAAGCTCGCAAGCGGGCAGGGGAGATTCCGAGAGACCGTGATTCACGACAGACGCTTATTGGTCTCCACCTTGCCCAAGATGAATTAATGAAGGAGGACAAAGCTGCTGGGAAGCAGAAGCGGCTGTTTACTATCATCGGAGACCCTTATCTGCCCTCAGCGGCGTGCCATGAGAAGCTCCAGAAGATATTCATCAAAGACCTTCAGCTTGAGACACACCATCGCGGGCGATACATGTTACTGAGATGTGCGGTGCCACCTATACGGCAGAATGCTATCATAAGCGTTGTTGAAGACGAAGCCGGCGATGCTTCAACTTTTTCACTGTATCAGCAAGAACCAGAACATATTCGACCCGCCGGAGACATCTTGAAGGAAAATGGTGTATTATTGCTAAAAGAGCCGTATTTCAAAGTGACTGCGGGTGGATACGGCCTGCGGGTCGATCATCCTACAGATGTTATGTATGCAACTTCTCCAAGCATTTATCTCCTTGTTCAGATATATTCGAGATGTTTAAATGTCTTAAGAGTTCTTATTCGTTAAAAATCCGAGCTCCAAAACCATTCTCCCCCAGGTAATACTAACACCGCGAACTTGTAGGTGGTTGCTTGATCATCATCCAAAAGTACCAAACGCATGGAGAAAGAGTCATGGTCTGATTGGAAAGACGGTGGAGGAACTAAAGACCGAAGGAAACTCATGTTTCCTTTCGGGCAAGTATACAGATGCTAATAAGAAGTAAGTTGCCATCTAACATTAAGAGCCTTGAATATCGGTATCCCGCGTTAGCTGGCATATCAGATTTAGGTATTAGGCGACAGAGGATTGCGGAAGCATTTTTGTGCTGCGTTTCCAGGTTATCATGGTTAGCTCAAGATTCCTGGGGCAAGGGGTCACAACTGATCATGAAGTCTCACAATTATTCACTTGAAATGGGCATTTTGCTGGTCGTATTGTATGTTAAAAACTATGGTAACTAATTGTTCTACAGATACTCCCAAGCTTCAAACTCCGGCTTGATTACGCCGGAAGAAGATGAACTCATTCATAACAACCGTGCTCTGTGCCACTTGAAACTTGGTAAATACGATGCAGCACTTGAAGATGCATCTTTTATCGCAGACCACAAAGCTCGTTCTGACAAGGCGCATTACCGTGGTGCCCTCGCTTTATACGGCCTCGGTAAATTTGAAGAGAGTATCGTATGGTTGAACCGTTTGATTGAAAGTTTTCCAGAGAGTGTTGCAGCGAAACAAGGACGACAAGAACTAGAACGAGTCAAACTTCGGGTCGAAGAACAGAAGACTGGCAAGTACAATTGGAAGAAAATGTACAGAGACGCTAAACTGGGGCCAGTAGATTGTGCGACTTACGACACCCCGGTCGAGGTTCGACAGGTGGAGGGCAAAGGCCGAGGATTATTTACCAACAAATCCGTAAAGTGCGGAGATCTCTTGGCCTGCGAAAAGGCTTTCTCGTACGTATGTGCGTCAGAGAAAGGTTCCCCTGAATCGTCTGCTGCATTCGGTGCTCTGATAAATTTGACTACGAACCGTGTCAAAATCGGTACTGACGCGGCCCATATCTCAAATGTCTATCAAAAGCTCTTAGACAACCCGTCTCGTGCACGTTTGTTCTTAGATTCATATCCTGGCACATACGAAGCAGGTCCAGAGATGACTGAAGATGGTGTCCCAATAGTTGATAGGTTAAAATCCTCTTCTGCGTGCTTGAGTCTCAGTCTGATTCTAACTACCTTGTAGTTTTCTTATTGAGCGGATTGTTTCTCTAAACGCATTTGGATGTCCCATCACGTCCAAGGATCAAGAACTGTCCAGAAAGCAGGCAGGAGAGATATCAACATCATCTGGGATATGGCCGCTGGCTGCGTATATTAATCATTCCTGCATTGCCAACTGTGCGCGCACCTTCATAGGTGATATGATGGTACGTAAGCTTCTCGGAGAGAAGTGAGTAGTTCACTCTCTAAGTATCTTTCAAGAGTCGACGACTCTTTTAATAGTGTCTCAACTCCCATCAGACAGTGTCCCTACGCTCAGAATATTTCAGATCGAGCTATACTGACTTCGAGATTTGACATTCAGATTATGCGGGCAACTCAAGACATCCCTCGAAATACCGAAATTACTTGGTGCTATTACGATCCCACCAATCGTGCCGACCTCCAGAAATCTCTTTTCGAAAACTGGGGCTTCAATTGCACCTGTCCGGTTTGCACAGAAGAAGGCTTCACCGGAGAGGACATAAAATCACAAAGAAATAAATATCTAACTATTATCAACTCGACACACAAAGCGGGAGGTCCCTTCTTTGACCAGCTAAATCAACTATACGGGCCTCCCGCCAAAGAGATTCCTAGGTTCGAAGTGTTTCTAGCCTGCTACAAGGCCGCCATGTATTGGTTGCTTTCGGACTTCAATCTAACATTGGTGTTGATGTTCAGCAAGAAAGCGCTCGAAGCTCTTGGTTTCGAGATCGAAGGAATCAATGAGAGCAGGGGCGGTAAGCTGGTGGTGCGAAAACGGGGAGTTGCTGTTCCGGAGCTTCCTCGATTGTGGTGAGTACAACGTCGTAATTAGATCCTGCATGGGTTGCGCTTCATTTCAAGGCGTACATTCTCCAGGTATCGAATATTGCACATTCTAATATTGCACATTCTATTCGTCGGTCTCCTGGGGGAAGGGGTGGGGTTTGGTCTCGGAATTCTACAAGTCGTCTGAATTGCCCAGGCCGAAGAGAACTTTCCATCACCCCTGTTTCCTTCTTACCATCCCCAATCTCTCTCTATCAAGCTGGCCTGACTAACTCTTTCGACACGATAGGCAGATTTTGATGATGACATGGAAGGCACAGGGCCAGTTCAACTTGGCAGAGTCAGCAAAGAAACACTTGAAAATGGCCTACTTGGTTGTTGTGGCTGGGGAAGATGAAACTTTTAGGGAAGACTATGATCCAACCATCAAGAATGCCTTCCAGGGAGGTATACGGGGAAAGCACTGACTGAATTTGGGATGTATGACAATTGAAAATTGACAATAGTAATGATTAAGATGAGGGTATACGTATCAAACATAGACTTTAGAGGCGCATGGACAAAGACAGGAGAACACTATACCCCTTTGCTAAATACAACGTACCAAGCCGGACCGTTTTCACATCCTTCCTCCCAATAACTTTCTCATTGTCCTGGGTCGGAGATACCATAAGCATATAACCAGGGCACTCAACGACATGCAAGTTCCAGTGAATACCACCAAAGACTGATATCTTGCAATCCCATACGTTGCGACATGTATCCGCTTTGTCAGTAGACCGGCACTAATGGGTCCAGCCAGGATGTTTCCACCCCTTGCAGAAATACCAAGATTGCATAAGTAGCAACTGCTGCACTCGGATCGTCACTAACGGCCCTTCCCATGCCAACCCTCATCGTTGTAAAGCCGTACCCGAAAAATCCATAGACGATCCCAAAGACTAGCAAAAGGGCCAGATTTTTCGCCAGCCCCCATAGTGCGAAGGCCGCTATTGTTGACATCACCGAGCAAGCAATGCAAAGCGCACTGACCGACATCTTCTTGTCAGATAGATACCCGCAGCTGAACTGACCAATAACTTGCGCCAAAGACATGATGGCCAGGATGAGGGCACCGGAAGTTGAAGAGAGGCCGATTGCCGTGGCGTACGAGGGTAAGTAGAGGGCTGGAAAGAAGAATCCAAGACCCTGGAGGAGGGTGCTGGCACAAAAGATCCAAAATAGGGGTTTCTTGAAAAAAGACCAGTTCGTCTTCCCCATTGCGCTCTGTTCAGCGGGCGGAAGACGGCCTTTCAAGAACGGAAGCAGAGGTCCGGTAAGAACAGCCATTCCCACTGCTATTGCTCGCAGAGTTGTCTTATACCCGTATTTCTTAAGAAGGGCCTCGATGATGAACGGCATGAAAATTCCAGAGGCTCCCGACGCAGCAGAGATAATCCCAAATGCCATTCCTTTCCTAGCAATCCACCACTCGTCTATGAAACTAATGATGGGATACGTCAAAGTCACGAATCCAACGCCATACATCACTCCCTGGGTGGCTATCAGGCCCGGCAGAGTCGTAGTAAAGGAGCCTGCTACCAAGCCTAGAATACACAGTGGCCAACCAAGCCAAATTTGTTGGCGCTGGAACTTTGGAAAGCGCTTTGCGAGCGCGGCGGAGGCGGGTGCACCTAGGTAACAGGCTCCCTGGGCAATCGTCCCTATGAGTGCTACATTTGAATTTCCTGCGAATTGTGGCAGACTTGAGTAGTAGTTCTGGAAAACTCCAAAGGAGATTGGAAAGCCTGACTCTATTAGCCCAGGTGCTTTTGAATGTGGATGGGGTTTCAAAGTCACCCCACAAAAGAGCTTCAAAGACAAAAGCGGCTCCGAGGAGGCGCCATGCTCCTGCGCCTCCGTCTGCTGGGGCGAGCTGCTGAATCAAGATGCCTTCTCCCTGTGCTGGTATATTATTGATATCGCCAAGTTGACTAGGCGAGTGTTCAGAGATGGGCTCTTGAAAATGTGACTCAGGTTGATCCCATGTCTGGAGCTCGGATCCGACTGAAGTAGAGGGCATCGTGATGGTGAAATTGGATGACAGAAAACAGTGGCCAGACCGCCAGATATATACGCAAAACGACTGCTGAAAACGGAGCTATCTTACATAGTGAATAGTGGGGCGTGACTTGCAGGGCGTGACCAATCAAAAAGCAGCTGCCATCTTCTTTGACTCTCTGCTCAGTTTTGAGAAACTGGAGATAGAAACAAATAAGAAAGACATAAATCATTTTGTTCTTAGTGATTTTGGACATCTTGATTAACTCTACGACTCTACAAGCCAGACTGCAGTGCACCTGAATAGGGGTTTACTCGCTTACCTCCTTAGTGGAATCATCACATGAGACTCCCTCGAGACTCCCTGCTGTCGTCCGATAAGGAATCAGACCCCAACAAGGCCATTACAGTAGCCGTCAATAATGAATCCCGATTCATTCCGTTCGTTCCCTGATGTTCCATTTACCCATTCTTGCTTCCTCGTCGCACTAAGCCCCTTTTGCTCGCCGGTGTTTCATCCGCTTTTTGTCCGCTCTTCGGATCGGTGCTTCTTCTTACCAACAAAATGATCGATGTCCATTCTGCACTGCACTGCACTGGCCAAGCGTCATGGGAATTCTCACCGAGAACATTGCTTATGTAAATTGATCTTGTTCTGCGAGATCTAGGATATCGATGTAGTTATAGTTATGCTAGCCTGCTTCGTCTCGCCGAGTCCTTCGCTCCGGTCTCAGGAAGTGCTTTGCTGTGGTAGCTTGACTTAGGTGACTATAAGACACCAAGCTTGGATGCTCGCCCGCCGTTATCATTTTTCAATTCAGAAATTGATCTGTCACTGTCGTCAATATGGATGCCAAAACTCTCCTAAAGGATATTGACGCCAACAAAGATGCACATGTCGCCTTCCTCCAATCTTTCACTCAGGCCCCTTCACCTAATCCTCCCGGAGACACAAGGGCAGCCGCGAATGTTATCATCAGCTACCTTCGGAACAAGAACATCGACTCCGAAGTAATAGCACCACAGCCTTCAATGCCAAATGTTGTCAGTGACTTGATTTGCGGTGACCCCAACGGGCCTCGTCTAATAATGAATGGCCACATAGACGTTTTTCCAGTCGGCGATGGAAAGGATTGGTCTCGCAATCCTTGGTCCGGCGATATCGAAAACGGAAGGCTCCATGGACGTGGAACTGTCGATATGAAAGCAGGCACTGCGGCATCAGTCATTGCGTACACCTATATTTTCAAATACAAAGAGTATCTCAAGGGGTCTGTAGGCCTCTGCACTGTTTCTGACGAAGAGACGGGAGGAAAGTGGGGGACTCGATATCTGCTCGATGACGCCCGCTGGAGGGGAGACTGCATGATAAACGCCGAGCCAGGAGGAATCAATACCATCAGATTTGGTGAAAAGGGAACATTGCGTCTGACTTTTAGCGTCGAAACGGAAGGAGCACATGGTGCTTATTTGCACCGAAGTGTTGGTGCAAATCGGATTGCGGCTAGACTCATTAATGAGCTTCTTGCAGTTGAAGATATTGTTCCCAAGCTCCCTACTGGATTAGAGGAATATATGGCTCGGCCTGAGGTCCGAAGAGCTGTGGATGAAGCCATGGGTGGTGGAGCTGCAGATATCGTTCTAAAGCCCACCGTAAACATCGGGACTATTCACGGCGGCTTAAAGGTCAACATGATCCCAGATTCATGCATTTTCGAAACAGATATTCGACTACCGATCGGACTCAAAGCTGCCGAGGTACTAGATGTAATCCATGGCATCTTGGAGGCATACCCAGAGGTCACGTTGACTGTACAAGAGGCTGCGAGCAACCCCTCGAGTTTTTGTTCGCACGATCACCCTATGGTTGATATTCTTGCTCGGAATGCCAGCAACGTTACCGGAAGACGGCCTGTGGCTATTCCTTCTCTGGGTGCAACGGACTGCAAGTTCTACCGGTACAAAGATGTACCGGCGTACCTATTTGGGGTTTCACCAGAGACCATGGCAGCCAAAAATGAGTCGGTTTCAATTGATGAATTCATTGCCGTTCTGAAGACACACGTGTTGTCAGCATGGGAGTATCTTGGGGGTTCAACCGAGGGGGGCGTTTGAAAGAGAGTCTGGATACTTATGAGTACCGTGAGCAAGTACCTCGGAGTGTGGACATAAGCTATGACCTAGATAAAAAATTACTTGCCCCTTTCGAGACGATAATGCATTGCAGAGTGAACCTGGCGTGGGCATCGACTTCAACAACGGACAAAACTCGGAACATCTTTAAATCTTGAATCTCTCAGATACATTCAAGTTGATGGATGAATCAGCATCAGGCCTTCCTGGCCGAGTTCAGTACAATTTGCCAAGCTCCACGTTACTCCTGAACGCTTATAAGAACAAGCCACGAAGTTGATGCCGTTTGTTACTTGCCATTTTCACGTACCTTCTATACTGTATGTTGTTTCCCTGTCTGATCTAGGCAACAGATAAACCAGTAAAGACAACCCTGGGCACGTGCTTATACTTAATTGGAGTTTCATATAAGTAGGTAGGTAGGTAGGTACCTACCTATCTATTTCAAGTACTGGTAGGTCTTGGATCTAAATGGGGATGTGGATGTCGATATCGTCGCAGCGTGGCGGGGCGGGGCGCGGTACCTGCAGGCGGCGGTTTAGCGAGACGAAGCCTGTAAATGCCTGAGGTATTGTAAAGCCCAGGCTCAGCATGTGCATGTCAACAAAATGGTCCGTCGGCTGTCCGGTTCACAGGAGATCATTATGCTGACATAGATACAGTAGGTACCGGTACTTATACTCCGTACTACCCGTACCCGTACCCGTACACACATCTAAGGTAGTCAGCCCTACTGGCGGAATTTTACAGTACCACGATAATATCTATATTCACATGCTACTGCAACCATATACCGGTACCTATCTCGCCTATGTACCGTTTTGTTTCGCAGAACCGAGCGTTGTCGTGGACCTGACCTTCCCCTTTCTCTTTGCAAACGTTTCCTCCTTCTCATTTGGGCCACACCAAGTTTGATGTGAAGCTCGATTGGTACAGGTTCTGTGTGCCGGAACGCCCTTCAACCCAGGCTGGCTGGAGAATTTGGCCTTCATAACTCATGGCAATTCGGGGGTTGATAATTGTAATCGGTAGGGTCACCGGCAAACCGCGCAACAGCTGCCAGCAAAGAGTCATGCAGGACACTTTGTTGCCATTTCTATTTAGGGAGCCGCGTAATGTATTTTAATTGCAACAAGTCGTCGTATCTCCAGCAGCCTGTCAACGCAGCCTGGGCTAATCGGAATACCTACCTAGGTATTCATCGGCAGGTTAATTTCCAGCGGCTGAAGTAAGGGCTCGATTCTACCCTGAGATAAGCTCAATTGGGCGAGCTCAATGGCCAGCAACCCTTTCCTCCCCCAATCAAGTAAATAACAGGTTGCGGCTATACGGTTCAGAAGAGGTTCTTCCGATGTCTATCGACGTCACCCTACCTGCTTTGATCGCATGAAAAGAGTGTTGGTCCACGCACCAGGGAAACCCGAGTCCACGACTTCGTATCCTATATCTATTTCACATTTCGCCATATCTTAATTCTAAATACAAAGACGGGGAAGTCCTGAGTCACCACGGTCTACCTGTATTTATCTCCTCCCATTGAGTCGGAGCACATAGTACTTATAATTTCTACTAGATATCAATTTCGACCATGTTTCCAAACTTGACTCTTTCAGACATTTCTCGTGCATGTCTTACTTTCGAAAAGTACCAGTGGGCTACAGGTTCTGTGCTTGAGGACCCCTTTTACTCGGTGGATAAGGACTCTGCTTCGGTCCCTCCAGGAACATTGATCAAAGTGGAAAGGCATACGAACACATCGCTCTACTCGCTGCCGCCTGGTACTGCTCTATCACGCATCGTATATCAATCCAAGAGCTTCCGTGGCTCCTTGGTTCCTGTTTCGGCGTATATTCTCTGGCCTTCCAGCCCACGATCATCCGCCGATGGGTTTCAAGTTGTGGCATTTTCTCACGGAACTAGCGGGATCGCCCCCGATGGTGCCCCTTCGCACATCAAGAATCTCTGGCAGCACTATCTCGCTCCGTTCAATTTGGCTCTTCAGGGCTATGTTGTGGTTGCTACAGACTATGCCGGGCTCGGCGTGTCGAAAACCGCTTATGGGAAGCCAATTCTCCACGAATATGCAGCGGCCCCAAGTCATGCAAATGATATTATATACTCAGCTCAAGCAGCACAAAGCGCTTTTCCGGAGCTCTCCAAGTCCTTTGTTGTTCTCGGTCATTCTCAAGGAGGAGGGGGAGCTTGGGCCGCTGCGCAGCGGCAAGCTGTCGAGCCTGTCGCTGGGTACCTAGGGGCTGTTGCGATAGCTCCTGTTACAACTATGACCGACAGGAAAATGCCGCCTTTGACACTTTCAGCCTTCGGATTCTTAATCGCGCAGGGGTATGCTTTCTCTTACATTCGAGCTCAGAGGCTCGGCTCCTGAAAACCCCCCAGAAGCCCGAACTAATCTGCTTATAGCATGGAAAACATATTTCCCGAATTCAATCGTGCCGACATTCTGACTGATGAAGCCGTGACTTCTTTGGGAATCATACAACAAACCGGAGGATGTAGTGCAACTGTAGCTAGTCTCATACATGGGACCAAGGCGACAAAGCCTCGCTGGACTGAGAATTCTTTCGTGCAGAAATTTGAAGAATTAGTCAAAGTCGGTGGAAAAGAAATCAGTGGGCCTTTATTGGTTATTCATGGGGATAATGATTTTATCATACATATGGATTTGACCACTTCTGCGGTAGAAGCAACTGCACAGAAGTTTCCCGCTGCTCAGATAGAATATCTCCGCATTCCTGGGGCTTCACACAACCCAGCACTTACAAGCTCCCAATGGATCTGGATGGACTGGATCGCGAAGCGCTTCGCTGGTGTCGCGCAGGAGCCGGGGCTAAAAGTTTCAGAGACCAAGGTTGCAATGCCCGCTTCAGCTTACCAGCGAGAGTTGAACAACTGGATAGCACCAGCAATGATCTTCTATGAGACCCCTTGAACAACCTGGATTAGATGTTTCTTTTTAGACCTCTATGGATGTTCAATAGAATCGCATATCCTAAGCACCATAATCACAAGGCTGGTGACCTTGCAAAATGACCTCAGCTAAACGATGACGGTACAGTATGGTTCGAGAAAGCTTTCACGTTTCATACAAGCTCCTGGAAATTCCGGGTATGAGCTGATACCTGGTGAATTTGGGTACAAGTGTTGGTAGTAATTCTTCCAGTATGGTATGGACTTCTGGTGCAACACAGCCCTCCGTTGCGGAAGTTTGGTTTTCAAATCAAGAGCAGGACGTGGTGTTTGTTTTTGACTTATGGCCGCATCTTCCTCGAAATTCCCGTTAAAGTGGCAAGTGTACACTCAATTCCTTATTTTTTGACCTTGAATCTCTTCTGACCGCCTCGTTATTGCAACAGCATTGTCATGTTTGGTGTTTTCTCGTCCGCTTCGGCCGAAACTAATGTTTTCCCGCAAAACTTTCTCAGCCCTGGACGCATGTAAGCTTTCCGGGTATGGCCGTGTGACCAAGATACCCGATGTAAGATATATGAAAGTGTAAATAGTCTTTTGTATAAAAGACAGTTCCGCTTTCGATGTGCATGTATAGAACTCTTCAATTGCATCCACTCAAGTCAAACATTCCTACTCAGCTCATCCACTCCTCCTGCTTCTCAGCTCCTCATGCCCAAGTACCCATTACCTATTTACATATCATTCATCATGTCTGGCAAGCCCTCGCTGATCTTCATCCATGGATCTTGGCATCACACCGATACGTGGAATAAGATTGTCCCACTTCTTGAAGACCAGCAGTTCAAATGTGTCCGCGTCGCTCTTCCATCAGGAGCATCAGACCCTTCTTTAGGTCTACCAGAGGATGTTAAAGCCGTTCGAGATGCGATTGTGGCGGAGACCTCCCAAGGTCGCGATGTCATGGTCGTGGTGCACTCCTATGGGGGTCTTGTAGGAAGCAGTGCAGTCAAGGGACTTACACGGAACAAGGAAGATGGTTCTTCGCCGGCCAAGAGTACCTCCGGCCATGTAATCGGCATTGCTATGATAGCGACTGGTTTCGCTCAAACAGGTCTATGCTTTATGGTAAGCTAATCTTTTCTTCATGCATGTTTCGATACTTCTATCCTCTGGAGGTCAAAAGTTCTTCCTCCAAGAATACCTATTTCGTGTGCTTATTATGTTGAATTCTTTTGTGAGAGGGGCAAAGCTAACATTAATGGCTTGCAGGAAGGGCTCGGTGGTATTACGCCTCCAGCGTGGAAATTCAACCAGCAAACCGGCTTTGTCGACCTAGTGGATGATCCCAGAGAACTTTTCTACCATGATCTATCCGTAGAAGAGGGTGATTACTGGGTCTCGAGGCTTATAAATCAGTCGACGAAAGCTTTGGTGGAAGGAGGCGAGTCCGTTTATTCTGGCTGGAAGGATACACCAGTCTGGTATCTGTCAACGAAACAGGACCATGGGCTCCCATTCGAGGCACAGAAGTTCTTTGTGCAAAGTGCCAAGGAGGCCGGAGGCGATATTACCGTTCGAGAGATTGACACTAGTCATTCCCCGATGTTGAGCAAGCCGGAAGAAACTGTCGCTTTTATAGTTGATGCAGTAAAAGCTTTGAAGGATAAGAAAAGAAGACGTATTGTAACATGCTGGCGGCATTAAGGGCATAGCTAGATGATCATGACTTGATGAATGTATTAGTAGTATAAAAACATACCCCTCATTGTACAGAAGCTACCAATAAACCTTTTCTCGGAGTTTAGCCTTTGTCTTCTTCCATTTGCGAAGAAGAGCAAACAAAAGTTCGGGAGTATCTAATCATGTCCCCCTGCCCTGCGGAGAGTGGTGGTTCAGGTATTTCCCCCACTCCCTCCGAGAGTGCCGGTAAAATCAAGGTGTGGATGTATATATATGTAGAGAAAGAATCTTGATACAACGTATAGGTAGGTAATAATGCTATGGTGTTGTTGTCTCCTATAGTGTTTTGCGGCCGTCTCCACAAAAACCCGTATGCTCCTTATGCTGGATAGAAAAAGCGGCACTCACTATCGTTGACTTTTAATGTAGCACGCCACCTGGCACATTATCAATTGGCGCCGCTTTTTGTATTTACTACGAAGGCTTCTTTCTTTTTGTGGAGACGGCCGTAAAACACTATAGGAGATACCTAAGGAACACGAAGAGCATGGGGAATTGCTACCCGCCGTACCTCGTACTTCGCACTTCGTATAATCGTGCACTCAGAGGCCCCAATGTAGCCAATTAAACATAGATAACTTAAAAATCGGCTGATTTTAGTGGCGCCTTTGGGTGCACGATCACGATTACCCCACCCCTAAGCCCCACCCTGTAAGACTGCGACTGCTTTCCTGGACAACATCAACTCTTCACATTTCAATTTACTTTGCGTGTCTTACAATTCTACCTATACATGTACCTACTACTTATTTACCTGCCTCCCTACCTACCTACCTATGCCCCGACTTCTGTTAGCCCCCCACAGTATCACATCACCATTATTCATAATCCCGCGCAATACCCCCCCTTATCTCGAGTTACAAAAACATTTCTCTGGGCCAAGCACTTGGCCCCTTGGCAGTTTCCTCAAAAAATAACGCTTCACCTGACAGAGCATGGCCTATTGCTAACAGCTTGCCCGGGTGCCTCGATGAAGCAGTTCGCCTTCGCAGTACCCATTGGTGGATTTGTATGCTTTGCTTTGCTTGGCTTTGCTTGGCTCTTTCCTTTCCCATCTATATCGCAGCTTCTTCGATGTTAGCAGATTTGTTAATGCAACTCATATCGTTTTCCCCAGTGCTCGTAGAAATTCGAGCATCTAAATAACTTTCGTAATAGCCGTCTAATCTCGGCGCCTCTCTTGTCTGTCAGTCCAGTGGCTTAGCTTTCCATGGACCATAGTGGCCCAGGATATTCCAAATCGCCGCACGTATTTAGGCAGTTCTACTGGTCTCTTTAACAGCGTTGCTAAGATCATCTTCGTACTGGATTTCGTATACTGGCAGTCGATTTTATTCATTCGTGCGGCCTCTTTTTTGAGTCCTTCAACTAGGATGAAGTGTTCGTTGGGTTGCTTGCAAAGTGTTTATACAAGTGGAATTTTCGCCTGGCATCCAGCACCCGCCTAGAGTCTGCCAGGTCCAGGTCCTCCCACCTTTTCAAAGCACGGTTATTTGAACCCTAGTCCATTGCACGGGAAGATCCCGCTAAGGCTGAGCGTATCGGTACCTGTTCATCGTCTCGGCTACTATGGTCACGCCCATGGATCAGATCCTCACGACTTACCTTGCAACCCTTAATGCTACCAGGCTCCGTTTGCTGTAGGCACATCCTTTGGCCTCGTTTCTTTATGAGGAAGTTGCCTCAGAAGAGGAAGCTCATGACCCTTGTAGAAGGCGATAAGTCTCTTGGTATACGAAGATGAAGACAAATGCTCGATCTAGAGAGACGATCATCTGTCGTGATGATGATTATAAGAATGGGCATTTCCGTTGAATCATATGTACTTGTCTCTTCCCTTTCTCCAGCCTTCATCATTTCTTCCATCGCTTGGAACTTGTCCCTAAATCCCACTTTGCAATATGCGTGTCATTGCAGCTGCGTCAGCAGCAGCCTTCTTAGCAAGTCAAGCTTTCAGTCATCCGACATCTGCAACTCCTCGTCGCAGCCTATCTAGAAGAGTTGTCGATCTCAATGCGTTTCGGCTGGACACCGTTGCTGATTATAGCAACTCGACTAGTACAGCCAAGACTATCACCGCATCTCCTCTGTTCAAAAGAGAAGACTATGTGGATGCTGCCACTGCGCATGTTAAGACGGTTGCACCGGGTAAAGAATTTCGTCTCGTTGATGATCACTACATCGGGTCAAATGGTATCGCCCATGTCAATTTCAAGCAGACCGTACACGAGCTTGATATTGATAATGCCGACTTTAATGTCAACGTAAGCAGGACACATCAACTGATCGAGGGATATACTAACTGTTAAATATCAAGATCGCCAAGGATGGCAGCGTATTTTCCTATGGAAGCTCTTTCTATTCTGGAGCGACCCCCTCTGAAAATCCTCTGGTAAAGAGAGCCCAGATCGATCCAGTTGCTGCCTTGAACGGTGTCTCGAATGTTCTCGCTTTGCCCATCACTGCCACTGATGCGACTGCAAAGCCAGAAGCATCCGCTGCTGAGCACTATGTAATTGAAGGAACCACTGGTGCTTACCAAGACCCTAAAGCACGCCTTGTCTACTTCCAGAATTCGGATAATACCCTTTCTCTTACATGGAGAGTGGAGACTGATTTGAATGACGACTGGCTTCTCTCCTATGTAGATGCAGACAGTGGTAGCAAAATCTTGGGCGTGGTCAATTATGTTGCTGAAGCATCTTATCGGGTCTAGTAAGTCTACCTTTTCAAGCCTCTCTCGAGGTTTTCTAACACGCACAAGCCCTTGGGGAATAAATGACCCATCAAAGGGGGACCGCGTCCTTGAGACCGACCCGTGGGATACGAATGCATCAACTTTTACATGGCAAAGCGATGGATCTACTACATATTCTGTTACAAGAGGTAATAACGGAATTGCGCAAGCGAACTATGAGGGAGACGACGCATATCTCAATGACTATCGTCCAACCGCGACGAAGTCCAGTTTCGACTTCGACTTTAGCCTTTCTTGGACTAATTTCAAGACCTATTCTAATTCATCCGTCACACAAATTTTCTACACTGCGAATATGTACCACGATCTGCTATATGATCTTGGCTTCAATGAGGCTGCTGGCAACTTTGAGACCAACAATGACGGCACGGGGGGCATTGGAAGTGATGCCGTGATTCTGAATTCCCAAGATGGTTCTGGAACAAACAATGCCAATTTTGCTACTCCTCCAGATGGACAAGCTGGACGAATGAGAATGTAAGTTTATTGGCTCGGCTCGATTCTTGACCGTCGACTCTTCTCTTGTTCTTCATTCTTTTCTGCTTCCAATATTTGTGTTACAATGCGCTGACCCAAAAAGGTTCATGTGGACAACCGCAACCCCGAACCGTGACTGCGCTTTTGATGCAGGAGTGATCATCCACGAGTACACTCACGGTGTCTCGAACAGATTGACAGGTGGTCCTGCGAATGTCAATTGCTTGAATGTCTTGGAAGCTGGAGGTATGGGAGAGGGTTGGGGTGACGCCATGGCCATTGTCATCCATACGAAGACGACTGATACACGCGATACGGACTACCCAATGGGAGACTGGGTTGACAACAACCCCGCGGGCATCAGATCATACCTATATTCGACCTCCCTGGACACAAACCCCTTGACTTACGAGAGCCTGAATAGCTTGAATGAGGTTCATGCTATCGGAACAGCTTGGGCAACCATTATCTACGAAATCATGTGGAACTTGGTAGACAAACATGGCATCACTGCTGATCGCAGACCGACCTTTGATGACAATGGTGTCCCTACTGATGGAAGATTCTTGACTATGAAATTGGTCATCGATGGCATGGCTCTACAGCCTTGCAGTCCGACGTTTATTTCTGCTCGCGACGCAATTATCGACGCCGACAAGGCCCTCACGGGTGGTGACAATGTTTGTGAGTTGTGGACAGCCTTTGCAAAACGTGGTGTCGGGGCCGACGCTACAAGGGGAACATCGACTGGAAGAACAGAAAGCTATGATCTTCCGTCTGGGGTTTGCTAGGTTCCTGGATTATGGGGCTTATAAGGTGTGGGGTAATGTTGGCAGGATAATTAATATTGGGCTTCTTTTGGTCTAACCGATTGCTGGATAATATTTACTATATGAATGCATTATATGCCCACGTTAGTCTTTATTTAACTTGTCGGTACTCCTTAAGATGAAAGGTCGTGTGGATTGCAAGGATCCTCATCGCTCCGTACGAATGCCAGGTGAGTGTTTGGCTTCAGTTTTAGGCTCCGCGTTCGTCAACTGATCTGGTCGTGCTATTATAGGCGACGCAGATAGGTGTAAGTGGATAATCTACTTGGGGAGTGTTATAGAGAGGGTGTCAGGTTTGGGAAGGGGTGTTGGGAAGTCCAGGATGTGCAAGGATGCATTTAGGTGTCACTGCAAGTCAAATATGGATGTATACACAAGGTGAATGCCCCATATATTAATATATTCTCTATGCCATCAAAGGCACTCTCATGTCATGTGGACGCCTTGCTGATATTCTTAGACTGTGTACGTACTGGGGACGGATTTGTTTTGAATCTGATTTGCTGGAATTCTGCAAGTGAAGTTAGTTCGTCAGTTGCTTGCAAGGCTGCGAGATAAAATCATACCCGCTTGAATGCTTTCCAAAGTGTCACCCGTCAGTAATTTCAAGCGATCTTTTGTGCCGCACTCATCCACACCTCCTTCCACCTCAAAGCCTCCCATGCGGAACTTGAGTGATTTAACTTCTCCGCTTAATCGCTGCGTGGTGCTCTCGAGATGCTTGATATAATCCAGAGCCCGCGTCAGAACTGCAGCTTTCCCATACTTCAATTGTCCATCCCACCTATTCTCGCCGATATTCTCGTCTCCCGAATTGGAGTCTGAGCCGTTTGGACGGTTTAGAGGGGGGATGCCTTGGCGAAGGCAATCAATTCGTTCGTTGAGGTTTGTGCGGTAACGTTTCTCGATGGCATTATGACCAATTTGACGAGATTGCCGAGCTGTGTTGGAACCAGTCGTTTGTGGGGATGATTGCTTCTGCTTTCTACTTTTACGTGTTCGTGCTTCTGGTACCGGTGCAACGGCGGTGATTGGCGATTCTGGCGGGGAGGCGTAAGACTCTGCGGACATCTGGATCAAAGACTGCACATGGTAGGGCATGGCTATATCTTCCAGCCTCTTTTCTTCCTCTGGTGTCAGGGCAGAGAAACGGCGTAATGGGTTGGGTCGGTCCTGTTCACTCCGAAGGTTGGTTGGAAGCGGAGTATGAGTATTCATGAAATCGACTGTAGAGCAGTGGGACGATTGGTCCAGGCTCCCTAACTCGAATGACGAAGCCTCAAAAGGATATTGGGCATCAGCGGAGTAGGATCTAGGCATCAAGTTCTCTTCGGATCCATCGGCCCACGTGTTTATCAAGGAGGTATTGCTATAGCCAACGGGAGAATCGTGCTCCAGCGTATTGCTCCCCCATTCCATCCAACTATCCCACGGCTCATTCAAGGTTGCATTGAAATCTTTGTCATAGCTGTCGAATTTAGGGTTGGAGGCTCTCGGAGTCAGGTCGGGATTGACATTGACATGCAAGGCAGAGAGAGGCAAGTTTCTTGAAGACATATTGGTGTTGAGTGGGGATACTGCGGGGCATGGGCAGTACGGAGCAGTGAGTGATTCAATAGCTGTACAAGATGAGGCGAGATGGTTGAGTACTTATAAGAGAGTGAAAGGGGGGGGGTAGAGGGGAATAGAGGGGAATAGAGTAGAGTAGAGTAGAGTAGAGTAGAGTAGAGTAGATCAGAGTAGATCAGAGTAGATCAGAGTAGAGTAGAGTAGAGTAGAGTAGAGTAGAACTATACCTATGTAGGTAGTACTCGTACTCGTAGCAAGCAAGCGAGGCCCACTAAGCCAAGGCCATTTAAGGATTTTAAGGGTCCAAAGGCTTGACGGACGGAGAACGCTTCCGTAAAAGAAGGGACCAGAGTGCATCTGGCGCATGCTTGGATGTGCTTACTATACAGCAGTAGTGCGAAAACAGGGCTTGTCCCATTCCGGCTTAGATTCTCGCACAAAAGCCCCTAAGCGAAGCTAATAGCCAATAGCATCGCCCCAAAGTCACAACCCCTGCTCCAACACTCACGGGCCACATCGTAGCAGCAATGTAATCACTTTATCCCTTGCTCCACATACTGTACAGTACGGACATGTAGATGCTGAATGCAGAAGCCGATGCAAAAGCTGATGCAGTTGTAGACATCAGATATCGCAAAATGGGCTACTCGTACTCGTTACACTACAGGTTTTGCCTCCATGTGGCGTGAAAGTAATTCGATTTTCTTTTGGGGTTTATAATAATCATATATATCCTCACGATAGAAAAAGCGGAGCTTGAATCACTTACGCCCCAGGAAGAAAGGACTACCTCCCCGCCGTATGCGGTATGTACAGCCTAGTAACCTCGGGTCGTTCTTCATCCCAATGGGAGTGGAAAGTTCCCTACACCCGGTCTACCACCCACCCATCAACATCCTGCATCGTCGATTGGCATCTAGCTATCTCAGATTGATTCTCAAGAGCGTGAAGACTGCCAGTTTGAGCGCTTTTTTTTTTTCAATATTCTCATCCCTCGAACTTCACCGCCTTTATCAGCATCTGCTCAAGCTTCGCGGATCCGGCTCTGGCTCCGATGCAACGATCGATTAGTCAATACATTCAAGTTGAAGGAAGTAATACCTCGGGAAGTATTTGGTGCATGGTGCCTGGTGCAAGTAGTAGTAAGGTGTAGAGAGGTCTTGGTGCTATCGAGGTGGTACCGTGCCGCAAGACCTAGCGCTCATGATCAACATTTCGCAAGGCTTATTTGTCCCGACTTTTGAGTCTATTTCAAGGTCCCTCCTTCAGTCCAGTACAAGTACAATGTGTCCTTCTTCATGTGCCTCGTCCTCGTCCTCGTCCCAGCCACAACGGTATAAAGTTGCCGACGGCATGCATATGACACTCGGCAAGCCTTGGAAATCACAGCGAAGTCCCGCAAAGTCATACAGGAAACAAATTATCGAGCCTGTATAACAATAACATTGTTGATCGGTTCCACAAAGACATTATTCAAAAGCACCTGGTGTACTGGTAGGTAGGTCAGTTGTTAAGCGCTAGCGCCTTGGCACGTCTCCTTCAATAGATACTCCCTTCTTTGCTCGAATCAGCACAACTTCTTTCGATTGAATTTAACCATAGCGGCGATGGCTTTCTCACTCACTCGCTCCCAGCGCTTGATGCTCACCATCGGCATATCATTCTGCTTCTTCGTCGCTGAGATCTCTGGTAAGTCACATAAAAATCAACATCCCGCTCTGTCACTTGTTCGTAACTTATGCAAACCCCTCCAGTTGGATTTTATACCCATTCACTTGCTCTTATCGCTGACGCATTTCACTACGTAAGTGGAAATTAAGAATTTGGATGTGTGAGGAGAAGATTTATACTCACTTACATTACTAGATGAATGACTTAATCGGCTTCATTGTAGCTTTAGTTGCGCTCAAAGTATATAGAACTTCTCCTCTTAGTTTAACAGTAGAACTCACCACTTTCATAGATTTCTCGACGCCCAACATCCCCAAAACGTCTTTCCTTTGGTTGGCAAAGAGCCCAGCTCTTGGGTGCCTTTTTCAATGGTGTCTTCCTCCTCGCTCTTGGAGTCAGCATATTCCTGCAATCACTCGAACGATTTGTTTCTCTTCAGGGTAAGCACCTTCTAATCAAACCATAGATGTTCTCGCTGATCGGCCGCAGGAGTCGAGAACCCAATGTTGGTTCTCATCATGGGATGTGTTGGCTTAACACTCAATATCATCAGTGCAATCTTCTTGCATGGTATGTGGCACTCTTGTCCGCAAATGCACATTTTACTCAGCTTTAGTTACAGAACATGATGGACCAAGAAGCAACGAAGCGGGTGGGGGCCAATATACCGGCACCATCCAACTCTCCGAACTCACCACAGTTAGTCCTTCCTTTTCCAAACTCAACCCATTTCACTGATACTGGAAGGAGGATGTGCAACCCCACGATAATCATCGTCACAAGCTCGAACCGTCTAAGAAGAGTGGCCATGACCATGACCTTGGAATGATGGGAGTCTTAATTCATGTTATCGGCGACGCAATCAATAATATAGGGGTTATTATTGCTGCAGCAGTGATCTGGTAAGTTGGACTTCTCTGCAAACCCTGATTTACCGTTTCAAAAATATGAGCTCTCTACCCCCAAAAGAATCAGCCAAAGCTTACTAATTTTCTGGACAGGAAAGCGGAGTTTGAGGGCAGATTCTACGCAGATCCTGGAGTTAGCATGGGCATCTCATTTCTGATATTAATCTCATCACTACCACTCGGTGAGTTCTGAGATTCCCATTTATTCCTACGTGGCTAAAAGTAGACATTGTAGTGAAGAACAGCGGTTCTATTCTTCTTCAATGTGTCCCGCTTGGAGTAAATCTTGAAGACGTCAAGCATGATCTTGAGAAGGTAAGGATTACCCATGCTTAAGATATCATTCCTCTGTACTCATCTCGAACCAGATCCCAGGAATAACCTCTGTCCATGAACTCCACGCCTGGCGTCTGAGCCAAAACAAAGCCATAGCATCAGCTCACGTTGTAACGTTAGAGCAGGAGGTCGTCGGTTTCATGGGTCAGGCGAAACTTATAGGAGAATGTCTTCACGCCTACGGAATCCATAGCACAACATTGCAGCCCGAGTTTTCTACCAGCACAACGTTGCGGGAGAGTGAAGGGGAAGGACAGGTACTGTTAAAGCAGATATCTAGTGAGAAGTCTGTTTGTCAGATCAAATGCGGAAAACTTTGCGAGAATTTGACTTGCTGCGGATGAGAAAGGAGTTATTTGATAAAAGCACATACAGCCAGCCATATTTACGTCGCTTCTATTTGACCATCTAGAATTCCCATGACTTCGGCTACCTCATTTTCCCATTATGTAGCCACATATTGCATGACTAACAAAAAAGTTGGCAGAAAACATAGTTGGAGGTGAAATCATGCAAGGCTTCTGGCGGCTGGCTGGTCATGGCGAGGTACGTATTCCTCAGCTTCACTGCACCTTCTTCGAGATGGGCGTCACCTGACGATCTTGCCCGAAGAGGCCAAGTAGGTAGGCAGTCCGTGTTAAGAATAATGCAACTGTTGCTCCAATATTCCCCCCTTGGACAAAAGTGAAAAGTCAGTTTCAGCATTCAGGGGTCTTGAGGTATTAGTACCTACAAGTCATGGGATTCCAATTTGGTAAGTCGGTAAGCCTATTGTAATCCATGCCAGAGAAAGTGATACCCACATGCCCAATATCTGCAATCCAAAGGGCTATCACATAATTTCTGACAACCTTAGGCTCCGTAGTTTGATAGAGCACAGCCACTCCAACCATAGCCAGGAGGAGGTAGATATTTCCCAATCTTGCCAGTTAGTAAGAACCCAAAATAGGGGAAGCTGGAATATCCAAATCAAAAGAAAGGCGTGCTAGGCGCAACGGAAAAGCGCTTTGGGGATTCTAGGCCAAAGTCAGCTCAGGACAACTTACTGATATGCCACTACTCGAGTGTTTGCTGAGATTGGATCAAGAGGCGATATGGGAATTTGCTCTGCAACGAACCATTCTGGAGATATGAAGGGTGCAACAGCTCCAGCAATTCTGCAACATTTCTCAATCAGAAAGAGATCTTGAAGCTCGCAATGAACAATTGCAGTTGTGGCTGCTTATGACTTACAGGGAAAGTGGCTCTAGTATGGTGAAGACGAATCTTGGGATTGGAGGGAGAATAGAAGTCATTACGAAAGCTGCACCGGTGCGTAATTTGTGTGGTAGAGTAGCAGACTAGATAATTGGGAATCGAGAATTGATGTTGTACGAAGTATTATGGGGAGTTGCAACTGGTGTTATCACAATGTTTTTAGATACACCCCTCTTTGCACTATAAACACATCACCTGATGTAACGACACAGCATCAATCAAGACGCAACTGCAGCAGCAACTCGCAAACCCTCAAAACATAACTGTTTTCGCATCACAACTTTATCTGGCCTTGGACTCGATGCTGAATCCTCTGTTCGCCATGGTTGCACTGGTATTTCCAACATAACATGTACACTATTGAGCCACGCCTGATAGCCTTGCTCAACGATGAACCTTCCGAAGCATATACGGCGTCTCGCTCGCTGGAACTCCCTTCACTGAACCGTCCAAGTATATTTACAGCAGATGGGCGGCCTCTATTACTTGAGCCAGATGCAGGGACTCCAAATGGCAAGCCAGCACCAAATTCGAAGGCACAGCTTGGTCCGCAACACGCAGCGACGGTGACACCTCCAATCGACGACGGAGAGAAAGAACGCAGTGAGCAAAAGCAGCCATCTGAAAAGGCTATCACCGATCGAGCTTTACGTAGCTCATCACCCCAATCCTTACGAAAGATATTGGATGACGATACAGGCGGCGCGGCCAGTATACCATCAAAGAAACGGCTCATTGCGGAGAACAGCAAAGACGATTTCGTCCAGCTTCCTCAACCGCTGAAGAAACACAAAGCTGCTAAACAGGTAGTGCCTCCAATCATTATCGGCCTCTTCGAGCCTCCCCCGCAAGCAGCATTGTTTCCTCCAATAGCCTCAAGCTCCTTTCACGATAGCCACGGCAGAAACAGCCTAAATATTGTCCCCACCAGCGTCCAAGAAGTCGAAGAACCCGCGAAATGCACATCGCCAAAAGCAATCGAGAAAAAGAGTGTAGCCGCCAAGAGTAGCAAGACGAGGAAGGATGTTCGGGTGAGGAAGAAATGGACAGAAGAGGAGACAGATAATCTCTTATTGGGAGTGTATAAACACGGTGTAGGCAATTGGAGCGATATTCTCGAAGACTCGGATTTCTTGTTCAATGGGCGATCTGGAGCTGATCTCAAGGACCGTTTCAGAACGTGCTGCCCTGCTGAATTGCGCGAAAACGATCGGAACGGTAAGGGATTCAAACAAGCAGAATCAATTTCTAGCCAGAACACGCTACCAGGAAAGTCGAAATCGAGTTTGATGTCCGAGAATATTCTTATTGATGACGATGACCCGCCAGCCAATCCCAATTCCGTCGAAGGGACCTTGAGCAAAGCTAAGAAAAGCCGCGCTCATCGAAGAAAGATGGCAGACCTTGCTCAACTGGGCATTGCAGGACCTTTTCGCAAGTCTCGCCGCCGGGAAAGGAGACCTTTCACTGAGGAAGAAGACCGCGCAATTCTGAATGGGTATAATCTACTTGGACCTGCGTGGACACGAATCCAGAGAGATCCTAGGTTCCACCTCCAAACCAGACAGCCTACAGATCTGAGAGACCGCTTTAGAAACAAGTACCCAGAGAAGTTCCGTAGCGAGGATAAACTGGATGCATCTAGCAAAGAACACGTTGGTACTCAATTCGAGCAGCAACCCCCCCACGTTCAGCCAAAAGCGAAAGATAAAGAGACTTCGGGTCCGGATCCAGTAGCGAACGGTGTGCAATCGTCTCTAGCCCCTGTTCCGCCATTAAAGACATCGAGTGAACGTAGGAGAGACAGAACTGAAAATGAGGATGGAAGCCCAACAAAGCACGCGTCTTCCTCTCTTCAGTCGTTTTCCAGTCGTGAAGGTTTACGAATTCAAGAAATCATCTCAACCGAGGACGACTCATCAAAAGCCATGCCGTTACAGCCCCAGAGCTCGCTGTACAACTTCAAAGACAGTTTCAACACCTTCTCAGACCCGCCTGCCATGGAGTCCTCGGAAGGCCTGGCATTCTCTCAATCATTCGATTGGGGCGGGTCGATGACAGCTCCTTTTACCAGTAATATGGGCGAGATGGACATATCTCGTTTACTGCTAGACGAGACCTGGATCGACAATGCGAGCTCTGGGAAGGAGAAGCAAAGTCTTGCGGAGATAAGCAGTATTATCAGCTCCGGAGCGGACCATCCTAATATCCCAACCTTTGACAACATGCTCGGGGATGCAGAACGGATTGATGATTTACAAGAGTCTCCATTTGGATGAGTGATTTGGCGGCTACCAGAAGTACTTACGAGTGGAGTTCTCCGCTCTACGTTGTCGGAATATTGGAGTAGGCTTCCATTTCTCAGTTATCCATAGTACTAGCTTGAGACGAGATTCTTGCTAGACAGCTAAGATAGATGAAGTATGCTAGTTGGATGTTAGTGATGATGCTTGAAAATCCAATGAACGTTTCATGTCTGTACACACTGCATTTCATTCTCCATCAACACCAGAAGACGCCCCTCTGAATTTGTGAGTTTTGGCCAATAGATCAAGTAACCAGAAATGCCTTCAAACATTCCCAGAACCGGATGGTTCATAGCAGCGAGGGAATGCGATTTGTAATTTGCCCACTTTTTAAGATCCAAATGATAAAAAATGATATTTGCACTTCATAATAAAATACGAGCTAAGATCCAGCGAAGTGGAGTAAAAAATGTGCTTTCGTGCTTATATAAATACAAAGCTATTTCCACAGCTTTCAGGCTAGCGACTTCATAGTTACTTTCTTATATTTTAAACGAAGGTTGTACCTTCCTTCCTTGATCATGATCCTGTGTCCGACGATATGCTTTGGCTTCCATCATTATGAGAAATAAAACTCTTGCCCATTACTCATAAAGCTCCCTCTCTACCTTGATGATAGAGTACTTAGACTCGGTGAGGTATTATTTTCCTGGTATTGCAAGTCATCGACTAGCTTCTGGCTCCCGATATTGACAGGCTTTTTAGTCCTCTTTCTTGTCATCGTCGTCCTTTCTCGGTTCGAAGTTGAGCTAATTATGTCAGTTAGTCTTTCCGGTAAGTCGGATGGAACGATCTTACCGCATTTCCGTTGTAGAATTGTTGATCATCTGACCTCTGTTGATCTCTCAATGTCCTGACATTGATAGATGTAGATGGAGTTGAAGCAGAACGCGCATTCTCATGTTCCTCTTGTACAGGCGCAGCTGCTCCACCACCGAGGAGGCTGCCAAGAGCTCCAGTAACCATACCAAGACCAGACGATACCATATTATACCCTGCAGCCGCACTTCTGTAGACAATTCCACCACCTGCACCACCCTCGTATGCTGAGGTATAGCTATCAACAGGTATTAAGATCAAAGTCGCACTCGGAGTAAGGCCAAGTGTTTGGAGGGTTTCCTCTTCCTCTGAGATAGAGATATTCTTATTTGGAAGAGGTGTTAAGACCTGCTTGAAAACATAAGGGGTGTCTCGCTCCTGCTTCTCATCGATCCATTGTCTCACGTGGACACGGAGGTTACCTGAGGATGGGAAGCGTGATCTGATCGTGGATCCGTCGAAAAGACGGACTTGCACCGCGCATTCGGCTGATCGAGTTGACGGGTGATTGCTGCGACTTGAAGAAGGCACCGTGACCGAAGGTTGACTCTCGGACTTAGCATCTGCCTTGGCTATGGCTTTTCGTTCCGCTGCATCCTGTCTTCTCTGAGCTTTGTCGTCCTCCACGCGCTTAAGAATACGAGCCCGCTCATCTTTAGCATCTTGCTGGCGCTTTTTTTGCATAAGTGCATACTTCATGTCCGCGGACGAAGGTGTAGCCTTATCTGGAGCCTTTCCCTGGGGGTTAGAGTCCGCTGGGGCTTTCCCCTTTCCTTTTGACTTTTTTTCTTGCTCTTTTTTCTGCTGTTCTAGACGGGCACTCCTCTCTGCGAGAAGATTGGCTGCTGATGGCTGCCTTCTTGCTGGAGCAGCTTGCTGATTTAGCTGAATATTTGGTACTGCAGATGAAAGTTGTTCACTAGTTGCTACTGGGACAGTCTCACTACTGGTAGTGGCTGTTGACACTGGCGGTGGAGGCGATTCAACTACACGTGATCCTAGAACGACCGCCATCCGCCGCATGAACTCTTCCCTGGTGACTCCAGCAGCCAAATACTCTTTGAGCTCTCCATTTCTAGACAAATAATTAGTTCATAATCTTACCACGTTGATGTCCAAAAAAACAAAAGGGGGTAGGGAGGGGGAGGGCCTCTTGTCTATAGACCCTGTAGCTATGTGAAAAGCAGAAAACACAGCCCACTTCTGCTAGACTTACTGAATAACCACAAAGGTTGGGGTTTTTGGTAATGGGAATATGGCAGCAAGATATCCTGCCTCCTGCGAGCCAGCTTTGAGACGTAGGAGGATCGTCTGCTCAGCTAATGCCGCTTTCAACTATATGAATGTTAGTTACAATGTTGGTATTACTCACGGACTTTGAAGACTTACATCTGGCTCCTGAATAAAGTCGGTTTCCCACTTGTTGCTCTCCTCCTCGTCGTCTAGAGGTTGTTAGTTGGGAATGGAGGTATATCGAAACGCAAGGCCGAGAGGAGGGCAGTACCAGTCACAAAGCATGCTACCAATTTTGATTCTTCTAGGGCTTTGCTGATACCGCTCTGTAGGTCACCTTCGTGAAACATCTTGAATAAAAATGACTGCTGAATCGTTTTCACCAACAATGGATGCGGACGTGATTGGAAATACAGTTACAGCCTCAGGATCACCAGGAGGATGGCATGTGTCTTCCTAGCGGCCTATAAGTTTAGACCGAAGTTCAACCGGGCTTCAATATCACGCCGTACGTCTTTTACTACACGATATTTGTACCATCAGCGGGAAGCTGTTAACACCAGCAGCCATGAATGTTTCGAGGTCCTTATTACGCCAAGTGCACCGGAATCCCCCCATTAAAAGTTTGTCGAAAGATCCTTGGAGTTCCCCAACTTTCAAATGCCCAGCATGCAGGCAAATATCTAGAAGCTCTCGACGGTTCAGACAAGCGCCTGGCGACGACCCGAATTTTATGTCCATTGTGGACAATCCACCCACCTTAGTACGAGCAGGAAAGAGACACGGGCCTGGTCTGATCATTCTAGGTACGTGGATGTTCTTTTAGGATGCCATTTGCATTCGCTCACCTCACAATAGCTCTCATCCCAATCACAGCTTTCGCCCTCGGGACATGGCAAGTGCAACGCCTGGACTGGAAGTCCAAATTAATGGCCAAATTCGAAGACCGGCTCGTCCGAGATCCTCTCCCATTACCTCCGCATATCGACCCTAACGCAATCAACGAATTCGATTACAGGAGGATCTATGCTACAGGACATTTCAGACATGACCAAGAGATGCTTATAGGGCCCCGATTGCAGGATGGTCATGATGGATACTTGGTCATTACGCCACTAGAAAGAGAGGGGGAGGGAACAACCGTGCTTGTAAATAGAGGGTGGATTGACAAGAAGCACAAGAAGCAGAAGGATAGACCTGATGGAGTGCCGCAGGGGGAAGTTACGGTCGAGGGGCTGCTGCGGGAGGAGTGGAAGAAGAACATGTTCACCCCGAATAACAGTCCGAACACACACGAGTTTTATTTTCCGGATGTTAAGCAAATGGCCCAGTTGACAGGAAGCCAGGCCGTGTGGGTTGAGGAAACGATGGGTTCGTTTTACAACCGCTGTCTATGGACGTGTACTAATGAGTGAACATAGAACCGGACCTTCTTAAGGCGTGGGATAGAGAGGCTAGGGGAATTCCAATTGGGAGGCCGGCAGAGGTCAATCTGAGGAATAACCATGCTCAATATATCTTTACGTGGTAAGTGAACAACATACCTTCGTTGTCGCATCTTGAATCAAAACAATCAAGTCGAGTGACAGAAGTGGGGAGACCATTGGGGAGAGCTGAATTTGCCTTTTGACTCATATGCTGTATTTGATCAATTGAGGGAAAGCTCATTGTCCAACACCTACCCGAGAAGATATTCTTTCTGATACCCTATCTTCCGATTCATGCGGCACACTCCATGCACTGTGCTTACACGTTATACAGGTACGCCCTCGCTGCAGCTACGTCCGTAATGCTTTATATGGTTGTCAAGAAACCTTCTGCTGATATAGCTCGCCGAGTACGCCAAAACAAAGATTGGTCATAAGTCGTAAGTATCATCAAATCCAACTGTCAAGCACGTAGCCAAGGTTAGGTTGCAGGAAAACCTAGCCTCATTCCTCGGCCTCCTCTGCCACTCTTTCCAGCTGTCGGCCTTTTTTGAGCTTTGATGGAGGCACCATTCGTAGATCTTGGAGCAGCTCTCGAGGTAGATGCCTTTGAGCAAGAGAAAATGGTGTCGTAGTAGCATTTGTCTGGCGTTGCCTATTTTCAAAAATGAGTCCGTGCCAGAATAATCTGATAGGATTAGAAGGACAAACCGCGCCATTAGTGTAACAATATCACTCTCATCAATTGTCTTTCGGCCTGCGTGCTTTGCATATGCACCCAAATCATCACTGACTTGTTCAAAAAACCAATCCGATGCCTGCATGATAGCATCTAAGGTATCTTTGCTTAGTTTCGTCCGGCTGTTACCACCCATTTGTGCGTATGACGTTGCCAGTTTCTTAACAACACCAACTGGAAGGGATGGGTATTGTATTCCATGTTTGGAGATCTTCATCCTCTTCTTCCTCGCGGCCTTCAATTTTGTAGCGCTTACCAGATCGCCATCTTGTAGCGTAGTATCTTGCAGGCTGATGTCCATACCTGCTGGAGGGGGGCTGCTCGCCAGATCATGGTCCTCAATATTTTCCACTTCGTCGTCGTCCTCATCCGGAACATTCTCATTAGGGACATCGTACGGAAGCTCATACTGGACTTCGTCCTCGACCCGAATCAAGGACTCCTCCGTTTGATCTGACACCTGTAATTCGGTTACATCTCTTGGAGGAACTGTGAATACAAATGTTTCAGTGTCATCTGCTGAAACTGTTCCTGGTTGAATATCGCTGTTGCGACCTGATGCTAAAGATATGCGACCCCGGTCAAGACCCAGGTCTCTTAGAGTTTCCGTGTTATCACTATGGCTGTCAGCAACAAAAGGATCCGAGGGGTTACGCCAGCTTGAAAATTCAACTCACCCTGGAAACCCAGAAACATCACCTGGGATGTCGTCATCCTCAAAGGCTTGCCCAGCCATAATACTTGAATCATAAACATCTCTTCCGTCGAACTCCAATTGATTCAGGTCCGCGAATTGGTCACTCAATCGGACACTTCCAAAACTTCCTCTCGAAAATCGATTGAGCGGTTGTTCACTTATAGCCCTGCGGCCAAGCTCAACAGACTGAACAGTAAAATTCTCATCCTCCAAACCTGCCGATTGTGGCGGAAGCAAAAGACTGTCGTCATCATCCTCCTCGTCCCCAATAGGTAGTGACAGACGAGGACGTTCGAGCTCAGGCCCATCATCCAAATCATCTTCTCCGGGTAAACGAAAATTAACATTGGGAGGTCTGGGGCCGTGCGGTGTTGGTACAATCGGTAGTGTCTTTGGGGCTAGAATGCGACTGAGTGCTCTGAGTGTATCTCTTGGGGTTTCTCTTTGTTGTCTCCCACTTCTCCTCCTGTCCTTCCTAGCGGGAGTGAGTCCAGCTCTTCGGGCCTCCAATTCTCGCTGAGCAGCTCGACCATGCGGCGTCACAGCGACAGCCCTCCTACCAGAGCCGTATATCCTCTGCGCAGCGCCGGGTGTTCTCAATTGGCCTGCAGGCGTTCGTCGAGTTGATCGTTGGGAGGGAGGGCCTGCACTAGAAGCCCGGCGCAGAGGTGTTATTGGTCTTGGAATATTCGCAAGCTGGCGCAGAGTGCCATATGGGGTTTCTTTTGCAGCTGCCGCAATAAGGACATCATCTAAATCGGAGTTTCGAGGAGTTATCCGCGGAGGTCGCGCAGAAGAGCCATCTGGCGGCGCATTGCCATTTTGTGGATTTGTAGACATGTTTGATGTTTAGAAAAGAGATTATAGTACACTACCGCATTCGAGGTAAAGTATGGCGGTGGAGGGTAATCATTAGTTGCGACTCGTCTGTTCTCCGATTTGGGGTAGTTGTAATAAACTGCTCGATTTGTTATTGACTTCGAAGTTGGGTTGGGTACTTGGAGATCCTTGTCAGCACGCGTCGCGTTATGCTTTGCGGCTTTAGTAAGGTAACCCCGCCTCGCGCTAAGATACCTTAGGCAAGCCAACCCGCACCCAGGCCAGGGCGGTCAAGTGGCAGAATGCAACTATTTTCTTTTACGGAAAATAAATGCTACTTGTGGAACTCATCGATCCAATAACTCCAATTACTCTGCGGTACCTCTTCAACAATGGCCGACCAGGAAGCTCTACAAGACCCACTCGTCGAGAGGCCAAGTGCGAGCCCTGAACCACCAGCTTCTCCAACCATAAGCAAGAAACGAAAGAGAAATCCGACCAAGGAAACCAGCGCTGGTGAAGCTCCTGTGGGGAAGAAAAAGAAGAAGCCCAAGACTAAGGCCAAGGCCAAGGCGATTGAGGAAGACGAACTAGATTTAGAGACTGGCATTAACAAAGCATTCTCGCACATGGACAGCCAGCTGCTGGCAGATTATGTTGCACAGCGAACGAGAAGATACGAGAGTGATTTGAGCTCAATCGAGTTGGAGGACAAATATATCCCAGGTACATATACCATATTTTTACTGGAGGCCCGTCTAATGGGTTTACAGCAAAGGCAATTGAGGACACGACGGCATGGGATAAAACAAGAGACCTAGACAATTTGCCCGGCTTCTTAGAGAAGTTTGCAGGAAATTCAACAAAACTTTGGTCGGCGTCGAAGAAAAATGGCTCACCGCATACAATCATAGTCACTGCAGCTGGCCTGAGAGCAGCGGAGATTGCAAGGTGCGTGCATTCAAGGTAGAAGTTCCACAGCTGTTCTAACTATACATCTAGAGTGGTACGGAAATTACAAACGAAAGACGCAACTGTTGCAAAATTGTTCGCGAAACATATCAAGCTGCAAGACTCGGTCAAATTTCTTAAAACTACAAGAACTGGTATTGCAGTTGGAACACCGACTCGGCTAAAGGACTTGATGGACGACGGTTTGTCCCTCATACCGTCTCTTGAGGATTTTAGTACTGACGAAAATTTAGGCGCTTTGGCGGTTGACCGGCTGGAAAGAATTGTTATCGATGCTTCGCACATAGATGTCAAGAAACGGGGAATCCTGGAAATGAAAGAAACACAAGTGCCACTGATTTTTTGGCTTGGGCAATCGGTATTTAAGGAGAGATACGCCGCCGATAAAAACGGCATACAGCTCTTATTCTACTAGAACATAGATTCCGGTATGGCAAATCGCTTTGTGGTAGCATCGTATCTTATTGTGACAGATGAGACTGCGAGACTGCGGAGCCTTTTCCGGACAAGTGAGTTCCCAGTTTCCTCGAGTACTTTTAGCACGGGCTTTATGTAAGTGAAAGGTACGGAGCCGAAGGCGGTTCCATAGCTCACTTCCATGAAAAAGGCTATGCAAATATTCAATTATAAATAAGAGGTTCACCTCTGGGTCTTGCAAATACAAAAAAACGGGCTAAAACCGACTTACTTGGTTAGTACTCTTTGTAACAACAATGAATACCCAAGTACCGTCTTAGTTGGGTTTAAGCACCCTTTCCCCCTTGTCCATTAAGGTAATAATATCATTTGCTTACCCCCATGTTTATACGGTAAGGCGAAAGATCATTGATAAATATTTAGAGGGAACAAGGGGGTGAAGTATATCCCGACTAATACGGTAGGACGACCACAGGGTTATGGGGAGTTAGTGCGAATCTCTATGTGAGGAAGGAACGTCAACGTCCCTGTATGAACCCAAATCTTTTTACTGCAACAAGTACTATCAGGTCGCAACTTCACTTTCCAGCATGGAAGAGCTTTCAATTTCTTCACAGGCTTAACGTCCCTCACCTCCCAACCTCTGCGACCCAACATTCGCTCACGGCACATCACCCGGCCTCTAAAGCAGACTTCAATTGAAGCATACTGTCTCTATAATACCAGTCCATCGCTCGAGTCTCCCCTCGATTCATCCACAACTCGAAGGTTTCCTCGAATCCCACCGCTCTTTATTTCGTGGTTCGTAACCTTTGCTCTCACGCACTTCACTTTAAAAGCTCTTGAATTGGGATCGAATTCGGTTCAGGATACGTTGATTCTTGTTTAAAACTCGAAAGATCATGAGGTTACTCAGGGTCTTATGCTCCTTGGTGGTCATTTCTAGCACCGTGGGACAGATCGATGCGCCTGCACCAGGTAAGAGCCTGCCAACTTGAGACTTCTGAAATCAAGTTAACAAAGTTTGAGGCTGCGCTATTAGCTGCTGGGAGAATACGAAATATGTCAGCAAATGCCTAAACGATATTGGTTGTCTCTGTGGCGAATCGGGCTATCAAAACGTAAGTTCCCTTCATCCTCGGTCTACTGCGAGTCAAGCTAATTTGTCTTCAAGTCTGTCTACCAGTGCATATACTCCCAGTGTGACACAGTCCATTTTGGTTCGGCGCTTCACCACACGATAGCTCAATGTGGAACTGGCAATCAGATAATCTTCGGCATCCCTCCCGTTCCTGACAATGTCTTACTCCAGCGAAGAGAAGAGGAGTATCTCGCAGGTGCAAAGTCCCTTGGGCCTCCAGGCTCATCCAGTCTATATCGAACAGAGAGTGCTGATGGCTCCTCCTTTCCGACCCAAAGTGCGCTTTTCCCTTTACAAAGTGCTGGCGGCTACTCCCCGCAGGCTACTGCATCACCTTACTTTCCCCTCAACGCAGCTACCTTACCCGCAATCGCAACTTCAACTGAGCCAGCTGCCATCGCTGTTTCAAGAACTCCAGCACCGCTGTTGTTCACTGGTACAGCACACCGCCATGGAGCCCGCATTCCTCTTCTATCTACATTAGCCGCGTTATACTTTGTTCTCTAGTACTACGAAAACACGCTTTCTTTCGACCTCTACAGATTTTCGTTGTCGATACAAGCCGGTCACTTAGGCTCTTTTGAGCAATTTTATAGCGAACATTCGGCCAGGACTGGATTTCTCAAAGGGAAGCTGGTTAAAATTGTGCCCTGTGTGGGCTCGTTGGTGTATGAAATCGCTGGCCGCTACTATCAGTACTTTTTGTATTTCATTTTGTTCTAGTTGCCCCAACTAGGACACTCATGGAGCAGGTTTGAGCTTCATTGGTATATCTGTAACGATGTTTTGGAACTTTAGTAGTTCTTGTGAAGCTCTTGTGTAACGAGCTCCGAGCTTGATAGCTTACCTAGTCTAGATAATGTTAACGAAGTTTTAAGTTGAGACTTGAGCAATTTTCATTGCTTGTATCAAGAAAACTTTTCTCAACTGACAATGTCCTCCATCTCTCCTATCTTGAAGATAAAAAATCCGGTGAATTCTTTCTATAAAATGTAAATCGATGATAATACAGTATACCTACCTACCCACTTATTTATTGGTCCCACGTGCACGTGCCGTCATTTCAAGGGTCTTCCCCGCTAAAGATATTTCTTCCAAAAAATGAAAACTTTCGAAAGGCCCTCTTCGAAACCACGACCACACAACATGGGTTCCTCATCAAAGAAAGGAAACAACGATGCCACACGGGCAGAACGAAAAGCCAAGAAGCGCAAGCTCGAAGACGCAATACCTGATTTACCAGGTGAAGAAGTAGTTGTGGATGAAAAGCCAAAGAAGAAGAGAAAGAGGAGTGCGGATGAGGATGTGGTAGAAGAGAAGGCCGCGAAGAAGGAGAAGAAGAGCAAGAAGGATAAAGATGCTGTCGCAGATGAGGATAAGGAGGCTAGGAGTGCGGCGAAGAAAGCGAAGAAGGCCTTGAAAGCTGAGCAAAGCGAAACCGCAGCTGTTGAACTAGCAGTCCAAGAGCTAGTGGCAGAGGAAGAAGTACCAAAAAAGTCAAAGAAAGAGCGAAAGGCAGAGAGAAAAGCCAAAGAGGCTGCTGAAACTGCGACTGCTGCGAACGGGACTGCCGCCAAGGACTCCACGTCTAAAGAGGAGGCTGATGGAGATGGAGAGGAGAAGAAGTCTAAGAAGAACAATCGCAACCGAGCCGAGAAGCGGAAACGAGAAGCTGCGGCAAAGGAGACTGGTGAGGAAGGGGGAAAGGCTGCTAGGTTTATTTGCTTCATTGGTAGGTCTCCCGCTACCACTCCTTCGCAAGCATTTTGACTAATTACACATCTAAATAGGCAACCTACCTTTCAGCGCAACAAAAGAGTCTCTACAAAAACACTTCGCATCTGTGAAGCCCAAATCTATCCGCCTTCTCACTAAGAAGGAAAAGCCTACCGAGTCCAAGGGTTGCGCTTTCGTTGAATTCGATGGATATGATCATATGAAGACTTGTCTCAAACTGTTCCACCATTCGATTTTCGATGATGGGGTTTCTCCATCGAGAAAAATAAATGTGGAGCTCACGTAAGTATCTTTGTTGCCCTTTTCCTTGGAGTCTTTTGCTGATTTGTGGATTAGTGCTGGTGGAGGAGGTAATACGCAGGAGAGACGGCAGAAGATAGAAGGCAAGAATCAGAAGCTGAACGAGCAACGCTTTCGTAGGATACAGGAAGAAGAAAAGGTCAAACTGGAAAAGAAAGATGGCGGTGCTATTGATGAGAGTGCTATCCACCCGAGTCGTAGAGCCCGAGTCCAGGTCTAATAGAGCGCATGATATTCTGTCTTGGTTCACCACGTGCATAAGCTGGGCGTATTGGATGGAGCATTGGGTGTAGAATAGAACCAATATACTGTATATCATTTAACTAAAAAGTACGTACGCCTTTCGGAAAGGAAATGCTATGCAAACTACCTGAAGGTCATTTCATCATTACTCCGCCGTGCATTATCTACAGGAAATGGGATATCTCCTAGATGCGCGTACTAGCTAATCCATAGCAGAATCTAAAGATAGCAAGAAGTACATAGAAAAGATCTCGATAGAAGAGAAAATGTGGGCAAGGTGGTTCTTCGGACGCCCTGCTTCTTTAGTGCTGTTTCATGAACATGAAGCTTGTACTTCCATCTCTAAACGGCGAAGAGAAATGACAGCTTCAATCCCAATTCATCTCTCCAACGGACATATTCTGATATAATGCACCCACTCAAGCTCTTCACCGCACACACTACAACTTCGCCAAGGGTATCTTTCACAAAATGGTGCACTTCCCCCCCTTCTTTGTTGCCTTGGGTGGCGGTCTTGGGCTTAGGACCGCTCTAGGGATAGAACGTCAGTATAAGTATATCTGACATCGAATAAGAAAAGAAGATATTGCTAACCGGATGGCCTCGTCAAACACGCTCTTCAGATTTCTTTGGGTCAAAGCTGAGCATTCCAAGTACTTGTGGGCTCTGATTTCCTTTGCAATGATTAGAGCCTGATCGTATGATACTGGTTCCATTCGCTTCTGTCTCAGACTTTCCAACGTTGCTGGATCCTCTCTTAAATCCAACTTCGTCCCGACAAGGATTATAGGCACTGATGGGGCGTGATGGTCAATTTCTGGGAACCACTACGCAATGTTAACATTAGCATATCGTTTCAAAAACAAGGGCTCGGACGTACTTTGGCTCTAACGTTATCGAAAGATGGCGGGCTGACGATAGAGAAGCAGATGAGGAAGACGTCAGTCTGAGGGTACGAAAGAGGTCGTAGTCGATCATAATCTTCTTGTCCAGCAGTATCCCACAGTCCCAAGCTAATCGGTTTCCCATCCACCATCACACTGGCAGAATAATTGTCGAACCTATGGGCCATCAGCCACTGCACTTTGAAGAGGTACATTTAAACTCACACTGTAGGGATGTATTCGCCGGGAAAGGCATTCGTTGTGTAGGATATGAGAAGACATGTCTGTACGGTTATCGGATATCAGCTATCAGGAGTACGTCGGTGGGATCCAATCTGTATATACCTTTCCAACAGCACCATCACCAGTGACGACGCACTAGAGTCGAATAGAAGTCAGCTTAGGTGTCTCTATGCATGCAATATGTTTGCGGCGCGGGAAATCAAACCTTGAGCGATTGGGTTCCTGGAGCGGCCATGTTTGGTGGAGATATAGTTTGGGTGAAAGACGGCGGTGTATATGAGGCCGTGAGGTCTCGGGGAAGTTTGTTGGATATAGGAGGCTACGTCTGCATAAAGGTCAGATCTTTTTGACACATCGGAAGCTGGCCATCCCGCCGCTTTGGTGGGCGGGTGGGTGAAGCAAGGCGTTGTGTACCTGCAAAGAGTGTGGAAGACGGACCAAGTGCTGGTCAGAGAGCTGCGACGAGTTTCGGTTCGACGCGCCTGGATGGATGAAGATGGGTTCGGGTGCGTATGCGGTGCAGAAGAGCGAGTTGATCTGATCTGATATGGACCTGCAGCTGGTGGCTTTCTCGAGATGCAAAAGCAGAGGCAGGGCAGGGAGACGGTCGAAGATACAGTTGAGGCTAATGGAAATTGGAGGTGGAGTTGATCAATCGTTCTGGTGGGTAGAGGTCGAGGTCTACTCGTATATCTCGCACAGGACGGGCTTTAGTTGCAGTTGCAGGTGCAGATGCAGATATCGTGCGTGGGTGAGTAAGTGAGACCGGAATGGTGAAGCCTAACCTTGAGCTGAGCACGGTTCTGCGGTTCTGCAGGTCGACAACTTGATGCAGGTCTGTAACAAGCAACTGGTGCTGGGTGGTGTGTGGGTGTGTGTCTCTATGGAACGCCCGAGGAAGCTCAGGAGAGGAGAGGTAGGGGTCCGAGGGGCATGGACTGGCTGGCTGGACTGGAGTGGACTGGATGGAGGCTTTCGATTAGACGCCCGGACTCTGCGCTTTCTTCCAACCAACAACAGCCGTTGGGCCAAATTAATTATTGTCAACACTCAACAGTATTATCTAAATGATTCGAGCATTGTTTGTGTTGGACGGTATGAACTATATATCTCTCTGTATGGATAACCAGAGGAACACAGTACTCGAGTAGTCGCACGATATCTTATCCATCCTTCACTGGGCTTGTTGGCACAGTAGTAATCACCTTAGGTAAACACCGTCCCGGGCCGTATCGTGTTACGGCCACGCTTCTCTGCTCCAGTTTCAGCTTCTTTTAGGAATGAACAGGCCTCAAGATATGTCTATACCGAGTATTCTTGAATCATGCTATAGAGATAGATGTCTAATACTGTCTATACCTTCTCAATCGTTCCGTGGCGATTGCATGAATGCGATACTTCGAAAACCAAGTCTTGGCATATGTTTCGTTTCTTCGCGCTGCACTGTGCTGCTGCTGTGCTCTTCTAGAGAAGCTAGAGAAGCTATTATGATTCTCGTCGGAATTCTATCCTATCAAGGAGTTTAAGTGCACCATAGATCGAAGACATGATCAATTACTGAAAAGATGGCCCCTTTTCTGACGCGAAACCCCCTTTCAAGTCCTACTCGTGTTGAGTTCCTACTGCTTTCCTTGCAAGTCAGCGCTTAGAGATGCCCCAACCGCCTCATGACTTGCCCTGACAAGTAAGTCATACCCGCTGTTCTTTGCAGGAACTCTCTCCCTCAACTAGGGTGAATCCCCCTCGTGACACTATCGCTACTTTATGTCACGGCTGGTGCTACTTGTTCTCGCATGATTAAAGTCATCCATTCTCGCACAACTACTTCAACCACGTAAATCACTCCAACCACCTTTACTACGATCCCTAATAATCCATTATCATAAAGTTTCTTGTGAGACTGTTTTCTCGCCTACGACAGCCGTCTTGAGTCTTCGGTTCTGGAATGCTGCCCATAGAGCTCCTGCTCCAGATAATAGAACAGCTTTCCGCTCCTCAGCCGCCTTTTTCCCGATCTACTACATGAAAATCAAGCTTCTGACTAGAACAATGTATCTCGAACATCTGGTTAGCCGATGGGATGATATATATGCATTTCTAGATCTCATACTTCGTGATCTGGCAGATCATGTTGTCTGCTCGCCTTGCCAGAAGCTCCATGAACTTGAAGATTCAAGCAGATATCAGCAGTCATATCTACAACTTATAATCACATCCTGTATGTGCGACAATGCAAATGCTACAACGGTACTTACCAGCGGGATCAACTTCAGCTCGGCTGTTCTCAGTGTGGCTATGAAGCATCATCAACAAAGTCAAGGTTGCGGCCTACTCGTGGGATAACCTTTCAGATGCTGCGTCGATATCTCCCATCAACGAATGTATAGTGCCAACAACCAGGGCACATTGCCGTATGTACCAAGGGCCAAATGATCCATCGTTTTCAGGATGTGCGTATTTCGGCAGTATCGTCGTCCTTGGCTGCATTCACGAGACACGCTTATCATATCATATGTAGACATTTATACTTTGAAAATGAATCCTACTCCGGACTTGTTAAAATTACTAAGAACCCGAGTTCTCGGTACAAGAATACAGAGTTTTGGGTAAAATTTTGGTTCTTGAAAGGCATCACACTGGCCTCGGGCCCAATGAGATGCTGGCATTGCTGGACGGAATTCGGAATAGACTTCAAGCATTACCCAGGTCATGGTATGGCTATGTTTCTCACTAGATGGGAGAATCTTGGATGTAGGCGAGATGATGAACTTTGGAAGGCACATTGATAGTCTTCAGTCCCCTTGCCTTCAGCAACAATACGGCTTCAAAAAAGATACCTAGGTATCTATCAGAACTATTTGAAAATGGTAGGAAGGTTGAAGCTGATCCTTTTCTGTCGCCTGAGCTGTTCAATGTTCAATGTTTAAAATGAGAGAATATTGGCATATGAAAAAAGCCAAAATAAATCAGTATAAGGGGGATGAAATGTATCTTATAGTTTATATGCCTCGCACTTATAAATAGTGGTCTTCGCAGGTGAAAGATAGACAACTAGATTGCTTACATTGCCCGAAGACTAAATGGAGAGGTATTTGTATGATTCGTTATATTATACCAGAAGAACAAACATATGCCCCCACACCTATGACTCCATATAACGCCTATGCAGATTTTCTTTCCTAACAAGCTATATTCCCATATATGCAAATCACCAATATTTTGGATATTTCCTTTCCAAAGGCCGAGGACATTCAATCAATCATCATCATCATGCGCACCTAATTCCGATGTCTAAGGCCATAACGCCTCTCATGCTGGCCAGGGTACAGAGCTGGGTCAACTTCCAGTTTCTGATTGACGCGCAGCCCCATCTTTGGCTCTGCCTCATCTTCTTCCGCTCCATCATTCCAAGAGTGCACCGAGCAAGTGCCAGTGTCCCTCCCGTCTCCTCTCCAAGCGGAAGCTATAATTGAATTATCAGCATTTGAGCGTTTTGATCAACAATGTGAAGTACTTACCAACGATCATCGGAGCATTAGGGTGCCAGGAGGCATCTCTGACACAGGTTCTCCTTTGGGAGTTGTCTTCAATGCCATCCCAAGCCATAGCACCATACTCATTGTGAGGAGGCCTCGTGTTTTTAGTTGCACCTTGTACATCTACTATTCCAGCAATTGTTGCGTCCATGTTCCAAATATAAACCTTTCCATCTCCACTTCCAGAATACACGTATCTGGAATTGGTGCTATCAGGGGGCGAGAAATGGCATCTAATCAAGGTATGTAGAACACGATGACCCCTGAAAGTTACGAGGGAGTTGTCATTGGGGTCTTTGTACCAGTCATCCTCGTCGTATGATCCCCAGCGATAGTCGAAGCGGGGTTCATTGGTTCGCCTGGATGGTCCGAGAGAAGTAAAGTCACTGGGAGACATGACCATACGGAGATCCCATAACTTCATACTTTGCTCTTTACCGTTACTTAGAATGTAGCCTGCAGCTTAATCAGTGTGTATACTCAAAATGGCATTTTGGTACCTCTCACGGCCGTCTCCCTTGCTGTCAATATATGTCAACCCTTCAATGTGGCCAACGAAAGCTCCCGCAGCTCGGCTATCACCCATGCTACGAGTATCCCAGACTTTGAGAGTCGTATCATCTGATCCAGAATACAGAATGTGAGGCGAGGACTTGTCGGCGAAGCAGACAGCGTTGACATCATCGTCATGTCCGTTGATTTTCTGGGTCGTGCGGCGAGACTCAATATCGTACACCACGATTGCTCCACCAGAAGCACCAGCCACCAATTCTCGGCCATCCCCAGAGAAACGGATGGACCAGATACCAAAGGAGCCTCCAAATCTTGCATGGTACATGTCTGAGTGCTGTCTCCCCGTATCTGCAAGGTCCAATGAATAAGGATCACCTTGGTCATTTGGGTCCGTAGGTGCGAGACAGACGGTACTTCGAATAGACGTGTATGCGAGGTATTTGTTGTCGGGACTTAACGAAGCATCCGTGAGGGTCCATTGGCCAAAAGGATACTCGACAGTTTTGTAGTATCTCCATTTGTATGGGTTCGAGGTGTCATACATTCGGACTTTATAATCCTTATTTACGGAGTAAAAAAAGTTTCCATCGTCCGAAAACTGACCCGAGTAAACAGGCTGGTTGTAGTGGATGACCATGTCCGGATTTGAAGCTGGTATCATGCCCTGGAAGCTCATTAGTCATGGTTTTGAAATGGACGCTTGATCTTTACTTGAGCCATCAGCCTCTGGTTGAGCCTTTGCTTCGCATGGCTGTCGGTTGCCAGCTCTCTATCCAGTATGCGTCTAGCAAGCTTCCTTTTCTTTCCAATACTGCCCCTCTCACTCAAATTAACCGATTCTTCTTCGTTGGAACCAAAGGTTCCGGAGTTCATAAGCTCGGTTCCCTCATCACTTGGGACTTTCGGGAATCGAGTGGGGTCTGCCGGTGGCCTCCTTCTCCTGCGCCTCCACATAGGACCATAATCTCCAGCGTCATCGTCGATATCAAATTCCTCGTCATCCTGTGCAAAGCGGAACAAGCGCCCCAGCTCCGAGGTTGCCAGCAACCGGATCACCTGTCTTCGTTGTCGAGCGGCTGCGATTCGGAATATAAGCAAGACCGTCAGGATAAATGTTAAGATGTAGGGCGGCTCACTGCGTTCGGCCTCGGATTGCGTTGCATCCTGGTCGTCGTCTTCTTCTTCGATTTCGACTTGTAGCTCACCATACGGTCCATCTAAAGGAGGGGCGATTTAGCTTCGGCGGACTGAGGGGAAGCAGAGGTTTGGAAATACCTTCGTCTTCTTCTTCGTCCTCATCGTTATCATCATTGTCTTCCTCGTAGTCCTGGTGGGCACCTCGAAGTATTGCCTCGAGATATTCGGGATCGTTAATGTCTACACTTGCATCGTCAGATGTAGCTTCGTAATCCATGTTCTCGCTCTCGGAAGCCGTCGTGACATCACCCGGCGGCGAAGCTCCGTCTGCTGGTCTTGAGCTGGAAGAAGCTCCTACTCCCAGGATATCCTGCAAAGACCTGCCATAAGGGTCGGCCATATTGAGGGAAAGAGAGAGACCAGGCAAAACAGAAGATGCGATATAATAATGTTTGTTTGAGGAATAGGTGGATGTGGAGTTGGAGTTGATGCAGATGCACTAATCCGTCTCAAAGTAATGTAATCAATGATTTCTCCACTTACGATAAGCGGACTTAAGCTGATTTTCGGGCTTTACAAATGATGGTAGTACATATGTACACTGAATGTTTCTTGGCCGCTGTGTATACGGAGTACATAATAATGTGAGTTACTTACTATTCATTCTATTCATGCGGAATGCGAATCTACCAAAGCAATTCTATTACTGCCCCGACTTGGTTTTGAAAACTATCATCATCATCTAAATCATCATCATTACATTCTAATCGCACTTTGCCATTAGATCTACTCCGATCGTAACCATTTCCCAAACCCCCCATTTGAAGCTTCAAAATACTCTCATGGACAATTCCCTCCTCTCGACCCCAGTCAATTTTCCGAAGTTCTCCTCCTCTTTGGTCTTGACCTTTACGTATCTGTCAATCAATCCTGGACACAATGCATCCTTCAACTCCTCGGCCGCTTTCAAGCTATCAATTGCTGGCTTCAAGCTTGTTGGCATCTTATATAAGATCCCAAGATCCATCGCTTCATCGTCTTCAATACCTTTGAAGACCGCTCTCTTTGGGTCCTTGATGGTTAAGCTCTTCTCCTTTTCAAGTCCAATAATCCCAGCTGTCAAGATAGCTGTCATCGCCAGATACGGATTGGCAGTTGCATCTACACCTCGAAGTCCCCAATGGCCATCCTTGATTTTCCTGTGTGTTGCAGTTCTATTCTGCAGGCTCCAGAAAATTCGCTCCTCTGGCTTAAGCCGAAGGTTGCTGTCATAGTTGGGCATATAGAACGCTGCCAAAGCCCTCCAGTTTTCCAACAAACCTGCTAAGAAATTTTCATGTTTGTCCAGGCGTGACATCGACAGATGCATGTGAGATCCAACTCCGCTCAGCTTCTCAAAAGGGTTTGGATAGACCGTACCATGAAGACCGTGCTTGCGTGAGATATTCCTGATTGTTTCGTGGCAGTAAACCAGGGCATCCGCTGACTGAAGAGGGGCCATAGGCTCCGTCGAGATTTCAAACAAGCCAGGGCCTCCTTCAGAGTGGAATTGCCGGACTTCGATCCCGACATTTTGAATACACTCAACCATCTCTTCAACTATTGGGAGGTATTTGTTGTTGATACTCGCCGCCGAGTATGTATTTGCGACCATATCGATTGGTTTTGGCGTTCCACTGGATTCGTCAAATATAAAAAATTCAACTTCGTTGCCAACAAGGAAGTCCAAATCATGTTTCCCCTTCGCCGAGGAACACACTTCTTGAAGCCGAGAACGAGGACATCTGCGAAAGCCTTTCCCGTCTTTGTGTCCTCCTTCTTTGACAAAACACATGACCATTGCATGTTTTGGAGCATAGTGGCAGATTTTGAGACTTGACCAGTCAGCAAAGAGTTCATCTTGTCCTACTTCAAAGTCTTCAAACAGAAAAGAGTTGTCGAGTATTAACGCGGTTAGAATTGGTGACTGGATTGTTAACGATGACTCTTTTCGTCCCAGGGAGAGCGCAAAAGATTTTGTAGCGATACGAGCGCTCAGAAGGCCTGAATAGTCGATCCATTGATAACGAATATATTCAACGGAAGGGTTGCTAGCGAGGAAAGTTTCAAGAATCTTGACGTCTCCTGAATTACCTTCCTGTGGGGCGAATTCTCCCATTGTTGAGTAAAGGGTGGGATGGTGGTGGAGCAACAGCTTTTTCTATCAACGAAGTGGTCAGTCTAATAGTTCACAGGTACCTACGGATTTAAACACGAGATCGTTCTTTATAGAGATATATTCTAAGGTCTTAGTCACTAGTAAGATTGGTTGCTTGCGTGTGTACGACTGATAGATGGATTCCTGCTTATTCCTTACCTACCTACGTAACTCATAGAATACTGCCTGATTAGGCAGCAGCTTGGAATTCCACACCGCTGTTATTTTCCTCGCTGCAGTTGCATATACAATATACGAAGTAATTATTGCCTAGCTCAGCTCAGGTCTGGTGAAGACCTAGATGCTTGCCAGATACCGGTAGACAGACATACTAGACACCGCCTAGTCCCTCAAAACCTCACACCATATATTGCGATACTTTTTAGATTGGAAGTAAAAGTAACATTGTTTCTGAATAATTTATCCGCAAAAGATGCACGGAAGCTCCAGAAATATTGCGAGGGTGCTAAATTGACAGGCCCATGACATAAGTTGCTTGGTGGTTGTAGACTGAAAATAGCCAAACAGTAGGAACAGCGAGAACTTGAGCATGATGCTGGTAGGATTATTGAGCTTGCAGCGGTACATCGAGACGGTATAAAATTCAGCTAGGCTAGGCCATGTCAGTCTTGCATATACTGTGAAGAAGTGGCTAAGAAAGACTGGAAGCACTCCTACGAACCAAATGCGCTAGGCCTTGCTAGCAATTGGTGGAAGTGGGCTCTTAACATCTCCACTCGGAGAAGCTCTTCTTCTGGGGTACTGAAATCTAGTCAGTTCAATGATGTTCAACAAGATCCATTGTTCTGAATCGGATCGGCAGGTGTATTCTTGGCGATTCCAAGACAGGCGAAATTTTGTATTCTCCCAATACATAAACACTGTTATGCTTCCAAAGCCGCTGCAGAACCAGCCCAATATAATACATTTTGCAGCCCATGTTCTCAGAAACGCCCTGTCATAAGAGGAGCATGGCTGAATGTCTACCTCCCATCACCCGGCCCCTCTCAAACAACTCAACGAGCCAACTTCCCGCGCACCAATTCCAGAAATTATGCGCCTCCCACCAGAATATTGTTTACCGGAATGTGTACTGAAAATCTTGTAAGCTACTAGAACAAAGCGAAAGGGCGAGGATGGAAAAAGGGCAGGAACGCCTTACTGAGCTTGATGATAAAGCCAACTGCTCCCATTACAAGGAAGCCAATACCCACTGCCTGAGAGATTTTGATGAATTCGCGTCTATCGGCTACAGAAAAGAAAGTTAGCTATGGTGCTCAGACTAGACGTTGCGTACTCAGCGCGAAGGGCGCAGATAGGGCAAGGAATGCGCAGAATAGGAGGCTTTCGTACGTTTCGTGCAACGGTTGACAAATTGTCTTCCTTCCGTGAAAAAGTCTTTGGGGATGTCCAGGAATTCTTGGATTTGGTCGGACATGTTTGTGATTCTGGTGTTGAAATTGAGAGGAGTTTGGAAAGGAGGGACTGAGTGGAATTGTGTCTCGTCGTTCGTGCACACGGCAGTGAAAGCGTAAAGGCCGGGTTGAATTATTCGAAGGTAATTAGGAGGCAGACGGCGGACGGTGCAAGAACGTGAAGTGGTCTCAAGGTCAAAGGAGAGGCTAATAGAAGTAGAAGGCCCCGAAATAATTTGGGCGAAGATGCCACATCGCCAATCACATGATGGGGTGCCTACCTAGTTGGTCTTAATGGTCTCCTGAATGAGTATTTACGCTAAGCCTAACTTGCCTTGCGTACAAGCATAGTAATACGAGTAAGGCTTCAATCATCAAGCTGGTCCTCTTCCTATTAACAGCAACACCATCCTCGACGCGACGGCATTGAAGAGCGAGGAACCTAGGATTTCTGGGAATTGGGGGCCGGCTTTTCTGCAACCATCATAGCAGTTCGTTCACAGCTCCAATACACTCCAATACAAGTAAATCTCGACATTCGCCCGTTTTCGCCATTTCGCGACAAGGCAAGGCTTGGAGGGAAAGGAAAGCTTGCTTGCAAAGGGAGGAGCAGCAGCTGGCATTAGTCTTCTTACCACTCCCTACTCTTGCTACTCTACTCTACCCTACTCTACCTTAAACCTGCCCTTGTACTTGTCAAAGGGCGGAACTGTTGTACTTCCACTTCCAATCTGCCGCAATTGGCTCTTCACGTTTCCCTGCATCGAGCACCGGTGTTTCCCCAAGATTGCAAGCACAGAGCTTCATCTTCAATTTCTCCGTTGTGTCTGCATCTGCCACAGAAGGCTATCAGACTTCAGAATTTGGCCTCGGTTTATGAAGCGCAATCTTGACAGCTGAAGGAGTACGTATTTTGTATTCTGCCCTATGTATCTCAGATCTATACCGCGCCTGCGTGTGCAGATATCGGGCGCCGGGCTTGATGAGGATTTTCACGCGCTGATCTTGTTCTCATATTCTTACAGAAACCTTTTACTGTTGCTCAATCTCATTTCAAAGTGTATTAAGGCAATAGATCTCTTCAATCCGAGGATATTTTTCAAACTAAAAAAAGGAACTTCGTGTTCTTGGCAGACAAAATGCCCGATACCGACGAATTCGACATCGACATCTATGGTGATGCCAATACTGAGCAGGAAGGCTCGTTCAAAAAGGACGAAGAAGGTGATGTGAAGATTGACGGTGTTGAGTCTACCAATGGACATATTGAGGAGACGAACGGGTTAAAACACGAAGAGGCGCAAGATGATGAATATATCGATATCAAAGTTGCCAACGACGAGGATAGTAAAATGAATGAGCAGCAGAAGATTAAGAGCACAGACGAATCCGGAGCAGGCGCTCTTAGCATCCCTAAGCAAGCCCCCCAACAACAAGGTGTAAAGCGCAAGGAGGGATCTGATGACCGGCCCATAGATCCACTGGCCACAACAGCTCTGCTAATATCAGAACTCCACTGGTGGAATACCGATGATGACATTCGTGGCTGGGTCAATCAGGCTCAGGTCGAGGACGAATTGAAAGACATCACCTTCTCTGAGCACAAAGTCAACGGGAAAAGCAAAGGGTACGGACAATTGATACGGCTCTGATGCAATGACTTGCTAACGTGCTTGTAGCCAAGCTTATGTCGAGTTCACTTCCCAACAAGCAGCTACCGCTGCGAAGCATAAAATTGATGCTTTTGGTGAGGGGCAACAGTATTCAAAGAAGCAAACAGTGGTTTATTCGAATCCGAACAATAACTTATTCCGAACCTTGCCGAAAGATGCCCCAATGCGCGCTGGCAAAGACAGCCAGACCAATCGGGCTCCATCTGGAGGGTACAACAATGACAGAGGTAATCAAAATGGCAACTTTGGTGGCAACTTCCGTGGACGAACGCCTGGTTACAATTCTCGAGGGGGCGGCAGTATGAATAATATGAACGGCAACAACTTCAATCGCAACTTTTCGGGTCCAGCTATGGGTAATATGGGTGGTGGCGGTTTCAACTCTGCCATGGGAGGCTTCCAAGGAAACTCCATGGGTAATCAATTTGGAGGCTTTAACAACCGTGGTGGCATGATGGGAGGTATGCGAGGAGGGCCTAATGGTATGCGAGGTGGCAGAGGTGGTATGGGCAACGGTATGATGGGAGGTATGCCTATGGGTGGAATGCCGATGGGCGGTATGCCTGGAGGCATGGGTGCAATGCCAATGAACATGGGACAGATGGGTGGAGGTATGCCAGGTATGATTATATCCCATACTTTACCCCAGGAGTTTGGTCTGTGTGCGGGACCAAGGTCAAACCCGAGTGGGGAGCAACCTTTGAATAGTCCTGTCTTATGGAATGATTGACAACACTTTACACAAGGACGTGAAGCTGACTAGTCTGCAAATAGGTGGAGGTGGTTTCAACGGCATGCAGCCGCACTTCAACCCAGCATTTTTCCCACAGAATCAGGCTGCTGGAGGTGACTGGCAAAATCCCCACGGAGCCAAACGCCCACGACCTGAGTGAGGGTTCTTGGGCATATCATTGCGCTTCCTACGTATGATATCTTCTAAGTAGTTCAAGCATGGATTTTAAGTTGAGGTGAATCTTCAAAGCATTGGGTGGGACGAACCTGGGGGCGTTGGGTTGCTAACTAGGGATTGAAATGGCCAAAATGATGCCTTTATACTTGTAGCTCTGCCGATTAATGTACAATATATGGCGTTTGAGGGTCAAAGCCTTGTCAGTTCTTTCTGAATATTACATTTTCCTACGTCCTTCCGTTGCATTCAGAGTTTGGCCTAGCGTTTGTAGAAGAAGTCAAGGAGGCACTTGCCAAATATGGCGACCTGTATACCTGCTTCTCTCGATGTTCCTACCAGAGATCTTCCACATCACCATCGAGATATTAAGGCAACTTTTGTTTAGCATAGCATACATCTTAAGTAGGCATCGATAAGCTTGGCTCTACGAGACTGCTCATCCGAGCGAAGGCTCTGACGCGATGGCATCCCCAAGATTGTCTCACAGAGATTCAAAAACTATGGGACAATGGCTGCAGTCATCCACATCCACATCCACATACAATGGGGCGGCATGGTATGGAATGTTTGCCGTCGCCAGCTCTTTGTTACTTGTGTCTGCTTTACTGGCAGGTCTCACCCTGGCGATCTGCGGCCTTGATCCCACATGGTTGCACCTAAGGAGCGTTACTGGAACGGCAAAAGAAAGGTATGCTTGCTGTCTTGCGCTTCTTGCATTCATCGCATAACCATATCGTAGGAAACGGGCGACCAGGATCAAGGAAATGAAGCAAAATGGAACTTGGCTGTTGTGTAAGGACCCTTGCGTTACCATGAATATAATGTTTGTAGCTGACCTGGGAAAACTAGGCTCTTTGATTATATGCTCTGTAGCTTCCGGCGAATCCCTCCCTATTGTTATCGAGGGTCTTTGCCCTAGCAGCAATCCATTAATACCAATCCTCATATCCACCATTTCGATGGGCATCTTTGCGGAAATCCTTCCACAATACATTGTCCCTCGACACGCAATCGCCTGGGGTTACTACTGCTGGCCTCTCATGACAGTATGCATGTGGCTCACGGCAATTATCAGCTATCCTCTCGCCTTACTACTCGACTACGTCTTTGGTGCCCATAAAGACTTATACGGGGATCTTACGAACGACCAATTGGCTACCCTCGTTCAATCTCAGGAGAGGTCGGAAAATAATCCTGATGGTAGACTGGGTACTCATGCCACCCGTAAGTAACCCATGCCGAGGAATGCCTCCCACTTAGCACAGCTCAGGAGTAGTTCACTCTGGAAATGTCTCATGGGTCGAATGCTCCCGAAATATTGTCACAATCACCTCTCAAAGATTACCATTCCCGGCAATACTAACTCCAATATCTTGACTATAGGTGTAGTACTAGGTGCATTGAAACTTGATGGGCATCGAATCGATCGCGTTGTTCCTGATGTTCCAAAACAAGTTTCCGATGGTGACGAGAAGGACGTCGAAAAAGCCGAATTCTCGGTTCTTCAGGGGATGATAGTCAAATGGTGTGCTGTCAAAACAATTGACATCAACGAAGCGATCAATCAGGAGTTCATCGACAAAATCAAAAGCTGGTCTTATAGTAGAATCCCTGTCATCGGAAAGAGCGAAAAGAAGGCAGCTGAGTCTGAGATTTGGGATGGGACTCGGATTTTCGGCTTTCTACACACCAAGGTAAGTGTTTGCTCTCACACTTGTGCACCCGTTCTTTATTGCTATGCACAAGTCTAAGGTGCCCACCATACCCTACCTACTCTTCTTCCCACTCAAAGGATCCTCGTCGGCTTCAAAGAATCGAAGAAGAATGACACCATTGATATTCGCCGAGGTCCAGAAGAAAAAGTACTTTGCTAAGGACACCCTGCAGAACCTAGTTGGCATCGATTTGAAAAACTCCCAAGCGGGTGGCATGGTTTTGCATGTCAAAGACTTGCCGCTGTATCCAATACCAATCGTACGAGATAGTATGTCCGTATATGAGCTTTTAGACTTGTTCCAGCTTGGAATGTCAAGGTAATCCAGCGTCCACAGGTTCTATGACAAACCCTAACAGCCTGCAGAATCGCCGTCGTCGTGGCACACAACCCAACTACGTATACTTCATCTGCGAATTATCTCAACGCCAAGCTCGACAACTCGCCCGCGGGCTCAGTACCAAGATGGACTGCTAAAACCACGGGCGAACCTCAACCCACGTTGCGAATTGGTAACAGTGGGGACTGGGCTACGGATACTCTTGAGGCCGCTAAAGCAAACATAGAAGATTGCGACGATAAAGTTCTTGGCATTAGGTCTCCTAAGCCTATTGGCATTATTACCTTTGAAGATGTCATTGATACAATTCTTCAGAAAACTAGCCGGGACGAGAAAGATTACTTTGACCGTGGTTCTCAGTTGCCGCTGACCAAGACCAAGAAATTGGGCGATGGCGCTCCGAATTTGCCTTTGGTCCAGCCACAAGACGTCTACTCGCCAAAGTCTAAGCATGTAAAGAATAAATTACGAAAAGCGCCGAACCATAATGTCAAAAGCATCCCTGCTGACGGAGCTCCGAGCTCCGTGCGAAGGCGTAATGTTTCTAGGAATGCGCAGGTAGCTGCTGTGGATGGGGCCAACGATGACCATAGCTCTTACACGCAGAACAGTCGAGGTGGCTTCCACGAATCTGGTTCATCTTGTGAAAATGGTAGAGTGTTGATGCCGAACGCTGTCGCGCAGCTACGCAGTCGCTCCTCATCCATCGTTGAAAGCCCGCATGTAGATGTCAACGCTGGAACTTACAGCCTGCCTTCTCGCAAAGTCGACTCGACCTTCACATTAGTTGGCCTGACGCCAATATTGAGACGTGTTAGTGCTGCGCCGAGGCTCCCCAATAGCCTTCGCCGAGTAACTCCTTTCTCAAGACACAATTATTCTAGCTACGAAAGAATGGTGGACACTGCAGAGGAGAATAGAGGCCCAATGATTTTCACGTCACCAAAAGTAGCAGCTCAGAACCCGCTTACAGATCTAATCAAAGTCATGAGATCGGACTGCGTCGGTGATGCCCCTTGCCTTGATGCCGACAATGCTAGCAGCATCTTAAAAGCTGCCCATGACAGCCAATGGGCAAGTATGGGCGACACTACATCCTTAAATTACTGGTACGGTGAAGAAACCAGCGGTCGTCGTGGCGAACCCCCAAAGGCAGAAGCCAGTACTCAGGGCGAGAGGCTATTTCCAAGCGGTGGCGAAGAAGACAGAGCCTCCAGATCCTCGTATGACGGCTTCCCACCAGAGCTACTTGACTTGGAGTATGACAAAGAGAACCGTCTGCCGAACTACGCTTCAAAGACTCTTCCGCGCATGCAAGGTCTCGTAAATCCAGGAAGTGAAGATGGTCAGCCACCCAGCAGAGAAAAGAGCTTCCATGATGATAGGGCCTTACTTCCCAGTCAGCGCAGGGCTCTCGACAGCAGCGCTACGAATGTTGGGGGAGCACGGAGCTCAAGTCTGTGGTTCTAACGGCTGTTGATCAGGCGCGCTCCTGTCGCCTTTCTCAAAACCATTAGCCCGTCAAAAAGACAGTAGAGCGTTGAAAGTTTGTAGACTCCATTGATCATGCAGTTGAACTGGAATTGCACATGCTTTTGTGGCCGAATGGGGATGAAAGAAATGGATCGGATCAAAAACCTACGAAGTTTTCTCATTATACAACAGGGTCCACGTGGTGACCTAGACACACATACACTAACTTGGATGGTTTTTGCTTTCATTATCAAGCTGCGGAGCTTTCATTGCGTATTCTATTAATAGTGACCTGCAAAAGCAGGCGGATTTGCTCCCAACGCTCGCTCAAGGTCTCTTGACCAGCAAGCTCAGAATCAATTTTCGATACCTTTAGAAGCATCTCTGAAACGTGACTATTAAACTCCAACAGCACCTTGATCACCAATTGATCCACAGTCGCCTGGATCGCCTCCCCATCATCTGATCCATCGATACTCCTATGCCATTTCTTCGGCGAAAGACATAGAATTCTCAACGCTACTTCTGTTCGATAGCAGACACCATTTATGTCCAGGACATATTTCCCCAGAAAGCCAGCCGCTTCCAAGTCATCCTTTTGTTTGTTGGATAAGAGTGGCAGGATGAATTGGTCAAGCGAGACCTGGTCCGAAGCGTTTTCGGGGAAGATGAATCCATACTCGGCAAGCAGGAAGTCGTTGCTGTGCATTCCGTAGCTGATATTGATTTCAGATCCCCTTTCAATAGGGGTGCAGGTGCTGATTTGATAGGCATTGGCATTGAACGAGACATTGCACCCATTAGAGGAGTGATTAAAGTAATCTGCGAAGGGGTTAAGGGCCTAGGGGATAGGTGTCAGGATTCTGTCTATTACAGCACGTGGCATATAAGATATCATAATGTTTCCGCCTCAGGTGAGCGATTACAGGGCACGGGAGTGAGTCGCCGGCATCTCTGTCCCAGGAAAGCGTTGTGTGATGTTGTCTAGAAGTACTAGAATCCGGGGGTTTTTTGATGTCCCGAAATTGCTCATTTGAAATGGAACATTATGATATCCCATATGCCAATCGACTTGGTAGTTGGAGAAGGGGCTGTACTGACCATGCAATCATCAGGAGTAGGTTGTATCTTCGTTTTTTTCGGATCAAGGAAGTAAAACGTCCTTGTGTTGACTACCAGCCAATTGTACAGATACTTCTCGTATTCCATTTCTGGGAAAGCCTTTGAAACAGCTACCCAGTCCAAGGACAACTTTTTCTTTTGGTTCTTTAGGAGAGCTTGAGATGCTTCCGGGAGGAGACGCTGTAATTCCGTATTCCATAATAAAGGCAATGATTCTGTGAAGTCCTCTTGAGTCGGGAGAACTTTCTGCCACTAGATCACGGGGAAGTTAATTATTTCCTATTCAAGAAGGTTTAGGGAGTAGAAGGAGCTTATGTTTCCAGTTTGGGGAATCTATAGGATGATGTAGAGCACATGAGACGAAATATGATAGAAGGGGGTAGGGTAATATCAAAGAGCCATTTTTCCTTACACAAGCATATGTAGGTGTGGTATCGAGAGAAAGTTCTGCAGCTAAAAGGCCATGTACGGTAATGGCTCCAATTTTGCTCGAGATATACTTCGGGACCGTGTGTACGGTTCTGAGAGCAGCAAGGGGAACTTTGACAATTGTTTCTCCCACCTGTCACGGGTTTTAGCAACCATCCAATAAAAATATCATTTGCTGTAGCGAGTAAGAAGAGTAACGAATAGAACATTGCAAACTTTAGGCCAGACTTCTCAACTGAGATTTCACACGCTATGATTGGACAAATAATATTACAATATTGTATATCCCAACTGATAGTATTTCAAAAGAGGTACTAATGATCTTGGTCTGAGTAACTGGTATTCATAGAAATCGAAATTAGGCTAGCAATAAACTAATGCTCCTGAAATAGATACTTTAGTTGCAACGTAAAATTCGAGCTGGAAACCGTATGAAAAGAATAACCCCAAAGTCCTCACGAGGGCGACAGATAGACAGAACTTTGTCATACCTTGAGGTTTTTCTCTGCTACTATCCCAAGTCCCTTGCCAGGAAATCTGTGTGGTGCAACGCCATTGATCTCAACGTTTTGAGTGAGCGCCCATTGCGTAAATTGCCGGTGGGCGTTCATGTCCTATGTTTAACGGACAACGTGTAATAGGAAGGAACAGGTGGTATTTAAACGAGGGTGCGTGCGTTATGGAAGGGACCGGACCGTTGTCAGATCGGATATATCGAGGTTGTCAAGCAGGAGGTTGAAGGATGAAAGTGGTTACAAGTACTTACTGCGCTAGCAATCATGTTCAATTATTGGAATGCTGGAAAACAAAAAACAAAAAACAAAAAACATTATTATTACCTACCTATGATTGCAATGGACGCCAAAAGCGGAAACGTTCCGCTTGCATCCGAGCTCTCTGCTCTGAGTAGTATTGTACGACTTCTAAGCTGATTCCTCCAGATGCAAGCAGGAAGGACTTTCTACTTTACAAACACCCCAATTGATGCATCTATCTAAAGTACCACAGAAATCAGAAATGGCCCTTTTCTTGCGACAGTCGCCATTGAGGACCCGTCTTCCCGCCGAATTGCTCACAGCCTGCACAATCTGTCTGAACTCTCGAAGCTTTGGCGTCCTCAATCGACCTCCTCCCAACTACGAAGGGCATGTTCCTCTTACAAGGGTGGAGAGAGCTGGGCTCGCTGTAGGCTCTGCAGTCATGTCTTGGCTCAATCCCCGGCGAGGAGGTATTCTGCACTTCAAGAACCCCTCATTTCTTCGCTGACCATATCTGCAGACCTGATAGCAGCACTCGGAGAAGCAACTGCCACACCATACTTCATCTACCGCCTGCGTGACGCAATGCTAGCCTCACCAACAGGCCGACGTATCCTTCATGACCGTCCGCGCATCTCCTCTAAGACCCTGTCCATGGATTACCTGCGCGGGCTACCCGCCAATACCGTAGGGCGGGCATATGCAGATTGGTTAGATCGCGAAGGAGTCTCACCTGATACCCGGAACAGTGTCAAATATATCGATGACGAGGAGTGTGCGTATGTGATGCAGAGGTATCGGGAATGCCATGACTTCTATCATGCTTTGACGGGACTTCCAGTCATGGTTGAGGGGGAGGTTGCCTTGAAGGCTTTCGAATTCGCCAATACCCTTCTTCCAATGACAGGCTTAAGTATGTTTGCTGTGACCAGGCTGAAGCCAGCGGAAAGGCAGAGATTCTTTACTATCTACCTTCCTTGGGCGATTAGTAATGGACTGAGGAGCAAAGACGTTATAAATGTTTACTGGGAGGAACAGCTGGAAAGGGACGTCGAGGAATTAAGGAACGAGTTGTGTATCGAGAAGCCAGTTGATCTGAGGGATATCAGGAAGAAAGACCGCGCCAGGAGAAAGGCAGAGAAGGAGGCGAAGGAACGATCTAGTGACAGCCTGGGTATCAATTGAGATGCTTTTTAAGGGAGATATCATAGAGCTGCACGCCACAGAAAGACTCCAAATTCCACTTCACAAACCCAACGAAATGAGGGTCTTTTGCTTATTTTCCCCTCCTAAACGCCTTTATGCAGTGCTTATAGGTCAAGCAAGTCATCGTCGTCGTCATCCCATCCACCCTTCCTCCTACTAACTACAATCTTCTCCTCTTCTTTCTTCTCCGCCACTGCGTTCAGCAACTCCTTCAACTGCTCTTCGGTGACCTTCGCTCGCAGCTGCCCCGACCTTGCCAGCGTAATTAACCTGTTCTCCACGTCTGCGGCCCTTGATTCTTTAACCATTTTTATGCGTCCTAACCGATCTGCTGCTTCTGGCTCGAGAATTTGGCTCAAGATCGATTGACGTGCTTCGGCTGGGCAAAAGTCAGATTTCGTGCTTCGCGATTAGGGAATAGGCTTGCCTTCTTGTTGCCTTGGATATTGTCAGTACGAATTTCTTGAATGAGAGTATCCAGGTGATTTACTGTCTGTCATCCTGTCCGCCGCCGCTGCTTCCCGCCCCACCACCTCCTCCTCCTCCACCTTGGGACTTGAGCTGCTCGAGTCGAGCCTTCCTGATCTAACGTGCTCTCGTTAGCTCACATCCTTTTGTTAGACGCATGCATGCATACCTGTGCTAAATCGTCGTCTTCCATGATTTACGTGTTGTGTGTTGCTAAGTAATCGCAATCACGCAAACGGCTTCGTGAAAGTCTGGTGATGAGGGGCAGCCTTGTCATACAGTAAGTTGTAAGATCAGCGCTTTTCGCGCTAGTGAGACGTGCATCAACCCTTCTTTGCATCTTCCAGCGCAATTTTACACCACGACTGCAATAGTAGAATTAAACCAAAGACAGCTCTAAGATCATCTTAATTAAGGATTTATTTCTGGTCTTAGATGCTATGTCTCTTAACGCAATAAACCTCACCAAAACAACGGAAGATTCCCTTGAGATCAGTGTTGGAAAAGTGATAGGACTATTATTATATAAAGTTGACTTTGTGTAATCACATATAAAAGTCTTTTTCTACAACCCTCACCACACATGGCTGGGTGGAAGCGGCAGACCTGCTCTAGCTTACCTCGTGAGACCCATCATGTCCAGACCAAACGGACTCGAGACCGTCCAGTCTATATACGATAACCATGCTTCTATCTCCGACCAAGAAGCACGCTTTCATCTCCGCCAAGCAGCAGACTACCTAGAATGGATGTCTCTCGAGCCTGGTGGCAATATCCTAGACCTAGTACTAGAGCCATTGCCGTTCTAGCAAAACAAGCCGTAGGTCCCTCTGGAACCATGGTAGGTGTTGATATAGTGGTATCAGTCTTTCCATACCAAGGCCGAAATCTGAAAAACCTCGGGGGAAAGAGTCATATTTAATTCGCCGACGAGCGATAGCATGATCCCAGCAACGGTACCCGACTGGGTTGCGCAGGAGCTAATACTTCGTACAACCGGACTATGTTCTTTTCTATTGTATCGGTAGAGAAGCTACTCACTGATGTGGGGCGCGATACAGGGGCTTTTTAGGACTGAAAATTACGAAATATGCGAGAGCTGAACGTTGGGATTAAGGACAGATGTTTGATGATATGGTGACTGAGAAGGAAGAGCTTGAAGGGAAGTACAAGTAATTGATTCTGGGTTCCGAAAGGGTAGCTTCGAGGGAGGTCTATTGTAGAGACGAGGGATCTCGAAGATAGAACAGTTACGAATTATTTGAGATTCCATGTGAGTGTAAGAAAGAAGTCGTTAAGGGTGAAATGTGTCAAATACAGTAGAAGGCAAATACAAATTGGAGAGAATCAAAGGTATAGTAATGAAAGAGCGGTATTCTCTCTTGATTGAAAGCTAGTTTACACTTTGTTCTCCCCAGTAATGCAACCCTCTTGCTATGCGCTTCAGAATGGAGTAGGACGATTCTAGTATTGGCTGGCAGCGCTCTGGCAAGCTTTCTAGACTGGAAGTTAGAATTTCTCCATGTAAACTTTGAAAGATAACATACCAACTGCTCCAAGTACCAACTGCATGTCTGCAAGTCACCCTGGTTCTCATTCATGCACTTTGTGAACTGCTGTGCGTCCACGTCGCAGCTTTTTGTACCCCAATTGTTCTGAGCTGCCTGCCCGTTTTGAGAAGCCACGGCACCGTTGTCTGCTGGTTGTTCAGCTGGCTGGCTTGACCCTCCACCAAAGAAACCTCCGATTGCGTGGCCAATTGAGGATCCGACGGCAACACCTCTGGCATTTTGTTAGGGATATCCGATGGTGTGAGATTGTACATGGTTATACTTACGCTGCAGTGCTAGCCATCTGACCGAAAAGACCTGGACCAGCGGAGCCCTGTTGCGCCGCGGGAGGAGGAGCCTGTTGCTGTGGTGGATGGGCTGCGGTGGTCGCAGGGCGAGTCTGTTGCTGAGGAGGCGCTGCTGGTCTTTTGGGGGCGACGGTTGGGCGAGAAGGAGCTCGGCCACCTCCTGATCTTCCTTGACGAGCCATACTGAATAGTGTGAGTTTAACGGTCGGGTTTAGTGAGATTGGATGGTTCTGGAGAGTGTTGTTGTAGAAGATTGCTTAAAGTTGAAGATGTACTCGAGGAGAGGAATAGGTACGGTGGGTCAACAAGGAAGCTCCTCTCGGCACTAGCGGGCGACTTTTTACCGGATGGTGGGAATAACATCCCATCCCGAGGCAAGACAATGGAATGGCCCTCCCCCTTCACTTCTCTTTTCACTCAGTCCTAGTCTTATCACAAACTAATAGGAGTATTTCAGGTATGAAAGTGAGAACAAGTGTAGTTTTCATATGTGGGTTTAATGTTTGTTACTGATTCCTGTAACCAATGTCAAGCCCAAGCAGCTATGTTCAGAGAAAGCAAACCTGTCGTCTCGAAATCCTCAACATCCTTGGTTCAACGCCAATGCTGAATATGCTCAGGAGAATCACTCCTAAAAGCATTACTGTCCCAAACGCCATGCCGCCAAGTATACCCAAATCGTCAAGTCATGTGCTTTGTGCTAATCACTCCCCTTTATCTCTCTTGGTCCTATTTTCCTTGCTTTTCTTCCTTTCCTTCTTCGTGTCCTTCTTCTTGGGCTTCCCAGTAGAAGTAGATCCATCATCTGCCGTAAGTGAGTCCTGGCCCTTACTCACCTTGCGCTTCTTCCTCGATCTGCTTTTCCGAGGAACAGGAGCTTGATTGACCCTTTCCGCAGAGGAATCCGAGTCTGAATCGGATGATTCTTCAGCAGCCTCTCCTTCCTCATTCTTTCCCTCTATCCCATCAGACTTTCGCTTTTGCGCGTTCTGTCTCTCTTCGATCTGTTTGTTCAATTCGTCGAACTTGATATGGGCTCTAACTTTTTCTTTGGCCTTTAGCTCTGCTGCTAACAGGGCGTATTTTTTGGAAGCTGCCTGTGGGACGTCAGCACATGTACAATAAGAGCAAAACACCAAATGACAGGACGTGTGATGAGAATTCAAGCTTGAGCCCAAAGAAGGTTGGAGATTCACAGAAAGCAGAGATGAAACAAAAACACACCAAGTCCGGCTCCAGGAACCTTCTTGCAACTGCCTTATCAATAGTCACCGTTCTCGTAGTAGAGGGGGGCGTTTCAGTCATCTTGATTTTATCAAAGTACTGCTTGACTCTGGTGAGCTCGGTAAAGACAGGATGTTCGCGCGCCTTGATGCCATGAAGTCGTAGATATGCTAGCATGCATGCCAGTTAGAAAAGCAAATGAAGTAGATGGGTGGAACGTACAGAACAGTAGAGACTCGATGGCGTAGGTGACGAGGGTATAGAGCTTGGCTTTGTCTAGCAAGGGGAGCTTGGAAGATGTTTCTGCCAGAGCGCCTTGAGCAGCGGGGCGAGAGCTTCTTCCAGATCATCGACCTCATCATCCAACTGGTCGAGAAGCGACAAGACCTTTGAGGAGTCCATTATGGCGATATTGATCTGCTGCAAGACAATTAATGGCCTTGTGCTGTCTTGCAGTTGTCTTTGGAATAAACTGAACTGAAGCTTCCAAGTCGTTCCGTGCCTTGCAGCCCTTGCTTGAACTTTTTTTTGACGATGCGGCCGCTGGGCTGAGACGCGTGCAGGGATGTTGACTTTGTGCATTGTACAAGGATCATCGAAGCTTTTTATTTCTGTCCGTCCCGTCCGCCGCCGTCTGAGGCCAAATCTCAACCCAACGACAATCTCTGAATTTGCAATTCGTTGACGTCTTGCATTTTCCACAATCATCCTCACCCTCTTCTTTCACCCACCTCCCCTTTGGTGATCCTTGGGTTGCATCATCTCGGGATCTTTTGTATTATACGACGACCCGACCTTCACGAGCCACGCTTCAACACTTGACTACTCGCCTCCTTATCTGAACTTCACTTTACGACTTTTTCCTTGCCATCCTCCATGCTCACATAGACGCCCCTCGACCGGCGCACATTCTGAGTCGCCTGGACTACTGTGCCATGAATCGATTCCAATAACTACCGATAATCGTTCATCCTGTCTCTTCAAATTTGCGGCCGTCCGCTGTTGCGGGTGTTTCCTAGAATACCTCGTAACCTCCAATGGCCCTGCAATAACCTTTATGATGGCCGGGTGGCTATCGGATGCATGTCGACGCATCCTAGAACATATTGGTGGCCGCGGCTGAAATACCATGAGTGTGTCCGCGGCAATCTCAGACTTTGCAGCTCAAGGAGAAACCACACGGGACGACACAGGGAATATAACACCGGCGCTGTGGAGAGAAGAATATATGATGCGCCGCAAGACATGCCGTTTATAGATGGCTTTCCGGAACGTCTAATAAGAGAAGGCCTTCCTGAGCGTTTAAAAAGAGAAGGCACAAGAAAAAGAGAACTGGCCATTGATGACTTGTTAGGTTCATCTATGCAGGAAAATAGCGGTGGTAAGCCTTCGCAGGAGGAAGCTGAGGAGCACAACGATATTCCAGAAGACCAAACCGCGACTCCCGCAGATTCCTCTGGAGAGCTGGATATAAGTTCTATCTCGGATCCTGTCGTCGAAGAGTATTCAACACCAGCCGATCCCTCTACAGAGCTAGATACGTGTTCTGTTTCGAATCCTGTTATTGAAGAATATTCAGCCCCGGTCGATCCATCTACAGAGCTAGACATGTTTGCTATTCCGGATCCTGCTATTGAACTTGCAGCGACCCAGTCCGCTATTGAACAACGCCTCCAGCAGGAACATGAAATATCTACTACCATACATGTACTCGGTGCTACTCGTCATGGAAAATATATTGCCCACTCACTTGCCGGACTCCCACATGCGCCACCGGTCATTTTGTTGCTTCATACGCATGACCTTATGAGAAGATGGAACGAGGAGGGCGCTGCGGTTAGAGTCTTGCGACAAGGAAAGCTCACTGTCCAATCTGGAATTGAAGTTGAATTTTCAGGAGACTATGAGAGTAGTGGATTTCAAGGACATGTGCCAATACGACGGTACGACCAGAACGATAGTGCCATACACCATCTGGTTGTTACCACGGATGCGTTCGCCACTCTGCCGGCCCTAGCTGGGATCGTGCACCGCATTCGACCTTGGACATCCATCTGCTTCTTGCAGGATGGTATGGGTATCATCGATCAAATAAACTCCAACCTCTTCCCTGACCCCATGAGGAGACCTCATTATGCCCTTGGGAATATATCTCACAAATTGACCCCAACGGAGAAAACTTTTACTGTGATAGAGAGGGAGGCTGGGAAGACCTCTCTCAGTATCCTCATGCGGGCGACAAAGCGACAAGACCAGTTTCTAAGCGTTCCCCAGGACCAACCTTTAATTCGAAGACTGGATAACAGCTGGGGGCCTTTTCTCTACTTGTTGCGGACATTAACCAGATCTCCCGAACTCAAGGCGCATGCCCGGAATCGTCCCGATTTTCACATGGAACAGCTTGAGAATCTTGCCGTTAATGCCGTCTTGGGTCCATTGTCTGTGTTATACGATTGCCCCAATGATCAGCTTCTCAACAACTACAACGTAAAACGGACAATGCGACTTGTTTTGCAAGAAACATCTCTGATATTGCGGTCTCTTCCTGAGATCTCTCGTGTTGCTAGGATTGACTGTCGCTTCAGCGTCAAGAAACTCGAGCGAATCGTTTTCTCGACAATTAAGAACACTCGCGGGAACACAACCACAATGCTGCAGCTCGTCAAGGCTGGTAGAAGAACAGGTGTCGAGTTCTGGAACGGCTATTTAATCAGCCGGGCGAAGGAGTTGGACATGGCATGTCCGCATAATGAGATGCTTCTGGCTATGGTGCAGGCGAAACAGGCGGTTAGTAGTCGGAAAGATGAGTGGTTTATACCGGTTCGCGATGAATATTAAAGGATTTAGGACGTAGGAGGTTCTTGTCGGTGTATAACAATTAGATGGATGACAGGCGTCCATAGCTGTATAGTTACCTATAGAATCATGTAATTTTGAAACTTTTGAAAAATTAAGGCAAGCGTGTATATGCAGCAGCAAAGTTTGGTCGCTTTTACTAGAAGAATTGAGGTATACCTAGTACTGCTGGTACGAACCCTGGTGATGCAGGTATGATTTCGGGGGATAATTCGCCACTATGCTCTGCCCCGCGGTGGTTTGACCGATAGCGGCGGGCCCTTGGTTATATTTTTTGTGACTCGACTCCCTCCAAATACAATATTCAACACACTCTTCACGCTTAACGCACAACCCCATTTTCTCTTCTTTGGCTTTTGTTCAATTCAATTATCCCCCAATGCCTTCCCAATTCCCTTCCAAAAAGTGTGGTAAGTATGAAGATCAATTGACCTACCATTGAAGCCTTGACGCCGAAGGCTATTGACCCCGCCATACATTGATGAAGCTTGCTAACTGCTCCCAGGTGTTCTTGGTTGCACTGGTTCCGTGGGCCAGCGGTTCATATTACTTCTTGCACAGCATCCCCAATTTACTATCCATGCTCTAGGAGCCTCATCGCGGTCTGCGGGCAAGAAATATAAAGATGCTGTGAAATGGAAGCAAGCATCGCCGATGGGCAACCATGTGGCGGAACTGGTTGTCAAGGAGTGCAAAGCTAGCGAATTCGCGGATTGTGACATTGTGTTCAGTGGATTAGATGCGGAGGTCGCTGGTGATATCGGTAAGAACAGCTGCGGGGAGGAAGATATACAAATACTGACTCATTACAGAGATGGAGTTCCTCAAGGCTGAATTGGCCGTATTTTCGAACGCGAAAAACTATCGCAAAGATCCACTCGTCCCCCTCGTCGTACCTACGGTCAATCTATCTCACTTTGACGTCATACCCCACCAGCGGAAACAATATGGCCTGAAGAAGGGCTTCCTGGTTTGCAACTCGAATTGTGCTGTTATTGGAATTGTTATTCCCTTTGCTGCCATACAGAAGGAGTTTGGAGAAGTAGACCAAGTAAGCGTAGTTACGCTGCAGGCTGTTTCTGGTGCTGGGTATCCTGGAGTCAGCAGTATGGATATTCTGGATAATGTTGTTCCCTTCATATCAGGAGAGGAAGACAAGCTGGAGACCGAGGCGCAGAAGATTCTAGGAACGGTCAACAGCGAGGTCTCTGGGTTTCACAATCAGTCCGACTTGAAAATATCCGCGGCTTGCAATAGGGTGCCGGTCCTGGATGGCCATACTGCCTGTGTTTCTTTGAGATTCAAAAACAGGAACGGTCCTAAGCCTTCCGCAGAAGCTGTCAAGAAGGCTCTTAGCAGTTATGTGAGCGAAGCACAGACATTGGGATGTCCTTCAGCCCCGGAGCCTTCTATATTGGTGATGGAAGAACCTGATAGACCGCAGCCACGACTCGACAGGAATACTCAAAATGGGTATACTGTGAGCGTTGGGCGGGTGAGAGAGGATGAGAGTGGAATATTCGATTTAAAATTCGTTGCTTTGAGTCACAATAGTAAGTCTTCTTTTGAGCTCTGCATTACGGCAGTGCTAACTTGTAATAGCTGTTATTGGAGCTGCTGGATCTTCGATATTGAATGCGGAGGCTGCAGTACTCAAGGGGTATATTTAAACCACGACAATACCAGCCACCTTTAAAGTTCTTTTATAGATTCAACAAAGCCTTTCGTACAGGAATCTGGCTAGAGAAGATAAATAAAAGTCAAAATACCCACAAATATCATGATACGGTGCGTGTGAGGAGTAAAAGCTCAATCGAAGTTCCATTTCATTGTATGGGTGTTTGTATATACTGGTATCTTTTTGGAGAGCCTGTATAAACATCGTAATCAACAAAACGATGCAAGCCCCTCCTACACTTCTCCAATGTACAGGATTTAGAAAACTTCAGACAAGATAAGAGTTTCTTCAAAACTTCCATTGGTCCCGGAACCGGAAGTATCATTCCACGTGATTACGCTGGGTTGTCGCCTATATTACCCAAAGTTGACTAGCTCCAAGAAAGTGGAATCGCACTTTTCTATCTACAATCTTTCGCGAAACTTTGCAGCTTCAATCCCCTCAACACCAATTCTGCGTGCAGATTCCGAGCCAGCCTTTACAAGCAGGTAGAAAGAAGAAATCATGGGACGCGGACCGTATGTCTCCTCTTCCATTCTATTTCTCACTCCCCAGGTATCGCACGCAGCAAGTCAGCTTGGCAAATGGTTCACAAGAGTGCGATGTGTCGGTTTCCGCCCTCCCAAGAGCGTTTGACCTTGACCCTGGCATTCAGTACCTGCGATATCTTGTTCCCAGCCTCGTACATACTTGTCTATCTCTTGAGAACCTGCTAATCTCGATCTCTATACAGAAAGAAGCACCAAAAGCGCTTGAGCGCGCCATCGCATTGGCTTCTGGACAAATTGTCTGGTGCCTATGCTCCTCGTCCATCCCCCGGTCCTCACAAGCTTCGCGACTGCATGCCTCTCATTGTTTTCATCCGAAACCGTCTAAAGTATGCGCTCAACTCGCGCGAGACCAAGGCTATTGTCATGCAGCGCTTGATCAAGGTTGATGGCAAGGTCCGAACCGATGCCACCTACCCAGCAGGCTTCATGGACGTCATCAGCATCGAGAAGACCGGCGAGCACTTCCGTCTGGTGTACGACACCAAGGGCCGCTTCACCGTCCACCGAATCCAGGCTGAGGAGGCAGAATACAAGCTTGGCAAGGTCAAGAGAGTACAGTTGGGCAAAGGCGGAATCCCATTCTTGGTCACGCACGATGCACGAACGTAAGTTCTATCAGACATCATTCAGCCGTTGGTCCAAGCTTTGGTCGATCCATCTCAAAACGATTGATTGGAGCTGGATCAACGGTTACTATACAATTCCCCCAGAAATGCTGACGAATTTTGCGCTGTGTAGTATTCGTTACCCTGACCCAACCATCAAGGTCAACGACACCGTCAAGATTGATCTTGCCACCGGAAAGATTACCGACTTCATCAAGTTCGACACTGGTGTTATCGCCATGGCTACTGGTGGTCGTAACATGGGTCGTGTTGGTGTCATCACCCACCGAGAACGCCACGATGGTGGTTTCAACATCGTTCACATCAAGGATGCCATAGACAACTCTTTCGCTACTCGTGAGAACAACGTCTTCGTCATCGGTTCTGAGAAGCCATGGGTTTCACTGCCAAAGGGCAAAGGTGTCAAGCTGAGCATTGCGGAAGAGAGAGATCGCAGACGTGCCCATGCCATTGCAGGCCACTAGATGTTTACTTTTGCTTTGGGTCAAGATGGGTCATGGAATGGAGTATTGGACTTTGCTCAGGTTTTTGCAAAAGTCATGCAGATAGCGGCATAGTAAGCCAATACCATCAAATGTGACAATCCTCTTCGCCCCAATCGCAAGGGTTTCAGAAATTATTTTTGTCTCTGGGTAAGAGACATGCAATTCCTCTACCTGGGTGAGTGATGATTATAAAGTGACCCCCATGCAAATCCAAGTTCATATGGTAGTTGTGGAAGACGCGTTATATCCTTGCAGCAAAAACTACATAGTGCACTTTATAGGATATTTGCAAACACGAGGACAACTAAGAGGAGGGGGGGAGGGACATTCTTCCAATGACCTACTCGATCTGGGATAATGCGGTGCGTTCTACAGCGGTGGATTAGGTCAGATCAGGGCAATCACATTTCGGAATGTCGGGGCCTCACTGCAGGCTGCAGTAGTGAGCTTTCTGTGAGGTAAGAAAAGCAGCACTGGAGAAAAAATGACTCTACTATCGTGAGGGGAAAGAGACCTCGTGCGCTTTGATGGCGAGGAGAAGCTCGAAGGATGACTTGATTTCGGATTGCTTGGGCCAGAGGGGTTTACTCGGTAACACCGCTGGCTGCAGTGCTCACCTCTACATGTAAGGCTCAAAAGGGGCACGTCAAGGCTTGCAGGGTTTCCTGTGGCATTACCTTCAATGACTGGTGGAGGTGGCGTGGGGCAATATTGCTCGGCTGGTGAGGCATACAGTCTTTGTTCTTGTACGTATTAGTATCAGTATTACTAGTAGTATTAGAAAAGTTGGTGGCTTCAAACTGCATTGTCTTCTAAGAAACAAGTAGCAGTAAAGAGTGGGATGGATTTGTGACGATAGCACGACAGATCCACAACGCAGCATATATATAAACCATGGCTGAATTGCCACGATCCTTCAGCTACGTCGAAGAGTGAATGAGTGACATGGACATGCTCAAGTCCATATAGGTATTCCAATCCAAGCACCATTTTTATTGCAAAAAGCCAGCCTGTTGCAGTAGAACAACACGACTAAGTACACTTCGCCCGTATGAATAGGTACAGAGTACCATCAGCAGCAAGATAGCGAATCTATTCTCCGGGCAATATTCCACCCCTCTCCCAGCTACTAGCACAAGTTCATAGGTACCTGCCTAGTACCTGCCTAGGTGTCTCGAAGTAGGTACGTATTGCAGATTTCTTCCCTCTCATTTCCTAGGTATATAAAAGGCGACCGGCTGTTCCTCGTTAACTCTAACCTTTTCCCCATCAAATTCAATCTGAGAGTGCCTTTGCAAAAGCAAACTGATGCAAAGATTTTCCGCAAGGAGCACAAATCTGGTCTAACCTGATCTACAGTACCGTACCTACCTTGACCTAACCTTCCATAGTCCTTGCTGGCAATATGTCGGTCTGCAGACTCGGGTCGGCAAAAAACGCCGGCGCGCCGATGAGGGGTTGGGCTTCTAGAACACCAACGCCGCAAAACTCGGTATTCTTAAGACGCAGGTGGAACAGCTCAAGAACTTCAATTTCAACAGCTGCCGCGAAGGCCAAAGTTGTCTCTGGTACTGGCACAGGCAAAGGAGTTCGAGTAGGATGGAGTTCCTTTAATGTTGTAGCTGTGGTTGCCGCCACCGCTGTGCTTGTCCATGGATATGCCACGTTCCAGGCAAATTCCAAGGCGGCGAGGGAGAGAGACTACTCCAGTCCTGCAAAGTTTGTAAAGCCTAAATATGCAGATATTGGTGATATGGAAGCAGTAAGTGTTTCCAGAATTTAGCATGTTTATTGGTACAATGTAGTCCCGCGAAGTCTTCCAAAGACTAGAAATACCACTAACCTCTCCCACTTCTTGACCCTAGGGGAGGGCTTCGCCCATTGGCTTACTCCTCGATGCTTCTTCTCGTGGACCATTTTACCTACAAGTTTCAGTCACTAAATGATGCCCAGGCAATCAAAGAAATCCGCCAAGCAACAAGTGACGAAGATACCATATCCACAGATCCTGATGACCTCAAGGCCCACGGGTATTCAGAATGGTCCTCAACTAACGTAGATGGCCTCCCAGTAGCTGTAGCCTATCCAAAGACAACAGATGAGGTATCAAAAATTGCAAAGATCTGCTACAAATACCGAGTTCCAATCATCCCATTCTCCGGCGGAACAAGTCTCGAAGGAAACTTCTCAGCTCCTTATGGAGGCGTTAGTGTCGATTTCACTTACATGGACCAAATCCTGGAATTACATGAAGAAGATATGGATATCGTAGTCCAGCCCTCTGTGTCTTGGATGGATTTGAATGAGCAGCTCGCTAAACGCCAATCTAGACTCTTCTTTCCGGTAGATCCTGGTCCAAGTAAGGCTTCCCTTCTCTTCAAGTTTCGTTTAGTGTGCATCAATTATGATTCTGCAAAGTTCCTGTTCCGTTTGCTGGAGCTGTATGGCATGTTCCTGGGGCTTCTGATCCAGAAGACTTGAAAGTGTTTCACGGTTCTCGGGACATCGATCCATGCCCCTTCAGGTTTCCAAACCAAGCTGACGATCGAGTTTCCACAGGCGCAAAGATTGGCGGTATGGTAGGTACGAACTGCTCAGGTACGAATGCCGTACGATATGGTACCATGAAGGATTGGGTCATAAACCTTACAGTTGTGTTGGCCGACGGTACCATCATCAAAACGAAGCGGCGGCCAAGAAAATCTTCCGCGGGCTACAACCTTAATAGTCTCTTCGTGGGATCTGAGGGTACCCTTGGCCTGGTGACGGAAATCACTCTCAAGCTGGCCGTCGTACCGCAAGAATTCTCCGTCGCCGTGGTTACTTTCCCCTCGATTCGCGATGCTGCATCCGCTGCTGCTAGCGTCATGAGAGCCGGTGTGCAAGTCGCGGCTATGGAGATCATGGATGAAGTACAAATGAAAGTTGTAAACCTATCTGGGTCTACTGCGCCGAGAAAGTGGACAGAGATGCCTACACTTTTTTTCAAATTCAGTGGCACAAAAGCTTCGGTCAAAGAGAATATCGCCATGGTCGGTGCCATCGCCAAAACCCATGGTGGAGGCAATTTCGAATTCGCAAAGGATGTAAAGGAGCAGAAATTACTATGGAGTGCCAGGAAGGAAAGCCTTTGGTCTATGTTAGCTTTGAGGAAGGAAGGCAACGAAGTATGGAGTACTGATGTTGCCGTTCCATTCTCGAGGTTGGCCGATATTATTGAAATCAGCAAGAAGGAGATGGATGACTTGGGATTATTTGCAAGTATTCTAGGCCATATAGGCGACGGCAACTTTCATGAAAGGTAGGCCGAATTTTATTGTAATATGCGAACTTTGCCATGTCCTCAGCTATCGGGTTTGATAATAATTAGGACAAGCGCACACTAATCTTGTGGGCAGTATTCTTTATGATCGCCGAATCGATGGAGAGAGGGAGAAGGTTGAGCGGTGTGTAAAAAGCATGGTTACAAGGGCTCTGGAAATGGAAGGCACTTGCACTGTGAGTTGAAGCTTCTCCTGTCCACCGAATCGATTTTAAGTGTTTGAACAGGGAGAACATGGGATTGGAATTGGCAAGAAGGAAGCGCTGCTGATGGAAGTGGGCATTAATACAATCCATGTAATGAAATCCATAAAGCAAGCGCTCGATCCGCACTGGATTTTGAACCCGGGAAAGATCATGGACATACCATCTTAAGTTTTCATTATTTTCTTTCTGGTATGGGCATTTTTCAAAGGGAACGACCAAGACTGGATAAAACTGGGGTGTGAAAGGCTGCCTGATCATCTGGAGGTCAGCGGTGCATATTGCGTTGCTTTAAATTCTTGCGGGATGGAGTTCACGGGCATTATTTAGAATCATCATCTTCGCGGAGGAGAACCCAATGATTAGTAATAACGAGAAACGAGATTACAGCCCTTGGCCACGCCTGTTGAACATCTACTGCTGATAAAGGGGAGCCTAGCCTATCGATATTACTTTGATACGTCATGCATCAGACTTAGAAGAAGCAATAGATTGAAATGAATCCAAACTTCGTACTTGCTATTATGGTGGGGACACTTCAGAATTTTGGGTTTTAGTTCATCGTAGTACATTACTACAATGAATCTGGTCACAGGACCCAACTAGTAACTACATATTTAGTAGTGAACAGGGGCTGGCCAAAACATGTATGCCGTATAACGTGGGACATTCGGAGAGTTTTAGTGGGGTGTCCTAACGGTGAAGCTCAAGAGCACATCAACATTGGTGGGATGAAATACCGATACAGGGAAGGAAATCTCTCTTGGGCGTGCTGACCCCCACTCCAGGGCCTCGAGCCTAATTACCATAGACTTATGACATCGATCTCTTTGAATACGGCACGGCGGAGACCCCACAGGTTTGGTCTCCACGCTGATAATTCAGGCAGGACTGTAGTAATTATTGAGGGCGGACTTACTCCATGTGACAGTTTTAACTATGAACCCTGGTTTACATAAGAAGCTATCCTAAGTTGTATATTTGCGCAACAGGGTGTTATACCGAGACGAAGGGATGATAAACCCATGTAGGTCGATACCATACTCGTAGTTAAAGGCCCATCCATTATTGAACGATTCTCCATGTATGATCTTGGTGTGCCAGTAATCTCTAGTAATTACTTGTACTCGTTAAGCCAAGGAGATGCATAGTTTGCTTTAGTTGAAAATTGAAAACATAGTTAGAAAACCGAGATATGGTTCAGAGTACAAGCACAAATCATGCTGCGAGAAAGAGTTGAAGAAGTGGAGAATTAATGTTGAAGAGAAGAGAACTTGAGACCTGTACCTCGCCTGACCCCCTAGGTATGTCCATGCGTCTTCACATATCTTATAGCACGTGATTTTGCGATAAGAACTAAGATTTCAAGCGCGAACGCCAACAATCTCAACTATAAGTATTCTATCAAGGTCTCGACGCCAAGGATAATAATTCAAATTTAATCTCAAACGTCAACGAGCTTCACTTCAATCCGCGCATTTTCACTTGATTGATTATTCAATGTATCTTCCCGGCAGGTAAAACATTGCAAACATCTCCTTCTCCCACTTCGGAGTGTCAACCGCGCTGTCTCTGTCCTTTGGAAGCAAAGTCAAGAAGCAATCATACCATACCACGGCTGCCTACCTACCTACATACATAGGTAGTCTGCTTTTGCCCATATTGTCTTCCTCTACTTCTTTGAATTCACTCTCACAATTCACTTCATTACTTCTCCATTGACAGACTCTGTGCAACCGCCCTTCACTCCACCTCCACCTTCACCCTCACCCTCACCCTCACCCAACCCTCACCACCACCTCCATTCTGCCTCCACTTCAATCTCACAAAACCACCACTCTGGCTACCACACAATACCCTCTTTGCTGTTTCCCGCATACTAACTACATCTACAGTAGTGTGTTTGTTCCAGCGGTTGTGGAACATTCATTATGCAAAATATGATACCAAGGCGTAATAAGCTTGGCGAGTGGAGGAACGCCCCAGATCTCTCTATCAAAGTCAGGGGGCTCCATGAGTCTGAAAGTACTTGGAACTTGTTAAGGAATTTCAAAGCAGCTGGGCGTATCGTATGCATTGATATTTTCGAGGGAAGGGATGGCCAGCGTGAGGGGACCGCAAAAATTAAATTCTCTCCGCCGCCCAAATCGGAGTTCTGGGGTTCACAACTCCATCCATGCAGATACCAGATGCAAGCAGCAGATGGCTCTGTTCACTACAATGTCTTCGTGGCGCTCTGGGAGGATCGAAGTCCTCGCACCCACCGCGTCCATAGCCCGATTAGACCTCATATCTCTTACGAGCCAAAGATGGCTCTGCGGCCGTCCTCTCTGCACATCGGTATCATGGTGGATCGGGAATCCATGATGCCTCTTCAGAGCATCGAGCCGTCCACACCTGCAGACCTAAAGTTTACAGTGGACCTCGTTCGCAAGAAAATCACAGCAGAGTTCAAAGTCAGCTTCGAAGATCCAAGATCTCAAGGAGTTGCTAGCTTTGTTAGTGATTCTGCGGTAAACGAATTCAAGAGAGCGAACAATTACATGTTCGAAATACCTTTTGACCAGTTGAAGACTATCAGCCAAATCAACTTCAACAATCGCTGCTTTGGGCTTCAGATGTCGCTTGAGTCCCCACCCCAATATCACCGAAAGCGAGAAGACGAGGAATCATGCCATTCTGCTGAGACTCTCAGATGGACGGACTGGGACACGTGGTACAGACAAACAGATATCGTCTATGATCCTTACCGTCTTCAGAATGCCGTCATTGCTCTGCATAAAGAGAGACCCGTCATCGACATAGGTAATTGCCCACCCTACTCCTCTTACATAATTTACTAACCAGTCAGGTCGCTGGACTACATATCTTTTCGTCTTTCAAACAGCCCAGAACCCAACTGCTAGGATCAATGAGATGAAACAGGCACTACAGGACTACAACATTGAAGTCGTTACTCGTGGTCAAATCAATAGGCTAGAAGCGTATCCTGCTGAGTTATGGTCTGTTATTGATCCACCGAAGTCTGAACACGGTGCGGCTGATATGCGGAATCTGGATGCAAACGGAAGTACAATATTCCTTCCATTTGAAGTCCGCTACCAATTAGAAGTTTGCATATCTCGCGATATTCTCAATGAATACAATATCTCCAGGGAATTCATCACGAAGCTAGCTGAAATAACCTCGACGGATCCGATAAAGGCTCGCAACATCCTCGAGTATATTGCCGAGCAAGACAAGCGGATCTATGACCCAATGTCAATCTTTGAGGACCATGAAACACTCGCATTCTCTCCAAAAACCGAGATTCCCCACTACTGTGCCTATGCACGCAAAGCTACAATCACCCCAAGCACCATTTATTTCAGTTCGCCGACTGTTGAGACTACGAATAGGGTCTTAAGACGCTATGCTAGAGAAAACCAAGAAGGCCGTTTCTTGCGAGTACAATTTACAGATGAGTTGCTCGAGGTTTGACTCCTAAACCATGTTGTCTTCTCCATGCTAATCGCTCTAGGGTCGAATCAACTCTTCTGCTGATAAGCAAAGAAATGATGAAATTTATACCCGCGTCTACAGGACTCTTTTCAACGGCATCCGAATTGGTGATCGTCACTATGAGTTCCTGGCGTTTGGTAACTCCCAATTCCGCGAAAACGGTGCTTACTTCTATTGTCCCACCAACCATTTATCTTGCGACGATATTCGCAACTGGATGGGCAATTTCTCCCACATTAAAGTTATAGCCAAATATGCGGCGCGACTGGGACAATGCTTTTCAACAACAAGAGCTATCAATGGGCTATCGACACCCGATATCATCACGATTCCTGACATAGAGAACAATGCAGGTTGCTTTACTGACGGCGTGGGCAAAATATCTCCGTTCCTTGCACAGATGATTGCTGCAGAGCTCGGCGTGCGCTCAAATACCGCACCATCAGCCTTCCAGTTTCGCCTTGGCGGATGCAAAGGCATCTTGGTTGTCTCTCCCGATGCGAAAGATAGGGAGGTTCACATTCGAAAGAGCCAGCAAAAGTTCACCGCCACTTATAATGGTCTGGAGATTATCAGATGTTCTCGATTTTCTCTGGCAACTTTAAATAGACAAACTATCGCCATTCTGTCTTCTTTGGGGGTCCCTGATCAAGTCTTCTTGGGAATGATGACGGAGCAGCTTGCAAACTATCAACAGGCTATGAGCGACGATGATCTGGCCGTCAGCCTCTTGCTGCGGTATATCGACGACAACCAGATGACGATCAACATCGCCACAATGATCCGGAACGGCTTCATGACTGAGCGAGACCCTTTCGTACTGTCTTTGCTCCACTTATGGAGATCATGGTCTATCAAGCTCCTCAAGGAAAAGGCAAAGATTATCGTAGAGAATGGTGCGTTTGTTCTAGGGTGTGTTGATGAGACAGGCACATTGAGAGGCTATAGCAAGCCAACCGTCGCTTATGGCGAAAACTTCCCAAGGGAGGAGTTACCGCAGATCTTCATCCAGGTCCCGGACAAAGCAGATCCAACCCGCCATAAAGTGATCGAGGGCATTTGTCTTGTTGGCAGAAATCCCTCGCTACATCCAGGAGATCTTAGGGTCGTCGAGGCCGTCAACGTCCCCGCTCTGTACCATTTACGTGATGTGGTGGTTTTTCCTTCCAAAGGCGAACGGGATGTCCCAAGCATGTGCTCTGGTGGCGATCTTGACGGAGATGACTATTTTGTCATCTGGGATGAGCATTTGAGACCCCCTGAGTGGAACTGCGAGCCAATGGACTACAAAGGGCCCCCTCCACGAGAGTCAAGTCGCCCTGTTGAAGTGACGGACCTTATGAAGTTCTTCGTACGATTCATGAAGAACGATGCGCTACCCACGATTGCACATGCACATCTTGCACAAGCCGACTTTCTTGGACAGAGAGTTAAAGACCCGAAATGTAAGCTATAAATTCTTACCCGTATTTATTTCAACTAATTATGGCAGGTCTCGAGTTAGCTGCGTTACACTCGAAGGCGGTTGATTACGTGAAGACTGGTCTAGCAGCGGAAATGCCAAAGCGACTGATACCACGCAAGTGGCCCCATTTCATGGAGAAAAAGTACAAACCAAGAGAAGCCATTTACAAATCGGGGAAGATCCTCGGTAAACTCTACGACAAGGTTGAGAGTGTTGACTTTTCCCCTCAGTATGAGGAACCTTTCGATAGACGCATCCTCTCCGCATATAAATTTGACAATGCTCTCTTAAAGACTGCTCGTCAAATAAAATCACAATACGACACTGCTATGCGTCGAATCATGGCTCAACAGGAGATCCAGACTGAATTCGAAGTCTGGACAACATTCGTACTTTCAAGACCACGTGTTGGCAGTGACTACAAAGTACAAGAAGAGATGGCACGAATCTCCGAAACTCTCAAGGAGCAGTTTCGAGCCGTCTGCATTGAGAAGGCAGGTGGCAAGGACTTCTCGATTCTTGGTCCCTTCGTAGCTGGGATGTATAAGGTCACAAAAGAGGAGCTCGACATTGCTCTTGCTGAGTGTAAAACAACTAAACTTGTTGGCAACAGAGAAGTAAGTTGGTCCCTATAACTCTCGTGCTTTAGGAACAGGCTGACACTGAATTCAACAGGTCCCTAAGCGGAAGATGGAACCCAAGTACATGCCATTGATCACATTCCCTTGGCTGTTTGAGAAAGAACTCGGCAGAATCGCAACTGGTATAGAAGCAGCCGATGATCTGGAAGATCTTGGCCTACAGCATCTGGTCTTCAACGGCGACCATTCTCGCAAACGAAATGCCGGCGTTACGAACAATGAGGACTTCATTCGACAGGAGAATGGAGTTATCGTTCACCGGGGCGAAGAGCTTGATTTGTTCCGCCCGGAGACCGACTTTGAAGATCTGTCTGGGGAGAGCGATTTCGAGGAAACCGGAGATCTCCAAGATGGCGCAAGATACAGAATGGGCGAGTCTGGGGAGATTGTCCTAGCCTCTGCTTTCCCTGGATCCATCGCAGGATCGGTCTCTGGTGCCGGTGTTGAGGATGTGGTCCCAAGAACACAATTAGATGGCTTTATCGATCCCAAAGAGAACAAGTTAGGCGAGATTGAAACAACCAATGCGCTTGGTGACTTTTGGCCACAAAGTCCGGTCACTGAAGAAGTAATTGAAGTCAAGGTCGGGGAATCGGCTTTTGAGAAGGTCACGCGAATAATCGGTCGCTGATTCTATAGTTGAGTGTAGCCATTGTAAGATAGCGAGTTCATATAATTAGATACCCTCTCTTGTGGTGGATAGAAAAAGCAGCACTTATTATCATCGACTTATAATGCTCCGCTTGGCCGAGGACGTTATATATTACCTATAGCACTGCATTGCATTTTTTATCTATCGCAAGCTTTTAATCTATTTATTTATTTATTCCATTAACGTCCTGTGTGAGTCTAAGACTATGTAGGACGGCGCTAGCCTAATGCTAGCGCGGGCTAGTGATACAGTCAAGAGATATGTCAATATGTTTCCGGTTGGAATCTGTGGGACTAAGCCTAATGCGGACTAGGTCTATAAAGCAATAACGCCATAATAATAAAAATCCCCCAGGGCCCTAAAAACGTATAACTAACTAATAAATGAAAAGTGAATCAGGGAGTGGCAGAAAGCGAAGGCGGTCAGCTAGCATAGCAGTTTCTTATGCTGCAATTGCGCTCTTATGTATTCTAAGCTAAAGTTGGGAAAAATCGATGGATTTAGTTGGTAGGAGTGGGCGGTGAGACTTCTAAGCCGTATACCGTAGTATATGCTTAGTTATTATCGAATTCTGCCTGTTCAAGCCGCTATTTGCGGGTACTGATACCCGTTTCACCCAAGAAGGTTAGTAGATGCTAGCGTCTGATTTTCGTCTTAAAGAGGGAGCGTAGGCTAAGCCTAAATAGGACACTGTCTTTTAGTCTTTTGCGTTCTTTACTGTATTCGGGGCATTGTAGTATAAGATGCTATAGTGATTCAGGCTTATAACTGTATATGTAGTAATTAGTGGGTGTTTTATTGAATCGTTTTAGGTACGTCCTAAAGTAGCCGTGTCGTAGCTTAAGCTAGTAAAAGGCGCTAGCAGTGGATCTAGCCGTTTTGGGAAGCTGTATTCAAGAGTGAATTTGTGGGTTGAAAAAGTTGAAGTAGTGGCCTTTACTGCTAGCTAGAGCATTTGCCTATGCATGCCGTCGGATTTGGTTGATTTTTATGCCTATATAGGTATAGCTTGTGTGGGCAGCTAGGGCGGTCTGGGTGGTCGGAAGTGATTTGGACCCTAATTTGGCTAGTCTGTCTACCTCTTTATTTCTATTAATGTCTTAGTATCTGGGGACCCACTCTATTGCTAGCGTGGATCCGTTTTGGGCTATTTTGGTAGCGGCTGCAATAGCGCGTAGCTGGTGAATTTGGCCCGGATTATCAGAAGGCCGCGCTAGCCTATAAATGGCGGCTTGGTTATCTATATACACCTAAATGTCCCTATTTGGGCCTAGTCTCGTCGCATCTTTAAATGCTAGGGCAATGCCTTCTAGCTCTCCATTATAGACGATTTGGTGGGGACCTATATTTCGGGCTAGTCGTATAAAAGGGCGACTAGCGCATTTGTAGCCCGCTAGTCCCACTCTAATTCCGGTGCTTTTAGGCATTTGCGACCCGTCTAAGTAGTATGACACCTGATTTGGCGATTGTGACTGTATTTGCCGGCGGTGTATCATGGCAGTTTCCTCTTTTAGCAATTTGGCGATTCGTGTGTCCTAGGGGATAGAGCGGTCCTAAGGGGCAAAGTGGAAGTGGTGTATAGGTTTGATTTTGCTGCTAAGCAGGGGTGTAATAGTCCTGGCAATCGTCTGAAGTCCGTATCCTAAGTAGCTGGATTTGGCAATTTAGCGATTCACTGGATAGTCTGGACTTAGCTTAGCTAGCCGAAAAGTGTATTTGCGGGTGGCTGTATCTAGTCGTATTGCGGGCAGTAGGAGGCTAGCTTCAACTTCCATGGCCTGAATTGGACTAGTCCGAAAAGTGCCTAGGATTTTGCGTAGTGCCAAATTCTAGAGGTGCTATAGGTGGTCTTTTGCATATGCTTGGCCTCGCCACTAAATTGGTGATGCATAGTTGGACATGCTTGTTACATAGGCTAAATATAGCTATCTAAAGGCGGTGGGACTTAACCCTCGCTCGCTATTAGCTAGCCTAGACATTTGTCCGAATGCGGACTTAGCCTTAGCGGTGCGGATGGTAATATGCTCCTTAAATTGTAATAGAGCGTCGAAGTGAATGCCAAGCCACTTAACTGTCTGCTTTAGGGGGACTAAAGTCCCGTCTAGGAGTATAAGGGACGCTAGCTTAGCGCGTTTGCCTGTGCTGAAGTGAATCAGTTCAGACTTTTTTAGGTCAAATTGGATTGCGTTTTTACTAGCTAGCTGAAAAAGCTCTTTAGCTACTAGCTATAGTATCTTAACGTTTTTGCGGGGGCTAGTCGATGCAAAAGAGAGAGTGATATTATCCATATAAGAGATAAATTTAACTGCACGTGACCTAAATAGGCCTCGTATATAGATTAAGAAAAGGATAGGCGAAATAGGGCTTCCTTGTGGGATTCCGGTCTAAATAGGCTGGTTTTCGTCTGATTATCCGTTAAATAGAAGCTTAAGTGACCGCCCGCTTATAAAGGATGAGACCCACTTAATAACCGAATCGGGAAAGGCTAAATCCTTAAGAATTATAAGTAGCCGGTTCTTAGATATATGGTCGTATGCCCCTTTTATATCTAGTAGAAGCGTACTAGTAATTTTGTTTCGTAGCTGATTTGTATGGACATAATCCGCTAGCATAGCGCCTACGTCTATAGCCGACTTTTTAAGTCGGCCACTGATTTGGCTAGGATGCAGCAGATTTGGTGTAGTTTCAGCTAAGTACGCTAGTCGCTTAGCTAGGATCCTTTTACTTACTTTACCTAGGCAATTTAGAAGTGAAATCGGCTGATACGCGCTAGGCTGTTTATAGTCTAGCTTATTGTTTTTTTGTAGTATAGCGCAATTCGCTTGGCGCTAGCACTTTGGATGGTAGCTAGTGTTTACTAGCGTCTCAAAAAGGAGTGAAATCTGGGAAGGGCATGCTAAATATGCGTGGGTAATAATGGTCTGGGTAATATAGTCCGGGCTGGGGCTAGTGGATTTGATTTCACTAGAATAGGCTTGCTTTACTTCGTCTAGTGCTAGCTTTAGCTACTGCTATTGCTCTAAGGCGGTGTATGACGTCTAATTCGGGCTAGCTGTTTTAGGAGGTGGAGGGAAAAGCGTCTAGCGGAAAAGGTTGCATTTAGCAGTGAATATAGTTGCAAATTAGGTGGCAGAAAGCTTCAGATTTGGGACTAGCTCTAACCGCTTTAACTTTATATAGGCTAGGGCTTTAAAAATTGATTTAGAATCCTCTTTCTCTAAGAACTAGTTCTAGTAATCCTTTTTCGCTATTTTAATAGCCTGGAAGTATATATTGCAGGCGCTAGTATAGCGCTTATTTGATTAGCTAGAAAACGCTTACTTAGAGGCCTCTCTAGCCTAATTTATATCGCGTTAAAGTGATTTTAGTGAATCGTTCCACTAAGGCTTAGCATATGGCGCTAACCGGATTTGGGGTATCGCATTGTGTGCAGCGCATAAAATGGCGCTAGTATAACGTTCTGCTATATCGTCCAGATAGTTAAGGGTTACTTTATAACTACGTTTTATATTGATTTGTTCTAAGCTTTTTAAGCTTGAATTGGAGCTTAAAATATAGCTATAGGCCTATAGCTCATTTTAGAGCGGTGATAGCTGGCAGAAAAGTTTTTCGCTAAATTTGGTCCAATCTGCCTGTTTTATATTGAAACGGGTGGTTTGTGGATCCGCTAGTCCTATTCGGGAACCGTTAATAGTAAATGTGATCCTAAAATGGTCTGAGCCTATATCGTCCACTATGGCCCAGTCCTGAATGTGATTGGCTATGGATCGATGCGCTAGCGTAAGGTCGATATTTATCGGCCTAGCTATATGCGGACGATGGAAGGTGCTAATACCAGGGGTATTTAAGAGGGCTAAATCGTGGTAGTCGATCCAGTCTGCTAGCGTATTACCTTCTTCGTCACATGCATCGTATAGGGGGTCCCACCACGGGTTATAGGCATTAAAGTCCCCGCAAAAGACCGAATCGAGAGGCGGTAAGAGCTGCTATAGGCATCAGGCTAGCGTACGGGTGTCCGAATCGGGTAATTAGTGCTTTTTATTGTAAATATTATAAATATTAATCACGTGATCTTAATCTATAACATCTAGGGCTTGGAAGTCTGAATCGTTTAGCGAATCCGAGGCTAGGACGACCCTAGGGCGGTATGACCTAGCAATATAAGCTATTATGCGTGGTGTGATATCTAGGCTAGGCCTATTTAGGAAGAGTTAGGTGAATGAGGGGTGGGAAATCAATTGTATTTCATCTGCATCGCATATAATAAAAGGCTCTTAAACTAGTATAATATCTATATCTAGCTCAATTGCCACTTGTAGCGCGGATTCCGTATTATAGGCGGCTGTATTTAGATTCACTTGGAGGATTTTAGTGCTAGCGTCTATTATAGAGAGGACGTGGGAGCCTTTAAGTGGATGCTCTAATAGACTTCACATAAAGCGGAGCTAGCCGCATATAGACCTCCGCAATTGGCGCATTTATATGTCAGGTGATCACACCTACCCTTAGCATTACATATAGAGCATATATGCTGTTTCGTCTGATGTTTTTCCCCGCATAGCTAGCACTTAGCCTCTTTGCGGCAGTAGTAAGATAAGTGTCCATAGGCTTGACACCTAATGCATTAGGTGGTGGGACGTGTCATATAGTGTTTTTCGCATCATATAGAAATGCCAGCTATATATAGCCTATTTCGGATAGCTGCGCTAGCCTCTTTAGGCGTAGCAAATGCAATTGCCACGGATCCAGCTATCTGTTTTAAGCGATTTTCGGCTAATATGATCTAGTATAGCTGTCCTAAAGGGGTTAGACCCTTATTAAAAGTCCGTATTTCGTCCTTAACTAGCTCTATGCCTTCCAGACAGTTGAAAATAGAAGTGGGGATCCTATAGGTAATAATTTTATGCCATGTAACATCTTTCTAGGCGGTGTAGCCTGGCATTAAATGTATCTAGATGTCGGATTTAGCAAGTAGGAAGTCCGCTGAGTAAGCCTCTATAGTTATAACTACTAGATTGGCCTGAAGTGACTTAGACACTAAAAGGACTATAGGGTCTTTTACTCCTTTACTAGCAAAAGCTCTATTTAGAGCATTATAGGTAGTGAGAGGCTAAAAATTATCGTTTTAGACTATAGTATCCTTAATTAGAATCACACGGCGGCTGGTAAGGGGCTTCTTTATAGCTAGCTTTAGCAGTAAGGACTTTTTAGCAGAATTAACTAAAATCCAGTCCGAATCGGGGTTAGCAGACTCGGCTGCGGCTACATATATCCGATTTTAAGTGGTTTTCAGCTGGGGAGCGATTTTCAGCCTATTTAGGCGGTCTGGGACAGCTGCGCTAGGCCCTTTCAGGTTGACTTGCAGGCAGGTAGTTGGTTTTAGGGCGATTTGCCAGGCGGTGGCTTCTAGCTTTTAACTAGCAGATTCTATATGCGTGATCTTATTAGCTAAAATAGCTAAAACCTTCTTAATAGAGCCTTTTTTAAGGTATTTACAGAAGATTTCAATTAAATCAAGTATTTGATCCTGTTTTAAGCGGTCTAGTTTAGCAGCCGCGGCTTTAACTAGGAGGTCACGTGCCTCTATAATAGCCTTATTTAAAGGTGAATCCATAGTAAACCTTGGATTTTTGGCCGGATTAGGAAGCGGTGTAGCTGGCCTCTTCTTTGTGGTAGTGAAGGTAAAAGCGTTGCTAGGGTGACCGTATTGTTGGTTGTTGATGTTTTGGTGGGTACGGCTAGCGGAAGGGGCCGTGTATGCAAAAACTGACGCGTCTGACGCGACATTTAGCCAGTCCGCGTCCCACGCAGGGCGGTTTAGCTTGTCTGTACTGAATGTTATAGTATGTGTGGCATCTATTACTATATCGTCGTCTTCTGCCGCTGCAGACCGGTGGCGTGGGAGGGCGGGGGGGGAGGAGGGGAGAGGAGGAGGCGGCTTCGGGGTCGAGAACCCTTCGGATGAGCCGCATTCACTCATTTTCCAAGTGAGAAACCTGGGGGTAGGCTCAAATGAAAGCTGAGAGAGAGACGATTCGAATGCTGGCGCGATCGTTCGATTTGGACGGTTGTGGCAAAAGTTATGGGTGAATTCGTGAAATCGGAAAAGTTTTTTAAATAAAGGGCTCTTAAACTAGTATAATATCTATATCTAGCTCAATTGCCACTTATAGCGCGGATTCCGTATTATAGGCAGCTGAATTCAGATTCACTTGGAGGATTTTAGTGTTAGCGTCTATTATAGAGAGGACGTGGGAGCCTTTATAAGGGGCGAGCCCTAGAGGTAAAGCACGGGCTATGCCCGTGCTTAGCTTACTAAGCCTTAACCGGGGAGCGCTTACTTTTCTTCGGATTCAGATGAAGATTCTTCTCTCTCCTTTATTAAACTTGTTAAATACTATATTAAGCCTCTATATATATATAACTTACCTATAATATTAAGTTCAATTAATTATAGATTCACAGCTACCTATTAGCTTTACACTAGACCCTAGGTTAATACCATCAAGAAATAAAAGCCCTTAGCACGATATATCAAACGCCTAACTACTAGCTACCTTCTAAGAAATATATATATACTAATAATAGCTAGAAACCGAATTATTAGAAACGCGTGCCGCTATAAATAACTAGGGGATAAGAGAAGCTTAGCAGGGCCTATTAGGGGACGCGCTAGTCTAGAGCGACCTTATAAGAGCTTTAATTAAGTCGCTCTTAGTAATAACTTATATAAGGACTAACTATAAACTATTAGGCCCTAGGGATTAGAAGCTGCCAATATAGAATAGCTAGACGGATACCTTTTAAGATTACCTTCTAAGGCTTAGAAGCTTATATTATATTTATTTTAAAGTAAAACTAATACTTTTAGCTAAGTATTATTAGAATACTATCTATAATACCCTCCTAGCATAGGAGAGAGCTTAAATGTATTACTTTTAGAAATAGGGGGACTCTATAAAAGGCAAGGACCTTAAGGCTTTCTTTACGCAGCTTAATAGGATCTTCTTAGATAGTAATAAATAAGTAAAAGCCCTAGAGCATCTTATAAATATAAGGCACTCTCTAGGTTAGCTGTAGTATAAATACTAGCTTAAGTTTAATAAACTCCTACTAAGTGCTAATAGAGAGAGCTAGGAAAATAATATAAAGATTAGCTACTTTTAAAATACCTTCTTAAACCCTATCTATATATATATAGCCTCTATAGCTAAAGTAATAGACTACTATAAGTTTACTATAGAGGTAGAGTAAATTATAACTAACCTAGAAGAAACGGATTAGTTTAAAGCATTAAATAAGAGGTAGAGAGAGAAGAATAAGAAATCTAGAATAAAAATAATAATAACTATATATCCCTATAGTTACTCTATAACCTTAGTAAAGGATAATAAAGGGGATATAATAATAGCCCTAATATATACTAGTAATAGCCGCGGGAAAAAGCCTAGGAAATGCTATAATGCAAGTAGAAAGTAGAGAGCTAAATAGGTAGACTCTATAGAAAGAGAGAGATGCTAGGAGAAAGGACTCTATTACTAGTATAGAGTATTAGGATATTATATCTATAAGTATATATACGCCCTACTAGTTTAAATAGTAAAGATTAATATAGTTAAAGCTAAACTGCTATTAGAAGATAATAATAAAATATTAGAGCCTATCTCTTTTAAGTTAGGAAAAGAATAGCTTTTAGTTAAAGTTAGGAACTAAAAGTAGAGAAAGTATTAGTAAAGAGATAGGGGGAGGTTAAGGAAGTTATAAATAGAAACCTTATATATATAGACGTAATCCTTTAGAAAACTCTTAGAACTTTTACTCTTATTAATAAAGGGTGCTAATACTATACTATAATAAATAGAGACCTTATAAGAGGTCTTAGACTTATATATATTAGTAATAAAAAGTATAAGGTAAAAGAGGCCTCTTCTACTATATAGAATTTAAAGGTTAAAGAAGTTATTACACTTTATATAGATATTACTAGATTTAGTTAAATAGTTTATATATATATAATACTAAACCTAGCATTTCTAAT